GAAAAAAAAATGCAACAAAAACACTCACCGACATATTTCCCCAGTGAAGTTTAGAGCAAAGGCAAACAGTAAGTGGGAATAGTTTGGCCAGTGGAGCCTTGAAATTGACATCATGCCCTGTACTGCGAACCAAAGCATACATTTAAGTTCCCATTAACAGCCAAGGTCCCTCAGGCGGGCACAGTCCACAGCAGAATAGATTTTTGTTTCAGTTTGAAGCAGAAAAACTTACAGTTAGGGAAAGTTCAAGCTCAGTTGTGTTAGTACGTCAGTTTGTGTTAGCATTCCTCCTCCTTTCTGCCATTTTAATACAGACGCTGCTACAGCCCACATTTGTCAGAGTATCTGTCAATCATGTCATCACATTCCTCCGTTTTTTAATTCATTAAATGTATAAATAACTGAAACCAAACCTCTATGAAAAATAAAAAGCTGCACACAAATACACATAAGAACTAAATGTCAGAACAGAAAATGTTTTTGAGGAAATTTTGACAGGGTTAGTTTATTTTTGCAACCTCATATTTGTTTAGGTTTAACACTGTGGCTGCGTTAAAAGTTTTCAGCTTGGCACATCTTTGACTTTATCCCGAAGTATTGAATGAACTTAAAATTTGACTTGATAATGACTCTTTCCAGGAAAAGGTCTCTTACATTTTTACAAAAGCCGATACTTTTTATTTGACTTTGAATGACTGTGAACCTTACAGTGGAAATCGAATAATTTCCAGGTATAATTTAAGGATTTATATTCTTGGCACTACTGATGTATCCAAATTAATGTCAGTCTATCCATCAAAAGTTTTGCTTTAAACCAAAAATATCAGTCTCCATCACGGAGAATGACATTTTTCCATAAAAGTTTAGAAACTAGGTAAAAACAGGATCACCCAAGACAGTTATTTATCTTCTGAGGAAGATCTGTAAGAAATGGCAGTATAACATAGTTGGTGAAACATTTCTATCTTGATAAGTAGTGACCAACAAACATGTCCATCCAAAGGGTCAGAGCTCGGCACAGTATTTAGCTCCTCATCACTGGGACTCTAAGACTGCACAAACGCTTTGAAGTCACATCATTACTGATTTTATTCATCTGACTGAAATATAAACATCTTTATGACTACAACTTCCTTCGCCTCTTAGTCATTCAGTTTGAACATGTAAAGAATTTATTAGCCATAAATCTGAATGTTTTTTTTTAATGCTCACAAAGGAGCAAAAACACTTCATCAAGTAAAGCAATGAAACCAAAGCTGCGTGGCGTATTGCAGGTTATTTAAATGTAAAATGTAGTTTCGGCTCTCAGCAGAGGCTTGGAGAACGGCTGAAACACAGAATTTAATTGGCTCTTCTGAGGTCTGTGTTAGCCCGGTGGTGAACTGGCAAACTTCCCAGGATGTACCCCATCTCCTGCCCAAAGTGTGCTGGGATATGTTCCATAAGCAGATGGATGGATGGATACTAAGGTCTTCCTGTCTGACTGTTTGTCCTTCCCACATACTCCTAATCTACCATTTCTTATTCTTTATACATACCCTGAATCAGACACACAAAGGGCTACACTGAAAGGACACACACTCGCTAAAAGCCATGTTACAAGTGTGCTAATGATGGTGGTACAAGGTATAAGCACCCTTGGGTCTAAATATACTTGAAGAGCTTATTTTTCCTACTCCTCGCTCAATCAGCTATTAATATTTTCTTTGATTTCTGACATAGTGTCCAGTACTCAGATGCGTTGAGAAGAATTATGATGAAAACCCTATCCATCCTTCATCATAAATCAAAGCCACGTAAACAAACAGGATGACAGCTTGATATCCCAAAGCAAGAGTAGCTGTATCTCCTGTCTGCTACTCGGTATCACACTTGCAACAAACTGTCAGCGATGTCTTCCTTCAGCTGGGGCTTATTACCATGATTCATATTTTTGTTGAAGAAAAAAAAAATGCATTTAACAGACGGTGACTGAGAAATATGTGACATTTCTCTACACTCTGATACTGGAGTAAATGTGATCTGTGCTGTAATGTTATTGGCTTGCCCCAATGGTTCTGACAGACATCTGTGCCGTGAATACAGAAAACTTTTGGAGTCTCATTGGCATGGTAAACAGACGCTGTAAACACAAGTCTGTCCCATTTTGCCTTGATGGCTTGTCTATTCTGTTCATTAAATCTCAGTTTGTTGTCATGACATGTCGGATCAAGTTAATTTAATTATTTAAAATTCATTTGCTTCTAGCTGAACTTTAAACTGTGATGAACTTCCATTTTATGTCCCAGACGAGCCCCCATCACAACAAAAAGAGAGACACACACACCATGTACTGGGTTCAAATTACTACCCCATTAGACCAGACCATACCAATTTGGATTGGTGTGTAAATCAGTAGGGTCAGTGATGTGTGATGTGCATGGTTTAGCTGATGTGTTCATGTGTGTGAAGGTGCTGTATCATGCAAACATAACAAAGAGCAGCTTTAAACTCATATAACCCAAACAGAACCAAACAGTATATATGTGAGAAGAGAATGGGAAAAAGTGCATGAGCTTAGGTAACTTCAGCACCCAAGGACTCTGGTGTGCAGCGTTACTGTCATTAGTGTGCTAATGAGGGAAACACACCTCTAACATGACATCACTGAAAACTCGATGAAACAGCTCCCCCTAGACAATTTTTCACTGATCTTGACCATGTTTAAATAGATAAACCTCATCTGTCACACATCCTATAAACAGTCATTCACTTTGAATCTTTGCTGAGGACTTTTTTTTAAAAGGCTGTTTGGGTAGTGAGATGTTAATTACCTGAAACTGATCTAATGGCAGTAATGGCAGGTATCGAAAATGACTGAACAGAACTGGCAACTGGACTTGCTTGAGGTTCTTGAAGGCATTTTGCCTCTCTTACAAAAGGCTACTTTCATACCTGAAGAAGTCCAGGAGGGAACGCCCCCAGGTGAAACCAGGTCAATGACCCTGCTAACGGCTCTCAGGTGACCCAGCTGTGAACTCTCAGATAACCACCCACCCTTTTTACAGCTGAAAGACCAACATAGGCTGTAAATTTTCCAACTTTGGCCCCAGTCACTTTAGAACTGAAGTAGCCTTTTGGAAGAGAGGCGAAACGTCTTCGAAAACCTCAAACGAGTCCAGTTGCCCTTTCAACAAAGAATTGAATAACCATGACCTGGATGAATGACAACCTACACAGATGACCGTAAAGTAGGGTGACCATACGTCCTCTTTTACCCAGACATGTCCTCTTTCTGGGGGGCTGTTCAGGCTGTCTGGCCTTGTTTGGCTTTGTCCAGGAGTTTATCAAATCCTTCAAATGTCCAGGGTTTTGTACGGAAGTTTTGAGTTTGTGTTGCATGGACCTACTGAGTTAGAAAATACACTTGATCCGACCCGAAGAACTCTCAAAATTAACTACACACGACTCTGTGACTACACCCCCGCGTAGTCGTGTCCTGTTTTGGGGGATTCAGAATATGGTCACCCTATCATAAAGAAAAGTCAATCTTTACACTTATGGTCTCATTTTCCTGAGTAGGCAATACAGAGGTACCATTATTAATTTCCAATGTGTTAAATAGCAACTTCCTGTTTTTCTTTTTTTCTTACCCTGTTTATGTGTGAACAAAAAATTCTGACAAATCAACTCTTTTTACCTCCTTACACGTAAAATATCATCCACCATAAAACAGCAGTTTCAAATGTAAGTTACTAAATAGAAACAATCAGTCTATGTGCTGATTGTCTTTTTGCTTTAGTATCCAATAATGATTTCTCTATTATAGTGCCAGTCTCAAACAATCTGCTATAAACTTCACACTGGAGCTTTAAAGTCAGAGTCATGTTTAACATTATAGTGTTCAAATATTATTTTATTGATCTGGAGATATCACAATATATCCTCACTATCTATTCACAGAGGGGAAATAACCTGTTTTTGAAATCTCAGCTTTTTCTCTCTCTTGCAAGAGCAAGATAAAAAGATTGTTGCCACTATTCATCCCTACAAACTGAAGAAGGCACTGAGTAGGGGAAGCTATCAGCCCGAGCTTAGCATAATAACCAATGGCAGGAGGCTCCTGCTCTGTCCAAGGTTCAAACTTCAAACACCTGTCAAATTCAGTGATTAACACTTGAAGCCTCTTTTCTTGTATCCGTACTAAAAGAGGACTGTAAAACTGCCATGTTCTAATCTAGATTCAATCAACTAAAGACAAGAGAAGTGCCAGGTTCGCTGTTTCACCCTGCTCCCAGACTTTATGCTAAATTGTGCAAAGCTAGCATTACTGCATCTGATTTGAATTACTCAAATGTCAAACTAATCGCATGAGTATGTTCATTTTAGATAATGTCTTTATCATATCAAACCCTGATGCAATCAAAAATCGTCAGCTTACAGTCTGCCTCGAACAGAGTCTTTGATGAATCACAGGGTGTCCCCACAGAACCTCAACCCCTCACCAATGTTCATTCCACTCTACTCCCCCCCCTGCAATGAGTATCTGAGAGATACATGTGTCAACAGGCCTGGGATCTCCAAGCAAAGCTAACTTCAATCTTCTCTGTCACATTCACTTCACTTCTCCATGTGGCTTAAAGACAGAGTATCATTTCTGGGGTCTCACACCCCACTACCCATACTCCTGGGTTTATGTGGGAACTCAAGGCCACTGAATTCATCTCCTCTATTGCTGCAGGCATGAGGAATTCCATTAGGAATAATCTGAGACAAACTGCTGATTTATGCAATAAAAAAATATTCTTATGGTGTCACAGTACCAAATTTAGTTTTATGAACTTTCTACAAGAGAGTTTCACATGGATTTGATCTGTTGCAGTCTTCTTTGAAATCCCCTGAAGAAAGGTGATGATGTTGACACTTCACTGGAGTTGCGACACTGTTGTCCTTCCTTCAATCAAAAACTGTTGCTTGAATGACAAATAAATATATAAAATTCTGACCTAAACCAGATATTCTCGCCCTTTTGTTGGTCTTTCCACAGGGTGATCAGAACAAAGGAAAAAACACAGCAGTGCTCTTGGTGTCTCTGAGGAGGTAGAGTGGGGAATCCAGGATATTAGAGAACTCTCATAGTGGACACCAGCACTGAGGTGTAAGAGCAGAGAGGGGTGAGATTTAACCTTGGCTTTAATAAGGCCTCCTGGGTGTGCCTGTAGAGGAGCCCACTACCTGGCCGTGCTTTGCTGTTTCCAAAAGAGAAAGTGCAGAGGGGCTGTATTCCTCCTGAGTGGAACATAACAGGGGACAAAAGGGCATTTGCAATAGGGGACTGAAAATGATGACAGCATGGAAATTATGGCACATAAGGGAGCGGCGAGGGATCCTTATTACCACACAAAAGTATGAAATTCTTAAAGCTTGCCTTATGCAGTCAATCAATGATTTCTTGACGTGGAGCAAATCAGGTTATTATAACTGGATCAGAGGCTGTTTCTGTTTGGTACTATTTCTGTATCCTCGCCTTTAAATAAACTCTGGCTGAAAAAAGAACAATGTGGTTTTATAGCAGCTGATATGACTACAAAACTTTTGATGAAACCGAACAAAGTACTGTGTTTTGACCTGTCTGCTCCTGCTTGTATCCTACATTGTCTGTGTGCTGGTGATGGGGTATTTTAGTGATCACGAAGTCCAGTTACAGACACTTCTAATGCCTCCATGTGAGTGCATGATGGGTGGTCCACACTGAACTCTCTGCTTTGCGTCTGCTCTGGGTCATATCATTGCATAAACATTAGTGGCTGGCTGCAGAGAGCTGACAGCATGGTCATGTTTTTTGCACAAAGCGGTGAAGCAGAGCCGGCTCCTGGTTGGAATCTTTGATGATGCAACCGCTGAGTGCAAATGAAGGTTAGCCAGAGACGCGCGGAACAGAATCACAATCCCTCCTGTTTAATATGCAAAAGAGACTTAATCGTGTTTTTGTCAAACAAGTAGTGACGGTTTGATCATGTTGCTAACATATTTTGCTTCTTCGTTTCTTTCATATCCTCGTGAGAGGGAGCCCGCTGTAATGGCCCATGAGAGCTTTATGACTGGATGTGATAATAAGGAGTTTCTAAAACTTAAAGATCAAGTGATTCCTCTTCTTCGCTCAGCTTATGCCCTTGTGTTACTCAGGAATGTGTCATAGAGAGCTGCTCTGAAGCTTTTCTCTTCACTATGAAGAAAAGAGAGAAACTCTATAGTGTCTTGAGCAAACCTGCTAATTTGGTTTTGTCTGGCTCCTTGGATGTGAGCGCCTCGGTTTCAGATATCATAGCATGCTCACTGATTTTATAGCACCACCTCTTCAGCCCTTCTCTCTCCCTTTCTAGCCTCCACACTAGGGTAGCTCTTTGGATATATTCCCCTATGATTATAAATAGATTCTAATTAGCTCCACCAGCCATGGGCAATTGAATTGTTCATCAAATAGGGACTGCACTCAGAGGCCTTTATACATTAAAGCGTATGCAAAAGTCGGAGAATAGCAAATCTCCTCTGCCTACTATTTAATTATTTTTTTTCCTGCAAACCCAGGATTAATTTTCCTATATTTTATCAGTTCAAAATTATTCTGTGGTGCAGTCAATTTTCTGAATAGGTCAAAAGGATTTTGAAAGGTTAACCCAACCTTTTGAAAGTCACACACAATCAGAATGTGCAGTAAAGTGAAATAAAGAGAAATAGAATACTCAACACACTTTTAAAAAATCCAGTCAATCATTTTCTCTTCTATGTCTTCTATAATCAAAAGATGCCACTGTGTAATGGGTTTATGAATATGGGTTCACTGTGTAGATTACAAAAGTATTCAGATATTGCTTCTGAGAGAAAAGACTACACCACAGCTCTTGTCCGGTCAGTGCAGCTCCCTGATTTACCACAAAAAAAGTGCAGTTTAACATGCAGCATCCCAAATATACTTCATCCAACACTGGCAACCTAAAGGGGCTGTTCTGATACCAAGCAAGTGAATTTGGAGGCGTATATGACAAGACTTTCAGCAGTCAAAGCTGCAGAAAAGTTGCTGTGATTAGACAGATCCACAAGATTGGAGACGGCACAGGATTTGGTTTAATTAGATTTCATTGTTGTAGATATGACTCACAGCAGCTTGGAGGGATTGATTAAAATTAGGGATGCGCGGTATGTTTATTTTGGGTTATTGGTTATCAATACTGACATCCAAACAGATGTGTGTACAATTGGTGCAATTTTATCTAATTCTTACCAATTCTGACTGATTTGAAAAAAAAAACAGAATAGCTCTGACTCTTATCACTTATTTCTGCTACTGCGAACCAGAGCGTGCGACAATATCATTTTCATGGGACTCCATTCAACTATGGCGGTAGCTGAAAAAAATCAATCTCAGGTAAAAGATGGCTCATAAAGAACTGTAAATTCAGTGATTACATTGTTAATTCCTCTTGCTTTCAGATGCCTCGCTGCAGATCACAAACTGGCACTAAAGGGCTCACCGTTTAATGATTTCAATGCTAGTCGAAGCAGCTGATGTGTCACGACTTGGAGACCTTTTTCTTCTTCTTGGAATGCCCACAGCCTGTGTTTTACAGGTCACAATTTTGTTCTTTTCTTTAACAGTGAAAAAGTACATATTTACCGCATTTTTACTCTCTTTAGAGCCTGTTACACACAGTTCTCTATATGGAAATCCCAGATCACACACCTGCACCTACTGTGTCAGAATTTGTATGCTTGTTGATATGTAAACAAAAGTACCTCACTTTTTGTTTTCAATCTGATAAGATTGTACAATCAGAATAATAAGAAATTCCCTTTATTGGACTAATTACCTATTACATGCATATATAGGTGTATATAAAGTGTATTTTGAATTACAACCAGAACTGAACTGTCAATTCATCATCAGTCTTATCAGTACACTGATCATAAAAATCAAACAGATATATTTGCACTCCTTTGATAGCTTGCTATGTACTTTGATATCATCTAAGCATGAGATTCAAAACTTTCAACTCTAACTTCTTTCCACTTTATTCAAAGCCTGTCAAGACCAAAAGCGAGAGTTATCTTTCAACCATATGAGATATGGTCAAAAAAAGAAATAGACCTTCTCTCCCTTTTTTTCCTCCTTCTCATATCCACTTTTCTAATTTGGGCCGTTCAAATTTTTGTTCTTGAAAAGTTCATATTATTGTTCTTTAATTAGATGGTAATGAAAAAATATCTCTTTCTATTTAAAGGTTAGCAACACTCATTGCCCACTGACTTTCAACTCCCAGTCGTCAGAAGAAATTATGATGCAAATTTGTCCCTGAGATATTTAAACATTTTATCTCTTTGAAATTAAAGATTAAAACAGACTCCCTGTCCTGAAGCCTTTTGAAGCTTGTGTACTCGGTGGTTTTCGGCACTCACACTGAGCCTTTTTTACATGTTAAAGTAAGTGTTTTGCATGAAACTATGGATACTAATTACCCAGCTATGTGGTGAATTAATACAAACTGAATTCAGCAATACCTGTTCTTGTGCAGACAAAGAGACCTTTTAGAATCCGGTTTCATGTTTCTGGTCGTCTCTGTTGTAATAATGGGATCCATCTGCTCACCTGGCAGCTGTCTGTCCTGCTTTTCAGGGAACATCTATGGCAGCTGGCTTTGCCTTGCCCCGAGCAGCATCAGTGCTTGCTCTCCTATACAAATCCTTCAAGGAAACATAAAGGAAAATGATTGTCAGTCTGATCACTCTGTCGCTACAAACAGTTTTATCCCTGTTGTTACAGCCAAATAATGTGATTTTTCTTTGCTAGATAAGTGAATCCTGAATATGTATGGCTACTATGTCAGAGATTGTCCATAATGACGGGTAATTTGCATGTGTGGGATGAATTCACACGACAATAAAGAAAACAACCTCCAACATAAACAGAATGCAGCTATTTAGTAGGGACAGCATATACGTTTCAGGACCCACATGATGGCGTGCATGACTAGCTGGGTGTAGGTCATTAGCCTTAAAAGATCCAGTTTTATCTCCTAGTTACAGTGCCTGTGTATTCTCTTGAAAATGAGTCTTTATTGCTGATAGCCAGAGGGCATCAATTAAGTTCAACAACCAGAAAAAGCTCCTTGAGCATTTATCCACTCAGCATGTAATTATATTTTATTTTGCTAAAGTCACTCATGGTCTGAAAACACATTTGTATGTAATGTATTATGAAGATTAGATAAACTTTTAGAAGTTTCCTACAGACAAACGTAGGTCTGTTTAACATATTCCCATAGGTTCCCATCAGCCAGATGCCTGCACATTTTTACCTAATCAAAGATTTTGCTTTTTTTATTAGGGTTTGATATGCATCACTGGCCACACAGCCTATTTCTTTTTAAAGGGCAGCCTATCTCATCTCTAGAAGTAAAATCTCCAGATATTATACTAATAGACATGAGCTCTTTAAGTGTGACATTAAAACTGAGTTCCTGTTTGTTAATACAACAAGCAGATGAACAATGGAAGAACAGACAGAAAACAGGGATGTATGGCAAGAGTGAGACTACAGTCTCATGTGACAACATGATTAGGCAATTTGATGATAAATCTGTGTTGAATAAAATAGAGTCATGCTGCCCTCTGTCTGTGATGATCCAAATGGTTTTCCACTTCCCAAATCAAATGCCATTTTTTAATATGGGGCATGAAAGGCTTTGTGGTACCTGAGAAGCTGCTCAGAATAAATGTTAGATACACACATACTCTTAGTCTAGCCTACATCAACCAGGAAGTACTTAACAGGAACTTGATGTGGCACAAAAGATGTCTTTCTTCAACTTAACTGTATGTTTTTTTTATGTAGGTCATGGGCCTGTGGGTTGTACTTTGTCATTGAGAACAGTTTGACTGACTATATAAGCAAATAACCGGCATTCATGTCAAAATGAAAACTGGCAGTGTTGTAGTACATTATTTGTCAATCTTAACAAACAAACAAAAAACGACTTTATGTTTACGCGCCCTCAAATATCTAACCTCTGACCTTGTCTAGCTAAGCAAAGTTTATTGCTGCATGGGTAGGTGTTTTAACTGTCTTTCACTGGGCAGAGGGATGTTATGTCAACATTTCATAGTTTTCCCCCCCTAATTTCTGTTCTCTCATTTGTTCTGTCCAAACACAATCTATGTTTTTTTTTTTTTTTGGTTCGATAAAAAGACCAACAACTACAAAAGGAGCCAAAAACCTGCAGTGGGAACAAAGGATAGAGAGACTTCATGATGTTGTAGGAAAAGCACTGCAAACATGGCAAAGTGTGCAGGTTTCGAGTTTCACAACAGTAGGCCTACACGTTGTGTTAGCCGGTGGCTACAATGGTAACCAACCACAAACAACACAAACCAAGATGCCTGTTACACTTACCATCCTCATACACATGAAAGCTGTCCATTTTGGTGTACAGTGGAGTCTTGATGTAACTCTAGCCCTGACACAGATATGTTCAGTTTAATTTATGCGTAACACTTGGATTTACGTTGCGCACTCATATCGCGCAACGGTAGTGGGTATGGTCTTCTTCTTCCTCGTGTTTGCTGCTGGCCTGTGGTTCGTCCAACCAAGTCTGTGGGTGGGCGCAACCAACGCGAACATCTTCAGTCAGGATAGTACTTCAACAACTTGCCATGTATTAATATATATAATTTGGTAATATTTGTCCATATATCATTTCGATCCGTATTTTTTGTCAGGTTTTGGAATGTCTATTTTTTATTTTATTTTTTTTTTTGTTCCTTTATCACTTGTAAATAACGATTCTAAGTAAAGTTAAAAAATAAAAATAAAAAAAAATGTTACAAGTAACATGCAGTCATAGCTATAGGGAAGCTTGTTTTTACGAGCCGAAAACAAGTTTTTAATTGATTGAAAACAGTAGAAATGGCTGCTATTGCTGCAATCACAATTTGATTGAAACGTTTAGTTAAGCAAGATGTGAGTTTATAGGATACCTTTTTCGAGTAAAAGTATCAAGAAGACTTTATCTTGAAATATCTTGAAATTGAATATCAATTTGGACATGTCAAGTCGGTGTTGCTAAAACTATGTGTTAAAGGATATTTTGACAGAAACTGAGATAAACTCACTTGAGTTTTTTTTTTTTCTATAATGAAGGAACCATGCAGTCAGCTGTCTGTCATGCATAGATGAGAAGCTTATATTCTTACAGCATTTTTTATTTGATAACTGATGCAATGTAAAATTGCTGATAAGGTACTTAAGTAAAAGTCATCATTTTAAAAACTGCTGGAACAGTGCAAGCATAAACAAAGCTACTCAATTACAGTATTGTGATCATATGTAACTTTCCATTCACACTGCCTTTGAGAAATAGTATTTTTAACAGAAAGGTAAACATTCATTTAAAATCTAGGGTAAGCCACTACTTAAAGAATCGAAATAGTTCCTGTTTAGCTTTTAGTTTTCCAAATTGATTTATTGCAGGTTAGAGTTTTTTGTCCTCCAGCTGAAAATAGGCAGTAGACTCTCTGTTGTTGTTAATGACAGCAGCAGTGGTCGTAAAAGCAGCTGTAAAAGTGAGACCCACAAGAGAAACACAGACACCACACCAAACAGCAGCATCATGTGTTTAAAGGTAATTAGGTCAATGGTGGTTTGAGGTGTAAAGGTACACCAGCTCATTGGTCATATGGACACCTGTACATGGGATGTTGTTCACCTGCTGGCCTCAAGTGAACCAAAAATTAGACTATTGAATCCACAAGTGGACCAGTGTCACTCATAGTTTGACAGCAATGAATGAATCAGATGTATCTGTACACTCTGAAAAGTTATGTATTCACATTGGGTAACACAACAAGCATTGGAACGTTGATCATGCTTCCAGCAATAGAAACACAAAGGTAAATGTAGCCTACATGTGTTATTATTTTATGTTTTCAAAGTATTTTTTTAATCGATTTTGTACCTGTTGGACACATGCAAAGATTTCAGGATAACATATTGGTGAATGCTTCTGCTGATTGAAACCATTTAGCATTTAAAGCGCTTTTTCTCTGTTCATGACCCATTTATTTACCATAAATGATATATAATCTGAATATTTGTTATTTATTAGGACATTGTGTTTGGATACAAAGCTTTTGTACAACCAAGCTATAAGCAAGGTCTCTAAAAATGTACCTAAATTCCCTATCATAGACTTTTTGATATAACAGTAGTTGATTTTTCCTTATTCTCTTGAATTTTTCATATTTTAAGTTAGTTTCGCAGACTTCAGTCCTTTTTTGTTTTCTAATGAAAAAAATTCTGTGTATCTTGCAGAGTTTAATACTAACAGGTGAAGCCACAAAAAAGTGAAACTTATTAGGAATAATAATTCCTAGGATGGCCTTGGCATAAAATTTACATTATTTGAATACGAAAAAAGTGGAATATTTTGCCCTTGGAGGAAACCTCTGCATTTATTATGTTAAAATAATACAGTAAACAAATACTTTGCTTGTCTTGGTTCGTAAAGCCAGCAGGGGGCGCCCACGGTCTAGTGAAAAGGTGCCAAGATATACAATTGAAAGGGAAGGAGCTGTGTTAATTTACTGGAGATTTTATAGGAGCAACAGTCGAAGTAACTAAAGTCTTTTCAAAAGGTCCCCCGAACTGGAAATACACGCCAGTACGTGTAGAGCCCACAGGCTCTGTTACATGTTTTGTGTAGCTGCTGGAAGCCGACCCCTGGGGGCTTTTCCGAAATTTAACCCTTACGTGTACAGTATGTCTGCCAGCTTGCAGGCTACCTCCTACCAAACAGCCTATACAATGCCTTTCTCAGTGTACGTGCATGTGTTCACAGAGGGACAGAGCAGAAAGGGGGGAGTGTGCCATAAGGGCTGTGGCGATGTTTATGGTCGCGGTTCATCTGAAATGATGCTATCTGGACTAGCATTGAACCTCCACTACACTCGTATTCAACTTAATCCATCTAAGCCTCCTCCCCTCTCTGGAGAAGGCTGATGATGACTGCTGCTGGTGTCAGTACAGCTGCTGCTGCTGCTGGCGAATTTGCATGAGCCGAGCACTGACGTTTGCAAACTCCACTCCAACCCGGCTTCGATCCAGACGCCATCTTTTCCAGCTCTCCTTGGCCATTATTTTATTTACTAAATGCCCATATCCCTCCGCCGGGTCAGAGAGTATTTTGAAGAAATTGACAATTGCTTGGCGTGGAAATTACATTATTTATTGTCAGCGATGATGCGGAACATTTTCCAGATTCGCTAATCGCTGTTTTGTTTAAGAGCCGCATCGATTCGGGAAGATTTGTGCGCCGTATTTGCGGCAGGGGGAGGTGGGTCTAGATCCTAAGGAGCCTAGAGGGGCTGTGCTTCGGTGCCACTTATCATTAGATATGGCCACCGTTATAGAGTACACCGAAGCGTCATCTTCAACTTAAATTAGTGTTAATTCACAGAATTCTCGCAGCTCGGCCACTGTGTCACACGGGGTGTTGTTTTGGGGAGCCAAATGCTCGTTTTGACATCTCTTTGGAGGCGGTTGTTACTGCGTGGCAGGCTGGCTGTGAGAGTCTTCTAACTGGCCGCTCGGTCCCGCAGCTTGTCGATGCTGAAGAAAATAGAACCAGTTGCCAGCCAAGCGGTCTGCACCCAACATTTGATTTGCGCGTCGCCGTGCAGCCACGAAGGATTTACATTTTAAAGTTCCACTCACGGAGTCTTGACTTATATGCCGCCACTTGGGCTTCGGCTTTGACTTGTTTATACGTTGATGGTTAAAATTGTTGGCCCCCTGACTTGGGTGGCTAACACCAAGTAGCTATATAAGCCGAACTCGTGCGACGACAGCTGTCATTGGAGAAAGGAAAGTGATCCCCCTCTAAATGCGTGTGCTAGTGAAGCGGGTTTCTTTTGGATTTACATCATCTGCATTTCTGTCAAATGGGCAAAGTATGGAATAACATCGCAGCGCTGGAATACAATGATATGCATGATGCAATTGTGAGAATTGCGGTGTTGCTTCACTGGAGAGAGGCTAGCTAGCTCCATTAGCTTGCTAGCTAGCTTGGTGATAAAAAGTGCGACGTTTCATCCTCCAGTTTTTTGGACATGAAGAGGATAATTCGCTATTCATAGGGCTGGAAGGTAAGCCACAGTAAGATGTGATATTGTTTTTCATACACGCGGGATTTGTTTGGCTTTTATCTTGTGAAGAAAGGCTGGGGCAACATAATTCACCTCCAGTCTGGTGTTGGGGGTTTGTCGCCGCCTTGGCTCTCATGACTCAGACTATTCTTTGGAGCGGAGCATTCAGTAGATGGTTCATGGGAGCTATATAATCACATAGAGAAAAGCTAAGCTGAATGTTTGATATCTTTTACATTATTTACCATCAACATAATACACACAGAAAACATCATCTTATAATGAAAGCTAGAAACCAAAGCCCATGTCGTTGTGTAATGTATCATTTTCACTTCTTGTGTACCGTTGTAGAGCTCCAGAACAGTTCTGTTTCATTAAATAGACGGTGCCTTTGTGTATGTATGTGTGTGTGTGTGTTTGGGGGGGCAAATACTCACTCCTTTTAAAGTTTCCAAGCATTTTTATTTTGTTTTCATTCTTTTTACTTATATGTTCACAATATAACATTTGACATTATATATAACTGTGGCATTAATGTGTGTTTGGCTCATGGCGACTATAATTACAACCGACTACGATGAGTTGGACAACTGCAACCACAGGTAACCTGTTTGCTCTCGGACCCTCTGTCGAAGTTGTCCTACAGGCTAATGTCGACCATATTTGAATCATATCTACATTTAACAAGAAAAATAATGGGAAAAAAGGATGATTTGTTTCATATATTGACAGTGTCGGTGCTTCTTTAGTCTGTGGTCGCACTTAGAGTTCAACACAACAGGCTAGCAATGTTAGCTTTGTGCAGCTGCTTTGTGCCCAAGCTTGAGTTAACAAAAGCTAGCCTTAGCATGTCTCCAATTGTGCCTGTGGTGGTCGTGACTACCTTATGGAGTCTCCGGATGCTAACCTCAAATGCCCCAACATTTAGTGCTCTTCCCATCACTTTCAGTCGAGGCTCACCTATGTGCAAATGTTGTGATATAATGATCCGTCTCAACTAGTTCTTGTCAGATCACACCCAGAAGGAGGCAGTGAATCTTTTAATTTTTATACCAGCATCTTAAGTCAGATTCACAAGTCTGAATAATGACAGCACAAGCATTGTAATGACTAATAATTCTTGTCGAGTTTGGTGTTGCTGGACCACCATCTGTCTGCAGAGCCTGGAGGCTGGTTGAGGCTAATACTGATGTATGAGAGGAAGGAAGGAACTACTCCAGAGAACAAAAAGTGGAGTCAGGATCTAACAGTAAAAGTCAAGACCTCATGGCTCATCAAAACAAACCCTCTCTATATTTGCCAAGATTTACGCCAAATTAGAGACAGCGCATTACTACTTAGTCGATATAGATGGTTCTTATCATCTGATTAGGAGATGTCTTGAGGGCAAATTTGTGATGTGAGAAAAACACAGCAGCTGGTTATTCACATCACTTACAGCTGTACAAGGAATCTTTACAGTCATATAGCAAATCAGGTCTACGTTAGTTTACACAATCATTTTACTCATCTGAAAACCAGCAAAGTTGGCTCTGTTATGAGTCACCCTAAAGATTAGTCATAATGTGGTCTGATGTAATTGCATTTTGGTAAAAATAAACAAGCCAATGAGTGGCCTGTGCAGGTTTTCAAGGGAGAGCAATCAAAAATATTTGCTGATGGGTGAAAAAAGGCTACAGCTGATTTCCCACCATGTTTGCTTTAGTGTGAAACCCGATACTTTATCTCTGGGTTTATTTTCTCTCTAGGTTAATTCTGAAAAGGTCATGGGGTGGGTCTCAGTAACGTCAAAAAACAGAGGTTTGATTCGCAAGTTTCAGCAAATAAGTACAGTATGCATAAAGTTGCAATAAATTCTACTTTAAAGTTTTTAGATTTATTTAGTTTTTAATGTTATTTCATCACACCAATCCCTATCCCTCTTATTTAACGTCAAGATCTTCAAAGCAACTATGATAATCAAGCCCACTAAAGCCTCATTTCACCCAGCATCACTGTGTATATTTTCTTGTCAACAGCTTAGAAACAACATACAACCTGTCTTTTGAGATCTGTTGTAATTAATAAATGTTGATAATCTATAAAACTGATGTTAAATTATTGTGCAAACTTGCAGGGAAGACATTTAGTCAACAAAACCTACACATCCCTACAGTAGGCGAACAGTTGATTTCTTGCGTGTACAGTAGACACAAGCAAACCTGTATATCTAATCAAAAGTGACTGACCACTTAAGGAACATAAATCCAATTATTCCACGGCTTTTCAATCTGTTTATTTACTTGGATCAATATCTGATTATTAACTTGCATGATAACCAAAAGTCCTGCTAACTTTGCATAAGAGAACATAGTCTGTGTTAGGAGAAATACGTAGCAGCTAGCATAATTGTTGTATAATTTGTTAGTATGCTACATTTTCTAAAATGACTTATAGCATTAGTCTGGCTGGAAATGGGTTTTTAAAATCTGTTAGTCTGACTAAAATCACAGTAAAATAACTTTTCACAGTTAGACTATCATACCCAGATGATATGGTGAGGGATCGATATTCTCCGCCATGTATACACAGTCATCGGACTGAAACTGGCTAAAGCGTTGTGCACATGCTCCAGGGCTCAAATGCAGTGTGTTGACCTGGCAGTTAAACAGCATATGTTGTTAGGCAGCCGGATAGTAAACAAAACTTTTAACAGATGTAGAAAGGACTTTAAAAAAGATGAAACTGTGGTACCAACAAAAGGCACAGAACTGTACAAAGATGGTGTTCCCATCATTCCTCGTACATTATGTTAGCCACTTGCCATTGCGTTTGTTGATGGCCACTAGGGCTGCAGTCAACCAAAGAGAATATTGGTTAGCCGCTCGAACAGCACACATCTGCGTGAATTCCTATCTGAAAGTATAACGAGGGTCTTTGCGGGGTTGAAAAGCAATTTAGGAATGGATCACATGTAAATGAAGCACTTGTATTTAAATGAAAACATCCTCAAGTGTGTCGAATGGATGATGGGCATTCAGTGTTGAGTGACGGACTTGCATGCACATTTGGATCCAGCTGTTTGACAGTCGTTTAATGCTTCTGCTGGTTTTCTGAAAAAGGTCATCATACTTCCTCCACAGCTGCTGGTTAGCTTGTCCTACTTTAACGATTCTTTGCTCTGGTCACCATGTCTCTCCATTTTTCATCCTCTTGGAGCTGCAGCAGTGAGTGACGTCTGTTCACCTCACACTTACTATTCAGAATAAGGCTATAGAGACACCTTGAGATAACTGTATTTGACTGATTTCGTAATAATAGTAAGTAATAAGACCCACTGTCTGAACTTTGTGTGTTTTATGCACAGAGAGGGTTTTCACAGGTTTTAGATGGAGATTTATAGAACAAATTAGCTTCAGGTGACCAGTGCAGGTGACTTAACAGACAGGGCTTCGTAGTTTTGACTTCTTTTTATTGTCTGGGTACAACTGGTGACGGTACACCCTGAAGCAGGTGAAGAGGATGAGCCTGCAGTTGATTTTTTTCAAATCTTCCTCAAAATGTGAATCATGCTACAGTTCAATACAAGTGATCGACAAAACATTTGCTGGTTCTCATGGTTAGTCTGCTGCATATGGTGAATTCCTTGCCACAATGCTCTGAAAACCTCAATATTAGTGTGGCAAAGACTCTTTAAACACGGCACAAGTGACAAATGAATGTTAGGAGCATGAAAATGTCAAAATCACATGGTGTGCCCTCTGCAGCTAACACTTTTCCCTCCAAATGGACCCCATTTATAAAAACTGAAAATCATTCCTAGGAAATTGTCAGCGTACAGCATTAAACCTGGTCTTATAGCATTGATTACACCATTACTGGCAAAAAAAGGTGATTAAATCATATATGCGCACATAACTACAACTCACACACATTGGCTGTGGACAGCAGACGCATTACTGTACATATATGTTTGAAAAGACTACAACAGTCATTTATGGTCAAATGAAATCTTATTTTGGTCTTAATTCCATGACAAGTAGACTGTTTGGAAATCTGGTCTTTACACTTTTAAAAAAATAAAAATGAAAATGGCGTTTTTTTTCCTCTATCAATATCGGCAAAATTTCGAATTTAAATTGAGTTTGAAAACATGGGCATTGTAGATATCGGAAAAAAAACATACATTGATTGCGCATCCCAACCAACTTGTAACCCAGTGACAGAGAAAAAGTGGCTAATACGTCTGTGTTTAAAGAACTTAAATGTCTTGTTTCCACTTATGAGTGTGTATGGATCGTGGTAGCTTAGCTAGACAGTTGCTGACTAGCTGACAGGCTGTTTCCTTCAGTTCAGTCACCTATATTATCAAGTGAGTTTGTGTGATTAAAGAAAAATTGGTGACTCGGTTTAACATATTGTAAATCTGAGTAATTTTATTTCGTATTTCTTTACATCTTAAAAAAAAAAAGGACACTTGAGACATTGTCTGTTGTATTTAGAGACATTTGGAGATGGGCCAAAATGGTTACGGGTGAAATGCATTGTGTTTCCCCTCCAACAGTAGAACCAGTGGCTGAAGCGACTGACCAACCAGAAGGAAATTGTGTAGTTCCTCTCATTTAACAAAACATTTGATTAATAAAAAACTTCTTTTATCATTTTTTTTTTTTTTTTCAGATTTATTTTTGTGCTCTTTAACTTTTGCTGACGGGTCAGGACAGAGCAAGAAATGGGGGGGAGCGTTACAAAGTGACATGTGGTAAAGGAGCTACAGGGTGGAATGAAGCCTGCGTTTGGTCCTAGGCCATCGGCACCCTAGGCAAATAACATCTGAATCTTTTTAACATAAGAGAATGACATTCAACATCAAGAACAGAGTAGCACTAAAGTAGGACAAGTTAACAAACTCTGGCTGATTATGACACCAAGTTGACAAAAGGGGTTATCAGTACAGCAAAGTCATTAAACAAATGTCAAGCAGCCAAGAAATATGCTGTCGTAGTGTGTAATTTCCAACAATGGCAAGCACATAAAGATGATCTGCAAGAGCATGATGGAAAATGTCACTGAAAAGCAGAACGAATGTGTGCTGATCAATAGACCTGTCCTGCATCTGGTAGGCTGTATGTTATTTGAATTTATGGTATTTAGATACCAGTACCATTGTTTTACATTTACATATGTTTACATATGTTACACAAAAACCAACGTGTTATCCAGAAGGTGCTAAATACCAGGATCTACCTGACGTTCATTATTTTTCGGTTAAAATAGTCTTTTTAAAATCAAGATTCAGTTTTCAAAAGTAGTTATCTAAAAGTTGGTCTTGGAAAAAAAGGGGGGGTATAATCAGGGTCATCCTAGTTAAGTGCTATGAAAAATCATGTTAGCGACACATTAATGTGACTTGAAGTTAAATGGAGTAGCAGTCTTTTTGCAGGGATCATGTATGGAATGTCTTCATGTTTGTCTATACACGTATGGCTTTCTTTGTTTGTAAAATATTTCACTTCTGCTGACAGTTTCTGGCCCAATGAGCCAAACTCCTGAAAAAACAAAATACTGCTTCAGATTGACATTTGCAATTGCTAATTCACCAAGAGTACTGAGACAATAGATAACTCTGTCAATGGATCATGACAATGATGATTTAATTTCTAAAATCTTTACTATCATCAGCTACGACCCAACCCTGATTTGTTTAATCTAAAGTTGATCTGGTTTTGTTTTTCTCTTTCTTGTGCTGCCCAGTAATGCTTTCTCCAAATTTCACCTAATATCGTAAAGTAAATTTTGAAAGGGAACATTTTCCATACTTACTGTCAGGCGATTGGAGTGGGGATTCTTTAAGTGGGTGGGTTTCTGGGAATAGAGGACCTGGAGCGACAGGATGTTGAGTAACTGCAGAATGCTTCAATTAAGAAGTCAAGATTGCTGCCTCGCTCACATGCAGCAAGAGCCATGTCAAATCGGGATATTGCTCTGTTTAGAGTTGTACAGTTTTTAGTAAAAACTTGAGGTACTGTGGGTGTCTCTTCAAATATGAAGAGCTCTTTGGGTGTGTAATTTGTGTTGCAGCGTGGGCATATGAACAGCACATGCTTTAAACCCATTTAAGATGCCTATGAGGCGTCTTTCACTGCCAAAGAAGGATGTCAGGGTTTCTGCTTTAGTGACACATTATCAACCCAAAATAAGCTCAGGCAAATCTGTCTGGCGTTATCAATCATTGGCGTGATGTAGGAAGATCTTAATTCCTCCAGTCGGCACTCCCCATAATCACAATCTAATACAGTAGAGCTGAATTCAAAGGTGAAAATCTCAGTGTCTTAAAATGTGATTACATTTTTGTAGGGATAGTGTAGCACCTGCGCTAACCTTTTCTCTCAAACAAATTTTCCCAGAATGGCATCAGAGGATAAGACTGTGGAACCCTCTGACCAGGGACCCTCACCGCCCTCCAGCAGTGTAGGGGCCACATCCACAGGAAGTCCTGCCCACGCAGACAAGCGACCACGTGGCAGGCCGCGCAAGGATGCTGTTGCCGTCCTACCCCAAGCGCCACCCTCATCCACGTCTAAGAACAGAAAGAAGTAGGTTTAATACATTTGACATTCAAAGTAATCTGACTGTACTTGCGTGCCAGAGGGAATTTTTCTATTCCTTGAAATGGATGCAACACTCCTTCGTTGCTAAGCGTCAGAGTTAAAATATCTTGGTGTTGCAGTGATGTATCGAAAACAATGCTTACATATCTTGCAACTATTTGCTTCCAAGATTTTGTTTAAGACTGCACATTTTTAGCCTTGTGCAGAATACTTGTGCATATAGTTGGTATCTAGTTTCATTTTCCAGCTCTGGCTTTTTTGTTCATTAAGTGGTAGCAGATCTGTGATGAGGCTTCTTCAGTGTCCTTGTTGTTAAGGGTTTTTTTCACAGTATTGAAACAGCTTGAGTTCAGGTAAGGCAAGCATAGAAATTTCTTATCAGGCTATGCGCACAGTGCCTGCCTTCTTTGTAACTTCTGTAGCAACATATAATGCAGCTTAGAGCTGCTGTGTAATATAATGCCCCCAAGGTTCTTAACTCTCTCCTTAGTCTGTCCTCTCAATCAATCTTAATTCCCCGTTCCCAGTGGATCATTTAATCTGCAAGCGTCCAGACAATGCGTTAATGCCACAGTAGAATGAGGACATGGGACAGACATGAGAAACTCCATGTTGGTGATCTGGTCAAGAAGGACCCATCTCTAGACGGGTGTTTTTCTTCTTCTGCTGCTGCTGCTTGAAGAGTTGCTGCAGGGGGTGTTGTCAAGTATCATCATGGATACTGGTTGATACTTTGGCGACAAATTCTGTCTTAATTATCGGGATCACTGTGAAATGCTCAAATTATCATTGAATTACATGTAATGCACCTCAAGACTGCAGATTAATGTCAACATGAAGTTAATTTTCTAAAAAGCAGTTACAAGGAAAGATGTGAACCGAGGTGATGAACAGCAGATTTTGGGGTGCAAAGATCCAGATTTTAAATCTCCATACGGATACAGATACTGGCGCTGATCTTATCCAGTATCGGTATTAGATAAACAGCCTCAATATTCGGATGAGACAGTTACGTTTTGGCAACATCAGGCTTTTCTGATGGTGAAATAAAATGAAATGAATAAATATATTTAACTTGACTAAATCATTATTTATACATAAACTTAAAAAATTCAGTTTGTTACATAGATTTCAAAACTAACAAGAACTACAATGCAGCAGTAAGGAATTAAGATTCCTGTACGAAAAAGCGCAATTAATTTAGAAAGAAATGTCAACATTGAATCAAACTGATGTCTCAGAATCGTGCAGAATTGCGTGCACTCCATTCATGGGAATGTGTCGTTAGTTGAGCATTTCCTTTAAGGCAGTCTGCCAGTCTGAATCGATTAACTCGTGTGCGTGTGTGTGTGTGACCTGTGGGAGTTTTTAGCTTGTGTAACTGCACTGTGTGGCATGAAACTCTTGTGTCCAACCTGTTTACTGACTTGGACTTAAGAGTGACGAGGAGCAAACAGCAGAGCTCCAGATATCTGTGATGAAGATAACTGCTGCAACAACTTTGAATTCTGTTGTGAAATATTGTCGCACTTTCTGTTGGAAAAATATAAACGTAATGGTGAACTGGACTAGTCCTGAGATGCTTGATGAAATTAGTGGTGTTATATCTTGCCATGCTACCGGTCTCCTTCAAAACATTCGCCTTGCACATACTGCAAGTTGTCATAGGGGTTGTTGGCGAAACAACCGTGAAATATCTCCCAAGCGTTGAGCCTTTTTAGTTAGCCTCCATGTTAGCTTGTGACAGAGCATGTTCACATTGTTGTTTTAAGCTTAATAGAGCATAAAACTGAGTTGAATTGGTCTTCCCCATACGTCTGCCTTTGCCACAGATATTTGATCTAGCTTTTTGGGTCAGTATCCAGCCAAAACCTGATATCTGATACCAGGATCTGTGTGGTGCGTCCCTGATCAGATTATACCACCTTTCAACCATTGCAGTGTAATATTTCATTGCACTACTGGTCTTAAAATCAGTTAGGAATTGGATGGCTGCAAACTCCCTTTTTGTCATTGAAAATTATACCAAATAATATAATGACAAGTGACTCACTGCAAAATCCCACACTTGGAAGCAAAACCTCACAGGGCTTTGAATTATTCTCACAGAACATTTTTATGTGTGGACCGACTGGCTTCACTCTTGCAACGGAAATGAGCAGTGTGTAAATAAAATTAAAATTACCAGTTATGAGTGTTAAAAAGCCAGTTTGCTTGTGACAAAAGAGGATGTGCCAGAAATCACTCTTGCAGACCTGGTTGTTGAAATTTACTAGATTTGCCCACACTCCATCTGCTAGTCAGTCCACTCCTTACCAGCTTGATCCATGTCAGATTTTCCATGCAGCACCCTCCTAGCTGGAACTACTTACCACAGCATTATTTTCACCTTTTTTTCTCTCTCTATCTCCCTCTCTCTCCCTTCTTTCTCTCTCATTCTCTCTCTCTCTCTCTTTCTCTCCCTCTTTCCCTGTGGTGGGACTGTGGGGGGATAAATTGTGCAGGGCATGGGTTTGAATGTTAGCCTTGAGCTGTTTCAATGTTGAAATCTGATGCCTTTCGTGTAGTTATATGTAATTACAGTTGAATGTTGACGAGCAGTCTATGGAAAGACGTCATCAACACTGGCAACTGCTTTGTGTGTATACACACCAGGCGGTGGTTTTGTAGATTAAAATGTTACACACAGTTAGTTTGTGCATTTATATTAGCCTTCTTAAAATCCAATAAATGTCACAGGTGTCTCTTTGCTGCAGTGAAGTCATTTTGCCAGGTCCTGTAGGCTCGTGGTCAGCTGCTTTGTTTGGTCATGGCTAATCAGATTAAGTGTAGTTTACAACATACATAAATATTCAGGATGTAGTTAATGGCCATTTTTATAGTTGAAATGATAAACTAATTGGATACTGAATTGGTTCGTTTAACCAATTTTGTAGGTGTCCCTCTTTGTGGTGTTGGGGTTGAAATGCGCCCGGACTTCAGCAGTTGAGGTTGTCTTTTCTTAAGACATTTTACTATGTTTTGTAACTTGTAGCCTGTTGTTTTGCATATACAACCCTCAGCAGAAACAGTATGGATGTGAGATCCCTCTGTGACACAGCCGGCAGGAAATACAGTCGAGTATGTCCAGATTTTAAATGAAACACAATGTCGTAACTGAGGGGAGCCCGATAAAATCTGTTAGAATTATTCCTGGGTTTAATTTTTCATTGAATTCTGTTCTTTTAAACCACATTTGTCACCTGGAGAGTGTTAAATTATGTGGCAGATGAATACAGTTTTAGTGATTTAAGAGAAAAAAAGATTCTAAATTGAATGATTATTCATAAACTTCAACATAGTATTGAATCTATCTATCTATCTATCTATCTATCTATCTATCTATCTATCTACACACGTCTCTTATCAGATAAGTTTTATGACTATATATATATATATATCCTCTCTTTTTTTACTTTATAGCTGTTAGTGTGATGTGCTTTGTTCACCATACCTGCAGCAGGATGATTTATTAAGACGCCCAAATAACACAACCGCTGTTTCGTAACCTGTGACCTTTTTACCAAAAGGAGATCAGCTTGTGAGCGAGAACTGTCAGGGACATAGCTTTCACTGCAACCCAAACTGGTGCAAAATGACGGTGGACGTAACAAGCCACGCATAGCTTGTGCAGCAGCGGTATAAGAAGATTCATGAGACATCGCTCCTCAAACAGTGCCTTTACACAAGGAACATACTGTGGGAGCTCTCTCTCTCTCTCTCTCCCTGGCAGAGTGTGTGTCAGGAGCTGCAGATTATCAGCAGCAGAGAGCAATTGATTATTGACAACTGATGGTGATCTTTTATGAATTAAAAAAAAAGAAAATGTAAAACAGTTGGATATTATTCTTGGGAGGCCCACTCAGGTGTCGTCCATTTGTTGGAACCACTGAATTACATCCAGAGTCCAGCAGATTCCATGATATTCTGTGTTTTATAATTGAATCCCTTTTAATTGTCAAATGCAGTGATTCAGCTCGTGTTTTCTGCATCACGGATGTCACTGGGCTTTACACTGATTCATTAAAGACGATTAAAGGATTAGATTTGTTAGCAGTTAATTATGTCATTGTAATTTATCCGCAATGTTGATTTTTGTTGCATTCCCATTATTTCTATTGTATCAGCCTTGTCTTGTTGGACTTCTTTGTCTCCTTCTTTATTTCTCTTTTATTTGTTTTTCAAAATGTGACTTACATAAGCAATAGTGCATTCTCCCTTTGGTTTGGCATCTGCAGTTTTTACCTCAACCTGAACATGAAAAGAGTTACATTTTGAACTTCGGTTGTAATGTTCCCCCACTTAAATTTTCCACATTAGAATATTTTGGTGCGCTCCAGATCGTAGGTAATTATGTTCGAGCCAACATTGCTGGAGGTCCCTCCTGTCATTCTTGGGTTTCTAGCATTGTTCCTTATCTCGGCATGGAAGTCATTTAGAGGGAGGGGTTGATTTGGCATCCAGCCATTTGTGATTTTTCTCTCCAGTGGCACCGAAAATTACCCCCCACCCCCCATCCATGAATCTCCTCCCTCACATCCAGCCCCCTGAATCCTCCCGAGTGCCCCCGAGACAAGCTGCTCTCATCTGGCCGATGTTTGCTCTCCTCACTTAGCATGCTAACAATTGATGTTGCCATTTAATTTGTATCCTTGACAATTACCCCTTCACATGGCGCTTCCAAGATTAGTTAAACAGAAGTCCCACTGGAGGATGCTGACACTGACAGATCTCTCCATAATGTCTGCGAGAGGAGGAGGAGGAGAATGTGTGGGGGACTGTGTGTGCGCGCACATCTGTATGACTTGGCAGATATGCATATGATTTGTTGACGGGGCATACATGGGAAGACATATGTGGGCTTGCACTTTCTTTTATTACGGCTGAACAGTGTTTTAATATTCTAATGACGACTTGAAAGAGATAACATCTGACAGCAGGAAAGTAGAGCAAGATTAAGACAACAATTAATTTACTACTCCGGAAAGGAAATCTTCACAAAAGTGGTAATAGCATAATTTTGGGTCACTCAGCAGTAGGTAAATTGATGAGAAGGGAAAGCCCAAACAAGTTTTTTTATTTTTTTTTATTTTTGCCTTGTCTTATTAATTATTTATATGTGCATTCACACATTTCTGGTCCCTGGCTTTCTAAACCATGCATTAGTTTAATCAGTATGTTTGCACACTTAATCCCAGTGCAATTGTTACCACGATGTTAGCATTTGTGATCAACAAACTGCAAAAGTCTGAATTTATCAAGACACATGAGAAACACTGTTCACTGTAAACAAACTGTGGTTTTTCACTCTGTTTGTCGGAGGCCTCTGTGTGTGTGTGTGCGCTCGTGTGTGCATGTGTGATGGCATTGCTTTTACACCATTTTGATGCAGTCAGATGTAGCTCAAGCTAGCCGTCAGCTACCATTTAGAGGAAAAATAGAAAGTGTAAGCTGTAGCTGAAACGTGACTCTAATTGTTCTTTATCATGCGTCATAGTTATTACTAGGGCCCGACAGATATGGATTTTTTTAGGGCTGATGCTGATACCGATTTTTTTGGGGGGGGGTCAGATTACCGATAAATTGGCCGATTATTTTAAAAAAAATTTGAAGTTATAAAAAAAATATATATACTGTAGATATCTACAGTATACTATAAACTGTAGATATACAGTAGGCTACTGCTCTTCACGCCGTCAGGAAGACCAACTGATCAGTGCCTTCGCGTCTTAACTCACGTTACTCATTTCTGGTCTGGTCTCATCTGGAGACACGCAGCTGCCTCAGTAAGAGAAGTAGCTCGATCACGTAATGTGTACTGTTGCTACCGTTACTGGCACGGTTAACAGTGTAGCAAGGCTAATAGCACATGGCTAACTCTAACTTTAGCTTGCATATTACATGGTGCTTCACCGTTTACCCGGCGTGACCGAGACCAGCACAGCACAGCGGGGAACATCGTGAAGTGGGTTGAACTGAAACTTGTTGACTTATTGTGTATTTCACAAACTGGTTTATTTACCAATGAGACGGACCACTCTCCTTTGTGCGTCGCTGAGCTGCCTGCTTCAGATCCCTCACTCTGCTGTGCTGTGAGGGAACTTTTTAAATGGCGGAACATTTTCAAAGTGAAACCGAATCTTATTCTCCGCATTTTATTTCTGAAAATATCGGCAAGTTAAGGCCGATTATCGATGAGTCTCAAACGGGCTAAAATTGGCCGATTTAATCAGCTCGCCGATAAATTGGTCGGGCCCTAGTTATTACAGTATGAAATGATGTAATGTCGTTGTTTATTTACTGGCTTTTTTTACTTATGACTCAGCTGTGTTAAATACTTGATTCTGATTGGCCAAAACCCCATCGCAGCTGTTATTAACTCTGACTAGCAATAGAAACCACCAGAGATCACACACTCCATTTCTCACTGATCTGCACAGAGAAGCCTGGCACATTCATAGAGGTTGTCATTTCACCTCTTCCTGCTGGCAGTGTAACTGCTTTACGTCAATCCTTCAAGTTAATGTCTTCCTATCTTCAGTCAGTTACCAGGTAATAAGTGGGAGAAGGTGTAGTGAGCAGCTGATCAGCAGATGTAGAGTCCATTCAGTGAGGACAAGACCCTAAAGGAGAGGAGAAATTTGGTCCCCTCAAAAAGCGATTGAGTACAAATTTTATTTGAGGTGTGTTAAATAGTTTGAAAAATGCATCGGCCTTTTCACAAACCTGCTGTTTTGAAAACATGCCCATCACTTTGATACTAATGCGCAGGCTCCATCAGTTTGGCTCTAACTTAAGTGGAAACCCAAAAATAACATCGTTTTTTTTCTTCATAAGGATAGAAATTTTTCAGTTTTAAAATCCATGCTGATTTAATTCTATTACAATTATCTTTTAAAGAGGTGGACCATCACTTTACCATCATCAGACCCACCTTGAAGCAGCATAGGAATCTAAATATTTGTCATATGAACTCTCCAAAGAGTTTTTTTTCTCTTCATCATTGATTTTGTCCAAATTTTCAGTGAATAGTTTTTTATTTTTTGTTATTTTGTTGAACATTACCACATCTAATGATAATTTACAATGCCTTAAGAACATGGATATGTCTGTTTAAGATACAAAGCCTAACTCGTGCTTCTTCATGACCAGGAATCTGTTTCTAGTGTATTTGATCACCGGCCTTTTATTTGAAGATTAGCGGTGTTTGTTTTCTGATTTGAAAATCAAATAGAGTGTGTTTAGTTAGAATTACTCATGAATTGTCCTTTCTCTCTCGGGATTGTAAATAATAAAGGTGTTTGTTTTATGCTGAGTCAGTCATGAGATGTTTGTGATCTGGACCACTCTTCACTGGCATATTTATTTTATCACAGATGATGTCAGACTGAGCAGTTATCTTCAACTTCCTGGTTTCGTCACCTAAATTTTCAGAGCGCAGAGATTCAGATTAGTCCTGCCTCCATCTTTTCATCCTACATTCGACCAATCTGTATTGCACTCCCTCCCCACTACCACCCCTTTTGCCTTGCCCAGTGGCTTGAGTGCCTCCATTAAAAATCAGCGACAGCTGTGACTATATTTAACTAATTCATGAATGCCCCGCTGCCCACCACCCAAGAGTCAAACCCTGGCACTTTCTCCTCTCTTATTCTTTTGCACTGACTCTGTTTATTTGTTTTTCTTCCTGTCCTTAGGGGTCGCACCAGAGGGAGGGCTGTACTGGATGAGGAAGACAGCATGGATGGGACTGAGATAACAGAGTCCGCAGGCCTTCGGGACGCAGGTGAGACTCAGCGTGTACATGTTGGTTATATTGGAAGCTGTATAAGACTTGAACTTGCTCTTCCAGGCAGCCTCATGCAGAGAGTGCTTCAAAGGGCTATTTCTGTTAAGGTAGAGGAGTCTCCCTCTCCTGGAGAAAGGATGGATGAGAGTTTCTTCTTGGCACCCTACGCGTCTACTTCAGGGCTATAATTGAAAGGGTTTAGCTTGAGCTGTGAAGCTGCAGTGGGAGTATTTTTTTTCTCCCCTTACTGCTTCCATCTCTCCTCCTGTTCTGAGATTGGCATTGAGGTGCAGTGGGAAAGAGCCCAAGGCTAATGCCCTCTAAAAGCTTTTTAAAATCCCATCAGTCTCTCTAGACCCATTTATGTGCTTTTTTATGTGTGTACATCACATCACGTGATCATGCCTCCCATTCTCATACATCTGTGTGCTGCCCTGTTCCTGTGCTGCAAATATTGGGGAGTGAAATCTCGCCTGTGGCTGGCGTCACTTTTATTAGCTCTGGGTTAGGTTACATAAAAATAGGTAATTTCTAGGAGTTTTTGAATGTTTCAATAGTATGTTTTTTTTCCTGAATTATTTTCGTCTCATTAGAAGTGGTAGGGGAAGCGAGGTGTGTGTGAAGCTCTCTACCCTGTCTATTCAGTCTGATGTCATATCATCAGCAACTCTAGTCGGTCCCTGGTGGTTCCTCTCTTTGCCTCCAGGCGCTTGTCAAAGTAAAACCTACAGTTTCTTTACAGTCCAATCCCAGAGGTGATGTGAGCGGCTGAGGTCATCTCAGCTTTTGAAAGGGTCAAGACTTGGGTCCCTATTTATCTTGCGTATTACATTTTTTCTACTGTTCAATGTGTAGTGAAACCTACTGTATATGTACCACCTGTGTATAAAACTGAAATAAATATAAAACTCCTGCAAATTCATTTTAAGCACTGGAGCTTGGGTGTATATTAAAAAGGGGGTCAGAACAACAAAGCTGTTGTTAAATATTTAGTCATCAACACGAAGTAATCAGACAATTCCTGGTACCCCAGTCACGTCCTGAAACTGTAAAAACTCTTACACGGGTTTCTTCGGTAAGTAGATCATTCAGACTCTGAATTTCCTCGTGTAATTGAATTGAATGAACTGAGTCATGCACTATTAGCCTAATTACATCAATGAAATGTTAATAAAATTCTGCATGGCCCAAAGTCTCAGCGAGAGATACATTGGGGAGTTGTTTTGTATGATTAGCGTAGTGAGTTGAGCCTTTTTTTTTGTATCATTTGGATCGAAAGCATCAGTAGGAGCAACCGAGCTGCGGTGCATTTTATTCAAAATCTTCCCCATTAACATGAAAACCCACCTGTTGTGACATTATAACTCTTGTCTTTTTTTTCCCTCCTGCCCTTATTGTAATTGCCATTCTGCACATGAGCGTGATGTTCCCAGTGGGTTTACTGTAATCATTGCTCGAGCATATGGTACTCATATTTTAACATCCGTCTCGTTAATAAAGGCTGTGTTTTTGACCTGACTGGATTACAATCCCTGTGCCCTATGACAGCTTGTATCTGTCACAAACTGCAGCTGATTTTGTTTTCGCACATTATTGCCTTTAGATTATAGGGCAACCAGGCTAATGTAGACAGTTGAAGTGGCTATAGGCTAATGTTTTAGGTGGATATAATGCTAACCTTATTTTTTTTCTTTCATGTGTTCCCTATCAGAAACACCAATGCAGCCAGTGGAAACTGAGATGTTGGTCACCACTGAGGTGCCAGAGGAGGACAAGCCCTCTTCCCCTCTGGCCCAGAGCCCTCCAGCCGAGTGTTCAGCAGGACCGTCTGTCCCAGCAAGTAGAGAAGTCAAAAACAGGTTAGAGACGCCGCCACACTTACCCTGTACTTTTTCATTTCTTTTTAAAGAATGATCCTTTTTGCGTTTTTACAAGAACACTTGCACGCGATTAAACGTTTGTGTTGAACTATGCGGCATGCTATCTACCCCATCTGCATGGTTACATAGAAATGGAGTCATCAGCTGGTAGAGGCGAACTCTTCTCCCAGGTGCCACTCTGGTAAAGGTTGTAATCAATCTCCTGGTCTGTCTGTGCTATCGATGTTAGTGATGGAGGGCAGACCACCGGCATCTCCTGGGATCTTATTAACAAGGCCATCTCACGCTTTAAAAAGTGATAAATATTTATCAGACATTTGATATCTTAAATGCTCAGTGGCTTTTTGCTACTTTTCAGTGACTTTGTGCCCAAAAACTTTTGTATATGCTTCCTGCAACACTTCGATAAAAGGGTTTGTTTAGGAAGCATCCTGCAGTGTTCAGGGTTCCTACACAGTTGGAATTTCCATACTTTTCCATACCCTACTTTTAAGATATATTATTAGAAATACCTACTTTTCTATTTTAGGAAAACAGTATTTTAGAAGTCTGAAAACGTAAATATTATTCCATACTTTATTTTTCATTTCCATACTTTCTAAGACCTGGAAATTGATCAAATATATTTCCATGTTTTTCCATTTTGCATAGGAACCCTGAGTGTTAACAGATTTATGTTTTTACTATTTAAGTAACTAAGGCTGAAAAATGCCGTGCAGATAGTCATGCGGCTCCACATAGGTGCACTTGACTCTTTAAGAGAATAAGAGTAGACACACCGATTGGTTTGATATATGTTTTTAACAAAATACGCCAATAATTGAGGGATATTATCCAACCTCTCTGTGCTCTGTGCCTTGCTTCGCACCCAGAATTGCACTGCTAACTACCCGAGTGGTCAGGCATGCTCTGATTGACTTTGCACCAAAGAGCCTGCATTCTAGATGGTTCAAGTAGGGCCCTGCATATTTACCTAAAGGTACACTCAAGGCTCTGTGTCAAGGAATATGTCAGACAAGATGTGGTCTGCTCATTTCACAGCCTGTTTTGATATGCGAGTGCATGTGTGGAAACAGTGTTAATAATGCGTGCACCTACTTCATAAATGTAGGCCCCACGTGACCATACGTACATCGGTACCCAGACGGTCCCAGAAGAAAGAGGCCTTAATTCATGGCGACATGCGTGCGGCTGTATTAAGGCACAGTAGGTATATATAATTAAACACCCACTTCCACCCATTTTCTTTGTTCCAGTGAACGTCTCTGTGCCTTCTGTTACTGCGGCGGCCGCAGCCTGCTGGGTCAGGGGGAGCTGCGAGTGTTCAGCACCACGCTCGGCCACAAGAATGAAGGAGGCTCACCGAGCAAAAGCGGCGATGGCGATAAAACCACTCAGCTAAAAACGGCAGAAGAGACCTCCTCAGGACAGAAGGAGAAGACAAGGTAAGAAGTTCCTGGTTGGTCGACGCTGTTACGACACGTGGTTCGCTTGTCGGTGTCAACCCGAGCAGGGACAAAATCCCTTTTGTGAATAAGTGAGCTGCAAAGAATCGGAATTTGATAATGGCCTGACATTGGTGATCTTTTGTTGTCCCAAGGTCATGAACAAACAGCAACCGATGTTATACTTTCTCACTAATCAGTACACAGAAACAAGCACGAAAAATACACACACCTCCCCTACGAGAAAGCCTCTCCTAATCAGCAGGTTAGGTTGTCACCAAGGTATTGCTTCAGCAGGTGAAAGGTGCAAACAAGCCTTTTCTCATGGGTGTATTTGTGTATGAGCACTCGCATTTTTGCAATCACTGCCAACAAAGGACCCTCCTTGGACTCTCCGAGGAACAGCCTAATTTGTTTTGCCCCTTTGGAACCAATTGGGCGTCTCTCTGGGCTCCCAGTGACGTAATAGGCAGTGGGAGCAGTATGAGTCTGGCCTCATGCCAAGCCAACCAGTGGCTGTTGTGTTGCTGCTCTGTGATTGGTCATGGGGGCCGGTCCGCTGTTGAGCCACACAGAGGCATGGGAGGGAGCACAGGCCAGGAGGAGAAATTATATATTGATTTGTCAGAGAGGCGGAGGTGGAGGATTGAGTGGAAAAGTGTAGAAAAGTGAGAAGGTGGGAAAAAAAAAAATCATTTCATAAAGGGTGATGATGAAACACCGGCTGTGAACAATGAGCTGCCAGGCCTGCTTCTGTCATGAGTGTGCCATCATGCTTCCCCGACACCAGTCTTTTGATTTCGACCATTGCTTTGTTTACTAGAACTTGGGTCCTTTTTAAATGCTAATGCTCCCTCTCCACATTTTCCGCATGCTCTAGTTCAAGCCAGGGACTTGGGGGAAACACATCCTTTTCAGCAGATTTTATGAGACAGAACAGCCAGCCTCTTGTGCACACACCAAACAAGATGGCCCTCTTCTTCCTCCTCTTCCTCCTCCTCCTCCTCCTCTCCCCCCTCTCTTCCCCCTCAGCCTTTTTATTTGCTCTCTAACATTTTTCCCCCAGCTCATTCTCTGTCTTCATCTCTCCGCTTTTATAAAAAAACCGCTCATCATCCTCCAGCTCTGTGCCTCTACTCTCGATCCATCCCTGAGTAGATTCAGGCTGTGTGTTTCCTGCATCGTGTATATTTTTTTAGTTTTTTCCTTCTTTAGGTTAAAACCTTTTTGGTGCCTTGTTTTCTCTTCAAAACTTTTCCCTTTTTTTTTCCAGTGGGTCTGAAAAGGGCGAGGAAGAACCAGACCCTACCAGTCGATTTTGGGATGAGCTCTCTCACGTTGGCCTTCCACAAGATCTCAATGTCCAGTCTCTCTTTGAGTCAGGTAAGCTCAGTAATATTAGCACTTTCTCAAATTTGGACGATTGTGTAAGCACTTGGTGTTGAGGTAGAATTTAGCCTAATCTTTGTGATCATCGTGACTTCTTAAATTTCAGGGCAATGCTGGGCACATCAGAGTTGTGCCTTGTGGTCCGAAGGTGTTTGTGAGGGCGAGGGACAATCTCTGCTTAATGTGGACAGAGCCATTGACTCAGGGAGCACAAAGGTGAGTCGTGGGAGAACATCCGAGGACTAATAGGTGTTAACACCATCTTAATGTGTTGGGGCAGCAGGGAGGGACTGCTTCAGTGAGGCACAGCAAAGCTGATGGATCAGACTGACTGGTAAAGGTCGACCCGGCAGCGTGGATCTCTCAGCTGTGAAATGGAAAAGGTCACGCCACTCAACGGGGCCGAGCTCTCATGGCAGCTTAGCTCCTAGTGTTAGCGGCGGCACAGCTCACAGCCCTTCGATTGCATTTGCAGCCCATTGGTTGTGTAGCCCATCAGCAAGTCTTCCACTTGATCTCTGGAGTGGCTGTTAGTGCACACTTATAGAACAGAGAGAAACAGGGGATGGATGAGATTCTGTCATCAATGTGATCATCAAGGGGCTAAATACAGAGTTTAAACAGGGGGTTTGAGCCTAAGCTGAGAAATCCAATGACTGCTTTTTTCAAAGAGACATTAAAGGATGAAACACTGTCTTTAGCATAAGCTGAGTCATTCACAAAAAATGTTATATAGACGTGTTTTGGACTTGCTTCTGTGGCTATGGAGGAAAATTATTAATTATACTCGCTGATAAGGATATTTGAGATGTGTTTGATGATCACTCTCTCTCTCCGTCTGTTTTTTCTCTCTACCTCTCTTTCTCTGTCACGCTCCCTGCAGCACTGTGCATACTGTAAGCGCCTTGGAGCATCCATTAAGTGCTGTGCTGAAGGATGTGCTCAACTCTACCATTACCCCTGTGCGGGGGCAGCTGGGACCTTTCAGGATATCAGGAGTCTGTCGCTCCTCTGCCCAGAGCACAGTGAATTGGCCATTCACAAATGTAAGTTTAATTCATTTGATTTATTTATCTAAAAGCTTTAATATACATACAGTGTAATTTTTTCTTCTCTGCTGTTGATGTGCGATAATCCGTCTAATTTTCTCGACTGAAATCCTGTTTCTTTCATTTCCCTGCCCACAGTTGTAGATGATGTAAATTGCGCACTATGTGATAGCCCAGGGGACCTACTGGACCAGCTCTTCTGCACCAGTTGTGGTCAGCATTACCACGGGATATGCCTGGACATGGCCGTGACCCCTCTAAGGAGAGCAGGGTGGCAGTGCCCCGAGTGCAAGATCTGCCAGACATGCAAGTGAGTCACCTCCCCCCATACCAAATTAATATGTATCTCAGTCTGTGCTGTCTAGCTTTTCTTTTACTTCTCCACTTACCGATTTTTACCATAGCTACCAGGCATGGTGCGTATCGCTGGTTTTGTTTACCGGTGGGGTTTGTGAGGTGCTAAGTAAATGTTGCACCCTGAAGCTTAGTCTTGTAACCTCTAACCTTATCAAGACAGCGCAGGAGCTTTACTTGGTCTGATTGCCTAAAGTGAACCCTGTCCGTTTAGCTGTTTGTTCCTGATTTACATAGAAACCCCAGTAGCATGTCATTACTGCAGTGGATGAGATTTTTCCGGTGGGATCGGGGGGTGATCTTGACGCAAACTGTGGTGGTAATTTTGACTTGCCCCAAGTTTTCTGACTCCCAATTGTTCAAAAAAAATATGATTTTAATTGCCTGCTTATGTCATAGCTTTTAGTTGGGATGCAAAAATCTGTTTAAAATGTAGCATAAGTGGGAAACAAAACAATTCAGATTCAATTCAGACATTCTGCAAAATGCTTCTTGTTTGTTTACAGTTAACCCCCCCCCCCCCCCTTTTTTTTCTCTAACCAGTTCTTAAGCTTTACTCATTCTCAACCCTACAATTAGTGATTTACCATTCCCACACACTGTGACACACGGCTACATGCAAGCAATCTCCTCTGCTGTGTGCTCTGAAACATCATTTCGATGTGACTGCTCTAATGCTTCGAAGTCATTCACTCCAGTGCGAACTGTCTTTTGTCTTACTTTATTTGATTTTTTTTACCAAGAGTTATATTTCGAGGCTTTTATTGGTTTTATGGCAAGAAGAAAGGACTGTGGGGACAGTGCAGGAAATGGAAAGAGAGAGAAAGAGAGTAGGGAGTGACGTGTGGGGAAGGAGTCTCCAGCTTGAATCAAAGTGTAAAATATACAGGATCCGTGTTGAGTGTGTTCTGTCACCATTGCATCTCTGCTCCATCGGGCAGCACTCTTCATTGCCCACAGGATGCATGTTTGGAGCGTAGCAGCAGCGTAGTGCAGTCCTGGTCAGAGAAAACAGCACGCTCACAACAGGTTGCTTGGCTTTTCTGTGGTCAACTTCCTGCTAATTTGGATATAATTCAGTGACTATTGAGCTTCTACTGTATGTGAAAGAGCAATGTGATTTTAAAGTTTCAGTTTTTGCAGGTTTCCTCGTGTTTCACAAAGTAAACTGTGTTCCTTTATGCAGTGCCGTTAACCTTCAGACAGAGTTAGCAGCTAAAAGTCCTGTTGGGGTCCACATGGATCAGGGTTTGACCATTCGATTGTTCTGTGTTACTGCTAAATTCATAACCAGGAGGTATTTCTCACCTACACGAACTGATAAACAGTCGGGAATCTGCATATGCTGTTTTATCTTGAAATTTACTGGATGACATGCACAGTTTCCGTGCTTCACATCCTGTGTAGAACAATCTTCTCTGTGTAGATTGACACGTGTTGGAAGCGTAGAGCAGAGAAAATAGACCCGGTGCATACCTTTAGCAGAGCAGCACTCAACACGTGTCTGGGACGGAGCTGAGATGGAGCTGAGACGCTCCCTGTGTAATTTACACCATTGATTAGAATGGGAACCTTATTTGCTGCGTGACTCGCGACGCTGACGGAATGTGCTCAACACAGAACCTGTGGGCTTTAGGCTTTAGACTCATCCACTTGAAACGTCAGACCACTTAAAAAACAGGATAAAAAATTTCGCAGTGAAAGCATCTTATGTTTTCCTCCAAGACTCAAAGGATAGCAGGCCCCAACGCAGCGCTTAAAAATCATGAAAAAAATCTCATGAAAAAAACTTAAAAAGGCGCACTTGAAAGACCACGTAACATCTTTGTATTCATCTCAGGTAGCAGTGTACCAAAGTCTTGTGCAGTCTGGGTAATATGACCATCTCTCTTTGCTTGCAGGAACCCGGGGGAGGACACTAAAATGCTGGTGTGTGACATGTGTGACAAAGGCTACCACACCTTCTGTCTGCAACCTGCTATAGACTCTCTGCCCACCAACGGCTGGAGATGTAAGGTAGGAAAGACCTCATGATGCTGGACAATAATGTGATATAGTCAAACAAGCAGGTTACTCCTGCTGGCATTTGAAAATACCTGGACCAACCAAGTGTACACAGCATTTACATTTCCATCAAATATGACATAACGGCATATTGCTTCAAAGAATCAGTGGAATATTCGGGGGCTGTAAGAATATTAAGTTTTAGTTTCTGAGTATTGATTATTCAGGTAATCTAGTTAGAGAGCAATTTTATTTCTCATTAAATATATTTTCTCCCGTAAGGCTTATCTTATCTTCACTTAGCACTAGACCAAAAAAGTTTATTCTAAGTCCATTTGATTGGCTGCTTCTGTTGCGCCAGAGGCTGTATATTGACTGGGGTGGACTGTTCCCTCTCCGTTTAAGTGCAGCAGGTTGGTTCTGTTGTGCTGTCTCTGAGTTCATAGTGGTATGAATAATGAAATAGATTACCTTGGAAATTGAAATTGACTTTGTTGTGTTACTGCTTTTGTTGAATTGTTGGTAAATGAAGGTTGTTAACCACGTAAGGCTATTCAGAGGTATGCTTGATAGTTGCTCTATGGCGGGGATTATGTACCCAGTGCACAAAGCACAGTGCGGCGCATGGTCTGTGTTTGAACGAAACTTCATGCCAAATCATTTGCCTCAAGGTTGTTTTTCAAATGAAGTTACTTCAGTTATTTGACTAATCATTTCAGCTTTAGAGTGTTCTATCTTGTATTTGTGTGTATTTGCGCTTCCTGTGGTAGAGTGACTCACACTTGCTGATCTGTCAAAGGCTTCAGTTCACCCTCAGAAAGCATTGTTTGTGTGTGTGCATTTCTACCGCTTGAACCCTCTTGATGCAGCTCAGCCCTTCATTGCCCTGCAGGGTCAATGGTGTTCTTTCCACTCAGGCAGCAGGTTAAGACACAAGTTGGTCTGTTGTTAACAGAGGCCAGAAGGCGACAATAGGTCTTTACACTTGGCTTTTCCATCTAACTTAGCACAGAAGGAACACAACCCACCCACTTAGTCCTCTTGGGTTATTGTTACCCACCCCTGTCCCATTTCAGACAGTAAATTTGGTGTGGGTGCAGTTGTCTTGCAGCAGTTCAAACCACAAACCAGTTCTCAGTATGAGTGCTCCATCATGTCCCATGGAGCTTTTCTGTCTGTTGATTGGTGGGCTCATCTATTACGCAATAAGCAAAAACCCAGGACCCACATATAGCATGCAAGCAAAGTCTAGATCAACTGGAAATGATTCTGACTCAGGTATGTGTGCATTTAGTCAGCTGAATACATTGAACATTGTCTTTTTCGAGCACCTGAATGACCTGAATTTGGTTAAAGTAATCATCAGTATTTTCTGCTATAGGCCTAAAGAGTTTGTTATATGTTCTGTCTGAACTACAACACAACCACCCATTATAATTCAGGGCTGTAGCTCTGGTTATTGGCTACTGCTATAATCCTGTGATGTTGTATTGTCCAGATGTAGATGTGGGGCATGGTTTGGCAGAATTCAGGTCTGTCTGGGTGTCTTGTTAAAATAGAATAGAACCACTTTACTAGGGCAATGTGTATCCAACAAAGGTGGTGTTGCTAGTAGGAGTGTCCCGATACAACTTTTTAACTTCCGATACGATACCGATAATGTAGCTTTCAGTATCGGCCGATACCGATATTGATACAATATTGGCACAAACTTTTGCATGACAAGTTTTGCGCTCAGCTGCAATGTCTTTTTCGGACTTTAACAAAAAAATACTGCCACACAGCCGACATGACTCCTACCCCTTGCTACTTCGTTAGTACCTTAGTACACACTGTTGTTGTGATCACGTAGGCTCTGCATGCTGGAGCCGGGCGTTGCTAGCTAGAGGTGCTGGAGTGGAGTCTGGAATGAACTGTGTGTATCGGAATGCTGATATCGGAGATTTCAGATGCAGGCCAATATAATCTGATATTTGTTTTTTGGCTGATATGTGATCGGGACAGCGACAGTGAACTACCTTGTGTCCATATATACATCATACATTATATTTAGAAAACTTAATGATTTCTATTTTACTTTTTCTCAAGATTGTGAAATTACATTGCTTCAATTTTAAGTATTGCCATCCAGACACAGTTGTATTATCCTTTTCTGTCATTATGGGTGTATTTTGCCAAAAGTAACCCAACATCCATTTTTATAAGTTTCTTTCATTATGTTTAAAAGTTCAATAGTGTGTCTTAGTGTGTTGCATGATATTTTGTGGAGGAAATAAAGTCTCTTGAGTTGTGACATGTTGGCTTCATCAAAATTTGGGCAGCCTCTTCTCATTAGCAGCACGAGCAAAATACTCTAATTGAAAAGCTGTTTTTAAAAGAACAGCGTCACTTAAGAGGCCGGCCACTGAAATCGAAGCCAAACGAACACGTTTTTAACCCAAAGTGTCTCCGCCTGCTGCTGGTGCATGCTGTCAGTGTGGATATCTCATCAAAAAACACTAGCTGCCATGTATTTACTTGTGTTACTCGATGACTCTGGCACTCTCAGCTCTGTGCTCAACCAAAACTGCTCCAGTGCTATTTGAAGAGCTGTGGGACTTAAATCAACTCACAAAACTATGCTCCGTGTTTGGATTAATGGCAACCTGCTTTGATTTAAAGTGTCGGCCATTTGTAAGTCCACTTGGCAGTATTTTGCAGCCATTTAAACAGTCGTGTAGCCAGAACGTGATTTAAACGGTGCCAGTGTTTGGGAAATTAGCTCCTTTTGAAGCCAGTATAAGTCTCAATTATATAGATATTTGTACTGTTTTATGAAAAACCGTTGGCATTTATTGAGAACAGGTGTGTGTAAAAGATCCTTTTGATTAACAAGTTCCTCTATAAATCCTTTTATTAAGTCTGGTAAACACTGATGTTATGTATCAGTCATTTCCTCTGTTTTTTTTTGCTGGAAAACCATAGACAGGCAAACTTTGGGCCTGAGCTGAAATCATACTATCACCCAATTATATCAGTTAGGTGCCAAATCTGTAAAGCAGTATCCCCATCTTGAATATGAGTAACTATCATTGTTAGGTCACTGTCTGAAAGCCTCCTTTACTCCTCAGAACTGCAGAGTATGCATCCAATGTGGAACACGAAGCAGCAGGCAGTGGCACCACACCAGCCTGCTGTGTGATAACTGCGTCCAAAACCAGGACCCTGCTCTGTGCTGTCCTACGTGTGCCTGCATTTTGGACCCTGAGCATCACAAAGACTTACTCTTCTGCCACACTTGTAAAAGGTATGTCTGTTTTTTTAACCCATGCAAACTCTTTTTGTTGTTGTTGTTGTTGTTGTTATTCCCATGTATGTTACCAGGTAAGGAAACTTGACTGAAAATGGACTCCAATAAATATGTCACATTTTAGGGTTTTAGAGCAAGTCCTTAACATTCCTTTGCACTTCTTTCAGATGGTTACACCTTGAGTGTGAGCGTCAGAACTCAGGCCAAGCAGAAATCCACCCCAGAGAGGACTATGTCTGTTCCAACTGCAAGACTCCTGCTGCAGAGCAGCCGCTACAGGCAGAGGATATGGACACTGGCCCAGAGCTCAGCCCTAGGCCAGCCTCCATGCACACAGACTCTGAGACTGGCTTACAGCTGGCTAAAAAGCACACGGACCTAGAACCTGGCACTCAGCTGCCTCCTGAAATGCACAATGACCCCAAACCGGAATTACTCGCTGTTCCATTGCACTCAGATCCAGAGCCTGTTCAGGCTTCCGTCCAGGAGGAGAAGCTGGCCACGTCAGCCCAGAAGCCTGGTGGGTCTTTGTTCCAAAAAGGTTAGACTGTACACTGGGAGCTGACTGCTCAGATCCCTTTCCTCATCTTATCTTGAAGTCTTTATTCCCCTCTTTACTCAAGTGCCCCTCCTGAGAGTCCAATCTGTTTTATCAGCATATTAATCATATCTTGTTATCGCGAAGATGAGCCAAGAATGTTGCGCTTTTGATTATAAAAAAATCATACACATGGGGACCAGGTTATATTATTGAAAATGAAAGAGAATCTTTGTACTTCAGGGTCCATTCATTCAGCCTCCAGCCATGCAGAAGGACTTGAAAGTTTTGGCTGTGCAACACAAAATTAGGCTGTAATGTCAGCACTGATGAAGTTTTGAAAGTCGCAGTTGTTGCAGATGAAAGGACCGGGAGTTGTTTGGACCAAGACCAGAGAGAAGCACTCGCTCTTTTATTTGGAGGATATTCTGAGGACTCCCCAATAACCAGATGGTGTCCTACTAGTGGCTGATTAAAGCCACTCCTTTGTCTTTGTAACTTTTGTGTTAGGAAAATTAAAAGTTCTTTGTTTCTCCCTCCTGTCTCCTGGGGAAGGGGGGTAGTGTTTGCTGCCAGTCTAAAAGAATAGGAAGTTAATACTTTAGAGCAGTTTTTTCTCTGGGTTTCACTTCAGCAGCGAAACTGCTCAGGAGTTATGGCAGCATGCTTAGAGGCAGAGATTGTCTTTCGAGGCAGCTGCTATTGCTTCATTTATACAGTATAGCTTATATTTTAACCTTGGACAAGGTGAAGGAGATATTTGATTTAAGTTTCTTTTCTTGGCTTTTAGAGAAGATGTAAATAAATCGTATCAGACCCTGACTCCTAAAATAGAGAACACTGACTACATTGCTAAATCACAAAACAACCTTCTAGGATTTACTCTTGATTCACTTTTTTGTGATTTGTGTTTCTATGAGTGTATTTGTCAAAAGCACAAAAAGTTGTGTTTCTGCTCTTGCTCAAGGTGTCTTGGGGGAAATAAAATATGTCTTAAATCAGACGTAGAAACGTCTCTCCAGGTCAGCACTGCCATGAAGCGATTAACTTCATGACAGATGTACTATTGCTGCTCTCAGAATTCTCCCTGATATTCATATTACACGTATTTGCCTCGGGCTTGTATGACTCAAAAGGTCACAGAGGACATACACATTTCCCCATTTTTTATATTTGATTACCCACAACCCCCCGATTTTTGTCCCAGTGTCGGATGGGTTGGATGTCCCGGGTCTTTTGTTTTGGTTGTGGTTCACAGCTTTTATTTCTTCTATTTATTTATTTATTGAGTATGGCCATGAGCGCTGTGGAGCCCACACTGTGAACCGGTTGATAGACGGGCACCTAATGTTAATTTTTAGACTTGTGAATGTAGCTCTGCAGTGAATTAAATAGGCAGCTTCTTGGTTACAGGCTGTAACTCTTGGACTGACTGACGCGAGTATCTGCATGTACAAAGCTCAGGGTTGCATTCTCACTCTGGTCCATGGGAGTTCTGCCTACAGTAGAGCTTAAGTTTCAGTGGAATCAGCGGCGAGCCTGGGATGCTGGTGGAAGCTCCGCTGCCCACTCTGTCTAGACACAAGACTCCACTGGCAGGAGAGACTGGAAAGGAATAGTATGATGGTGATGTTATTAGATCCCTTGTTTGCAAACCTGCCTGGGAGCTACGTTGGCTCATTCATGAGTGCTCACACAGCTTGCTAGCTCTATTTACTGCACACTTGGGCTCTCGTTTTACTAGCTGCAACTTGTGGTCATGAACTGTTTCATCATTTGATTCAGCTGGCAATGCAATGCATCCCCCTCTGTGGTTTTAAAGACATGTGGAGTCTACATGGATGCTGTGCACACATTCAGAAGACGATTTTCAGAGCCTTATCTTAAGATAAGAATAAGTCAAGCTTACATGCGCCACTCTAACCCCCACAAAGATATCTTTTTGAGATTTAGGTTCACCCTTCTAGTGGTCCAAACATTTAAAATGTTCATTTGTATCTTGCATAACATACAGTGTTAATGACTCCAACGAAAGAAGAATATTAATCTTCATCCTGTCCTCATGTTAACTGAGCTATTTGCAGATATTTTGTTTTGGCATTGTTGTGTGAGATCATGCCTTTGCTGCCAACTACCTACGCTTTTAATGTAATTAAAAGTCATTAACTGGTGCTTATTAGCACTTGCTACGATTCCCCAGCAGCCAGGGTTAAACAGCAGGCTATCTGTGACTCAACTGACAGATGTAGTCAGAGCCGATCTGTGACTGCGAGTTCGACCCAAATTTAGTCCTCTGCTGCGTTAATGAAAGCTGTGTACTTATCTCACCCATCACCTCATTCACTGTAGGAGATATAGGAGCTGGGGCTTGATATGAATGAGTATGTGTGTTCAGCTTGGTCAATAGTTGAACGCTGGAGATGGTTGGAGGGCCATCTCCTAATTGACTTTCTGGCGTCGGCACCGGATGAGCACCTGCAAGCTGCGCAGTCATGAGCCCAGAGCACACAGACCCTGGGATGTTGGTTGTCATGGTTACTCCCTTCCCTGGCAGAGATGCTTAGCAGGTGCATGTGTGTGTCAAGATCAGTGTGACATGGGAACTTGTGGATTGAAATGAGGGGTGCCTCGTTAAGACTAGGCTATCTGTACGGTCAGAGGCCCTCTGGCACTATATTGGCTCGGTGTGTGGATGCCTGATAGCCAGGAATGACTAGTTCTATTCATAGCAGGCTGGTCAAATGCACTGAGGTCTATAAGTCAGAACCAAATGGGGGTGGAGATAGGACACACGACAAGATCTAGAAGAAATAGAAAAAACCCACTATATTAAGACTCTTACGTGATCTAAATTAAGGGATTACCTTGTTTTTTTTTTCATGCAATGCAATTTAAAAAAACATTTATTCTCAATAACAGTTATGTGACATCCCACTGAGCAATAGACGGCTATTAGACGTCTAGTTTTTTTTTTTTAGACCTAATTTCGACAGTCTAGATTCTGTATATTTTTTAGCTGGAATTGAGACGTTGTACTTTAACCCATTATTCAATAACTATGTATTATGATAGCAATATACAATGTAGTATAGATACAGCCCAGATTTAGACTTGGTCTAGACTTAGATGTCTAACAAACTTTCATTTCTAGACCTGTGGTAGCCTGATCTAAGACCAGTCATCTAAGCTACATTTAGATGTCTATTAGACCTCTTTTAGATCAAAAAATACTCAGTGGGATCCTTTTCAAAGGAACACCATTACATAACCAGCCGACTGAAGCACTGAGATTGATTTTTGCATACATAGTATATGATGTATTTTTTAACTTGTGCATTCGATCCATCAAATATTCCCTCTCTCTGTTGTTTGCCTTGGATAATTAGTGATCTGGTACGCAAGGTTTTGTGCGTTAAATCTGAGTTTGAAAGGATCATTGCCCGTTTAATCTTATCTCAAAGAAACCCAAACGAAGAATTTCAGCGACTTGGGTTTTATGTTATAACTTAAGTTTTGCTGTAAGTAAAACATAGTTGAAATAAAGCATTGACAGGAAGGATGCAAGAAGAAAAATCTTTGTTCTCCCAGTCAGTTTGATCACTGGGCTTAAAACAACAGCATTTTCCACTGGCCCCCTTTCTTGATTTCTGTCACTTTATCTTAACACTATATCTGTCTTTTTATTTAGACGCTTAGTTGCTGTTAAAAATGTACAAATACTGTCTGAATATATTCTGTTTCCATGGATTTAATTTTAATTAATCTCCTCTGTTGCAGAAGTCTCAGTGGGAGCTGACGTTGAAAAGGTTACTGAAACATCTGTCAACAAAATCCCAACAGAACTCAAACCAGGTAAGTCCTCTCATCCTTTTTATTTTGTGCACAATCTTCACATTAAAGTCTTCTTACATGATTTTTATATTAATGACATGATTCTGGACATTGTAAAAAAAACTTGTAAAAAATACAAACAATGAAAATAACATGATTGTTCTGTATTTCTTCTTTCAGATACTAAACCAGCAGCTAGAGACCAGTCCACAGAGAGTCCTGTATCTTTGGGGACACTCATGCAGGAGACCGAGTCTTTTCCAGCCCTCCTCTCTGCAGAAACACTACAGACACAGGATACTACTTTACAGATTAAGCCAGCAAAGACAGAGGCCTGCCCTGAGCAGGGCATCGCCAACCCCAGCACAAAGGATTTTAAGGCCATCATCTCAACCACCAAAGAACAAAGTACTGCATCAGTATCTTTCACGGACCAACCAATGGAGGTGTCACTCCCCCAGCCTTTGAGTATGGATGTAGTCAGGGCTACTTTCCTTGAAAGTGCTCCAAAAGAACCTAACAAGGAGAGGCATGAGGGTATTTTTCATAGGAACCTGGAAGAGACTGTTAAGCCCTCAGCCTCGTGTACATCAGAGGAAATGTACGCTTTGCCAGAGAGCAAGCCTAATCTGTCACTTTCCAGCCTGTCTTCTGAGGAGAAACCACACAAGTCATGTGTGGAGAGGCTGGCTGAAATGGTCTCCTCTCCTTGCCACTCCTCCCCCCTGGCACGAGGAACATCACCCAGAGAAACCCCCCAGAGCCAGATACTACCGTCATTGGGTGACCACAGCAGTCTATTACCTACTACCACGCTCATACCGCTCACGCCTAAGATCGGGATGGGAAAACCAGCCATCACTAAGAGGAAGTTTTCTCCTGGAAGGCCACGAGTCAAACAGGTAGGAACCGTAACATCATGTCAAAGACTACCGCCGATGTGTTTGATTTCATGGGCCGAGAGAAACCTGTAGCATACCTAGGCTTAGTTTGAGTGTTGCTTATAGCTGCTGATGTGTATGTGTCAAAGTGTCCTATTGGCTCTGCTCTGTTTTTGAATGTAGAGAAAGGGTTTTGTTACATTTAGTTGGTTGATGCGGCTTTAGCGGTTCAGGATTCTCTCTCTTTCTCGGTCAAGTTGTACCTCGCTGTATATTGTGCTAGTAATGAAAGCAGGGCATCAAAACGGGCACAGATTTTTCTCTCGACTCCCTCAGACCTATTCACATGTTTGTGCATGACTAGTCCATGCAGACCTTGGCTGATGTACGATTACTTTGAATCATGTTTTTTTAATAGCCAAAACACAAAGAGAGTCCACTTGCAAAGCATCCTCATCAGTCACTCTGTTCATCTCATGTCCATCTTATTGTCCCATCGAAGAACATCAAGTCACAAACAGCAGTTGTCATCCTGGTCATCTTCATCAGCAACCCAGTTGGTCGTTACTTGGTTTGGGAAAGTTTTGATTTTCAGTTATTAGTGTCCCAGTGTTGTTAAATGTAAATGTAGATTAAAATAAGGTCCAGACTCTCTCAGACAGACAATTATGGGAATCACACCCATGGCTATAATCTATTATGGATGATGCTAGTGAGGGAGGACTGATTTAGTTTGCAAATTGTGCTTTTTTCCCCCCAGATATATCCTGACTCCTAAGTAAACACGATAAAGCTCAAACGACTGTATTACACGAGGCCTGAGGAAATCTTTTCCAGAAAATTTGATTGTAGCCGTAGTGCAGCATGCTTTTGTCCGATGAGCTCATGTGCTGCCATGCTTATGCAAGCCTCCCTTCCCTGACAACATGCCAGAGAGACGCTGTTGTCATGGCAAGAGGTTGTAGGGCCTCGTTTCTTATGTATTTGCCATGATGCTCTGGCAAATGATGCCATGTGAAATGCAACTAACACTATTTTGCTTTCTATTTTTTTATTTTTATTTTTTTACAAGGCCTTAATCCAAAAAAATGCATCTTGAAATATAATGCATGGAGCACAATAATGAATGGTTTAACACCAAATATGACTGTATGACTTCTCCTGTTCATATTTTGGCATATCAGCTGCTTTCTCAAATCAGATCTCTGCATAAATGAATGTGTATTTCTGTTTGGTCATTTCCACATGCCTACATTCAAAGCTCACCACATCTCTCTAACATCTTCTTTGTATGTTTTGTTTCTTCGCTGGCTTTGTTTTTAAGTTGCTGCATTTTGTCGCCCTCCTCCTCCCTCCCTCTCTTTCACTTTCTCACCCAACCCCTTCCCCCTTACCTTAGGGTGCATGGAGTCCCCATAGCAGTGTGAGCTCCCCCTTGTCCTGGTCGCCAGACCAGCCAGAGGGGTGGGACGTCCCAAAGACCAGGCAGTCCTCTGGCAGCCCCGGCTGGAGCATCAGAGTGGTAAATACTGCGGCTCAGCAGAGACAGCAGGGCAGCAGCTGCCCTCTGTTAGCCCTCTGTTTACCCACACTGCCCCAGTGTGCCCAGTGTTACCATGATGTCTAAAGTAGCATAAACAGACAGTGGCCTCCTTGCAGTGAGAAGATTCATAGACTATTAGCTGAACATTCGACCTCATGGGGGGACTGAAATACAGTTGTCCCTGCAGTAGGTTTGCTGGCTTTGCAGGTGAATTGAGAGATCAGGGGTTTAATGTGGTTGGAGCACAAAACACAGATATGAAAACCTCCACTGATAGATGAATGAATCCTTTTGTCAGCCAAGCTCTGCTTCTTTGCATTCAAACATGTTCAATAACTTTTCTTTCTTCTCTTTTGATATTGAACGTTGTGAAGAGTCCGTGGCAGTTGGTTGCCTGGGCAACACTCTTTTTAGTAAAGCTGGGTGAGAGTTAATTTGAATGCTGTGGCAAGGGTCCAGTCCAGGTTAAACAGCATCATAGAGTGTGTCAGTCAGCAGGCGCTGTGGATGGGGAGGGGCTGTGGTTCAGGATCAGTGTCAGATATGGGCTAAATGGGAAGGGATTTGGGGGCAGGTGCTGCAAGGTTCAGTTGGACTTAAGTTTGACAGTCGTGATTAGGCGGAGGCCTCCTGTCAGAAATGTGCCAAGGCCACAGTGGAACCCACATTGTTGGAACAACAGCTCTGAGGCCTTTTCTCAACTCTCTCACTCACTGGCAACAGTTTCCTCCAGTCTTTTTCTATTAACTGTTTAAGTGACGAGAATCAGGCTGTTTTGTTTTCTTTCAGTGAGCATTTGATCTGTGTTAAATTGTTTGGAGATGTCTGAAAATCTAATCTGCTTCCTTTTCAAAACAATCTCAAGATGTAGTGTTACGGCAGATTGAGACCTTTTTTTATTTACATTAAAAATGATAGCTGAATTATTGGTCGAGGTTTATACACTTATACTGACTGACATTATCTATTTACATGATAATAACTGTGTAACTGCATTTTGGTAATTGTTTTAGGGTGCAGGTATAGTAGTGTCAGGAAAGATGGGAACACTTTATATGAAATCACCACTGATAATGCATCATAAGCACATTTAAAAAGTCTTGTAAATGCATTTTAAGGCTTTGTTATAATCCTTCTAAATAATTTCTTATAATAAAGTACTCATAACAGGCATAATCAGCATAGAAATGTTCACAAAGGTACATTTTATATTGGATTATACCTTCATGCAAATTAACAACAAAATATTTTGAATTCTAGCTTTCATAACACATTTTAACCCTAACAAATTTATCTAATTACATGGTCCTACAAAAGATTTATAGAAACTTAAAAGCAATATTTTGTGGCCGCAACTTAAGTATAAGACAAAATACTCTCATTTGTTTATAAACCTCCATAAACGTTGATATAAGTTGTTAATAAATGCTTATAATCACTCTCAAGGATTGTTTTAAGCCTTACAAATGCCTTATTTGTTTTAAGTATTAAAAATAAGGATGTGATGGTAAACTGTTCCCGATTCCCAATTGTTCATCGAAGTGGTAAAAGCTTGTGTCCTCAATGAGTTCCAGGTCTTTCCCATCCAGAGCAATAAATGCAAGAACCCTCTCCCTCTCCATTGTTTTTCTAAATCAACGGGTACCTCCTGAGCTGACGACATTTATCCGCTTTGTTTCTGCTTCTGAATTGTTTGGTTGAACTTGTTCCATTCTTTGCTGTGATGAGTCTCAAGAGCTTGGTTGAATTGGTTGTGTCATATTGTGCTACGCCGCTGCCGCCACAGATCAGTATCTGGCTGATTCGAGGATCGGATCAGTGCATCGCTGACTAAAAATAGTTCCTGATTACTTCTAGAGGACATCAAATTTTTAAAAAAGTGTCTTCATGGCAAAAGTTCCATGAGCATAGGATGAGTTGTGATCATTTCCTGAAGTTTTTGAGGAACATCATTAAAAGTTTTTTTTACACTGTCTTGTCAGTGGCAACAATCAGCGCAAACATACAAGACAGAACACACAATCTGTTTGATCTGTTGTGGACTTTGTGTATCTTTCAAAAGCCTTTGCACTACCAACTTCATACTTATATTGAGTTAAAAGATCTGATATCATGGACATTATGCAGCGTCTTAAATCTATGAGTAACAAGGTAATGATATAGCCTATCTAGTACTATTTTTTTTAAAAATGCTCCCCCAGCTGCTAGTATATAAACAGGCCTAGTCAGGAGTCCTAGTTCCCTGCAGCAAATTTTCTGTTGTCTGTTTTCACTAATCTTTCTTACATTCAGAGAGAACTATGTCTTGAAATGATTCAGCTGGCACAAGAGGGAAACAAACTTGTAAACAGTTGAAGGTCACGTCTGCTGATTACATTTTAAGCAGAAGAATTTCATTGTCTCTGTTTACCCCAAATGCAGCATTTTCTGATTTTTGTTGTCTCACCTCTACAGGGTCGAGGCTCCGGCTTCCCTGGGAGGAGGAGACCCAGAGGTGCTGGTCTGTCAGGCAGAGCTGGACGTGGCAGGGCCAGAGGCAAGAATGGAGTGAGTCCCAGTATCAACCCCGGGGTATGTGCCATCAGCTGGATCACCGCCAAATCTTACACTATATGCAAAGCACTGCTTGTTCCCCCTCCAGCTGAAGACACTGGTGTTGCATTGCAAGACAATTTTATGTAAAAAATCGTAGCTTATTGTTAGTTAAACCTTCTGAGGGCTGGTTCCTCATTAGCCAAACTAATGATGAGACTAATAACGATGTCTATCCAACTGTTTCATATTTAAAAAGGTTAGTGGATGCCTTTCTTCATGTCGTTTTGCTGTTTCTTTTTAAATAATGTGTATTCTTTTCTCCTATTTGCAGATCACCACAATAGAAACACCTTACCAAGTCAAGGAGGAAGAGGAGAATGCCATGCACAACACAGTGGTTATTTTTTCCAGCAATGACAGTTTCACACTTAAACAGGTATTTTTGTTGTTTACCCGAAACTGTTGGTTTACAGTTATTTATTTATTTATCTGTTTATCCAAATATATTTTGAGTCCTCATTGGCAGATTTCCCATTCCACATAGTCAATAGTAAATCCACGGTAAAGACCTCCTCTATTGGAGATACTGCCAACTGCCTGCAGGAAAAGCGGTCGGTTATGTAACACAGGAGCATATTGAAGTTTTATTCCTCCTGCTTTTTGACCCAAAAGTCATGATCCTGCACTCTGTTCAATTTTGTAAACAATAAATGAAAAAAAACTGGTAAGTAGTGAAATATTACATCTCAGGTGCTGACATTAAACACAAGTCCCTTGTGAGGGGCTACATGGAGGCTGAAAAGGACCCGCTCAGTTATCCTTGATTCAATCCAATATATTTTATTAACATAGCACGATTTAAGCAAACGCAAGGTCTCCAAAGGGCTGCACAGCAAGATAAAAATACAATAAAAAACACAACGGAAGCACAATAGATAAGGTAAAAATAAAACAAGATAAAACACAGTAAAATCAAATTAAAAACAAACACAATAAATATAATCAATAACTTAAAATAAAATAAATGAAGTCAACCTCCTCATGGGTGTTAAAAGCCCAGGAGGTAAAACACAGTAAAATCAAATAAAAAACAATGAATGTCCAAAAAGCAAATGAACCATAATTAAAAGTTCCTTTGGTCGTGCATTTCAGCATTATTTTGTACACTGCTGTAGTCAAGGATAAAGGGCAATGATTATGGTAGGGCTGGGTCATTAATTAAATTTACTCTAATTAAGATGATTACCTCCCACGATCACAAAAATACAATAATTGGAATTAAACTGTTATCATGCCACCTGTTGTGTCATGCTTGTTTTGTCATATGACATGAATGTCATGCACCCTCCCTCCCTCTTTTCATTCAGAGCAGAGTGTGTACTCCGCTCCTCTTCTCCTCAGATAGCTCTCACAGTCACTCCATCATTAAGACCCAGGATTATGTGCAACTAAGTTTAGGAGCAAAAGGAAGTTGCAAATGCCATAAAAGTTAATCATGTACCGTAGTTCCTTCAGCATGTTGTGCCACAGCTAAAGAGAGGAGAGCAGGAGAAGGCAGGTCAGTGTGTGTAAGTGGGTATGCTTGAGTGTGAAAAGTCAAGGGACAGATGAGCAGAATAAGAGAGAGGGCTATAGTGATCATCAGGGTGAATAAGCATCCATGAGATAATGATTACCAGGTCTGTAGTCAAGGTGAAATATAATCCCAAGTCTTGATGTTTTTAAGATGGAGGCTTTGAAAATCTAGATGATGTGCAAGATCTGCAGCCTGTTATAAAAATGTAGTGTAATAGGTGAAAAAGAGCTCCGATCCTTTGGTTTAAAAAAAAAAAAAACACCATGTAAAAATATTCTCCTACTAGTGAAATCTAGTGTTTTAATTATGTGAGTATCATTTACAAGATGATGACAAAGCTCTGACAGTGAAGTAGATCATTGATGCATGGTCCTTTTCAGTACTAATACATCTAATGAAAAATAAAGGTGTCAAACCATGAATGATTCTTTTTAATGATCATATCTATCATTTGTGAATTTGAACTTAACTGACTGAACTAAATCCGGTAACTCATGATGTCTGACTCCCTCTTTAGGACATGTGTGTGGTGTGCGGGAGCTTTGGCCTCGGTGCAGAGGGCCGTCTTTTGGCTTGTGCTCAGTGTGGCCAGTGTTACCACCCATTCTGTGTTGGCATAAAGGTACCTTCGATATTGAGTTTGCACCCCACTGTCACATTTTACAAAGCAGAAACTCCATACTGACATACACAACTTACATAAATATCCTATTGTGACTTTCACAGATCACTAAGGTGGTACTGAGTAAAGGCTGGCGTTGTCTGGAGTGCACGGTGTGCGAGGCCTGCGGACAGGCCACAGACCCCGGCCGCTTGCTACTATGTGACGACTGCGACATCAGCTATCACACTTACTGCCTGGACCCTCCGCTGCAGAACGTGCCCAAGGACAGCTGGAAATGCAAATGGTGTGTAACTCTCATCTCACCCACATCTGCCTCACACCGGGGTACACTATTTAGATGAGAAGCTGTTCTAAGTTGACTAAAAGCATGAAAGCTCTGCACACTGGGTTGTTTTAATAAACATCAGAACCATTTTCTGCCTCTTACTAATGGAAAAACAGGTTGAGGGTGTTATTCTCATCTGATTTCTTGGTGATGAAAATCTGCCTGAAATCTTCCTTTTGAACCAAACCAATGTGTGTGTGAGGATAGAGTGTGTGCGTTTGCAGGATTTTTCAGCTCAGTTAATCGGTGTTGATGGCTTTTGAAGTTACCTGGTGGAATGACCTCTGTCCTTTGCATCTCCTGCAGGTGTGTGTCCTGCACTCAGTGTGGCGCCACTACCCCAGGCCTAAGGTGTGAGTGGCAGAATAATTACACCCAGTGTGCCCCCTGTGCCAGCCTTGCAACATGCCCCATCTGCCTGGTTGACTACAGCGAGGGCACTACGATTCTGCAGTGCCGCCAATGTGACAGGTGTGCAGTCTTTCTACACAGCCTGTCAGCTCAGGAGAACTGGTCTCTGCTAACGCTGTTTTTTTCCCCCTCTTATAATTTGCTGTTATCTAAATCTCTTCTCTCTCTCCAGATGGTTCCATGCGTCTTGTCAGAGCCTCCATTCAGAGGAAGATGTAGAAAAAGCTGCAGACAGTAGCTTTGACTGCACAATGTGCCGAACTTTCAAGACCACTAAAGGTAAGGGTCCATTTATTTCTCTTGAGTTCATGAAGATGTTTGCTGCTGTGTTTTTAAAGAACTGTTCTCCGCTCTTGTACCTCTCTAGTTGTGACCAAGGCCAGAGACACCATTGAGCCTGCAGTTATGACGCAGATCGTCACAAAGGCTAAAGAAATGGGTAAGTTCAGAGCTTCAGATGGGATGGATTCGTTATATATTAAAAAAAAAAAAAAACAGACTTTTTATTTTCTTTTTCGCCAAGATGTTGATTTTGTGCAGTATTCAAAACTAACATTGACTTCTGGTCTTTTTAGATTTGTCGAGGACCTACACCCAAGATGGTGTTTGTTTGACAGAGTCGGGACTTTGCCAGTTGCAGAGCTTGTCTGCCACAGCGTCACGGCGCAGAAAACCCAAACCCAAGCTGAAGCTGAAGATCATCAACCAGAACAGCGTGGCAGTGCTTCAGGCTCCTGTGGACGCTCTCTCAGAAATGTCTCGTGACGAGGACATAGAGGAAAACAGAGGTACTTGTCCTCTTGCACAGTCTCTCTCTTTCATCTCGGGTTGTTGGTTAGAGGCTTTTTAGTTGAGCAGTGACTCGGATATCTGCCTCATTTGTTTTGGCATACTCCTGTTTGACTTAGACTGTGTTCAACATCATCCAACTGCGCAGTTAACACGAATGAAATCGAATCCAGTTGAAATCTGATTAGATAAGCATTATCAGGATAAAATCTGGATCACATGTTTCCTTTTTAGATTCTCAGATAAGATTTTGGGCATTTTTAAACACGTTTTTTTTAAATACTCTTTTAAAAGTTTTTCTTTTTGTCTGTGGGAAAAAAAAAGAGTCTACAAGCCATGCTCCACATGATCAATCAACCAAAGAAAACAGAAGCTGTGACAAATTCCCTTTGATTTGCATGACATACTTCTAATTAGAGTGAATGCTGTTTAATTGGCTCTTATCTTTACCAGAATTAATTCACTTAATTTGTAGTTTAAAGAGGGTAAATGATAAAAATGAATTCTTTGAAAGCCCCTCTGCAGTTAGAGGTTGTTTGTTATAGAACTGCTTAACTTGGTTTCAATCAGGCTAATGTCCTGAGTTCAGAAAGAATTGACCTGTGTGTTTTGTCGAGGGGCCTGGCCGGGGTGCTCTCTGCAGCAGGGCTGTCGCTCGTCATCAATGCTCTCTCCTTCTTGCAGAGGCAGAGCTCCTCGATTGCGAAGCGAAGTCTGACTCGAGCCTAGAGCGTGAGCCAGCAGAAGACGACTCCAAGGGGGTCGACGGCGGCAAGAAGAGAAAGAGGAAACCGTACCGGCCGGGTAGGGCACCTGATTGAAGGAGACAGCTCCTCTGATGCGTAAAATGGTGCAGTACATGCCTGACGCTGTAGCTGGAGCAAAGCACTGCCATCTCTGGGCCTCTGATGTACTGAGGGCTCTATCTAGTGTTGCTGAGCCTTCATGCTGAATGCATGGGACTGTTGATTAAAAAAGAAAAAAACTCAAACTCAGTGCACCTCAGATTATATCATCTCCATAATTGTTTTACTGATATTAGTTCTCAGGAGTGTGATTTGTATCTCACTGCAAAAAGCCTAATACATTCTCCTTTTCCAGGCATTGGTGGGTTTATGGTCCGCCAGAGGAGCAGGCCAGGTCAAGGTCCAGGCAAGGCAAAACGATCCCTCTGTCGAAAAGACTCGTCTGGCTCAGTATCAGAAATCCCACCTGGAAAAGATGAGGGTATTTAAACCAACCATGTACACTACATCGATGGTACATCAATCAATTTTTCATGTTCTGTCAATTAATGCTTTCATGTGGTGTACTTTTCTCTGCCCTGCAGGCTGGTCAGAGACCTTACCTGATACTCCGGTGGATGAGATACCGCCTGGACCAGAGGTGCCCGAAAAAATCAAGAAGCGCTACAGAAAGAAGAAAACAAAACTGGAGGAAGCTTTTCCCACTTACCTGCAGGTGCGTCAGATAGATTATTTTGTATGTACAGCTGACAGGTTGGATACTGGTTTATTTGCGACTCACCTTTTCAGACTGTAAGAAGGTGTTAAAACTGTGTCATTTCAAATATAAAGTAAAACAATATTATTATACTCTGAAGAAAACTGTTTTTTTATGCAAGTCTTGATTAATTTTGTGCATAAATATCAATAAATAACAGCCCAACGAAGGCACAACACTGTTAAAACTGCGCATTTCAGAAAGAAATGATTGCAGTGTGATTAATTGCAAGGGTTTTTTCTACTGTAATGCTGTTCATTTGCACAGAAGTTCTGGTCTTGTCATGCCCAATCTTTATTTACCTACCCATGGGGAAGGTTTGAAAACCAAAGTACATTGTCTTGAAACCACTTACAGAGCTCTGATGCACAGAGCCCCTTCTGTGAGCTTTTTGAAAAGGGAAAAACCTACAGGCAGTCACTCAAATGGGATACCACTCTCTGATTATTTTCTTTAAATGGTTTCTGTCTCAGACGAAAATTGGAATACCGAAGCATAACTAAAGATGACTTCAAGGTCCCTGGTCTCGTGCAAGTATCCCAGTGTCACCTTCTGTTGGCCAAAACAAAGATTTGTGATGTGCATTAAGCTGCCCTCAGCTGTCAGGGCTGCTCTTTATCCCACCGCCGTACAGGGATTTTCAGTCTGACCTAAAGGTCCAACACAGTGAAGCACATTTCATTAATTATTGAGATAGCAACACGTTGAGCTTTTAATGTCTTGGTGCGACCGGCAGCTGCAGTTGCATGTTGTTGAAGATAGTAGATGACTTGTGGGAATAAGCGGTTTGGGGAGGTAGGTGCTGACAAAAGTGGGGTCAGCAGCATCAACGGTTAGTCTCAGGGCATCTCTGTTTCGATTCCGTCAGTTCTCATGGGCCGTCAATGAGATTGATGTCAAGGAAAGATAAGCTGACAGTTTGCTGAAAAGTGGTATCGAGAACTGACCGGTGTTTTGTGTCTTCATGCTCAGGAGGCTTTCTTCGGAAAGGACCTCCTGGACAAAAGCAAGCAGAGCAGGCAGCAAGGGGTCGAATCAGGTTTGCTGGAGGAGGGGCAAAACCAAGTGGAGAGGAGGCACCCCACCACCAGCTTCATGGATCCTTCGTCAGATCCTATGCTCAGCGCCTCCGCAACATCGCTCTCCAACAGACCAGCAGCAGCACGTACGTACACACAATAACTCTTATCTGCAGGACTCAAACCTAAGGGGAGGAAAGTGACATTTGACAACATATGAAATAAGAGAATTACTGGACAGGAATCAGCACAAGCAATGTGAGGCTAGAAACCACAGGGGTATGCTTTGTTTTTTATTTGAATGCATATTAATATAGTTTATTTTATACATTTTCTCAGTTGTTTTATTTGCAAGAACCGTTACCCAGCAAGCATATTGCCCCTCACCTAAACACAAGACAGAGTCAGTGTCTCAAAGGTTCAGCTCGACAAGCTTGTTTGTGCAGCACTACACTACTACATAAAGTACTTTTTTCAAACGCCTCTCCCTGGATTACAAACTAATCGATGTTTCATCTCCGCCCCCTCTCGCTCTGAATCCTTTCCCCTAAAAATTGGGGCTCTCATACATTGATTTGAGAGGTTGATTATGTTGCAGAAGAACGTGATTGTAGCCTTCCTGTCAACAGAACGTTAAGACACCTCCTTATGAAGAGGCACTGCTACCTCACTGAGTTAACACCACGGAGGTTTTACATCACGACTAACGCAGACTTTACACTCAACATATCACACAGTAGCATCTCTAATTGCTCAAAAGCTACAATGCAAACTGCCAACTCTATATCAAATCATGTTTGGTAATCATATCGAGTCAGTACAAGATCAAAAGCACAGCCCTGATGGAAACCCAAATAAATGCAGTCAGAGGTAAAGCATCATATTTGTAATTTACTCGAAAAAACTCCCGTCAGTTTAAAAAACTAAAAAAATGAACATTAAATCTGACAAGGGTATCCTTTAAACAGCTATGTTCTTGCCTTTCATTGTTAGTGTTCTATATAAAGCCCTACAGCCATTTGTAAAGCTGTATTTGTATTCCCTGTATCTGATGGATTTTAGTGAAAACAAGTTCCAAAAACTTCAGACTTTTCAAAATCAAAGGCTTCAGAAACCAGACGATTGAATCCATTTTGTGTAAGACCGACAGCAGTGCTGATGTGAGTCAGTGTCCAAGTATTGCAGTCAGTTTCTCAGTCTTTCAGGAGACACCAAAATCTACATGTGGCATCAAACAAATGGTTCCAAATCACATTTTCATGTCCGTTCAACATCACCATCGATTATGATTTGTGACCGTTTGGTTTTCTTTTTTTTTCCTTTCTTTCTTTTGTTTCTTTCCTCCTTTTTTTTCTCCATCTACAGAGACGTCTGAGGAACCATTAGTTGATCTAGCTGATGTTCTGAACTCTGATGCAGACATCTTGGGAATGCTGGGAAAGCCAAGCAGTGACTCTGGTGCGTCAAGTGTCTCACAAGTAGTCCCAGTAGCAGCAGTTTTACCAATAGTCACTTGGTCGTGGATTTGACAGTCTTTGACTTGCGGTTCAGAAATTTCCCAAACAGCAAATCCTGTTTTGCTTTCACCACTGAAGTGATTTTGTTTTAATGCCACATTCTTTAGCTACACTTCATCTTTGAGTTTACCTTTTGTTTGTTTTGCATTGTCTGAAGCGTGGTGTGCTTGAGCTGTCATCACTGTTTTTTCACTCATTTTATCTGGTTTTGGGTTCTTGTAGGTCTTGATTTTTGCCCCTTCCAGGTTGACAGCTCACCTCCTCCTTTTGGTAAGGGTGCTATGGCCTACTAATCCCCTGCTTTAGTGCATTCTTCCTCTCTAACAGTGTGTGTCTCTATGAGTCTGCATGTGTAGACGCTGCTCACATTGAGCTTTCCTCATCTATCTGCAATCGTTTTTAACATATTTCCCCCTAACTTGCTTTTTAGTGCTTACCTAACCTAGTGCACAGTTTTCACTCAAATGCATCTGGTGTGTCTGCCTTTGCACATGTGACTCTTTTCACGGTGTGGACCCTTTTTCTATGTATATAACAAAAAGAGCGCTAATTCACAGCAGCCTATTAAAAGATGTTCTCAAGATGGCGAACAAACAATGCAACAAGGACATCTTGTTATTCAAAAAATGAAAAAAGAAACAGAAGAACCAAGCACTTTAAAGAAAAAGAGGCCTTGGCAAATGTCCTTCTAGCTGCTAAAGACTTTGAATGGTGTCTGCTCTCAGTCATGTGGCTGTAAAACAAAAATCACTGCAGTACACAGCCCTTAATCTTTGTCAATACTGACTTTGTTCATCTTAAATGCTGTATAGGCATCTTTTTTTGATTGATACAGATTGCCTACTTAATATTGAAACCATCCAAAGGCTGTTAATAAAGACAGTTACAGCATAAGTGTGGGATTTCCAGCATGAGTCAGTATAGTAATAGATTATTCTGGACTTTGTTATGGATTTGATTAAAAGAGGAATTGGATTTCTTACCAGTTTTCAAATAATTTAATTGATTAGTAGAACAAAAGACATTTTTTTGCTCAAACATTAAAGTGTTTGTGTTCCTGTCTGAAAGTAGCAGTGATTTGTATGATCCCTAAACTCCCTCCAAACAACACTGGAACCCCGAGGAGCTGTAATCATATACTGCTCATTCTGCTCTGATTGCTTTCCACAGGCTGTTAAAACAATAAACATGTTCCTACCTCAAGTTTATATTTACGATCATGTTCTCAGGCGGATATTTGTTGGTTGCTGTGAGTCTCTGTGTATGTGCACGCACGCCATGATTTGTTTTTGTATGTCCGTGTGTGTTTCCACAGCTGGTCTGGACATCGGGCCTCTGACAGACGGTACCCCAGTGGCGCCCCAGTCTCAGGCTGGACGAAGGACCCCTCGAACCCTTCCAGAGGAGCCCTTGGACGGTATTCTCAGCCCAGAACTGGACAAGATGGTCACTGATGGTCAGTTTTTAGAGAGGAAATATTCAGACACTTTTGGTTTTCATACAAGATGAATATCATTAACAATTAGTTTTTTGTGGTTCTTTTTTCAGAATCAATTCTCAGCAAACTTTACAAAATTCCAGGTTTGTGATTTCAGCTTTTCTAGACCCTCATGAGTGTGACATTGCCTATGCTTGATTAACAAGTCAGAGTCCAAAACAAGTCCAAATAATTAAAAATTCATGTTTTAAATGCAACAACCTTACTTTTTATTTGTTGACCTTAGTTTTTCCATTTATTGTCAGTATATGGTATCATTGTGTGTGTAACAGCTGAGAGGAATAAAACAAGTTCAGTAAGTTTTACTACTTTGCTGTGTTGCAGAGCTGGAGGGCAAAGACGTGGAGGATCTCTTCACAGCAGTGCTAAGCCCCAGCACAAGCCAACCACCTCCCCCACCACAGGTGCCTCACCCCCAGGGTCCAGGGCCCCTCCCTACTACAGCCGGCACTAGTATGCCTCATCCCAATGCAGGTACATTATTCGGCACCGAGTTGTAACAGAATTTTGACTGTGATAGATTTAGGTTTCTAAGTTTGAGCGTGTGATGAACATCTTATGTCATGTGTTCAGGGAATCCCATGTTTCCAAGAATGCCAATGATCAATGGTATGATGGGACCAAACCAGCGCTTTCCCACAAACCCAGGAGGAGGTCCCTGCATCCCAGAAAATTTCTCCCCTCTTAACCGTATGCCTTTCACTGACAATCCAAGGTAATGCACAACCTTGGTTCTTAAACTATTAAACAACAGCAAAGTTGGAAAAACTTGTAAAACCAGAGGGCTGACTCTTTTTTTTTTTGTCTGTTTGTTGTTGCAGAGAGAGAAAGTTTAATCAGATGCCTCGAGAGGCAGTTGGTCAGTGGCCCTCCTCGGCCCATGGCCCTGGCCCTGCACCCCCTGGATCCCTGCCTGAGGGGGAAACTGAAGCCATGTCCAACGCCCAAAGGAGTACACTGAAATGGGAAAAAGAAGAGACACTTGGAGAGCTCGCCACTGTGGCGCCTGTTCTTTATACCAATGTCAATTTCCCCAACCTCAAAGAAGAATACCCAGGTTGGTAAACGGCTCTGCGGCCTTGTACTCTTCCTTCTTTGTTCATTCTTACAGTCATCACTCCTGTCATCTCTGTTTTTCTCTGGGTATTTGTTTGGGTGTACCCACTGCACTGTGTCAGTCACACAGTACAAAAATACCTCATATGTGCCGTTCGACTGTTGGCATGACAACTCTTCTCATTCTTTCTTCAACAGACTGGTCCACAAGGGTGAAGCAGATTGCAAAACTTTGGAGGAAAGCGAGTTCGCAGGACAGGGCCCCATATGTGGTAAGATCACTGACACTGTTGAATTCCTTATTTTTACCTGTTGTTACAAAGGTCTGAACACTTTGAACCTGACTGTTCATCATCAGACTATCACTGCCGGTAGCACAGTTGCAGGCTCCTCGATCACATCTGGCCTCTTGCCTGTTGTCAGTGCCATTTGGAATCCAGCCACTCAGTCATACAGTTGAACTAATTAACATGGGAAGCCCTGCTCAGTGTCAGAATTCACTGCAGTCTGAGTAATTAAGTTCACGAGAAGTAATTATTTATTTATTTATTTTTTGCCAAGGCCAGTTTCCAAGACCTAGCTTTGATTTACAATGCACCCTGTTTCAAAGTTTTAGGGGGTTCATATCTATATGTTAATAGATGCCATTTCTCTGTCATGGCTTTTTCTTTAGATGTCAAACCAATTGGAGTTTCAGGCGACTATAAAGATGTTTGTTTTGTAGTAACATGACGACCTCTGTTCTATACTGCTTACAAAGTTTACGAAATCAAAATCATGCCCAAAGAAAAAAAAAACATATATTTGGGTAGATCAGATCATTAAATGACAATTCAGGCCATCTGTTCTTGGAGCTTTTATAAATATATGAGGCCTCAGCCAATAAAAGTGAGTTACATAAGTTTGGTTTTGCATCCATGGGACCGAGGAGTTCTTTTTCCAGCTGTGTCCCTGTGGTAGGTTAGCAAACTACTCTAGTCTCATGATGAACATCAATCTCAAAAACATTCAGTCATGAGGGAACCTCTGTCTAAAATATCCACCATGGCTTACAAATAGGATGGAAATGGTCAGTCTGAGAAGGTAGCAATATTCACACAGCCCATATGATTAAAGTTTGGAGGTCAACTTACGAAGAAGTATTGCATATTAAGACACTGACACAAATTCTACATGAGTGACTTTAATAGATTATGTTTTTTTGCAGACTTGTACGAATGAAATCCTAATGCCTTTTTTGTGCTCTTGTTTTGTGATTGTGATTGGTTTGCTGTTTAGCAAAAGGCAAGGGATAACCGAGCAGCCCTGCGCATCAACAAAGTCCAGATGTCGAATGAGACGGTGAAGAGGCACCATCCACAGCAACAGCCCCCTGAGGTGTTTGATCCCAACATACCACTAGACACAGAACTGCTGTTTAAAGACCCTTTGAAACCAAAAGAGTCAGAGCATGAACAAGAGTGGAAGTTTAGACAGGTAAGAGTGTATGCAATGAAGTCAGGGAATGCAGCGACAGGTCCACTTTATATTAAGACAGCTAAGAAGTGGTGGTTTAGTAAAGCTCCCCTAAACAACTACACTATCCTCCACATTAACCCTGATGACATTGGTGGTTAGTAGGTCCTGTTTATATTTGGCCCATGAGACTGATATATTCTGCTCCCTTTGAGATGTCTAATCCCAGTTTTTTTCTTTTTACTGTGTCCTCCCAACAGCAAATGAGGCAGAAAAGCAAACAGCAAGCCAAAATTGAAGCCACTCAGAAGTTGGAGCAAGTGAAGAATGAGCAACTCCAGCAGCAACAGCAGCAGCAGCAACAACATGGCAACAGCCAGTCTGATGGAGATGGCAACAACAGCGGAAACCAGAGCCCGGCCTCCCAACCCAGCAATGGCAGCTTGTCCCCCATGCAGCAAATCGGTTCTAAAGATGGATTTGCAAGGCCACAGCTCCCAGGGACACCCACTTCAGGTCCAGAGGACGTGTTCTTACGACCCCCTCCTCCTCCTCCATCTGGCCCCTCTTCCCAACCTCAGTCCCCACAAGTGTTCTCGCCAGGGTCCTCTGGTTCCAGACCATCATCTCCATGGGACCCATATGCCAAGATGGTTGGGACCCCGAGACCACCAAGTCTTGGGCCAAATGTGTGTCGCAGAATGCCTACAGAATCAGGAAAATCCCCAAACTCTCTAATGGATCAGCAGGATAGAGGGAGGCCCTCACCTGCTCACGAGTCTTTTGGCTCCCCAACATCCATGAGCAATGATCCATATGCCAAACCTCCTGACACCCCAAGGCCAACTGGGGAAATGGACCCTTTCCTCAAGCCCATGGGACCCCCCAGGGTGAGTCAGGCCACTCAGGGAAGGCCCCCAATGGGTTCTCCAGGCAGAGACCCATACTCAAGGCCCATGATAAGAAATGAGGCCTATCAGCGCATGGCCCAGAACAGAATGATCTTGTCTGACCCATACTCAAGGCCTTTACTCGCACCAATCCCAGGAAGCAATGAGTCCGGCTCAGTCCCTCTGTTCAAAACACCCATGCCCCCTCCTCAAGCTCAGGATCCCTTCAACCGACCAGGGCCACATCAGTCTGACAGATTCTCCCAAAACCACCAGAATGACCCCTATGCTCAGCCTCCACATACCCCAAGACCATCAGGGAACGACAACTTCACTAGTCCTCCTAGAATGGGCCAGCATCACTCTCAGGGGCACACATTCGCTCAGCCAGGGCCAATGAATCAAATGTCAAGAAATCCTTACGCTCATGCACCTTCCACTCCGAGGCCTGACCACTTCACATATGACCCCTTTGCCCAGCCTTCTGGTCCCAACAAGCCAGATCCTTTCTCTCAGTCAGCAGGCAACCAACGTGAACCAGGTAATCAGCCTCGCCCATTTTTTGAGCCTTACGCCCGACCTCCTGGCACCCCACGTCCACATGACAATTACGGTCAACCTTCAAACACACCCAGTCCATCCTCAGACCCTTACTCACAGGCTCCTTCGACCCCGCGCCCAAGTGGGATGAACCAGTTCACTCATCAGCCACACCCTGGACAGAGGATGTCACCTTCCCACTCAGTGGACCCTTACGCTCAACCACCAGGTACCCCACGACCCCCAGTGGGAGAGAGGTTCTCCAAGTCACCAGGCAGCCAGAGGGGACCAATGGAGCCATTTACTAGTACACCTGGCACATCAAGGTCAGGAAGTGGTGACATGTTTTCCCAGCCAGGGGCCCTCAGACCGGTGCTTAATGACCCCTACGCTCAGCCTCCGGGGACTCCAAGGCCTGGTCCAGATGGTCTGAGCAGACAGGGGCAAAGACTTGGACCAATGGGAGGCCAGGATCCTTTCTCGCCACCTCAGAATAGGCTCCAGGAAAACTTCCCTCATCCAGGCTCACAGACACCAAAACCCTCCGAGGATGGATTTATTCAGTCACCCTCCAGGAGACCCAGTCAGACACCTGGCCATGACCCATTCGAACAAGCTCCCATGACTCCTCGACCAGCGTCTACAGAGAAAATGGAAACAAAGGATCAGTCAGGTGTGGGCAACAACGGCGCCCTTCCTCAAGACCCACAAATGCCTGGTGCTTCATCTGAGGCTCAGGGTGTTGCTCTCGCTGAGAGCGAGGAAAGGCTAAGACAGGTAACTGAACGCCACTCTCAGGGTTCGATTTAAACATTGTTCACGTCAGTGTTTAACTGTGTTTTCATTTTGGGGCACCGCTTGTTATTGATGTTTTATCTTTTTAAATCAGAGTTTTTCATGTTTTCATATTACACCATCATTAAGAAAGATTTGTGAATAATCTTAAGATTAACTTTCTTTCTTTGTCCTACCTAACAAGACTTGTGTGGCTGTCTGACTTTTACTTTCTTCTGATTTTAACCCAAAAACTACACACAACATTCATGAATAGTTACAAAAAAATATTGAAATGATGCATCCGTCCAGATTACAGATAAAAGTTGCACGTCTGTACAATGTTGTTGTTTCTATTTAGATAAAATTAGAGTTATAAGAAAACTGAAAAAACATTCCTCCAGCCAGCGAAGGATCATTACGGGATATTTTACCAAAGACCCCTTTCAACAGAAGAAACAGCACGTGATATGTTATTTTAGATGAAATAACATAAACCTGTCAGAATATCAGAAGCTTATCTTATTGAACTCTAAATATTTTTTGGCTAATTGAAATAATAGAGCGTGAAGAATAAAGGAATTAAAAGCTGCAGAAGGTTTGTCATTGGGAAAAGGGACCCTTGGTTTACATTACTCAGTGAAATTTAAGAAGAATAAAATAAGCTCTCATTTACTCTAAAGAAAGATTCAGGTGTCACTGTAAGCTAATCACAGCCACAGAGTTTTTTTTTTCTTTTAAAAAAGCTAAAAACATTTCATGTATGTTGTGTTTTGTAGCGACAGCGAATTCGAGAATTAATTCTCAAGCAGCAGCAACAGAGGAGCGCCATTCGACAGGAGAGGGGCCCTCAGGAACCTGTTGGAAACATTCCCCTGGCAGCACCACGGCCCTGGCCCCAAGAGACCCCTGGGCAGCCAGGGGAAATGTTCAACCGGCCTCCTCCACCTTACCCTGGACCAGGACCCATGAGAGGGCCAATGAGGTTTCCTGGACCTTTTCCAGGAGATCAGCGTGTCCCTTTCCCTAATGAAGGACAAATCCCTCGGGGTCCACATCCTGGAGACCCTAATTTGAGACATCAGGGGCCAAGGTTTGTGTTTTGATAGTTTTTTTTTTATCGTACTTTTTGTTCTGTAATGAGTGACACAGCACAAAACTAAGAAAGCCTCTTCTCTGTATTGATCATTGTTTGCGTTTCTTTTCAGGTTTGCATTTCCACCTGGAGTTTTGGGACCTCATGGGGCCCAAGATTTCTTTCCTCGTGGGCAGCAACCAATGCAAGAAGTTCCCCCTCAAATGAGACGATCCATGTCAGCTGAAATGGCCAAGAGTATGGGAGGCAACCCCATGGGGATGCCCCAGCACTTTCCTCCGCGTGGTATGCCGGTGCAGCAGCATAACATCATGGGCCAGCCTTTCATTGAACTGAGACACAGAGCAATTGCAGAAAACAGGCCACGGATGCCGTTCCCCCCTGGTGCTATGCAAGGAGGCAACATGGATCCCAACTTACAGGGACAAAGGCTTCCGAGCTTTGCAGGAGCATCTGAATCCAGGTTTCCTTTAAATCAGGGGCTCAGGATGGTCGACCCCATGGCTGGCCAGACTGGACATGTACAGCTATCTTCCAGCATGGACAATCTTCATCAGCAAGTCCAAATGTCAGGAAACAACTCACTCAAACAATCATCTTTAATGAGATCCATGAGCCAGCCTGCTTCAAGTGAGACCCAGAACATGGCAGCATCTATTATCCTGACTGCACCCCCTGCTGGGCAGAGTGAGACAGGCTCAGCCGCAGGTGAAGCTGTAGAGGAGAAATTGGATGCAGAAGAGTCAGCGGTCAAAGATCTTGAGGACGTGGAGGTGAAAGACTTGGTGGATGCAGACTTGGAGAACTTAAATTTGGATCCTGAAGATGGTAAAGACCTAGATCTAGAGACGAATGATCTACACCTTGACGATTTCCTAACATCAGGGAAATTTGACATCATTGCCTATACAGACCCTGACCTAGATGACATCAAGAAAGACATGTTTAATGAGGAGCTGGATCTGAGTGATCCGATGGACGATCATAATGACAGCGCAGACATTAGCAAAAATTCAAGCACAGAACCTGAGGTTGATGCTGCATCCAGTTCTGCTCTGGCAAAGTCAGAGGCCTCAGGTGAGCAGTCCTCAGCTGAAATCAAGCCAGAAGCCTCTGGAAATCAGGACTCTGCCTCTTTGGCACACGGGCAGGAAATTAAAACAGAGGTCAAGGACTGTCAGAAACCCCTGGAGGTTGGAGACCAGCAAGCCGCTGGAAACACCTTGACCTCAAACCAGCAGGGAGTGCTGTCTGACTCCACCCCGGTCCTGTCTAGTTTACTCATTAAACAGCAGCCTGAGGAGCAGTCATTAAACCCAATCAGTGAAGCTGTCAATCCAGGAGGTAACCTCATGCCCCAGCAGAGCCAAGTCACTGACACCCAGCATACCTCTGGACTTGCAATGTCTCACTCAATACCTGACGCCGCCGCTGCCGGAGAAGGCTCCATGGCAGGCTTTGGAGCTGACCACCAGGTGGGGCTCGCCGCAGGAATAGACCAGAGCGGACTAACCCCGGCCCAACAGGCCACACTGAACCAGGCGTTGAGTCAGCACGGCCAGCAACACCGTCCTCTTCTGCTAGAGGAGCAACCACTCCTACTGCAGGACCTCCTGGACCAGGAGAGGCAGGAGCAACAGCAACAGAGGCAGATGCAAGCTATGATACGACAGCGCTCTAGTGACTCCTTCTTCCCCAATATTGGTAAATATTCTCAGCCACACCTACAGCTCCCAGAGTAAGATAAAGATTGAGATTTCCAGCCAAAGTGATTATTTCTGAGGTTCAACTATTTGTGATTTGCAGATTTTGACGCCATCACTGACCCCATCATGAAAGCCAAGATGGTTGCCCTGAAAGGCATCAACAAAGTCATGGTACAAAACAACATGGGAATGACCCCAATGGTCATGAACAGGTAACAAGCGAAGATACTGTGCAGTCGAACAGAATTTGAAGACCAGGGACTGTGATTGATGAATTAACTAACTTGTGCACAACTATGGTATTGTTTTAGTAGATTTCCCCCTGCACCTGTACCACCTTGTCCTGAAAGCACACCACTTCCACCACAGGTTGTTGGACAGGTAATTAAATCATAATTCAGCTTGTCAATAAGCATTTTTGAATTGCTATGTGATTGATCAATATGCCTTCATAACAAATATCATATTTATAAACCTCGCTTTTAGGATGGCAAATTGACACAAGTTGCAAGACCAAATCCACCCAACTTTGGACCAGGATTTGTCAGTAAGTTTTCAAAAAATTCTGTCTGAATCTTCGACTTCTCGACTTGGAAGTTCTGTCGAGCATAGAAATGTGAAGATGTTTGTTTTTCATGCTGTCAAGTTTGCTAACAAAAGAGCCTTTTTCTTCTCGCAGACAATGCTCAGAGGGCTCAGTACGAGGAGTGGCTCCAGGAGACTCAGCAACTACTTCAAATGCAGCAGAAGTTTCTCGAAGAGAAGATCGGAGCTCACAGGAAGTCTAAGAAAGCCCTGTCTGCCAAACAGAGGACAGCTAAGAAGGCGGGGAGAGAGTTCCCCGAGGAGGACGCCGAGCAGCTCAAACATGTCACAGAGCAGCAGGGTGTAGTGCAGAAACAACTGGAGCAGGTAAATGTTCGACCTGTCAAGCTGCACCAACAAATTCTATTTCAGCCTTTCTATTCACAGTGCTGCCCAGACACAGTGGTCTAATGAGCATCTGATACAGTTTTTGCTTAGAAACAGATGTAAACAGATTAATTTAATATATACAGTTTCATGTTCATCATTTTGATTACTTTTGATTTACTATGAAGTAGGCCTGCACGATATATCGTTTGACTATCGTCATCGCGATGTACGTGTGTGCGATAGTCACATCGCAGAGCCTGCGATATTGGAGGTGAATGAACTCAGTTAATTTCAAGGGTAGCTGACTGAGATACACTGCATGTGACTCTGCATGTGCTTTGCAGCGATCCACCAATCACATTCGTCCTTAACTCAGTTGCCAATCAGACTCACTTCTCAGTTGCCAATCAGACTACCCTGCCAGCTGTCAATCAAAATCAGAGAGGAGGAAACCCACCCCTGCACATGTTCTGCACATGGAGGGAGACGCGTGTCCGCTGAGAATTACTTTCGGAACTTTACTCATGACTGTTTAGCCCAACAAATAAGAACTGTATGGGTTTTAAATTGTACATTTCCGTGGACCACTCTACTATAAGCGGTGCGCGTTTGCGAGGTGCATGCAATTCTCGGAGGACATGCGTTTCTCGGCACAACACCGCTAACAACAACAACAACGATCGCAAAATGAACAACGAACAAGAGAAAACCACCGAAAATGAAGATTTGTTGCCCAAAAGAAAAGGAAAGTCAGTTATCTGGAATTACTTCGGTTAAAAGGAGGATGTCGACCAAAACACGTGTTCTGTGTTAATCTGTTGCCACAATAAAGTCCCAGCACAATAAAAGCTAAAAATATCTCTGAGACAGACAGAAGCCGTTCTAACATTCACAAAAAGAGGTAAGATCAGTGCAGGGTAACTGTCCTCAAGATTTCAGCAGTGCAGTATAACATTAAATGCTATTCAGGTCATCTGGTGAAAATTCCTGTATTTTTAATATCGCAATATATATCGCAGGGTTGAAAAAAATCGCAATATTATTTTTTTCCAATATCGTGCAGCCTTACTATGAAGACTCAGTGTTTCTTCATCTGGAGTTGCAGTGTCATCTTTGACCTCAATTGACCTGAAGTATTAAATCACAACTAATAAGATCAAATGTTCCAGAAACTGAAGAGAGTATAGGCTGTATCAAACTATTTCTTTTTCAGTTTTTTTTTCTGTCCAAGCAAAGACTGATCCCAACTAGATGGAGAATTCAAAACACACAGACTCGTGTCTGCGCTGCACCTGTCAACTGCTGCGATGACTTTTTAAAAAAAAAAAAAAAAAAAAAAATATGTGGAAAAAGACATTGCTCTTGACTTTCAAAAATCCTGCTTTAAACTGAGTTCTTCAGTAACTCTTAGAAAGAAAGAAAAAAAACGTTCATTTCCTCTCTTGGGTAAATCCGGGGTCTTCGTGTCTTTGTGTTAAAAATGTGATGCAGCTCTTGTGTAACTTCCATAAAGAACCTCAGTCAGATTTTTTTGATGATCTTTTTGTGTGTTTATTTTAGATCCGCAAGCAGCAGAAGGAGCACGCCGAGCTTATCGAGGAGTACAGAGTGAAACAGCAGCAAAACAACATGACACCAATAATGCCAGGGATGCACCCAGTACCAGGTCCTGCTGGTATGGTTCCTAGTGGACCACCAATGGGCCCTCCTAGCGGACCGCCAATGGGTCAACCTCCTTTGAACCCCATGATGCAGATGCCCATACATCCAGGCCAGCCAAACGCACCTCAGTGCATGCCAAACCCTCCACCTGGTTGGCATCCCGGTACACCCATGCCCATGGCTGGACCAGGACTTCCACCTATGATGCCCCAGCAGGTACCAGGCCAGCCTCATCCAATGCCCATGGGTAACATGCCTCAACACACACAATTGCCTGTAGATCCCCAGGCACAAGCAGCTCCTTCAGGTGGTGTAAAACCCATGCAGGGAGGTGGAGTGAAATTTGACGACAACAACCCCTTCAGTGAAGGCTTCCAGGAGAGGGAGAGGAGGGAGCGGCTCCGGGAGCAGCAGGAGAGACAGCGGGTGCAGTTGATGCAGGAAGTTGAGCGACAGAGAGCCCTCAAACACCGCATGGAAATGGAGCAGCAAGGGATGATGGGCCAAGATGGGAGCATGGCACCCCTCGCTCAAATGCCGTTTTTTAACTCCGAGCTGCCGCAGGATTTCATGCAGCCTCAGAGGCCTCCTCATCCACAACAGCAGCAACTCGGTCCAATGATCCCCCAGCAGCAGGGAATGCAGCCTGGTATGGGCTCACCACCGGGGGCCTTCATGCACGGTGGGGATGCAAGGAGGGCCATTATGGGCAACGGGATGATGCCCCGCGACATGGGGCCTGGTTTCGGGCCCGATAATCCAGCCATGCAAGCATCCAATTTTCCCCTGGGCCAACCAAGACCCCGTCAGTTTAGCGGACCAGGAGGAGGACTTCAGATGCCAATGGAGGGTCCGACATTTGGAAGTGACTCAGCCACACCTCTACCCTCCAACTTCCCGGGTTCAGGCCAGTCTCTGATCCAGCTCTACTCCAACATCATCCCAGACGAGAAGGGGAAGAAGAAGAGAAGCCGCAAAAAGAAGAAAGATGATGACGCTGATTCAGTCAAGACCCCTTCAACTCCTCATTCAGACCTCACAGCTCCTCTCACACCCTGCGTCTCAGACACATCCTCAACTCCAACCAGAAACACCCACCCTTTTGGCGATCAGGACTTGTCTAGGTCCCCCTTACTGGGATCTTCCACCCCTAGCCACTCAGAACTGGAGAGGCAGCTTTCTGGAGGTCAGTCTGGACAACAAAGTCACTCCTCAGACTCGGCTCGAGTGCAGGCCCAAGAACATGACCGGATCCTCAACAACATAAAGCTGGAGCAGATGGATGCCAGCGAGTGTCACGGGCCCCGAGAAGGAAATCTCGAATCAGGGATGAGCTCTGTGAAGGAGGAGGGTAATAAAGAGAGCACATCTCCTTTCGCTGTGGGGCAAAGTCCAAGTAAAGGGGAGGCTGGTAACGAACTGCTGAAGCACCTCCTAAAAAACAAGAGCACGCCCCCGCATGGACTGACCCAGCAGAGGTCAGAAGAGAGCATGCGCTCGGAGGAGGAAGAGGCCGCAGACTGCAAATCCCTGCTGAGGCAAAGCTCCATGGACAGCAACGGGGTCAGTCTCTTTGTTAGTCATTCAGTAAGAGTGTGTGGGGGGTGATCAACATAGTGAGTCATAGACAGGCAAAGTGATTCAGATAAGAGGTGCGTCACAGTAAAGATTGGTATGAGTCATAGCTGTCAGTTTTTAGATGAGTCATAGTTGTGTGTTTGAAAACATCTCACTCGCATGTATAAAGCTGCTCAGAAATTCTGAAGGTGCTCTGTGCCTTTTATTTTCATCATCTTTCTCTCCTCTCCAGGCGTACTCAGATGGCATCCCAGACTTTCCTGGACCTCTGCTACCTGAACAGGAGAAGAAGAGGGGGAGGAACAAGAGAGCGCCAAAAGGAGGGGAGAAACCTCCGTCTCGATACAAGAAGAGGAAGAAGGAAGGGGATGAGAGGCACTTGATGCACTCTGGCCCTGACTCTGTAATGACCCAAATCAAACAGGTAAGATGAATTCGAAGACCTTGTGAGCTGCTGCTGCTCCTGCTGCTGCAGCTCCTTCTGCTGCACCACTTCAAGACAAAAGATGATAGGCGCATTATGGCTTGAATCTGAATTTTACAGTATTCATCAATGCCTGAAAGAACAGTGTGTTTCTTTTGGGGTACAGACATTTCTTTTCATATCACAAACATATCAGGTACTTGTCAGACGGCAAGTATCAGAGGCTTTTGTTGTTTAGCGGAGTAAGAAGGTTTCGTGATTCCATTTTAATCCCCTTTTTGAATAAGACTTGTTGATAATAATAATCATCTGATTTTTTTATAGTGCTTTATCAGAGACCCTTATAGAGCTTTACATTCAATACATTATTCATTCACTCACTCAGTCACACCCTGGTGGTGGTAAACTACCGGTAGTAGTCACAGCTGCCTTGGGGCAGACTGACGGAAACTTGGCTGCCAGTTGGCGCCTACGGCCTCTCCGACCACTGCCACACAACACTCACAATTACAAACAGCACAAATAATGTACAGAGCCAAAAATCGTACGTTACCACAGGCAATCCAAAAACATTTCAAAGTTCAAAGATGGGGTTCACGATTTGAGGGGAAACTTCAATTTTATAATTTAATTAAGAATAATGTTGGCTTTTGTTGTTGTTTTATTTAGTTTTTTTAAAAGACCACTGAATTACGGCGTGTAAACTGTTTTCATTTGTATAAAAATATATATTTATTTATATATGGAAGCGCTTTCACAGAATAGCAGATGGAGAAGGGGTGGGACTTGATAAGTTTTATTTCCTTTTCAAATATGTTGTATGTTCCTTTTTTTCCCCCTTATTATTATCATTCTGTATTTTTTTCCCTTAATTTTCTCTTTTGAACATTCAAAATGAATAAACTTCATTCATTCATTCACAATCGTACACCAGTGGAGGACACACACTGGGAGCAAGGAGGGTTAAGTGTCTGGCCCAAGGACACAACAGACAGACTCTGGATAGGGGGGAATTGAACCGCCAACCGTCCAGTTATTGGACGGCTGCCCTACCCCCTGAGCTACTGCCTCCCCTATTGATTTATTGATTTAAACTTGATGAAGCCGTCTTAGGCATTAACATTAACAGAAAATAAACACGTACTGCAGTATGCTGGTTCCTCATGAGTACAATATGAATTTGAGTTGGCCACTGCTCCTCTTTACCTGCTTTGTACTATCCACTGGTTACAAATGGAGTATTCTCCCACTTTGAACTCAAAACTCAAGACCAATTTTTTTATGGGATACAAAATGTTTCATGTTCATGTTTAATTTCAACTAGTGCTGGGCGATTGGACGATATATATCGTTGGCACGATAGAAAATGTCTATCGTGCCATTTTTATTCTTATCGTTTCGGGCGATAGGTTGTATTTAATCCATAGAGCTTGTGCCATCAGATGATTCATAGTAACAACAACATTAATTGCACATTCAGTAAGTGTATTTGGTGTCGAACGGGAAAGAAAACAATATTTTCTTACAAAGAAAAGGATGCGTTGACATGTAGGCTTGCATTTCTCTTTCGATTTTGCGACATGACGCCGCTTTACGTGCCCTCTTTATGTCCAGCGTCTCCCGCCGTTGCGGGTTACCTGGGTTACACACGTGAGGGGATCATTGTAAGCAGTGCTTAATTTGTGCCGGAGCAAGTCGGAGCGCGATCCGGGACCTCTTTTGATCGGATCTGGGACCTATTTCAGCCGCTCCGGCACCTGTTTCATCTGCTCCGGGACCTTCCCTGTGGAGGATGGCTTTTTTCGGGAATTCCCGTGGGTCACGTGATTCCCGCGGGATGGGAGTCATTTTTTTATTAATCTCTTGATCGGGACGGGACGGGAAAAAAAGCAACGGGAGTGGGCAGGAGCGGGAACAACATTAAAAGATGATCTTTTTCAGCCGTGTTTAACAACCAGATGAACAGGTGCGCCCATTTTTGTAGTCATCTCTCAGTGAGAGTAAACACTCTTGACCGCGCTAGCAACACAAAAGAACTACAACAGCGGTTTGACTTCCTGTCAGCTGGGAGCGCGGCTGCGCATTTGTACCCTTCGAGCCAGGAGCGGGAAAACGTAATTTTGTGACATTCTGTAGTTTTTCAATCATTTCTGGAGTCGTGGCCAATCAAATCACCTTACCTGTCTGCCCCTGATAGGCGAATAAAGCGCTCGGATTCATGCTCGGGTCTTGCTATGTGCTTCAAGAGTAAAGTAAACAATGATGGAGGCAGAGAGCAGCTTTGGAGGAGAAACATCTAGCAGTGTGAACAACCTCGTCAAAAGAGCCCTAAAGACCTACCTTTTTAATAAAGCCTTTGGTTAGTTTTCCTCTATGCTTTATGCTTTTACTACCTTGCCTCTTACATTGCAACTCTATATTTTTTATTTTTTTTAAATTCTTTTTTATGCTAATCTGTGACTGTCATTCTATTGCTTTTTTTTATTGTTGCTGCTCTTTTTTTACTGTGTACTGTAGCACTTTGAGATTTTTTTGTAAATGTAAAGTGCATTACAAATTAAATTCATTATTGTTATTATTATTATTATGGAGTGCTTCGGCTCACACTATCAGCGTTTTCTGTAAGTGTTACATAACTTTGGGTGAGCACAGACATGAACGCACTTCAGCCACGTATTTATTTATTCATTTTTCTAGTTTTAAGTGCTGGTCTTGTACTGGTACTGTACTAGTGCAGCTGTATACACTTAAATTTTTCATAGAACTGAAAGCATACCATAGCTATATCGTGATATATATCGTTATCGTGATATAAAATGATCCATATCGTGATATACATTTTTTTCCATATCGCCCAGCACTAATTTCAACAGGAGGTAAAAGACTTTCAGAAGATGAAGTCTAGTGTTTGCATTTTGCTTCTTATGGTGGGTGGTGTTTGGATGAAGGGTTTCAGTGATATGCTGCACTCATTTTTGTCTGTATTATACAAGCCTCAGCTGCTCTTCTTGGGAATTCCTCTTTGATTGCCACCCACCCACTCATTTTCCTTTCTGTTTTTTAATCTTCTAATAAATATGAACCTCTTAAATGACGATGGAAAACAATCAAAAAGAACTGAGAGACATGAAAAATGTTTTAAAGTCATTATTCTGTTGAGGATTCATGTATTTTGTTGAAAATCCACTGCAGTGCCAGACTGTTTTCTCTCCTAACCCTTTCCCTGATTCGTTTTTTTTCTTTCTCTCTCCTGCTGCAGCAGCTCACCCTGCTGCCCCTCATGGAGCCTCTGATTGGAGTCAACTTTGCCCATTTTGCCCCTTACGGCAGCGGCCAGCTCAACGGAGAAAACCTCCTGTCTGGTACCTTTGGCAGCGCCTCTCTGGATGGAGTCTCTGATTATTACTCCCAACTGGCCTACAAGGTAAAAACCTCCTACTTTCATGGATGAGACAGTCTGGTCTGTCTGGTTTATACGATGTACTGACACTACAACGATTTTCACTCCTACAGCAGAGTAACCTGAGCAATCCTCCGACACCACCGGCATCTCTTCCTCCCACCCCGCCACCTGTGAACCGACAGAAAATGATCAACGGATTCGCCACAACAGAAGAGCTGGCAAGCAAAGCTGCTGCCATGGGTAGGCATATTAAAGATGCTTCATAATACCGCTTTGTGACCACAGTTGTGGACCTCAGCTGGTCCAAATCTAAACCTCTGTTAAAAGACTGAGAATATTATCAGGTCATCTTTTATCATATTTGGTTTGACTTTCTGCTCTTGTTTCATTCAGTGTCCAAAGGTCTGGTCCCCAAGCCGCTACATGTCCCATTTAGGAGTGAAGAAGATCTTCTAGCCCGGGCCATCGCACAGGGACCAAAAACTGTGGATGTTCCAGCTTCTCTCCCCACCCCTCCTCACAACAATCAGGAGGAGCTCAGGTATCACATACATGACAGGAACTATTCGTAACTGTCCTTTAAGAGGCTACTCGAACATCAGCATCTATCATAACCGTTAGTGTGTGTCGATTTCTCATGTGATCGTGTTTTTGGAAACCCACTTCAGCAGCAAGTTCTCAACAGAGGTCTCTTTCTTCCTTTCTATTTAACAGCAACAGAGGACAGGAGCCTTGCAAGGACCGGGACACACCAGATAGCTTTGTTCCATCCTCATCTCCAGAGAGTGTGGTCGGCATGGAGATCAGCCGCTACCCTGATTTATCTCTGGTAAAGGAGGAGCCCATGTCCCCTTGCCTGTCTCCTGTCCTACCTATGATCCCTGCTCCTGATGGGAAAGGTAAACGCTCACAGTCAAATCATGTCATCCTGTGACTACAAGTTGTTCTAGAGTTTGCAGTTATTCATGAATTCCTGTCTTTGAATCTTTACAGGGACGGAGATCAAACTTCAGGACATTAAAACCGAGCCTTCAGGGATGTTCTTTGGTGCTCCTTTTGGCCCCGTGTCGAATGACTCCAAACAGGGGCTTGTTTCTGTAGCTATCACACTAAGACCAGCTGCAGCAGAGGTAAGCATTCTTCAAATTTACTGCAGTTTGATATAAATATAGCACAGATTTGATGCTTACTAAGGTTGTTTTTTGAAACTTAAATGCTTATAATGATCTCTTTTTTTTTCTTTTACAACTCAAAAACATCTGGGTATCAATGTGCTGGTGCTATACTAATTACAGGAGATTCAACCTAGCTCATTTCGTCTTTGTTTTGTTTTGTTCTTGTCATTTTTAGAACATCACCGGTGTGGTAGCGGCCATTTCAGACCTCCTCTGTGTGAAGATCCCCAGCAGCTACGAGGTCAGCAGCACACCAGACAGGGGGCCCCTATCCATACTCGGCGGGCAAAGAATGGGCCCCCACGGCATGGAGCCCCGACCTCTAATGCTCTTCCACGGACAAGGAGACAACGGAGGGCTTCACGGTCGGCCGGGACAGATGATGAGGCCCGGCGGACCGCAGGAGATGATGCAACAGCAGCAGCAGGCGCATCATTTCCGTTTCCATCCCAACAGCCCTGGTAGGGACATCAAACTGAATTACACTAGATCAACTCAGATTGAGATGTCATGTTTAATCAAGCCAACAAAATGACAGACTGAAAGACAGAAACAACTTCATTTTTAAGCCCTAAACATTTATTTATCAACTTTGAACCCTTGTCTTATTTTACGTGTTTTTTCTTTCTTCACTCAGGTGCAGCTCTGGCGCGAGGACATGACCAGAAAACCTCTGGAAGCCCTGGATGTAAACCTCAGTGGTGCTGTCACTGCAAGGTGGTGGTTCTGGGTAATGGAGTGCAGAAATCCATCAAAGATCTCCCTGCCCACATGAAGGTACGTAAGACGTAAATATCCTGACTGCAACAGGAAGGTGTAAAGTGTGAGCATGTTTTGGCTGTAGCAGTGTTCAACAGGAAGATACTAGTTTATAAAGAGTGCTTTGCCACACCAGAATGTATTTAGTGTATGGCTAATACACTTTTATATTAACTTACTTGCCGCTACCACAATTTTACTGCATGTATTCCTAATTTTTTGAATCGTGTCTGTTGGTGTTAAATACTTCTCAGATCAATTAGTGGGTTAAGCAGCACACCCCCTGGCTTCAGTTCTGAGAGTATTTAGCTGATTTAAATATTCTATGTTTTTGATGTTTATTTAATAACTTCTTTAATATCAGTAAAGCTTAAGCAGTTCATGTTGGTCAGGATTTAATTTTAAGTCCTCATTCCTTATTCAGCCTGTTCAAGCTACTGATTTGTCTCATTAGGAATCTGAGGGCCGTTTGAAATCAGAGGGAGACCTGGTCTTCTGCAGTCACAGCTGCTTCCTGCTCTACTGCTCGTCAGCACCTCTGCAGTCCAGATCCAGCGCAGAGACGAAGGTTTGAACCACTGCAACACAAGTAGAAACACCACAGTGGGACTGCAAAGTGTTAATAACATGCTGTCAGTGTGTTCTGCTTTCCGCTGGACCTCACTGCTCGTATGTCTTCTTTTCAGGAATCAATGTCGACTCTCCCAACATCTCTGCAGACAGAGAGTCTGTCTAAAACTCTGCACCAGTATAGTAACAACATGTCATCGCTGGATGTCCACTGCCTCGCCCAGATGCAGCCCAAACTGTCTCCCCCCTCCACTCCTCCCATCCCCTTCCCCACAGCAGGTGAGACTTCTAAGACGGAGACAAAATCTGATACGATCAAAGTGACAGTGAAGCTGAAGGCCCGTCCGAGGTCGCATGACGGCTGGCATCAGGGGAAGAGACAGAAAGGACTCCGCTGGAGAAAGTGGACTGTCCAGGTGGTGGTGCCGAGGGGAAATTCCCAGCTGCCAGACGAGGACAAGATTGACGACCTCTTGAAGAAACTCGGGGCCTCCCTGCGACCTCCCTCTTTACTCCGGGACCAAAGGAGGTGCTGTTTCTGCCACCAGTTTGGAGATGGGCTCACAGATGGCCCTGCTAGGCTTCTCAACCTAGATCTTGATGTTTGGGTTCACCTAAACTGTGCGCTGTGGTCGACTGAGGTGTATGAGACGCAGGCCGGCGCCCTCATCAACGTGGAGCTCGCGCTGCGGCGTGGTCAAACAGTTCGCTGCGCCTTCTGCCAGCAGACTGGAGCCACCAGCGGCTGCCATCGCCTACGCTGCACCAACGTCTACCATTTCACCTGCGCTCTGCAAGCTCACTGCACCTTCTTTAAAGATAAGACCATGCTGTGCCACGCCCACAGACCCCGGGGGACCGCCGGACAAGCTCTGGAGCATGAGCTGCGCTGCTTCGCCGTCTTTAGACGCGTCTACGTCCAAAGAGACGAGGTGCGTCAGATTGCGACGGCTGTGCGGCAGCCAGAGTTGGGCTACACCTTTCGAGTGGGCAGCCTGGTGTCTCATGCGATGGGCCAGCTCACCCCTCAGCAGATGGCCGCCTTTCATTCTCCAACAGCCATCTACCCAGTTGGCTATGAGGCCTGTCGCATCTACTGGAGCATGCGCCATGGCAACCGCCGCTGCCGCTACGTTTGCTCTGTGGAGGACAGAGACGGTTTCCCAGAGTTTTCCATCAGAGTTATTGAACAAGGCTACCAAGACATAGTCCTGACTGATGCCTCTGCCAAAGGTTCGTGCTCGTGGATCTGTACAGAAATTCTGCTGCCTTTCAGAGTTAATTTCTAACCCTCACATGTGTTTGTTGTTTCAGGAGTTTGGGATAAGGTTCTGGGTCCTGTCTCTGAGAAGAGAAGCGAATCAGGAACTCTGAAGCTTTTCCCTGTGTACCTGAAAGGAGAGGACCTGTTTGGGCTTACAGTTCCTGCAGTCGCCAAGATAACTGAATCGGTTTGTACCATGCAATGTTTTTGCACAATTTGAGGAATGTCACTTGAATCATGTTCTGTAAAAGTTGCACAAAGTATAACCCTGTATTTTAACTTCATTTTCCAGCTCCCGGGAGTCGAGGCTTGCAAACGTTACTCCTTCCGTTACGGACGAAACCCCCTTGTGGAGCTGCCCCTTATTTTCAATCCATCAGGCTGTGCCCGTGCTCAGCCCAAAACCACCTCTCCCTTCACCTCTCTGGTGATAAGGTAAGTTTTAATATATGGCTGACTTTTTGGCTGTGTGTTATCCAAAAACAGACATTTTAATATAATATTTTATGTTCTTACTTCTTTCTCTTTCCATATAAAGGCCACTGCCACAGGCTGTATCCAGCAGCAGCGCCAGGTCCAACCAGAATGTGGCCCAAGGAGAGGGTGGCGCCCCCCACAGCAAGCCTCCAGTTGTGCACCCCAGGTCTTCACAGTACCGCTGGATGAAGAGTGAGTGGAGGGCCAATGTTTATTTGGGCCGCTCCCGCATCCAGGTCAGTGTTGAACGACTCGTTAGATTTTGTTCAGATTGATTGATTGTTTCGTTGATTGATTGATTGAGCCATCAGAGTAGACAGGATGAAAACCTGCTGGTATGATGTCTTCACAGGGTTTGGGTCTGTTTGCTGCCAGAGACATGGAAAAACAGACTATGGTGATTGAATACATTGGAACCATTCTCCGAAATGAGGTTGCCACCAGCAAGGAGAACATGTATAAAGCTCAGGTACACATTCTTTTTCACCTTTTGTCCAATTTTCATTTTTAATTTTGTTCATAAATTAAATTTATTTATAGGCTGAGACAAACATCAAGTTTTATTCTCCTCTCTCCTGAACAGAACCGTGCCGTTTTCATGTTTCGCATTGACAGTGAACATGTTGTTGATGCCACCCGCAGCGGAGGGCTAGCAAGGTAGGTTGGATGTGTTAATTTCTACAAATGTGTAATCACTGAATAGGAACAAACAATACGATACAGTAGTTTTCAACACTGTGTCCTACTTCAGTGTTTGATGTAGGGATGGAAATTTAAAGGCTGTGTATTTGAATGGCATGTCTAATATTAACCATTCACTTCAGTTAACTTGACCAAAGCTGCTTTATTGTTTGGGATGGAATATCTACTAACTTGTGAAAGTCTTATTTCTGTGATTATTTTTTCTCAGATATATCAACCACTCTTGTTCTCCAAACTGTGTTGCTGAGGTGGTCACATTTGAGCGGGGTTACAAAATCATCATCAGCTGCATTCGCAGAATTGAAAAAGGAGAGGAGGTGAGTGGTTTTCCTTTTTACAACCCCTAAATGTAAAAAACAAACCCAGTTTTATGATTTGAATAATGTTGAATAATATCTGCACCTTTTGCAGCTTGAGCAAACAATTTTCCATACAGAATATCATTTCTAAATTTTAATATTTGTTATCTTTTCTATTTTTTGTGTGTAAGATCTCATTGTTCACAAATCATTACAACCTGTTATTTTTTACATTTTCTCAGCATCCTACATTTTTTAGGGAAAGTGTTTTCATTCATACAGTGGCTTTACCGTAACATGTCCAAAGAGCTTCTGTGAAGCTCAGACTCTTAATGTTTTCCTCCCTGTTTTCCAGCTTTGTTTTGACTACCAGTTTGACAGTGTGGCGGGACAACACAAGATCGCTTGCCACTGTGGAGCTCCTGAATGCAGAAAGTGGATCAACTGAAGAAAACAAAAGCGACAAATCTAAATGCATTTCTTGCTACAGTGAGAGTGAATGCTGTAATCTCTGCACTGGGAGGAAAAAAAAGGCTTCACACTAAAGTCATTTCATGAATGAACAGCAGGCCTGAACCATTGGAGGAGATGAATGAATTTACATCTTGATGAATTGAGATCATGGAGAAGAAAAAAGGGTGGAGGAAGGGAAATAAAACACGGTAGCAGGATGTGACTTGTGCCATATTATGTGAAGCTCTGTAGGATGAGATGCCTCAGTCTGTCTGTATGTGTCTGTGTGTTTGGTCTACATAGGGGTGAGGAATCCACCAGCGAATGAGAGAGAGCACTGTGCAGGGTGCGGCCTTATTGCTTACTAAGGGCAGGCCCTTTTGTTTCATACTGTTAATGTATACCATATGACTAAATGTAGACATCACTGAATGAGGAATGTACAGCAACGAATACTGCGAAGGGAATTTTAACTTGCACTAAAAAAAAGAGAAAACAAACAAAAAAAAAACATACACACAAAAACTTTTAAAATACTTGATTCCATGAGTCAGTTTTATCATAGGTCTCTGTCATGTGATTTGTGTGGACTTTGAGAGGTTTTGTATTTATTACTGAATGAATGAACTTTATTCTCAACATGATGAGATTGAGTTGAAGAAGGCTAGATTATTGTTTTTGAAGAATGAGGAAGACATGCTGTTACTTTTGTATAAATGTACATAAAGAAACTATAGGAATAACTGACCAAATACTACCTTAACCTTCTTGATGTTTGGGTGTTTTTTAATTGTTTTTGTTCTGTTTGTCATTGAAATTTATTTAAGATGGACGTTATTTCAGTTTGAGAGTATATATTATGATTATTCTGTACAGAATTTGTAATATAACCACAATAATTCACAAAGTATTTTTGTTGTATTAAAAGTAAGGTATTGTAGCGTAGTGTTTTGTGACTTACACATACTTTGACCACTCAAAAAAGAAATATTTTTGTTGACTAACGTAACGAGTTATTGGTTACAGAATCAAATAACAAAAAAAAAAGACTCTTTCAATAGTAAGAGAACAGTGTGATCTGTTTGCTGTAATCAGGTTTGATTTTAAAGAACTGTGAATTAGGTTTTGAAACCCAAAAACAACTTTTTAACTTTTTAACACAAATAGGAACACCGACATGTATTTACTTGTATTTGTTTTTACATTGCTTTTAAAAGAAAAAGGTGCAAACGTCTAATGAAACTATCGAGTTAGACAAACCAGTGTGTGACAGAAAGAATCGTATGTCAAACTCTTATCTGAACTGTAGGTTGTTCTGCTTTTAAGGACAGAAATGGCATTCTTCTTAATCAGAAATATTTCTTATACTGATACTTCACAAGTCACATGCTTAGAAACGGAAGAGTTTTTGCGTGCACAATTTCAAGTCGACTGTAAAATTTTGGAGACAGTCTTAGAACTTGTAATGTATATGGCATGTATTTTTTTAACTTTCCGAAGACTCAATTGTATATATTTTTCTCAATGAATGGTTGTAACAAAATTGTTTCTTGGATATTTTTCTTCTCCTGTATATTACATCATCCTGCCAGTGTGTTTGTGCTACATTTTCTTGATTGTGTAGTCAGATTATTTTTTTCTTTTTGTTTTGTTTTTTTTTTTCTTTCTTTTTTTTTCTTTTCTTTTTCTTTTTTTTTTTTTGAAAATGCCTTTTGAAGTGTACAGAGTATGAGGTTTGGAGTTTGTGGAATTGAATTTAGAAACATTTACAAAAATAAACTATTTTACATGTTAATTGTGGCTGCACTGATATTGTGGGTTTGGGCCCATTGTTTCAGGTAGCTATTTGAACTCAAGTCTTTTGTTTCAGGCCCTTTATCCTGTCAGGTAAGGCATCTGTAGCTTATTCTGCGGAGTAAACCATTTGGACAAAGTTCTTAAACTGTCGATTATCTCTGTCAGAAGTTAGTTTCATCTGCTAGATGGTCATGCTAACAGGAAAGTAGCTCATTCTGTCATCAGCTCTTTTAAATAATCAGCACTCCCATAAGTCATTGAAATACTGTCAAGACTGAATTCAGTGACATCGATCAAAGTACTTTAACCAAGGTAACCGGATTTTTTTAATTCAGATTATTTTTCAAAGGTTCTGAAATGACCTCTGATCAAGTTAGATAATTGAATTACCCATGATCAAATCACTGTCTGGAGGTAAGTGGATTACTTTCAAAAAGACAATCGACTAACTTGTAATTGGTCGAATTCATCAGTCTAAATAGAATATATGAACAGAACATGAATATTATGAACATTAGCTTTGTAATAATGTTTAAAATTGGTATTTTAATGCTTGTATTTGAAGCGGCTGAGGGGCAGACAGGTCCACAGCAGGGAAACGTCTGCAGCAGCAGTCTGGAGGAACCGACAGCATGATGGAGCTGAGGGACTCCCAGAAAAGACTGGTTAGTGACTTAAATGGGACATGATGACTAAAGCCAAACATTGTCAAACACCTCATTGCAGAATTACCTCTTGCCTGCATAAATGATAACCCGAACCTGTTTTGGTACACTTGTTTGTGTAACTTATTAAAATCTTGAAGACAGGCTACAGTTCAGACTGCGTAGGATGCTCCTCTATGGCTACAATTTTGTCATAAAAGGGGACATGAATTTCATGTTTCAGCAAATTCATCTTCAATTTCATTGTAGTGAAATTTTTGAGAAATTCAACCATCTTTGATTCAAACAACAGGAATTTCACATAAAAATCTTTCCATTTTTGTCTGTCATGCTACTTCAATGATATTTCAAACCATCACCAGAGTGTAAGACTCAAATATAGAGCCCTAGTTGTGAAAACACAAGTAATTTATCAACCACTCAGCCAAACTAGTCACCTCTGCCCATCAGTTATCATTATCAGACATTAGGATAAGCCTGAAGAAAACATAATATGTATAATATTGAAGGGACAAATTTACACACAGAAAGGGGTATCTGATTCACCTGCTTGCATTCAGTTACAATCCATTATCACCTTATGTAAACACAATTATTACAGGCTTTTTTCTTGCAAAAAATCTGCAAATTACAATTACATTGCCATTCACACAAAGTACTAGCCCGCACAAATAACTAGCTAGCTAGTTTTAGACCATACAAGGGCAACTGGCAACCCAGTGAGCTTGTAGATCAGCTATTTTTGCAATTTTGTGTGACATCGAATGGACCAACAGTATATGTAACGTGGCCCCCTGGAATGAGTGCGGAAATATAGTGGCCCCCTCCATCATCAAAGTTGCTCACCACTTGTCTAGACTCTAGACGATCTAATAGCCCCCCGCGCGCGTTTTGCTTGGGGCCACCAAAATCCACCAGCCGGCCCTGGAAAGGGTCTATGAAAGATTGTCTTTCAGCCTCTTTACTCTTTACTATGTCTGTGCTTAAACAGGTCTCACAGTTCATCTTCATTCAAAACGGAGCAATTTAGCTTTAAGATTACTTTCTGAAGAAACTGTGGGGTTTTTTTTTCTTTTATTGTTATTATCAGATTTTTTATTTACCAGTCAGACAACATCGCATTTCATTTGGTGCATCGAACCACTTAAAATCTGAATCATACTGACATCTGTTGGTGGAGCCTATGTCCACATTTGACTCTACCTGGTGTTGTGGTGAAAATTACTTCCGCTGAGAAACACGGTCTCCTGGCGATGTGCCCTCATATATGCCTTTTCTTGTATTAGCTGACAACCAGGAAAGGAATTAAAATCCCGGGGAGGGTGAATTAAAGCACTCAAGCGATGATAGATTAAAAACATAAATAAATGTATGATCATATGCCTTTAAATACTAAAAAAATACAATTATACTTTAGCTAACATTATTTTTTAAGAGCAGGCCATGAAGATAAGCTTTTAGATAGTGTGAGCCTTATGCCTTTCATTGTGCGATTTTACCATCGACCGTTGAACGACGAACGAGATGCTATTTTTCACTCCGGCGCGAGACTCCAGAGGAAAACGTTACAGACGCATCTTTGAGGGGAACAATCTTCACCGTAACACCTGTAAACATTCAGCAGTGACACTCATTTGAAGATGTGTGCCGTGCCTCTTTTTGACGACCAAGCCTACTTCCTGGTGGACGGACAGCGCCTCAGTGTAGCTGTAGTGGGCAGGCAGGACCGCTGAAAGTGAGGGTGGAGGCTGTTTGATGGTCTGCAGTCAGGTTAATGCCCCACTTTTTTTTTAGTGTTTGGTTCTTTTTGAAGAAAACAGCATGGGAAGCACGGTGACGGAGTCGGGCAAAGAGAGCTCAAAGAAAATGCCAAAGAAGAGGAGAAGTCTGCGGATTAACATGCCAGTGAGTCGGTGAAGTGTCAACTAATTTGGCTTCTTACTGTGACAGCTAGAAAAAACAGCGCATGTCGGTGAACTTTGCGTGAAATCTGGGCCTGAACTTTTAACCGTTTTGATGCTTTTGCGCACGCGACGTAAAGCAGTGCATGATTGACAGCTGTCTGGGTCACGACTTTTCAGCTGTTCGACTTTAGGCGATATGACATTTTAGAGTCAGGCTTTCGTTTATTAAGTAGCTGCAAGTTTGCATTGCTTAAAAATCTGGTTTGGCACTTTCATTCTCATCAGTGTTGCGTCAATAATCCTTTAAATAGGTCGTCACTGTCGACAACACCCTGCAAATAATGTCAATGGATGGCACTGGGATGGGACTGCTTCATAAACAGATTCATATATTGATTTAGGAGCTTTTGGTCTATCAAAATAGACTTTAAGAAAAGCTTAAACAGTGCTAAAAATGACGGTTACAGTCCACAATGTTGGTAAATCAATGTAAAAAAAGGTCAATAGAAATGCAGCAAAAATAGACATTATTCATTGTTAGATAACTGGGACAATGTTGCAATGCTGTTTATTAATTGGTTTGTGTGAGTGTTGATTTACTATCAAGAAATTAGGAAATCAAATTAATCTGTTGACAGACTATTGAGTAAAGCTCTTGATTTTAGCACTTAACAATTCTCTTTTAATCTTTTTGGTCCCCTTACTATTGGTCTGTGTATGTTGTTTATGTATATTATGTGTATGTTGTCAGTGCATTGTTTTACTGTCTTAGTCATGTTGTTTGTACTTTTAACATTATTGTTTTTATGTTTAACATCAACCTGCCAATGGGACTGGGGATGGAAATTAGCCATTTGGCTGTAACCCCACATATTTACATGTCAATGTTCATCAATATATACTGTTCCCATTTTTAAAAATAGATAAATAGAAAATAGAAATAAGAAGTTTGTGATTTACAGGGTTTGTTGTTACACTTTCTTGAGGAGTCAACCGGATCCAAACAAGCAAATGGTGATTGATTACAGTGCTAAAATGATGATGGATGTCTCTATCCATCAGTAATAGGATTTACTGCCAGGTCAAGTATTGAGTCTTATTAAACCTTACCTTTCTTTTTTATTTTTGAAAGCTCAAACATCTCCTAGATAAAGTGAGCACACTTGTGACACAGCTTATTTGTTCAGAGTTGTGGTATGGATAACAGCCATGTTACAGTAGCTCACAGACCTGTTTATTTCTGAATGGCCTTATCCAGATCAAGTGGATTTTAAAAAGTCCTTAAGCTTCAAAAACAACAACAGAGTTTGGATGTTTTGGTTTTCCACCTCGATATGAACGTCCTCAACCTCAACACTACCGCAATAACATTAAAGATATCAGAGGAGGTTTGCATGTCTGTGTGACTAAACTGTCTGTCTGCAAAGTTTGTCTAGAGAGGAATGTAAAACCCAACCCTTGTTGCTGAGATAGTGTGTAGCGTATGCTTGCAAAGGTTCATGTGGCGGCGAAACATGTTTTTCTTCTTTTGAGCAAAATGCTTTAAGGTCAAACTAGTGCATTAAAAACGGTAATGTTGATTTTGTGTCCAAGCTGGCTCAAGCAGCATGGATGTGGTGGCTTAAAAGGCTTTCATGGTACCTGTAATGACATGCTGGTTTGTTTGTTTGTTTGTTTTTGTTTTATCCTTGACACTCAGATATCCTTTGTGTGCAGGACTTTGGTGCATTTACTTCCCCTCAAGTGGAGACGAGTGGCTCGACCAAAAGTGGTCCTCAGATGGTACGGAAATTGTTTCCATGCGATAAATATTTGTGTCAGTATTTGCCAGTTGTTTGTTTTCTCAAGCTGTTTTTTATTCCCCGCTGCATGATTTATCTTGTCTCTTTGGCTCTTCTTTGCTTGGCTTCGAACACATTTTTGCGCAAATTTTTGTAAGCAAGATATTACACAAGGCTGTCTCGTTTATTCTGCCAACCTTTTAGTAGCCCACAGTAACATTACACCCACTGTGTCCAGGCATAGCTGGAGCTTATACAGAAAATAGATATTTTTTTCCCTAAAAGAAAGAACCCTCTTTCTCCTATCTGCTTAAATCCATTGATTAGTATATTCTCCACTAAATCTCAGTAATATTCTGCTCTGTTATTAAAAAACCTGCATGCTCTTGTGTTCCTATAGAGCTGATTTATTTCCTGTTAGCTTGCCTTGACAAGCTCTTGCTCAATGACAGTGAGTTGTTGCCAAACAGAAAAAAATGGGTGTGTGCTCTAGCTGCTTCAGATTTGTAACAGGATTGGTTCAAACAAAAAATGTGTGTACGTAGTAGAGCCAGCCCTAAACAAACACCATGGTCAACCTTTGTTAAGGAATCTAGACCATACAATCCTGCTATCTTTGGTGTGATTTGACACATCGTTGTATTTCCTTTCCCATAGAGCAGCGGTGATTCTTTGGGCACTAAATGTCCTCATGCAGGGGCAACAGTTCTGACAGTAATGTTACCAAAACACTCCTGTTACATTTTATTGTTTCCTGTAAATACAACGTCCGAGTTGGAGGTCTTTGCATGCTATGGTGCTTCACTCAGTCAGAGCCCACAAATAGTTAAACATTTTGTTGTTGGCACATCCAGAGCAGGCAGCAGGCAGTGGTGGGAGGAGGCTCTGTCTCCAGCTAGACTGACTGCAGTCTCTCTGTTTTGTTTTGGTGTCTGCACAGCGAAAAGTGAAGGATTTCTTTGTCTGTTTTCATAATACTGACCTTGCAAAGACAGACTGATAAACACAGAGAAGCAAAATGATAAATATTTTCACCTGTGTTTTTACCAAGAGAAGGACTGGTCGTCCGGTTGTGGGCTTGATGGTGCTGTTACTGGCTTGTGCCAAGGGTGAGGCTGTTTAAGATGATGCCCTTTGAACGTACTGCGTAGCATCAGACTGTCACCCATAAAGGGGAAGTGGAGCATTATCCAATTTGCACACCATTTCATAAATCAGTCTTCCGAAGAGTAGTTATCGATTATGAATTGCTGAGTCTTAAAATAAGTGAAAAGGAGCCCTAAGGTTAAAAAGTGCAGAGACCAATAAAGTTTGATTTTCTGTAACTTTTATTGCCTTGCTTTGTTTAACAGCCAGATAATGAGGGGACATTTGAGTTATTGCACTTTGCACATGATCCTCTAATCCTTTTTACGACAATGCTGTTCAGAGTTACAACATGGCCGAGTAAACAAAACAGCGTTTCACATGTGAAAGAAGCAGAAGTAACACTATAGTTGTCGCAACAGAGGCTGTGATATTTTAATACATGTCCACATGTCTTGCTTTAGTTTGGCCGTTTATTTAGATCTCATGATGTGCAGTTTTCCACAGCACTGCACACATTAAGTCGTGTAATAATGGTTGAATGAACACAACTGTTAGCTGTTCTCTGATGTTAGCTCGTAGGTTAGCAAATGTGTTGTTTTCCTTTGAGATATGGCCACCATATTTTGACTTTCATTTGTGTTTTATTGCTTATTTATTGACCCAAGATATAGTATAGTGATGATAACATTTGTCAGAAAACTTTATTTATTTGTATTTATTTATTTTTATTTGTATTTATTTTATTTTTATTTATTATTTCATTTTTATTTATTTATTTATTTTTAATTTTATTTTTATTTTGTTAATTTATCTATTTATTTATTTATTTTTTATTTTTTTATTTTATTTTTAATTTAATTAATTTTTATTTTATTTATTTATTTATCTATTTATTTATTAATTACAGCATTTGAGCATCCCCTCCCCTTTCATTGTGATATTAGTGAGAAACTGCTGCTGTTTGAATGTGGTGAACAGCTTTGCAACCCCTCGTTTTTCATTTCACAGTAGTAGTGCACATATATTAACAAAGTGTGGGTAAAAAAAACAATCTTGTTATTCTTCTTTAGGGGGAGCGTTGCATCCGTTCAGCGAGTCCCATCAAATCAGAGTCTGGAAGGAGCCCGGACCTCCTTCCACCATGTCCTCAGTCTGCTCCAGTGCAAACAAAGACCAGCTCAGGCTCACCCAAAAGTATCTTCCCCTATCCATCCCACCAAAACTCTCCACCGAAGTCCCCCCGCCGCCTGAGCTTCAGTGGTATCTTTCGCTCTTCATCCAACTCCTCTGGTGGAAGCATCAAAATCTTCTCCAGAAATAAAAGAGGTAAGCAGCCGCTGCACCAACTCTTTCATGACGGAAACAGTCGACTGTATTTAAGCATAGAGATTTGCATAAGTGTGACGTCTGATAAAAACAAAGATACTCTGTATATATGCAAGAGCATATTCAGGAGGACAGCCACAATGAAGGCAGTATGGCACAATAAAGGAAACTATGTTATCACACAGACTATTTCCTGAAATGTGAGATAAAACCACATGCAGGAACTTATATCTCATTGCGTTCATCAGTTCAGATATTTTGCAACTTGTGATGGAACCAAAATACAAACTTGTAGCACAGCATTTTCTTTGTTGCTCACACTGAGCATTGTTGTCAAAAAGGAAGTCGACGTCTGGATTTCCTCATCATTTGAACAGGAAAGTCCACTACTTCTTTTGTGATTCCCTAATGGGGGACAACATCGTCATGAGCCCTGTCAGACAAATTGGGTTCAGTAGATTGCAGATGGGTGCTCCTTCATCATCAGTTGTCTAGGAAAAGGAAATGTTCTGCCTTGTTTAAAGTCTGGATCAAAGAGGGGTTTTTGTCTTTCCTCTATTTCCTAGTGTTGAGTTTCACATTTTAAAGACATTTCTTAGATTAAGTTGCAAGTTTGGCATCCTGCAAGCCGTACATCACTTTTCATGTTGAAATAAAAAGTCATTAAAGTCATGATGGTAATACTGGTATGCACAAATAAATGAAACTATAACAAGGACTTACTTTGTGCAGAACTAGACCTGGACAGATTTTCAGCTTTCATGTCTTCATGTACTCAGATGGCTGATTGTTACATAACAAAGAAGCAGCTTGTTTTACACGGAAACAGCTCTGCTGGAAGCAGTATCAAACAGCCCCAAGATGACTCATATGTTGTTGGCTCTTTTATACACCCATTCTTCTGTTTTCCATGCAGAGGGTCAGTCTGGCAGCGGCTGGTGGAACAGCTCTGCCAGGGCCAGACCTCAAGAGTCAGCCTCGGAGTCTGTTTCCTCTGGAGCTTGTTTTTGATGGTAACCAAAGTAAAACATACCAAAACACACCGACTGCTGCAGGCCTCTCGCTCCAGCTGCCGAGGATTTCTAAAACCTCATGTGGTTGAGACATTACCACCTCTCTCGGCTTGTTTTCAGACTAATGATGTGGCTTTAAATGAACGGAGGCCAATGATAATAGCAACAAAGTATGTCTGAAAAAATCATACTATGACAGATTGACCATGAGTGGATGTTTTTGTAGGCACCTTACTTTCACCACAAGAGTGTGCTAATGTCATGGTCTTGTCCTGCTTTAGTTACCAAACTAGGGCAGATAATAACCTTTAATTTTATGACCTCAGTATTTATTTTATCCCTTTTTTAAATTAAATATTCAAATCGACAAAGACTGATTTTGAATGATCATATTTTTAATCATTTGGATAAATGTCATAAAGCCACTTTGTACTCCATCCATCAAATATGATCAGTATGTCGCCTGCTCATTGTCAGTCTCTCACTGCTGAAGGCTCCTGCAGCACTTTCATACCCTTATCTGGAAGTGACCAGACGCTCAGGAGCGCCTCGTACAATCATGCAGAGATCCCCCCCCACCCCACACACCCCCGTTCTCACTGTTGCCACTGTGTGCTGTATGTTTTCAGTAAATAAAGGAACCAGGCAGATACAGCTTTCCAAATTCATAAAATACAGCCTTACAAGGGCAGACTGAATTTTACTTTGAAGGGAGAAGCTTAGCTGGGAAAGAGCTTAGGATAATGTACCTCAGACACCGAGATGTGCTTCAAAATCCTCGTGGATCTGTAACCTAGCAACCCGAAACACAAAATAAGTGGATTTATTTTATCAGGATAATAAAAACTTTATCAGAGCGGACATGAAAGCATATTTGAGGTAACACTTTCACCATTGATATTTCACCTCCTCACACATATTCCATTGATCCGCTGAACAGAGTGGAACAGTTGCATAACATGTTAATTGAGATCTGTGCACGACACTCTGTGGCTAATGTGAGCAGCAAATACTGAGTTGGCCATCTGTTAAGGGAAGGAGAGGCTGCTGGTGTTGAATGGAGGCTTTTTGATCAGCTGACTGAACATGGGATGTCCCCCTGCTGTCATCTGACGGGGGGCTGGCCTCAGCAGTCTTAAATGTCAGGCCCCTGAAGCTTACTGACAACCAACTGTACAAATGACACGGCTCTAGCTGCAGGACACCCAGCTAAAAAGAAAAAAACACAATCTCATCATTTGTAATGCTTTGTTTGAGTCAAAATGTAGAAGTTACATCTCTGTAAATACTGATATTTGTGATTCTGATTATGTGAAGACAGAGTGTGACAGATGTGCCTCTGCTGACTCTTGCTGTGTGAGGGACGGCAGCTCAAGGAGGCGGGACAACATGCAACCTCAGCCAATCCCTGGTCCTACCCTAGTAAACTGGCCTCCTTTTACAGGCTGCTGACATGCTTGCTATATTAAAGAGACGCCACCCACAGCTGCACCTGACAATTTACAGCCCTGACACGGCATAGAGGGGGCTCTGGCATCAGTTGTTACTTGCATCACTTGTGTGAGGGACAATTCTCGGCTGAAGCTGAAGTGGAATTTACAGCTTTCATACTCTTTATTAGTTGAATGAGCCGACACAGATACTGTACACTGACTCCTGCTGACTGTATGAGCTGTCGCGCTCGGGGCTTTTTTCCCCTGGAGTACAAGCTTAGCCTTGCTGCAGTTTCTTTCAACTATTGCTGCTGGGGGTCCAGGGTAGAAGTGGAATGCTCAACTTCAGTAAATAACCCAAGCTAAGTTTGTCCTCTGGACTTTTGGCATATATTATTCACTTGAACTAAAGGTAACCAGTTTTTTTCTTGAGCTAAAAAGACCACCTCTCTCCTAAGAATGGACTAAACAGCTGCAAACACTCGTCACTTTATAGATCTGTGAACCAATCAGCTGGATATACTTCTCAACTTCATTTCCGTACAACTCTCTACATCAAACAAATGGAGTAATTTTCACTTATGGAGAGTTTGAGCCATCTCTGAGTCTTTTAATGTAATGTGGATGGTCATGGTCAGATTTAACTTTGAACCCACAACCCACTGCGTTTCATGAAGAGGTTTGGCAGCCTGAGAAGGAGCAAGAAACGGAAGGAGCAAGATGGGCTAGGAGGGAGACACCATTCTGAGGTGTCATGTCTGTCCGGTAATGTCCTATCCTCTTCGCCTGAAACATTACTCCTTTGCCCCGCAGTGTCCCCGCAAACATATTTATGAAGATTTTTAAAGTCAGGAAATATCTAAACTTTCTACTACACAAGTTTAAGGATTTCATATTTAAAAACTGTGAGAGTAATCATGCTTAAGTTATGTAATATAAATGCTATTGGTTGTGGCCTTAGATGCTCCATAAAGCATTTGTGCCACTTACATGGCCGTCTCTTGTTTCACGAATGCATGCAGTCCATCTGCACACAGTGACCGGACGTGGACTAAAGTGGTAAAGCAATGTGTAGGTGCTGACCTAGGTTAAGAGGTTAGCTATTTCTCTGCAGCCTTCAAAGACATGTAGCTGTTTTACTGAGCATACTGTGAATTTTTCAATCATAAAAAAATGTTTATTTACAACCAATAGAATCTGTCAGTAATCTTGATAACGCAGTAGTGAATAACATGAAACAGCATATCTGATTTTGTAATTTTGTAAGCCTTTAGTGTCACCGAAGGCTATTTATTCCTGACCCATATCCATAGGGAGTCTTTAAATAGTAGCTGCTCCATTCGGAAAACTTTATTTAAACTGACTGGAAGAATATCGGGTACGATCAGATCATGCGGAGTTTAATTAGTATAATACTTTTCTTGTGTTGTACACTTTCCAGATTCAGAAAGTGAAGACCAGCAGGCAGACCTAATACAGTTAATGTAAAGTGTTCACTCAGAGAGCTTGATGAGTGAGCTCTGGGGCTCACAGTGTTGCGTTAAAGCGCCACTTTAATCATAGACATCACAGCTCTTGATTTAAAGCTCTGGCCTGACATCAGTGAAGTGTATTAGAAAAGTAGAGCCTTGTTTGGATGTTGAATGACTATATGTGGCTGTATATAGTGGTTGGTCTGTCGAAAAAGGTGTATGTGGGAAATATTCAGAAGCTGCCAATTAGAGAGCATCTGTGTGGTTTCCATTGAGTCAGTTTGAGTAATGACTGCTCGATAAAATGTCGTCCCCATGATGCGGTTTGCACACCTAGGCAAATCAGTGACTGATTGTGATGCTGAGTAATCAAGTCATTTTTACCAGTGAGGCAGTGTTGTGGTCGACTTAAAGAGTTTTGGTAGTTGACGAGTGACATGAAAACCTTTACGTTGGGATCTATTTGGCAGTTTAGCTTTAGCACAACAACTACAGACTGTGAAAAGAAAAAGACATGGAAGATATGATGTCACCCATTTGATAATCGAGGATCATCTTGGAGACTTAACTTTAAGCATGTTTGCTGTTGCCTATTTTTAAAGATGACAACATTTTGACATATGAAGAGAGCAGAATTCACCTGCTTGCTTTATGCCTCATGTCTCAGCTTTATTTTACATGACAAAAGCTTTAATATGACATGAATGCAAAAGCATGTATCCATGAGCAGAAATAGGTGCAAAATTAGGTACTTACTTCCTGGCTTAGAGATGCAATACAAAATACAAAAATACTGTAGAGCATCTCAGAAACACTGTGGCAAAATGTAGATGTTTAAAACTGAATATACTGTGTTGAAACAAAACTTTAAATTAGTTAAAACTGATTTCAATATGCACAATTATTGAGTATGTATGTGGAAATATACGAAGGGTATTCAAGCGACCTCAATTACACATCAGCAGAAATGTGAAAAATACAGCTTAAATAGGAAACAGTGTAAACAGATACAGAGACTGAATGGGGTTTTGTTTAAAGCATTCAAAACCAGCACATTCTACTAGACCATAAATATATATATCATTTTTGGAATATGATTTGATAAGTCTAAGGACATCAATTTTTCAGTACAAGGAACTGCAGATTTCGCCACTCTAGAGTTGGCTTGATTTTTCAGCCTTGCAGGTTGCTGCTTGGCCTTCGCACAGATTCAGTATTCCCAGAAGTGATTATTTATGTAGCAAAGCTTGCCAGAGAAGGATGTAGCAGTGCAGCCGTTGGGCCCCCCTACTGTTTTAACTTCAACCTAAGAGGCTCAGGTTGCTCTCAGAGACACTGTAGCTCCACTCAACTGAGATCACCCTGACGTCTCATCAGGAGGCGCCCAGACTGGGAGGATCTGCTTTTATGGGTGTTATGTTAACACAGCATGAAGTAGAGTGTAAAACAACAGTTCGGTAGTCGTTGTTTTTTTTTTCTTTTTTTTTTTTTTTTTTTTTTTTTGTACTGATATGCACACATTTGTATTTTTTTTTTCAATCCAATCCAGTCCACTTTATTTATATAGCACAATTTAGAAAACATTTAAGTTTACCAAAGTGCTGCACAATAAAATTAAAAGAACAAACACAGCAGAAAACATCAAGATGAAATAAATAAATGAAAGCAGGTAAAAAAAAAAAAACATTTAAAATGAGATAAAATAAATTAAATACAAACACAGAAGCTAAGCTGAGCCAGACACCTCCTGACTTTGTCTTTGTTTAATGCCGTAAAGTCATCTGAATCATCTATGATTCTTTTTTTTTTAGTTGACTTATTGATCAATAAATGATCTTTCTACTAACAAACTCAACAAGGGCTGTTTTAAAATATAAATCTGCTCCTTGAAGAAAAAGACAACACTTAGCCATGTGTTGAAAGTCATTGTAAAAATATTAAGCCACATTCCCCTATACACAACTATACACAAGTTTTCATTGCGTTACTGGTTAAAACACCAGCTCACAAAGGTTTTGAGAGAGCACGACATGACATTGTTGCCATTATTAACCAGATTCTGCTACTTTTGTCCACCATGCTAGTGCATGCAGGTAGGCAGACAGGCAGGTATGCTATTCATAGGAAGTTAAGTCTTTTAAAGGTATATTATTATCCATTATTATGCTTTTTGGGAAGAGGTCTGGTTTACTTCATTTTGTCCATACACCCTTAAATATTCTGTTACTATCACGTACTGCAAAAGGAGCTCTAACTTGTTGTATTTCATGGCTTTAATAAAACAAAAAAATCAAAATATAATGTAATATATTCTCATGTGTATATTAACATATCAAAACAAAAGAAGGTTCATTTTCCAAGTAGGTCATCCTTTAATTCGAATAAGCATTTCATCACTTTTTTAAATAGTTCCATCATGTATGAAACTGTGCCAAATCAGATGGACTGAACTTGGTAAAGCCGGCCTTAATTTCCTGTGTCTTGGTTGGTGTGTCGCTGCCCTGCATTAAACTGGGCTGAGGAGAGGGCTCCAGGCCCTGCTGTTATCTCCTCCTGTGGAATGTGCCACAACAGCGTGGCTAAAATAAGAAGGCCACACAGCGGAAGCAGGCTGTGCCAAAAGTGGGCCGGTGCATGCCAACTAAATGTCAAGAGATAGTGAGGCGCACACTCAGACACACCAAGGAAAGAGCTCACTTGACACACACATTTCTATTTATGAGAAACACCTGAAAATTGATCATAATATGGATTGTTCTGTTCTGGTTCTGATTTGATTTTATTTGCTGAAATTGATTCTTTTGTGACATACACTTTGCTCTTGTCATTCTGTCAGCCTTTGACATTTGGATTTGTGATAAAAGTCACCTAGAAGTCTCATGGTGAGCAGTTTGGTCCAAATCATTCGTGTAATTTATTGTCTGGCCTCAGAAGTATGTCAGCTGGGCGGAGAGGGACTAAATGAGTGTCCCATGTCACTGTGCGTAAGATTGTTATGTGTGATGCGACGGAGCATGTGAGGAGCTGCGTCACAGTCAGCTGACTGTTACACTCAGGTTGTGTTTCAGCTGCCTGTGTTGTGATAAGCCTGGTTTGTGTAGAGACGAGGTCAGGAATTCATATTCGGATTCATACAACATGCTACTTGAATTTGGATAACTCAAGGGATCTTTCTTAACACGCTGATGCAGATAGAAACAGTGGTGCATTTATTTTTGTGTTTTTAATAATATACAGATGAAACAGTTGAAGCATTGAGCATTGAAATTAGTTTTATTTCATTTTGATTTACGGCTATTTACCGTTTATATAGCAACTACTTGTTTTTGTACGGACACGCGGCCTGTTTGTTACACTGAAAATTTAATCAGGTTCAACGCACAGAGGTGAAACAGGAGCTCTCACTGTTCAGCTTGAGCTCACACATGATTGAAGCGATCACTCGCCTAGCCAGAGAGGGTTTCCACTTTAAAGTGCAGTAAAAGATGTTCAAAGGAAAGTGAGTTAAAAGGAGCGCAACTTGAGGGGGCACATTGAACGGATTAGACAAAATTAAAGACTCTCCACACCCACACGAGTGTTTTCACTTCAGGCTAATTGGACTTGAAGTTAAGCTATTAGCCATATTAGCACAGCATTCAATGTGAGAAGAGCTGACTGACACCTTTATGAGATACAAATCCAAAACGATTTGTTGTGCTGATGCAGCTGAGGTTAAAGCAGAGACGACCTGGCTGGTACAGGAGCAGAACTTAATGTTACACCCTTTTTGCTACAGGCACATACCTGACCCATAAAATGCTGAAGATCCTTCAGTTAGGTACAGATCAGTTTCTTGAGTTAATTTGAAACAGATGCTTAAGGCTATGGCGAAGTTCAATGAGTCTTGTGTTAGTGTTATTCCATGTTTTTCTCCTCTGTTCCCCCTTTACCCTGCTAATCTGGTAAAAGAATATTTGGACACAAATCAATCACAACAAATCTTATAAGCCTCAATAATTTATCAATATGATTTTCATGTCCCTGCTTATAATCAGAGACTTGCAAGTCAACATTTAGTGAAACACTGGAGAGTAATCGGGCCTCATGTTAAGTCGAAACAACTTGATCTGTTGTTGTGAGGTAGAGTAAGATAGAACAGGACTTGAGGAAGGTTGTGGGGATGTATGCTCATGATCTGTGCAATACTGCCCACCCAGCAAAAAGTGGTTGAAAAGACGTCTTAACCATACATCTACTAACCGTCTAAATAGAGCCCAGTTTTCAGCGTCTTTTTTTGAGCTAAATTACGGCCTTGACAGGCTGACGTGATTTAGCCTGATGACGTCTAAATGACGTTGGGTGTTTAGTGGGTGTGGACCTAAATTTGTCATTTCATGGTTCAATATTGAGTGGTCAGATTTACAACTCTCCTGTTGATGAAGTGATGATGACCTTTGAGAACAAGAAGCTCTTGTGAAGCATGATCAGTAGGACCCTCTATATCTGTCAGATTTAAACCATCAAAAACTTTTATCAGCACAAATTATTTTGCTTTAAACGACCACCCACCTCTTGTCTTCTCCAAATCGTGTGTTTTGCTCGGCCTCTTATTAAACACATTTGACTCTAGTTTCTTTGTTCTGTGATGCAGTAGAAACATGGCGTTGCCAGATCGAGGCATGACACATGACAAGAATATTCCTTTTCTAGCAGGTCTGTCATATTCAATGCTTTTAATTGCTTTTTAATTTTGTTTAACATGATTATGGTCCACTTTTTGTTTAATTTGAGAGTATTTTTTCCAGCAATAAGATATTGAAATTGCTCTTTTGTGGCTCTAACAGCTTCCACATGCTACTAGCTGTAACCAATGTTTATAAGTTGTTTATGTATCACAGAGTCATATAACTTTCTTTGTTTAGTTGTTTTACCTCGTTCATCTCTGCAGGTCAGCAGATGCTGACACTTAATCTACACTGTCTAAGTTTCTTCTTAGTACCCATGTCTCTCTCAGTCCCTGTTGGATCAGATATACATTCCTTCTCTGTTATAGCATGTGACGTTATTGATGCCATCTGCAGGAGTCACGATTGATGCATCTGAGACTTGCCGACTAAGCCTATCAGCAGCGTCAATCCGCACTGCGTATCAGTGCGATCAATAAAGATTGACTTTGAGAGAAACAAGAGATAAGTTCAGGTATCTATAGTGAAGCATTTTTTTTTATCTCTTCACAGCCTCAGGACTCTTCACCCCACCCACCACCCCAACTCAGTCATCCAGTCAGCCTGTGTTCACCCAGGAGTCAGCATCCATCAGGCCCAGCGTCGAACGCCAGGAGCCCAGCTCTCGATCCCGGTCACTCTCCACACCTCCAGACACAGGACAGCGGCTCAGCCTCCCCTCTGCTAAACCCCCGATCCCTTCATCGAGCCCTGTGCCATCTTACTCTACCTCACAACAAGTGAGTCCTACTGTAAAAATATTCATTATTGGAAGCAAAAAAACAAGATTTAAGCAGGTGAAAAGTTATGCCTTCAGGGAGTCAGTTACATTTTTTGTTTTATTGGATAAGAAATACCACATTGCCGGTCTAAAAAGGTTCAAAGAGTCCCTCAACAGTCACTGTTTGTTCACAGGTAGGCGCTGAATTGGGGCTTTTGGGAAACACGCATAGAAATTCTGAAAATATGTCAAATATTTGATGCTTTCCCTCAGGATAGATTATGTACATTTGTGGAAGAAAAGCTAAATGTTGTACACAAACTGACACTGGGTTACCTCATATTTCCTGGAAATAAACACAGGAATCACATGGTGTTTAAAAAAATAGTGGCACATTTATGCCTTCAGTCCATGAGTCATGTGTTTCTTTCCACAGTGTCACAAGCATCTACTTTGCCTAAAGTAAACTGAATGCAAGGATGAAGCTAATCTCTCATATTGAAGCTGTAATACCCAATCATGCTGTGTGTCAACCAGGCTGGTGGCCCTGAGCAGCAGTGGCAGAGCGGAGGGTTGAATATCCACCAGCATTAGAAATGAAAAGAAACAGCTGAGACATGCTGCAGCGTTTTGCCCAAGAGGTTTTCATTATTGGTTTTATTGAGGAAATACTTCTTGGCAGATTTAATGAATAATTATCTGAAGGGCTGTCTTGACCTGTCTACTGTGAGTGATTGTGGATTATAACTAACGAGGGTTAATCAATATTTCATCACCAACTTCACCGCTGTTGATATTAACTCCCAAGGACTCGTGATTGTGGTCGAGGAGGGATGAATCAGTGCCTGTCAGCGTCTCCCACCCACCCTCCATCATACATGAGGGAGGTGCAAAAATAACCATCTGATTCTGTAGTTCATATTTGACCCCATCCAATTACTGGGGCAATTACAAAACCCAATTTCAATGAAGTTGGGAAGATGTGTAAATCGTGAATATAAATGGAATACAATGATTTGCAAATCCTATTCAACCTATATTCAATATACTACAAAAACAACATATTTAATGTTCAAACTGATAAACTTTATTGTTTTTTTTGCAAATAAACGTTAACTTTGATGGCAGCAACACGTGACAAAGAAGTTGGGAAAGGTGGCAAAAAATACTGAGAAATTTGAGGAATGCTCATCAAACACCTATTTGGAACATCCCACAGGTGAGCAGGATGATTGGGAGCAGGTGGGTGCCATGATTCCCCCAAAATTCTCAGTCATTCACAAGCAAGGATGGGGCGAGATTCACCACTTTGTGAACAACTGCATGAGCAAATAGTCGAATAGTTTAAGAATGATTCTTAAAGTGCAATTGCAAGGAATTCAGGGGTTTCAACATCTATGGTCCATAATATCATCAAAAGGTTCAGAGAATCTGGAGAAATCACTGCATGTAAGTGGCATGGCCAAAAACCAACATTAAATGCCCGTGACCTTTGATTCCTCAGGCGGCACTGTATCAAAAACTGACATCAGTGTGTAAAGGGTATCACTGCATGGGCTCAGGAACACTTTAGAAAACCACTGTCAGTAAATACAGTTCGTCACTACATCTGTAAGTGCAAGTTAAAGCTCTACTATGCAAAGCCAAAGCCATTTATCAACAACATCCAGAAACGCAGTCGACTTCTCTGGGCCTGAGCTCATCTAAGATGGACTGATGCAAAGTGGAAAAGTGTTCTGTGGTCTGACGAGTCCACATTTCAAATTGTTTTTGGAAATAGTGGACGTGGCGCCAAAGGGCCAAAGAGGAAAAGAACCATCCAGACTGTTATCGACGTAAAGTTCAAAAGACAGCATCTGTGATGGTATGGGGGTGCATTAGTGCCCAAGGCATGGGTAACTTACACATCTGTGAAGGCAACATTAATGCAGGTTTTGGAGCAACATATGCTGCCATCCAAGCAATGTTTTATTCATGGACGCCCCTGCTTATTTCAGCAAGACAATGCCAAGCCACATTCTGCACGTGTTACAACAGCGCGGCTTCGTAGTAAAAGAGTGCGGGTACTCGACTGGCCTGCCTGCAGTCCAGACCTGTCTCCCATTGAAAATGTGTGGCGCATTATGAAGCATAAAATACGACAATGGAGACCCCGGACTGTTGAACAACTGAAGCTGTGCATCAAGCAAGAATAGGAAAGAATTCCACCTTCAAAACTTCAACAATTAGTCTCCTCAGTTCCCAAAGGTTTGAGTGTTGTTAAAGGGAAAGGTGATGTAACACAGCAGTAAACATGCCCCTGTCCCAACTACTTCGGCACGTGTTGCAGCCATGAAATTCTGAGTTAATTATTATTTGCAAAAAAAATAAAGTTTATTAGTTTGAACATTAAATATCTTTGTAGTGTATTCAATTGACGATTTGCAAATCATTGTATTCTGTTTTTATTTACATTTATCACAATTTCCCAACTTCAATGGCATTGGGTTTTGTACTTGAATGGATTGTGTTATTATATGGCTTAATCATGTTATCCTGCTTTTCTGGAGTTTGGTGTAACATCGGAGCAGGCTGTATGTGCACAATAATGCAGAGGATGCAGGAAAAGATTTATGACAGTGCAGGAGGGTTTTCTGGCAGAAGAAGTGCTGTGTCACCATCGCAGGGCGACACAGGAGACTGTTTAGCATCACAGAGCAGGTATGCAGGCTTCCTCGTACTGCTGCAGTGGCTGGTTGTGGATATGCTCGGAGATTAGGGGACTGAGGGAGTATCTTGATGAATGAGGATGCAAATATCCAAGCATGACACAGCACATTTTATGCTGGCCTATGAGAAGTGCCAGTTGCAAATGGAGGAAAAAAAATGCATCTCCTTATGCTGCCTTATCTTTAAGTTGCTTTTGCGGTGCAAGAAAATAACTTGAAGATGTGACAAGGGATCCCCAGCTTCTTGCTGCTAAGCAACGTCAAGGGATTTCCTAATATGGTGAAGCAAACAGGTTGCTCTGCATGGAGGGGCGTGTCTGTCCGCGGAGCTCGTGGAGCTTCCTGATTTTTCTCCACGGTTTTTCACGTGTGCGTCTACGCCAGCGGTGAGTGAGTGAGTGTGTGTGGTTCGTCAGTTTGTACCCGTAACAATGAATCCTGCTGCTTTTATTGTGGCGGGGCCTCATTATCACCCGCCGACGTAGTGAGTGTTTACTGCAGCAAATGGATAAGGACTGTTCCACTGCGACTTTGAAGGGGTGTGTGTGTTTGTGTGTGTGTCGTCTAATTATAAAGAGGCGGTGGATTTGTAGCGCAGGAGTGCATCGTTTTAGTCACGTTAGATGAGTATTTTTAGCGGACATGCCTGACTGAGCTTAATGAAGCCGGTAAAAACGTCGGTGGCAGGCGATGTCGCTCACTTTACGCGTTGTGGTGGTGGTGCACTCGGTGCGCTGACGGTCTGCCGGGCCGCTGGGAAAGTCTCCTCACCCTCCTGCTCCACCTCCTCCTCCTCCTCCTGCTCCTCCTGCTGCTGCTGCTCACTCACAAATTACAGCAAAGTTTTGTCGCGCACTGCTTGTTCTTGCTGTTTGGATTTGTTTCGTATTTCCCGACAAACTTGTGCCTTTCACCCTCTCACAGGTCTACGGTTTATTCGAAGGCATGCTGGAAAAACTTGAACTAGATGATGATGGTAAGTGTCCTGTTGCTCCTCTTATAAACGCATCTAGTATCACAATATGAAGGTTACATCAGGATGTACTCAGCCTAATAGTCAGAGTAAGCGACAATATTCAGATTAAAGGTGTTTTTAAAGAGTTTTCGCAGTGCGCCGTAACATTACGCAGCGTCTGCTTAGGAGACCCGGCCATTCACAAGGTGTCAAAACGTGAAACAAACCCATTCATTTGTTCCTCGATGACATTTTAAAGAGAATTTCACACTCAAGTGTTTGGTGATGATGGAAAATGTTATGAGATGCTACAGAGACCACGTATTTGTATTAAAAATGATTATTTTCAACATGATTATAGTAAAGCTTTTAAGCAATCTGTCATACAAATAAGACTACAACAAAAGATGAATTAATCTGTTCATGTATATAGTATATGTTTGCATTTGCAAAGCTGGCAAAAGGTAATGTTTGATAAATGAAAATACACTAATCAGCTGTTCTATTTCACTTAAATGTTGGAAAAACTATTCATATAATACTCAACTTGCATGATACAAGTATAGCTACAACCAAAGATGAATTTTGATTTCAATTAATCTGTTCATATAAAGAGGAAATATTTCATTTAAAAGCTTGCAAAAGGTAATTTTTGATAAATGAAAATACACTAATCAGCTGTTTTATTTTACTTTTATGTTGGAAAAACTATTCATGTAAAAATCAACTTGCATGATCCTTGAACGCTCTGGATTCCTTCAGTGCTTTCTCTTTGTTTCTGTTCTTGTTGGTGCTTAGAGCTTAATTATCATCGTGATGGAGCAGTAAAGTGGCTGTAAGTGGTTCAGACCTGTAATGGTTGTTTAGGCTTGCGATAGTGTGTTCCCAGCCTCTCATTATATATCCCCTGTGAGATTTCTCCCTCCTCTAAAAGTATTTCCCTGCACTTGTGTTCCCTACAGCTGCTGAACCTGAGAGTGATATTTACATGCGCTTTATGAAATCCCACAAGTGCTACGACATCGTCCCGACAAGTTCCAAGCTGGTTGTGTTCGACACAGCGCTCCAGGTCAGTGGGAGAGTCTTTCACCTGATGTTGAACCTTTTTCATGATATTAAACTCGCTTGCCCCAAGGACGAAAGACTTCAAGTCTAAGTTAATGTTCAGTGAAATGAGAAAGTGTATTTGCCTTAGAACAGTTTGTATGAGATGGTTGGTGAAGTTGCCATAAAGCTGTTAAACAATAATCCTGTGGAGCTCTGAGCTCTTTGATGAGTAGATCTTCAACCACTAAGTCCACTAAAACTGAGTTAAGAGTCCTTATCTCAAAGACACAAACATAACACCAGCATCAGGTCTGCAGAATGCCCTTCACAAAACCAACATATGTGTCTGTAACTCAGAGTTTTCACATTATTTTGTCGTCAAAAAGTCATAAACACACGTGCTCAAAAAGTGTAAGTTAGGCCTTAGCCCCTCAAGAGACCTCCCAAGGAGAAAAACTGTTTGTAATAGCGAGAAGGGTTTTAAAGTGGCTTGAGAGTTTCTCAAACAGAGGAAAAGATGTTGGAAAGACAGTAAATTAGAAGAAATGATCTCCAAACTCTGGATGATAGTGAGTTGATTGAACTGATCGCAACAGTAATGCTGGAAATGAAAGCGATCTCAATGTTAAGATATTTGAAAAATGGAAATGAGTCATAGCCAGGAAAAGTTAGATTAAGAGTGGTTTAAAAATAGCCTGATCCATGATTTGACCACCCAGACTAATTTGACATTGAAGAAAGTACGATCTGTATCTCATCTACATCAATATGAATGATCAGAACCACGATCAAAAAGATGTGATATATTTGGTACCTGTTTTATTTCCTATCAGGTAAAAACGCAAAACACTCCAGAAATAATCTCTAAAAAAGGATCAGATTTGTCATCGTTACTGTCACATGGTGATACACAACATTACAAATAGTCTTACTGGCTTAACTAAATTTGACTTTTACTTCAATTGTTGTTTGTCAGGTTAAGAAAGCGTTCTTTGCCTTGGTTGCCAACGGTGTGAGAGCTGCTCCACTATGGGACACAGAGAAGCAAAGCTTTGTGGGTAAGAATGGCGGAAAAACTTAAGGACCCCCTATATTTGCTCTGATCACTTGTTTTTAAGATATCTGCTCACAGTGTGTACTTAGTCTGTGTTTCTCTGGTGGTCTCTCACTTCTGGGTCTGATGTTTGATGATGTTATAGCTTCAGGGGCAAACTCTCCGGGGCCTCTGGTGTTGCTAGAGGCAAATTACACACTCCAATTTCCAGTGAAGTTGGGATATTGTGTAAAACATGTATATAAAAACAGAACACAATTATTTGCAAATCCTTTTTGACGTATATTCATGTCAGGAGACAGATCTGGACTGCAGGCAGGCTGGTCTAGTACCCACACTCTTTTACTACAAAGCCAAACTGTTGCAACACGTGCAGAATGTGTCTTAGCGTTGTCGTCAGGGAGGTCCCTGAAAGAGATGTTGCTCCAAAACCTGTACATCTTGGCATTAATGGAGCCTTCACAACCATGCCTATACCATTACAGATGCTGGCTTGGAACTTTGACCTGGGACCAATCTGGATGGTTTCATTGTGTTTATTTAGATCACCATTAGCTTACTTTGGGTAAGGTGAATTTACCCTACGTAGCATGTCTTGTTCTGTAACAGTGTTCATCGGAGCTAAAAGACAAACGATCATGAAGAACCCTTGGTCCTTTTCCTCTGTAGCGTTAAGGACACCATGTCCATGATTTCCAAAGACCGTTTGAAATGTGGACTCATCAGACAACAGCACACTTTTTCTATCTCGGATGAGCTCAGAGAAGCCAGCTGCGTTTCTGAGTGTTGTTGATATCTGGCTTTAGCTTCGCATGGTAGAGCTTGAACCTGTACTTGTAGACCTAGCAACAAACTGTGTGAACTGACACTGGTTTTCCGAAGTGTTCCTGAGCCCACGTGCTAATACCTTTTACAATGTGACACAGTACCACCTGAGGGGTTGCAGGTCATGGGCATTCAGAGTCGATTTTGGTCCTTGCTGCTTATGTGCAGAGATTTCTGTGGATTCCCTGCATCTTTTGATGATATTATGGATGATAGGTGATGAAATCTTTACATTTCTGCAACTGTTTGTTGAGAAACAGTCCTAAACTGTTGGACTATTTGCTCACGCAGTTGTACACAAAGTGGTGAACCAGGCCCCATCCTTTCTTGTGAATGACTAAGCATTTCCCAGTCTTTAGCTGACCCTGTCCCAATAATTAGGAACGTAACAAAAATAACAAAGTTTATCAGTTTGAACATTTAAATATCTTGTTTTAGTCGTGTTTTAATTGAATGTAGGTCAAAAGGGATTTGCGAATCATTGTATTCTGTTTTTATTCACGTTTTTCACAATGTTCCAACTTTATTGGAGTTGGGGTTTGTATCAAGGCTCTTTAGTCCATGCTCACAGTCAGACTTACAACTTGAGATGTTAGAAATGAGCTGGAGTTGCGTAAATATGTCAAAAACAAGATTGATAGCTGCAGTTGTATTGATCTCACAGGGTACAACACACTTAAGAGATTTAACAGCTAAACTTTCAGTCAGATATCATCTCCAAAGAAAACCACAACTTGACGAGCGAGCTTGAAATCTGGGTGTTTCGACTACTCTTTTATCTGACAGATTCAATTCGAGCACCTTCATGAAACTCCAGTCTTCATATTTTCAGCCTGACCGCTTTTCAAAAAGATGGGAAAGTCCCCAGCGTTGACAAATACATTTGCAGAAAGCTGTGTACCAGTGTGTCCACTCATAGCTGCTGATGCATGACACTAAATTAAGTCGAAACGGTTACTTCTGTCATAACCCATTAAACAAAGCAGTGACCCCTCTGTATTGACCCCCTCTGTAGCTCAGAGAGTCTAGAGAAAATATTTAGCAGCAAAACAAACCGTTGCAGTCGTTTCTGTTCAAGCCTGCCAGAATCCAGACCCAAGGGGGGGGGAAAGTGGCTTTGTTGTGCAGTTTGGAGTTTACTGTGACTCAGCCTGTGATGAATAATGAATGCCCAGTTTATGTGAGGGTGAAGCAGAGGGGGGAGTCTCGTGATGTGTCGTTTGGACCACGCCCATGTTAGCACTGTCTCTTTAACTCAAGTGCACAGAGCCTTCAGACATGCCTCTGAATGTTGTGGAGAAACGGTTCAGTATTTTGAAGGCTTGGTTTTCTTTCCAGGAATGCTGACAATCACAGATTTCATCATCATACTTCACAGATACTATAAGTCACCCCTGGTAGGTCTCATTGGCGGAAAATTTTTGCATGATTCCACTATTGTTTTTTTTTTAATCCTTATTTACTGCTTTTTTTAATTTTGTAGGTGCAAATTTATGAATTAGAGGAACACAAGCTTGAGACGTGGAGAGGTTAGTATCAGGATCAAACTTTGATGTTTTTTAGCATGTATAATGGAAAATTCTGGTACTATTCATATGCAGCAAATGTATAAAACTTGAATATTGTATTTCTTGCTACAGAGGTTTACCTTCAAGCAACATTCAAACCTCTGGTCAACATATCACCTGATGCAAGGTATTGTAATAAATGTTTGTTTTCCACATACAGCGTTTGTGATTTTACCATAACTGAGTGTAATTCGGTCCTCGTGCTTTCTGTTCCAGCCTTTTTGATGCAGTGTACACCCTCATCAAAAATAAAATTCACCGCCTGCCTGTCATCGACCCTGTAACAGGAAATGCACTTTACATCCTCACACACAAGCGGATCCTCAAGTTCCTCCAGCTTTTTGTGAGTCCATTACAGTCACTGTCAGAGCGTTTTCATCTGCAGTATGGATTACCATCACTTGTGGAGGGAACCGTGCTCACTTTTGCGTCTCTGCTGCCCCCTGGTGGTTAATGTGGTCATAAACGTGAACTATGAAATCATTTGAAAGCGATGGAGCGCCCTCTTGATTTGTCCCTGCCTCGTTTTGTGTATGTGTGTGTGTGTCCTTTAGATGTGTGAAATGCCAAAGCCAGCTTTCATGAAGCAGACTCTCGGAGAGCTGGGCATCGGTACGTACAATGACATCGCTTTCATCCACCCTGACACGCCCATCATCAAAGCGCTGAACATCTTTGTGGAGAGACGAATTTCTGCTCTGCCTGTGGTCGATGAGTCCGGTGAGAACACAAAACATCCAAGTCAAAAAAAGAACAATAACTTTCACGTCAATTTACCCACTTAGTTATTCATGTTCTCTTACAGGAAAGGTTGTGGATATTTACTCCAAGTTTGATGTGATTGTAAGTTTCAGTTTTTGAGTACACAACGAATTCTGTTTTATAAGCTAACCTGCTCTGCAATCATGTTTTCTCACTTTATACAATGTGTTTCATGTTTTTGTGAAGAACTTGGCCGCTGAGAAGACATACAACAACCTTGACATCACAGTGACGCAGGCTCTGAAACACCGCTCTCAGTACTTCGAAGGAGTCATGAAGTGCCACAAAATGGAAACAATGGAGACCATTGTGGACAGAATAGTTAAAGCCGAAGTGAGAATCAGAAGAGTGCAATGCTTAAAGATACTAAGAGTTGATAGTGCTTAAACAGTATGTCTGATTGTACTTTTATTTTTGTGTTTTTTTTCTTCAAGGTTCATCGGCTGGTGGTTGTGGATGAGCGCTCCAGCATCGAGGGCATCGTCTCCTTGTCAGACATCCTCCAGGCCCTGGTGCTCAGCCCTGCAGGTATAGATGCTCAGAATCATCACTAACTCCAACTCCCCTTCTGTCCCGGACCCTGAGCTCTCTCCCCACCCTGCCCTCTAACCCTGTCCCGGGTAGGAAACACACCTGTGTTGATCTAGCCTGTTTGTGGCCTGTAAAGCTGGCTGTGAGGAGGCATGAAGCCTGACGTCCCGCTTGCTCTGCCGGATGCAGCGGTGTGCTGTGGATTTTTGCACCAGGGACCATAGACCTTACTCGACACCAACCTGGGCGTTATATGATATTTCATCCATACTTGTTAGGTTTGCATTTAGACAGCAGCTAGATGTTTGCAAACTTAATTTTAGTTTGTTTGAGAAGTTAATTAATGCAGAGAGAAAGTGATTTATGGAAATCAATCGCCTCTCAGTGTACTCACACGGATGAGGTTCAAAGGGGATCAGTTGGCAATGTTGTGCATTTAGCTGTACATCTACTTCACTGTTAATATGTTTTGGGTTCCACCAAAAATTGAGAGAAAAGCATGAAATGCTGTGGGATCTGTTAGGAATAATTATAAATCCCAGCAACACTCCACAGCTTTGAAGTTTAATAGATGCAAAGGGATGGATGCTAATATGTTCTCGTGATTAGAAAGCCAAACTCAGGAGCGTGAACTGAGGACCAAAATAAATATTTAAATGAATCAAGAGCAGTTACAAGTCTGTGCTGTTTATCACAGGTAATATCATGGTAACATAAGTTTTATCTTGTTTGGTCTGCGTAACATTGGTCAGGATTTGGTTTTTGTCTCTCTTTGCCCCCATAAGCTTTAACCTGAGGTCTGTCCATTACACATAATTGATCAGGGATTTACCACTGAGAGCCTGTTTATGAAAGAAGATTTTTGGAGTCTGATTTGTTCGGATGTGGTTTGTTTTCTCACCTGTATCCACTAACTTTTAGTCCAGCTTTTGCCGTATGACAAAAATAGTGATGAATGTAGCAGCAGCTATAAAACCTTCCTGAAACCCACTGGCTATCATCACTTGACTATTGAACTTTCTAACCTCCTAATAGACATGTGCATGTACCATAAGTGCAGCTAACGGTCCAGTTACAGAGAGTGTCTTTCAATTTAATTCTTTAATTTTTAATCAGAAATCATGATAACAACTGATCAAATATAAAGTAATTGTTTGATATTCTTCTAAATAGAGATAACAAATGCATGGTTTTGCATTAAATTTAGCTATAAGTGTGGTGTTAAAAGTTTAAAGCCTGATTTGATGTGAACCAACTGGCTAATCGAGAACTTTTTACAGGACATGCAGAAAGATTTCCCAGACTGGCAAAGCCGGTACCTCAAACTGGCACATTAACACTGTCAGGGTCTGAGTTTTCTTCTACTGGACTGATTGTAACCCAGCTGCACTCTCAACTGACACCCAAAGTTTATATGAAGGTGTTGTTTCAGTGTCTCTGTTTGGACCATATTTCATCAGAAAATCTGCTTTTGTCACAAAATTCACAAACATTGTTTTGCAAGTCACATCTCATTTATTGCAGCAAAAATGACAGTATTACAGAGCAACACAAAAACAGGCCACAATGATTAAGAGGGTAGCAGGATGTGAACTTGTGACCCCTTGGATGATAGTCAGTTTCTTTTTTTTTTTTTTTCAACCATCATCTATGTTGGTCAGATATGTTCAACTTTATAGGATCAAAAAGTCTTTTAGCCGCTATTGTCAGATTTATTCCTTATTCTTGTGGGGTTTAAAATCTCTCTTCTTTCACATCTCACAGCTGAATAAACATTGTGTTTATGTTTGAAATCAGGTTGAAATTAGGTTTTGGATATTCAGAAGTGATTTTACCCTATTTTCCAACACATTTCAAAGCTGAAATCTCTGTTAGAGCTCACAGGACAGTTGTTAAGCCTGTACTATAAACTCATCCAAAGACAGACGGTGAGCTCTGAGATCGCCATATCAGTAGAAGTTACCTTTCTCTCCTTTATTTACTATTATCAGGCTTCACAAAACTCCAGTTAACCTTCATTTTTAACCTAAAGCCATAAATTTCTACACAGTTGGAACAAAACAGTGATCCTTCTATTTGATGAAGAACATGAAATCAGAATGCAACCTGATTTTTGTTTAACCATGTCACCAATAAAAGGCTGTTTTATGACTGTTTGCAGAATTTAAATAATCAGCTTGCAAGTGCCAATACAGAGGGATGGTGCCCAGTTTTTATCTGTGCCTTTTTATTTCTCTATTTCCAAGTTAAAACTGACCGTGTTAGTGTCCTGTGGACCTTTTGATTTTAACATAGTTGGAACAAAACAGTGAAGTCGTTCAGATCAGGAAGGATCGGTTTGAATACAGATTACACCAGAACCTATTCCAAGCTGACACTTAATAATTTGTCAATTCTGCTCAGTAACAGTATGTTTGGCTTTTAGATGTTGCTGCATTCTGCTAGTAGCAACTCTCGACTTTGATGTGAATATTTTTATGTGATACGCTTGAAAGCAAATAGCAGGTGTTTGCATAATTAAAGTGATTACAGTGTTGGAGATGGTGTGTGTTCAGGCTTTTAACTCCAGCAAGTCAGTGGGGGAAACACAACGCACAAACGCACGTCTTTAAAAGCGAAGGTTTATTGTTTTGAAATGTTTATAACATTATTGATATTTGAGAATAACAAACCCGAGTTTTGTGTAACTTACCACTCAGCTGCTGTTTCTCGCTGGGTCTCACAAAGCCTGATGGGAAAGTGATTCAGGGCTTTAAAAGGGAGTCGTAAATCATGTTTTTAAAAACAGGAAGCTGAGTTTAGACAGACTTGTCTAAATGAAAGCAGAATTATACTCTCTCTTGCTTTTATTGGTTTTTCTCTGCTGTTTGTACCTCCTTAGAAGTGGGGTGTTGTGAAATGTTAAATAATTACAAAACATTGATTTGTGAAGGCATTTTAGTACAACATGTTGAACTGGAGATTTATTACTATTTAAAAGCTTTTTTTTTTTCTTGTGCAAATTTATCCAAACATCAAACGTTTGAAATAGATTAGGGCTAAATATCTGAGATCTTCACGTATGCTTCATATTCCTTACCTCTGCTCTTTTTCTACTTCTTTGCAGACGCTTGCAAAGAGGAAAATCTGCCTGAGTGAGAGGGAGGACGTCACCATGGAAGTGGAGAAGCGGTGGAAGCAAAAAAAAAAAAAGTCAGAAGGTTGAGGTAGGGAGCACGAGGCTGAGCAGAGCCGGTCCGAAGGTCCCAGAGTCGCCTGCAACTGATGCACTATAGAGGCTTAGAAACCAAAGAGCTAGACAGCTGAATGAAGTGGAGTTCCTGCACTGAGGGTTGACTTTCTGAATTAACCTTTTTGTTTGTTTGAACACTGATCAAATGCACTCATACTTACACACACACACACACACACACATAGACACAGACACACACACAAAGATGCAGAATGGTCACCAGCTGGGAAAAGGTGAGAACGTTGGTACATCGGGGTGGTGGGATCACGCTGCTGTTAGGCCTTCGATTTTATCCACATCTTGATCATTCTTCATCTCGTGGCCTCCAGGAGATCCTTCGTTTTTGATGAAGAACACGAAATCAGAATGCAACCTGATTTTTGTTAACCATGTCACCAATAAAAGGCTGTTTTATGACTGTTTGCGAAATTCAAATAATCAGCTTGCAAGTGCCAATACAGAGGGATGGTGCCCAGTTTTTATTTGTGCCTTTTTATTTCTCTATTTCCAAGTTAAAACTGACCGTGTTAGTGTCCTGTGGACCTTTTGATGTCAGGTGAGTGCAGTTGTTTGAATTATTTTTAAACACTGATGAGAATGTTAAAAGACGTTTTTGCAAATTCTTCCCTCGGCTTCAAAATAAAACAAGATTCCTCCGATTTTCAAATCCATTTCCACAAGGGTTGAAAAATGCAATTAATAGAAGAAAAAAATGTAATAAACAAAAAAGGTCAAAGGCAAATATATCCTAGAAATATTCATACTTATGACCGAGAACCTACAGTGAGAGGTTATCTAAAGTCATTGCAACAAGGATGCATTTTTGTAACGGTATTATAAGACCCAAAGATGTATTTTTTAGACCGTTAATTTTTGTTCTCACATTTATTTCTGTTTTGATGCTTCACTCACTCAAACTGCAAATCAAGGCCAATATCTCAGCTGTAGCTCGACAGGACTCATCTCCATCTTTGACTGTAAATAGGATTGTTTTCAGAATACATGTCACATAAAGCTTTATTTTTATGAATGTGTCTACATGTTCAAAGAGACTGCAGTTTTAATGTTATTTTTGTAAATATATTGTGGCGATTATGTCCAATTCAAAGAGACTTTGTATCAGATCAACATGTACTGTAAATGTGCAAGCATGAGAAATGACACTTCAGCAGTATGAATGTTCTTTGTTTTACTTTTTCTATTTTTCTGGCTGCAGAAAAATAAATGGACACTGAATGTACTTTGGGGCTGTTTTTGGTTTTTATTAAAGTTTTTCTCTTGTTTTTAATCCGGTTTTTAAATTCCCCACAGGTGATTTTCAATAGCTACCTGGATCCAAGACCATTATTTATACCACAAATATTAAAAACAGGGTTCCTGCGCAAACATGAAAATAAATTTGATCAATTTCCAGGTCTTAGAAGGTATGGAAAAATGAAAAATTAAGAACAGAAAAATACTTATGTTTCCAGACTTTTACCACAGTTCAGAAATAAATTCAAAAAAATAATTCTAAAAAGTAGGGTATGTAAGAGTAAGTAAGGAAATTCCAACTGTGTAGGAACACGGACAGATATAATTTATTCACATGTTGCACATTATGATGATAGAACAGTGTGATTCCCATGAACTATGACCCCTCATTTATTAGACTCATGTGTAATTGTGTTACGCTGCACCAATACACTTATTCTTGTTTGTGGTTTTCATCATAAAAGACTGTGTGTCATCAATTTTTTGTAATAGCTTTCTTTAAATTTTATACATAAAGCAGTTTGTTAAAAATAACACAAATATGTGCATGACTACAAATATAATAATCAAAATATTAAGAGAGTAGTTATCTACAGTGAACAGATAGTTATGTAAAGTGCTCAGGTGAGCAACAACCTGATGCAAGGCATTAAATAAACATGTCACTGTACTGATGGGTGTCTATGAGATGCACGTCCATGCCTGGATTGCAGGACAGGATGGTACTCCACCTTTTCCTCTCTGAGATATTTTCGAGCCATGATTACTGTCATGATTTTAAGGTATGACATTAATGATCTGGTTGGTCCTGTTTAGAATGAATTAGCCTACTTTTGTTGTGGGGTTACGTAACAAGGCTTGGAAATGATTTCACAACAAACACACTCATCGTTAAGGCATTCATCCTCACCTATCTCTACACAATAGCCGGCTTATGAGGTAGCAACTCAGCTGTTTTCAGGTTGGAGTACTGTAACTATGTTGCAACACTTGCCTAATTTTGTATATTTATTTCTCATACACTGTTAGCCAACATCCTGACAGAGCAATTCAGCAGCACATGCTTTAAAGCAGTTACACGTTATTTGCTCAGAACTTCACTTTGTATCAGAACAAATCATCTGCTGCTGTTTACTTCTGCACAGACATAGTTCGTAGTTATATGTTTTCCATGCTTCCTTTCCCTCTGATTACCAAACTGCAAGGGATTTCGTTTTGCCAATCGTATAACCTAATTTTCATTAGACATTCCTGGGAGGAATATTTCAAACCACAGACGGCTGTACAGTCATCATTAGAGCTGTAAGCTGTTGAGCTTTCAGGCCCGGAGCTCTTTCTCTTCATGGCAGGCTGCCCTCAGGATATTTTAGTGCAGGGATTGGCAGCCGTGTGCTTGAGAAAAGGCTGGGTTTTATTTTGGCTGAACGCTACAGCTGCTAATGTTTGGTCCTCTATATTTGAAGGGGATCTTCTCGCTTAAATGAGCGGTCAATTCTCTCCAGTGATGCAAAAGTCTGCTGCTTTGAAGACTCGGGTTTTCAGATGCTTTAAACCCTGCAGGAGTGTTTGTAGAGCGGCCACAGGGTGACACTGTAGTACACAGCACAATTTCAAAACTAGAACCAAAATCAGTTCCTTGAGTCGAGCCCATTTTGGTGTAATAAGTAACGACCTCTTTCTCATTGAATATTTACATGCCATTAAGAGATGAATGACTTTAACGCTCTGCCTTTTTTGATCTCTGTCTAGGAAATTGCTAGATTTCGGCAGGAAGTTTTTAATGCAGCAGAGGTTGCCTCTAAATGAGGCTAAGGTAGTGCGAGTGGGATCTGATGGACTTCCAAATGAGGCCTGAAACTGGACCAGACTTTACTCCAGACAATCCGCTTTGATCTCCCAATCTCCCCTGTGATACCCGGCGCTGGGAAAGCCTCCTCTACACCTTGTAGCCCTAAAGCAGAAGAGGCAGGAGGGCTTCACCATCCTCCCCCTTCCTCCTCTCTCCTCACTGCCCATCTCTTTCTTTTGCACACACACACACATACATACACAGTGAACATCCACACCCACACTGGACTCTCTTTTGAAAGTCTAGGGCTTGATTTAAAATTCCTCTTCAGACCGTATCATGCATTTTATATGCATGGCGAGTGGGAGAGAGAGGAGGGATTGCGTGGAGGCTCCAGCCCAAATGAACTTCCCCACACTATTGGTCTCCTCGGGGATATATATGTATATATCCACACACACGCACACACACACTCCTGCACACACGTCTTCTGCTCCTCTCCCCTCATTCTCTCTCACCCACTCAACTCTTTCAACATTAGTTTTACTGCATCATGCTTTTTCACAAATTCCAGCGAGCAGCACGAGTGCCGCAGCCTTTGAAGACAAGTGTGATCAGAACAGAAGCAGGGGGTGTAAAAAAAAAAAAAAAAAAAAAACCTGGCCGCAGGGCATCTTGGGGTTTTTTTTTTTTTACACTCATGTTTAGCAGCATATGGAGCAGAAGAGAGAGGCTGACAAGTGCAGTGTTTGGGGACAGCTTTGATGTCTGATGGGGTGCGGCTTGCTGCTCCTTCCCAAGGAGACTGTCACTTTGACACAAGCAGGCGTATATTTACAGTTCATCGCTGCAGATAGAAATCAGATAATCAAAAAAACACACGCTGTTGATCCACTTCTCTCCACCGTAACATCACTTATTCTCTTTCTGTCTTGCTGACACACTTGGAGAACAAGCTGAGAATCGATAAGAAAACAGACGCAACATGAACTCAGACTGCAGCTGCTTGAGAAATCTGGTTTATTAGGAACAATATGATCCCGCTAGCTTATCGTGGATATAGCAGTAAACAACAGAAACACAATTCACTTTTTTTTTAAGTGCTACAGGATTGTGATTATAGACATAAAACAGTACAGCAACCATAGTGTCTACATTCATAAATGCACAGAGAATAAAAAAATTACAGTATATTGCTGTTAGACTGTTTTTCTCCTAAACAAACATCAGTAAGACCAGCGCAAACTCTGGGCTCTTTTAATGACATTAGGTCGGTTTATGATGATTACTGAGACATGGTTTGAATCTGGCAGGTGGACATTTTACAGATAAGCACTGATTTATCATCGGAGCACAACGTTAAGCTGATATATTACAGTAACACTAGACAAAACCCTCTACTATTTCTTTTTTAAATTAAAAGATTAATACAAGTTAACTTTGGTTTCCAGCTCTCTAGAACTATACTGTAAATCTGTGGCAGTTTAAGCTGTAAGTAAAAGTTAAAAATCGACAGTATAGCAGCCTTAAGCCAATATGAATACGACACATAGATTCACTTTTTAAACATTTTTCTTATTGTAGCAGCCAAGAAGAAAATGTAGTTACAGTGTGATTCTGTAGAACAGGAGAAAAAAAAAGAGAAAATTAATATTTCATCAAAGTAATGTTAAAAAATCTGTGATCTGGTACCTCTCAATAAATAGAAAATGCAACTTTTTTCACTGTTATTTGTCTTCTAGCCTATTCTGTTATAAATATGATTACACACAGTGAAGATCTGTGACAGAATCTTTCATCCATGCAACAAAGAAGTTGAAGAAAGAAAATGAAAAAGAAAGAAAGAAAGAAAAAAGAAAGAAAGAACCACTTTTCCAACTTGATAAGTACAGTTAACAACAAAATATTTTGGAGCCTGTGAGCATTTTCCAAAATTTCTATCTGACTGTAACACAAGACAAACATCGATAAAACAGGCTGAGAGGAGTGAATCAATGACGGGGTGCATCTGCAGGACCAGGCGAGGAGGGACATCTCAGGTTCCAGTTCGTAGGACAAGCTGGCTTCAGTCCTAAAACTAAAACCCTGATGTGAGGGTCTTCTCAGTCCACGTCAACAGTCGTCTTTGTCGGAGTGGATTTGCATTAAAGAGTCCCTGTGAGAGCCCAGGGGACGCATGTTGACAACCCTCAGCGAGCCCGAACAATCGGGCTAAAAATGGACTGAGTTAAAAATTTAAAAAGCTGCAGCAGGAGCGAAATAGAAAAGAGCTGATAGAGTTGCATGATGATGCTTTTAAAGGGGATGCTTTTAGTCATTCACGTCACTTTGCTGAAGGAATGCACATTGGAATTTGTTGCTCGGGTCTTCTTCTTGCTGAAGAAACAGAATCAAATCTGTACGCTTCTTCAACCTATCTACTATTTTGTGCTGTGCTCAACTTTTCTGAGTATACGCACTGATTTTCTCCTGCATCACTCCTGGAAAGTCCTCTTCTTTTCTAAAAGTAATACCACCCAATATGGGGTTTGCAGCAAAAGTTAACACCAAAGAAAAAGCCAAAGGGCTTTCTGTGAAACCTCAGTCTTTCATTTGCTCTTCCTCGAACACGTCAAAGTCCAGTCAGGGTGTGTGTATAATGGTGCGGTGTGTTCAGAGTTCACTGGAGCTGTCTGAAGCAGTAGACACACATAAACTCACCGGTAGTAGTGAGCAGTTTCCATTATACATTCTGAGCAGCTGTTCTGCTCAGTGGAGGAAGTCCTTTGAAGGACGGCTGCAGGGGTGGGGTGAGTGGGTAACTGGAGTCAGTCATAGTTCAAACGGGGTTCTTTACCCTAACAAGCAGGGGCGGGGCCTTGGCAGCTTCCTTTCCAGTGTGGGCTGTATTGTCCTCACAAACCCCCCCCATCATCATCATCATCATCATCTAGGCCTCCAAACAGAGGTCCCGTATGAACTCTGACACATGCAACTTCTAAGCTAACACTCAACATTCATGCTATAACTAGTACAGAAGCAGGCAGAACAAAAATAATCCCCCCCTTCTCCTCAGATGTTCTCAGCTTAGTGCGATTACATCTAAGCTGCCTTTTTTCCAGGACGTCCTTTGCTCACTTCGGGCCGTGCATCTGGCTGCTCCAGTTGTTTTTGATTTGTGTCTGTTTTGACATGAAGGGTGAGAAAGAGGGAGTTTTTCGGAGAGAGGCCCTTTGAAGAGAGCCAGATTCGGAAGAGTCTAAGGATTGTCTCTGAGGGGTCAAGGGCATCCTTAAAAGAAGAAGAGGAGGAGGAGGAGGTGTGAAGTCTTGCTGGTAAAAAAAAAATAAAATAAAATAGAGGGGCTTGTTCACTTCTGTGTAAGATATGCTCCAATGGTGAGGCTAGCTGCCCCGAGTGCTGCCAGACCAAACACCGTCTTGATGGAGGGCCAGGAGCAGCTGAAGACCGAGTCCCTCTGTCTGTCGTACAGCTCAACAAAGGCATCCTAGAGACAGATAGACAAGAAAAGGAGACAGAGTTAGTTGAGCTGTCAAAGAAAATGTGTTTTTTTGTTTGCATTCCTGCCTCTGCTGGTTATCTAGCATGTCAAGTCTGCAGGAAAGCAACAGAGAAGATCAGTATTTTATGTTGCAACAATTCACAGAAACCACTATTATTTTATTCATGAAAACTGCTTCTGGGTTGATTTAAGTGTGTAGTATTTTATGGCATCGAGCCATTAATCCGCTCATTACTGCTTCTTTTACCAAATCCTATTAAGTGTATAAGAACAACGGCAGAGGCCTAAAAAAAAGCAGTCTGTAATAAAAGAGATAAACTGTCTGAAATCATGGACAACACAGCAGCTACCCAAAGTGAAGCCAAAATATTTAGAGCTCCCCCTGGTGACTGACCACAGTGTAGATCTTAAAGGGATATTCAGGCATATTCCGGCAACACCGAGTTACACACCCTGTCGAGAAATGAATGTTGCCCACCTCTTGCCTCTCTAGTTATACCATCTTTAGCAACGACCGCACGACAGCAATACACAGCAGTCTGAGGAGCCGTAAACAAACCTCAAACAAAACGCCACTCTATAGCCACAAATAATGCTCAGAACAGCACCTAACTTCATCAACAGTACATATAGGGTCCTAGCCATAATATTAGCCACCAAACATCTTTTTAACTTTGCCTAATTTCTTTAGCAAAGAGACTAAACACAACTCACCTTCTCTCTTCCAGCAGCCGCTTGTTAGTAGCGAGACCTCAGGCCGGTCCATTACGGAATGTTGTGGGGTGACACAGCTCAAGGAAGAACATTTATGATCATTTCTTCATGAAAGTGCAATCAGACAAAGATGCTAAGGCAGAAGAACTACCGCGTCTGCAGAGCAAAATGATTAATATGGTGATTATTGCTTCAAGGAAATGATAACGAAATGATCGTAAATGTTCTTCCTTGAGCTGCGTCACCCCACAGCAGTTTGTAATGGACTGGCCTGAGGTCTCGCTACAAACAAGCGGCTGCTGGAAGAGAGTAGGTGAGTTGTGTTTCGTCTCTTTGCTAATGAAATCAGGCAAAGTTAAAAAGATGTTTGGTGGCTAATGCTGTCGCTGGGACCCTATATGTACTGTTGATGAAGTTAGGTGCTGTTCTGAGCATTATTTGTGGCCATAGAGTGGTGTTTTGGTTGAGGTTTGTCCTTCCCAGACTGCTGTGTATTGCTGTCGTACGGTCATTACTGAAGTTGGTATAACTAGAGAAGCAAGCGGTCGGCAACATTCATCTCCCGAGGGGGTGTCTACCTTGGTGTTATGGTGTGTTTGACCCTAAATTAATTTAACCCCAGAATATCCCTTTAAAGCTGGCTCAAACATGAGAAAACTCTAAGTAACGTCAGAGTTCTTGAACTTTCCTTAACTTTAAGGTCTGCCATAGACCAACTCAAGAACATGTCATGTTTCTTGACTGGACTAAACTGAGAAAGCTTTGATGTTTTACCAGTGACTGTCAATAGATTGATATGAAACCATAAAACAGTTAATTTAAATATTATTTTATGATACCATAAGCACCAAAACAAAACCGGCAAAACTACACCTTCACTGGAATGGATCAACAGCGAAATACTTCAATAAACCAACCCTTCCCTGTACAGCGCTCCTCAGGGTAAGTGTGAAAACATCTTTCTTAACATTTGTGTGAACTGACCCTTTAAAATGTAAATCCCTTTGGCTATCACCAAATATGGGTGGAAATGGGGTGTTATTACACTCTCACTCTGAAAGAAGCTCTGTTAATGCTCATCAGCTCTCACACCTTCCTACTCACAATCTCACGCAGGAAGACACACACACACACAGATACACATACTAGACAAACAGGGGAATCGCCACTCACTCACAACTGCATGTCGGCAAATTTTGGAGGTTTTCTAGCATGTGGGTGAGTGTTGCAGCGCTCGGGCATTAATATATTAATGTGACTCTAAGGGGAGTTGACTTTCTGCTGCTAACAGGAGTTGAAAAAAGGGGGTCTGCATCAAATCTGACCGTGTATGTTGGATTCTGTTAAGCAAATACCACGACAGTGTGTCCTAACATGGAAATACAGACATCTGCTCGTGAGCAGTGACAGCAGGAACAGCTGGACAGGAAGTCATGGTGCTAAGCTTGTAGCTCTCCCACACACTCACACACACACACATTCACAACACAATTAGATTATCTGGAACCAAGCGAGAATAGAAGAAAGAGTGTATTTTAGAGAGGCTCAAAAGTGGATCTGTGGTTCTCTTTTGACTATCAAGTCTTTAAGCTAACTGTATTAGGAACCGACTTGTTAAGAGCTAAAAGTACTCCCTTTGTAACTTGACCTATCTGTGAACAATAGTGAATTGTTAAGTTTAATTTACAATAACATTACTATGTCAGCTCCCACAGGAGGTCATCATTATTCTATTTTAATCTGATTTCACTCAGTTTACCTACAGTAATTATGTTGTGTGTAGTTCTAACTGGAATACACACGTTTAACTCGACCTTGAGGAGGCATAACTGGGTCATTACACTCCTCTCTACAAGTGTCACATTTCTCTTTTATCAAACAAAAGCCCAGTGCAGACTAACAAAAAAAAAGGAGATCCATTCTGAAGTGCTGCGGGTAGACAAAAGTATTTCCTGTTTCCCCTCTCCTCCCTTTCCGTCCTGTTGCATTCCTGAGGCGGAGGGTTAGCTGGTGACACAGAGGAGGAAGGATCAGCAGTTTCTTCCCGGTTTAGGCCCTCTGGTGTCTAAACACAGTGCGCTCTTAAATCAGCCAGTAATATCTTTAACCACATGGCATTTCCTTTGTTGCAGCTGAGCAGTTTTAATTAGCAGAAGCTAAAACAGGCATGAGAGTGAAATCATCACCGGGAACGGCTAAATAACACAGGCTAATGTGGACACACTGACAAGGCTAAAATGTAAATCCGAAGCAGAGATGTATTAAAAGCTTTTACATGAATTGCCATTGTACCACAATAATTTGGCATGTTGGCAAATGAAAATGCTGGGGTGTAATGATATATTTCTGGATATACTGGGGGGAAAAATCAACACAGTCAATGTGATTAACCCTTTGTTAAAGGGATATTCCGGCGCAAAATTAATTTAGGGTCAAACACACTGTAACACCGAATTAGACATCCCGTTGAGAGATGAATGTTGCCGACCGCTTGCTTCTCTAGTTATACCGACTTTAGTAACAACGGCACGATAGCAATATAAAGCAGTCTCAGGAGCCACAAGCAAACCTCAACCAAAACGCCACTCTATAGCCACAAATAATGCTCAGAACAGCACCTAACTTCATCAACAGTACATATAGGGTCCCAGCCATAGCACTAGCCACCAAACATCTTTTTAACTTTGCCTAATTTCTTTAGCAAAAAGACTAAACACAACTCACCTACTCTCTTCCAGCAGCCACTTGTTTGTACAGAGGCGAGTCCAGACAAGTCCATTAGGGACTGGTGTGGGGTGACGCAGCTCAAGGAAGAACATTTATGACCATTTCTTTATAATTTCCTTGAAATAATAATCTTCATATTGATAATTTTGCACTGCAGACGCGGTAGTTCTTCTGCCTTAGTGTCTTGATCTGAGTGCATTTCCGTGAAGTAAATCATAAACGTTCTTCCTTGAGCTGTGTCACCCTGCAGCAGTCTGTAATAGACTGGCCCGAGGTCTCACTACAAACAAGCGGCTGCTGGAGGACAGTGGTTAAGTTGTGTTTAGTCTCTTTGCTAAAGAAATTAGGCAAAGTTAAAAAGATGTTTGGTGGCTAGTGCTGTGGCTGGGACCCTATATGTACTGTTGATGAAGTTAGGTGCTGTTCTGATCATTATTTGTGGCTATAGAGTGGTGTTTTGGTTGAGGTTTGCTTGTGGCTCCTCAGACTGCTTTATATTGCTATCGTGCGGTCATTACTAAAGTTGGTTTAACTAGAGAAGCAAGCGGTTGGCAACATTCATCTCTCGAGGGAATGTCTAACTCGGTGTTACAGTGTGTTTGACCCTAACTTAATTGTAGCTGGAATATCCCTTTAACAACAAACATCTATGCCCAGGTTTGTGCTAATCCATTCGACACATTTTGACTTGATAGATGAATTGGGCAGCAGTCTATCAGCTTGTAAGGGGGTTTCATTTTGGAGCAAAGTTGCTGGCTAGCTGATTCTGACATCCCTTGTTTCTTGCATGGCTAATGGGTATCCAATGTAAATAAATAAATAAAGTACTCTGAACAGAGGCTACTTTTCAGCAAAGAAACCCAGGATCCAGGTACTAATTAGAGAACAAGCCTCTCAGTCAGACCTCCCGCTGCAGTGAATGTGTTAGTTGGCAAAAACACACCCTCCATCTTTTTTTTTTTTCCACCTACTCCAGGAAAATCACAGTTTGCTGAGGCAACAACTAAAACCAGTCACTGTGTCCAGCAGCAAGTACATGTGACTGACCGCTAGCACGGCCCCTCAAAATGGCAAACTCATGATGTGTGTCCTCAATATGTCCCAGACAGTCGGCATAGATTATCATCTATTTAAGTCTGAAACAAAAGTGGGCCAATTACAGTAAGAGGTTTGTAAGAGCGGTGATGGATGTTTAAAAGAATCCCACTGGGCCACGGACGGTAATAACTCCAGAGTGACCCAGGGGAGAGCCGGGAAATAGAGATAGAAGAGCGAGGGCGGGAGGGAAGGAGGGTGTCAGGTGGATATCATGAGACTGAGGCATGCTCTACTTCAGGACAGGGAACTTTTTCACCCACACGTTACTAAGAAGTGCTTCCACTAACATGTGAGAAAAAAAAAATCTCTATTTTTCTTTCCTGTCCTCTTTCTACCTCTTCCTCCTCCTCTATTGACATTTTTTTATGAAAAAGAAAAATAATAATAAGCAGCTTGCAAAGGAGAACATTGAAGGTTGTCAGGGGAAGGAAAGGACAATTCATCACATCAACAAAAGACTCCATAATCCTCAAAAACTCATCTCATTGCCCGAAGCAAACCACCTGCCACCAGCAGCAGGTGTGCATCTGGGAAATAAAGTCTAGGCAGCAGTTCTCTACAGTATTCATTCTTTGGATCAATGGCTTTTTAAAGGTCACAGCCGCCCTACAGAAGCTGAGAACCCAATGGGAAAATGCCTAGCCGGGTTTACACACTCGCTTTCCTTCGTTTTTACTGCACACAATGAATCCCTTAGAGACACACACATACAGAGTAGAGATTCAACAGCGAGGACTTGAGAGGATCCAGCACTCAGCCATGGGGTGGCAACTTTCTGCCCGAGTGTCATGGTTACCCGAGCTGGAAGCTTCACACATGATTTGCTTTTCCCACCAGCGGGAGAGGGACTGTCCTCGACCCCTGATTTGTTTTTCTCATGATTTGGACCTCTGGGTTTTTGCTCAGCGTCTTTCGCATGGAAACAAAGAGATTTTTCAGCGTTGTCTTCCTTGGATGCCTTACACTATCTTAAGGGTAACAGGAAATACCAAACATCCGCTAGTTCCTTTGGGTATCCCTGCACCACTGGGAATGATACCTCAACTTATGTGGGAGATAATGAGTCATCTTCTGCGCTTGGCTGGTTAGTTAAACCCCGAGCTGCGCTTTTGCCGAAACAGTGAAAATGATTAGGGCCGTCATCTCTGTTTTGGGATGTTTCTGTGGGTAATTGCGGGAAGACCAAGACTGAGAGAAAGGGATGTGGGTTAAAGTTCAACTTGTAATTAAAGTCCCTTTTGTGGCTCCGCTGCTATATTCACCTCTGAACCGAGCCTCTCCCTATACGCTCTGTTTATTTCCTAAACATCCACGTAGTAATGCACTGATTATATTGCAAATGCTGCCGCTGCCGCCCCTCTTTGATTTCCTAATGAGCATCTTGCCGACTCCTCGGCAGCTCATTAAAGTCAAACAAAATTCTCTTTTCTTGAGCTGAGGAGGAGTAATGGCTGTAAGAGAGAAAAATGCAAGGACGGCATTAATGTCCTTTACAATCGATCTGCTTTTAATGCAGCTGTGATGAAAAAAGGAATCCTCCCCAGACACAATAGGTGAAGCTCTTGTCTGGAAGCAAGGTCAGGCTCGATTGAATCTCAGGAGTGTCATCCATTGACTTGTCTGGCAAAAATGAGATGACGGAGGAGTTTGTTGGCTTTCTCATTATCCGGTGAATCCCTGTGTGTCAGCACTGCCCAACAGCTTGGAGCTGAGGACACTGAGCCCTTCACTACACTGGGAAAATAATGCAACCCTTGGAAACAATAGCCTCATACCGAAGTGACAGAGAATGGGTCAAAAAGCTACAAGCCTGGAAAATAAACCCTTAGAGGAGCCTTTGTTTTAAAATACATACGTACCGAGCTCAGGCCTCAATCCATCTGTACGTTTACATGACACTCGAGAAAACCGAATTATTGCCTCACTCCGATTAAGACCGGACAACTGAAGTGAATTTAAACACCTTAGTCTGACTATAATCAGAGTTCAAGAACTCCGATTGGGGTCTGAGAACTCTGATTAAGACACCCAGATAATGCGATTGAAATTCGATTTACTCCACCATGTAAACAGCGTAGTCGTAGTATAATCGGACAATGCATGTGTGCATGTGTACAAAAACACCAGAGAAGAAGTGTCACTATCATTTAAAGAACTTTTGACTCAGAAGCATCAGCAACATGACTGAAGCATGAAAAAATGTCCACTTTTGGAACGACGAGGAGAGCGCCGTTTTGCTTTCCGTCCTGACAGAAATGGACATTATAAAGTATATGGACAGTCGCAAAACGAGGAACAGAGACATCTTTAAAAAAGGTCCGGAAACAGTGCTGCTGAAAAGACCCATATCGCCCCCTAGTTTTGGGGAGGAGGACACGTTCACGTCAATAATTCGAGCTTAGTCTGATCAAGTTGTGCATGTAAACGCACTGAATAACAGAAATTATCCAGGTACCATTTTGCAGCTGGTACAAGATTGCCAAAACTTATTAATGTACTGGCTCTATCAGATGCTTATGTATTTCTGTCATTCTTTATATCATTCTTTAACATGCTCTACTTAACCGGTTCCCCAGACAAGCAGTGACTCCAGGAAGTAACTTATCCCATCAAAAAGTGGTTAACCACATGACCTTTTGAAGTTGCTGGTTGCATGCTAGGACACCTTTTTCACTTTGTTTCACAGTGGGATGCAGAAGCGGATCTTTGTTCTGGGGCTGTTTCAGAAGTTCAGTGTGGTGGTATTGATGTTCTGCAAAATCAATTGACGCAGCAAAAGCATATAAAAGATCAGCAACCGGATTAGACTATGTATATGTCTTTGTTCACCTTTTTTTAATAGGTGCACTGAGCTGCTGGGAGACATTCAGCTCTTACCAGTGAAAACAGGATTGTCCATCTTTATAGGTTGAATCATGAGTAGCCATGGAGAAAGTTCATTGACACTTAACAGCCTTTAAAAAACGCCTTATTTTTAACACAGGCCTATAAATTCCCCGCCCACTACAATAACACCCTTCTAATTGCTCGAAAATGTCAAGTCTTTGGTTAAATGTCAGTCTGTGTAATAAAAAGAGAACAGAAAGAAAGTCCTGACTTGAATCAGAAGAAACAGGAAACCTTTTTTAATTTGCTCTCCCTTTGGTTTTCTATTAAAGACTCAGGTTTCATACTTGTGAATGTACATTCATTGAACTCGTCTGTAAAGGAAAGAACATCTTTGACGGTGCTGGATCCTACCCTTAAGGCTCATAAATATTCAAATTTCCGTCAGCGGCGGCAGCATTTGTGTGTTTACAAAACAGCGCACTCTCCCGTGGGAGTGAGCCTGCTCTACTGGAACAAGAAACGTGATCGCCAGTAAATCACCCACACTCCTCATGACACTCTGCGTATTTTTATTGTCTCCATTTTTCATTGTCTGAACCAGTAGATAAATGAGGACTGTAACTTTACACAGGAGACTTTGGTTTCTTTGGAAATGAATAACGCTCCACTTGTTTTTTTTATCCCATCAAAGGGGCAGGAGGAGGAGGAGAACCACTGGAGTTAAACCATCCAATTTGTGCAGTTTTCTGAGAGTACAAACATTTCAGATCTTTCACTTAACCTTGACTGAGTGCTTATTTAATCCTTACAGCCCCTTTATTCTCACTGAGCCTATTGAATTGTATTGACCAGCTTTGATCCAAACATGAAATGAAGCTCTGGCTGACCTTGCAGCCTCTGAGTGGACGGACGCAGACTGGGTTTGCTCTGCTTTCACTCGCTCTCCCCTCCGTACACCTTTCTGTAGCTCAGAGTGTATCACTTACAATCACACTTCTGCATGCAAGAGACATCAAAGGAAAAAGAAACCTTTTCCTTTACGATTAATCTCAGTATCTCATTTCTTGGCTCTGATTTTCACCTTGAAACCTATTTCAGCCTGTACAATTGAGTCCAAAAATCCTTCACAGCTGCCCAAAATTGGCACAATGGCTTTCTCACACAGAGACAATGCAGCTGAAAGAGGATGTCTGCCTCATCTGGGGATGTCTGCACTGAGCCCATCCGGCCCCTGAGCGGAGGAGGAAGTGACAATAGTAAAACAGGACAGAAGCGGCAAGACTGTAGTGTTGCTAAAAATATCAAGACGTTCCATCTGGGCTCCTGGTTCAGGGCTACAGGATCTAATCAAACAAGTCTCCTCTCTGCCACTCAGCCAGATTTTAAAAGGCCAACCATGACGTGCAAAACCAGAGGTAGGGAAAGGAAAAAAGGGGCCGCTGAGTCATCACGCACGCTGGTGTATTTAGAGTGCATTAAACCTGGCTTGAGTGGCTTTTCAGTAAAGACAGGATGTCAGCCACTCCGATGTCTAATAGCCCTGCGTTCTCTCCTATGAAACACCGCACATCGCATCCACTGTTCCCATGACGTCTTCGCGGCTTTGGAAATTCATGTAAACCCGCCAAAGCCAAAGATAATCGTGCGAAACCCTTCATTTGATGTCATTCCATTTGAATTCTACACACAAGAATTTGCAAGGACACTTGTATAAAGAGCCACTTGGTGAATTAAAGTACTCTGTGGCATTTAAAACTCGTAGAGGCACTTAAGAGGACGAAAAGGCTTCACATTCACTCTGCAGTTTGGGTTAATGATTAAACACAAGAGGAAAACTTTCACATTTCAAACCCCTGATAAAACAGCTTTAAATCAGCGCTGGAGTGCTGTTCGCAACAACCGGCACACTTCCTGTATTGATAAAAAACGGAGCGTGGGATCCCCCCTCATAGCTACACTTCACTGCTTGATTGGGACAGATAGAGACCTCTGATAAAGACCGTGGGAACCGGCAGATTCCCAGGTGGCCTGTTGCTTCTTCTGTGACAAACAGGGCCTATGGGAAGGACTAATTTCCTGAAACAGGGGCGGCACACTGCTTCAAGCTTTTAAAGTCATATTCGATGACCCCCGCTGACCTTTAGACCACACAACCACAAGCACAAATGCAGTGGAGCTGAAAATAGACCGAATGATGTGAGCCAGAAATGACCAGTGTACCCGATATAATGAATGAAATGTGTGGGAGCACCATCTGCAGCTTGCTTCATGTGCAGTCTGATTGTTCTGGGCTTGAAATGAAGTCACTTTGTTTTGGTTTTACTTGAAACGAAGCATTCAGCTGTTCCACTGCGTCAATGTGCTTTTGTTTCCGAGCCCTCATGTAACCGAATGACACAATCCCGATGTTCAAAGAGCTACTTTTTGAGGCAGCAGTGATTGGGGAAGTCTTTGTAAAGGAGCTTGACAGTTCAGTTGCCGTTAAGTCACTTCCTGTGCCAGATGCTGTGGGGATGACATCACCGTCTGGTTTTAAGACCACGGTTTCTCTGTGACACAGCCAAGTATGGTTAAATCACAGATTCTGTGCGGGTAACTAAGAGAGTCTCAAGGCAAGCCAAACATGTAGTCATACTAATGCCGTGGAGAAAGGGTGGGGGTGGGAGAGCTATGGTTGGTTAGACACTGTAACTAAGAGATTTCTGTTTGTTTTGAACCATTAACTGACTCCTAAATCCCAGGCAACTTTTATGATCAGAAAAAGCAGGCCTGCTATAGTTCGTCCTTTGAAGGAGCCCCTGTAATTTAGAAAGTACCGCCAAACAAATCAAGAGTAATATCATCTAATAAAGAATAAAACATGTCAGGGAGGCAGAAAGTATTAGAACATCAAAGCCAGTCGCCTTTCAAAGTCTCCTCTTTCAAACGGCAGAGTTCGACGGCTGAATGAAAGCTCGCCAGTTTTGGCAACAAGATATTGGAGCAGTTTATGTGATTGGAGCTCACAGAGGCCAGGTTTCAGGTTCAGTAGTGTTCTCCATGTTAGCCATGTAAATGAGAGAGGCCACAGTCTGGATGAGGGCATGTTGAGAGCACATCGAGGAGCTCAGATGTCCGATAATGCCGGAGAAAACAACCGAGTGTTTGTAGTGAGGTTCCCTGAGGAACACCTTTGAAGTGGGGAGTAAGGAAGGCACATTGAGAAGTCAAAGGGAGGACATTTACCGCCTGTGATAGTAACTACGCACATTTACTCAAGTACAATACTGATAGCACCTGTGAGGAGATTATCGCTGGTTATGAAACAGGGTTAACTGAGATTAAACTACATAACCAGTGATAGATAACCACCAGAGAATGGACTGGTTATCCCTGTATGGATTTTTTCCATGCCTGTAGATGCTGCTATCTATTAGGGGGTTGGACAAAGAGATTAAAAGCACTTTTTTTGTTTGTTTTCACATCTTCCACAACAAAATTAACTTCAGGTATAATTGCACAAACGGCAAATGCACAGCCAATTCACAACTAATGCAAAGCCAAAAGCACAGACTGCAACTCCAGGCGTTTAAACATATTACATATTCATCCTGACATGGTTTCAAACCGCAGACAACACCGGCAGAAACTTGTTGACGCTGCTCACGAATTAGCTATCTGTGGCTGGAACAATAAAGTCATCAGTTTTGCTGCCAGACAGTCATGCTGCCATCCTTGTGATCAAGTGGTCTTAAGTAAGTTGAGGGGAAAGTTCATGTTCAGTATCAAGACTTGACAGTGACCTTTCAGACGGGTGAGATTTCATGAATGACATCACCCACTTCTGCTTCAATGATGATGAATTTCTTGCTCTCCAATTTTCAAACAGCAGTATTTATAACCCAGTCGGATTGACAATAGAAACTGATTCATCATGTCCCATTAAAGTGTCTAACCACAGCCTCACTGTGGGTCGCCACGGCAGACGTCCTGCTGCTGTGGACCTGTGGCCTGCTTTTCAGGGTCGCTTTAACTACATGCACCAGTCCTACCAGTTTTAGCCCCGTTACAAAGCTACTGTTAATTTATTAGTCAGTTTCACCATTTTTATAAGCTAATATTCAACTACACTCAAATATAATGAACTATATCATGAATGCTATCTAAAGACTGTATATACTACGGACAACTTGGTTCCGCCTTTCGCCAGTATACAGATTTGAAGCTGAAAAGCTCTCGGTATTTCTGCGTTTTTTTCTCCACTTTCTGAAACCAACATTGTGCAGTAGCGTTGTACGCACTCCACCACTTTCGCAGTAGGATTGTATGCATTCGGTGGGAGAGTCGCTGTGATGATGCTTGGCTCAAACTGCGTATCCCCTGGGTGAGCTATGCAATCTTTGTACTCCCATAGGCTGTATCAGGTGTCAATCATAGAAAACATGAACATCCAAATAACTTTTAAAAATGGAGCTGTACAGAAAAAAAGAGGACTTGAGCACAAACCAGTCTTACAATAACTACATGTCAACACTGCAACCAGGGGGGAGAAAATTTGTTCACAGCCCCATAGGGATTGCTAGAGGAGGCGGGATTTATGACCTATACTGCAGCCCGTCACCAGAGTACGCTGTTCTCGGGGTGGCTTCACCCAGCATGGAGGCAGACACTGTCCATTCTATATACAGTCTATGACGCTATCACTGCTATGCTTTTACTAAAGACCTGTTGATTCTATTTGTCATTACACAAACTAAGATCAGTCTACTATCATGAGCATGCTGTTCCTGTAAATAGTACACAGACTTGTTCCATAATCTCTGGCCTTGAAACCATACATCTTAAAGTATTATTGTGATTTTTGTTTATCTCTGTCCATCTTTTTCTTTCTCCATCTCCTTCTATCTCCTTTCTCATCGCAATGCAGTATCAGCCGATGACTGTGTAACATGAGTCTGGTTCTGTTCAAGGTTTCTGCCTGTTAAAAGAAACTCTTTCCTCTCCAAATAGTTGCTCAAGTGGTACACTCCCACTGTAGTTGAGTTGGAGTCAGTTTGATCTTACAAGATGAGACTCAGTCTTATCCCATCTTTACAATGGATTATTGTCAATGTCATGAAGAGTACGGTCTAGACCAGCTCTTTTTGTTGAGATAACATTTGTTGTAATTATTTTAAAATTTTCATCTTCAAATCTTCAAGTGTTTGCTACAGGATGTTTCCCTCTCACCTCATTTATCACACTGAATTATACACTGTTGTTAAGTCCACTTTTTGAGATTTTGCCTTAAAAAACATGAAATAAAAGTTAAACCCGAGGCTCTGAATATTTTTTGTAAGTCAGTTCTGTTTGGGAAGACAAACACAAACAAGGAAAGAGGGTCTAAATGTGTGACTTGAGTCACAAATCCCGTGCAGAAGATGAGGTCATTCAAAACAAGAAGGAGGAGGGACCCGATATTTATTCTTACACAACTGAACTTAGGGCTGAGAAATCATAAATCCACAGTCTAGATTTTGCTCACTTATTAAAAGCAATCTCAGGAATGAACTCAGACGTTCTCCTCCTCCTCGCTCTGCTCTGCCCTCCCCCCTCTCCTTGTCTCCGCTCTCAGGCTGGGAACACTGCATGGAGAAAAGTTCAACGACCTCTCTCAGGCAACCAGCTGATTTTCATCCAGGGGGGAGAGGAATGAGAGGAATGCATTGATGTGCACAGACAAACAACTGCACTGTGTGAGCTTGAGAGGGGCCAGATATAAGGAGGAACCAACCTTGAGATAACCAAGTGGACTGAAAGAAACAAAGCAACTCCTCATACGTTCATTATGTATTATATAACTACATTTAATTCCTCCTTAGCGGTTGATAGATGTAATTAAATCCCAACCTAGCAGTTCAAAAGGCAGCTTCTACTCCTGATCCATTTATTCTTTGGTCCGAGTTCAGTTGTGACCCTGGAGAGAGCCATGCTGGGCTTTTAAAAGGTCTGATTGTTTGAACTATGTGGAGCAGGATGGCTCACTCGAAGCTGTGTGACCTTCCCTGTCTGTATGCAGAGAGAGCAAAAGGAAACAAGCACAGGCTACCTGATGAATGATAATCAGTATGCCTATTGTGACGCTGAAGGTCTGGAGTGAAAATGTGCAGAAAGCTAATAAGGCACGGCAGTTTCATAATAGAGGAGGGGGGTTTCTTTTTTAGCTTTTTCTCGGCGGAATAGTCCCAGAAATGTCTTTATTGGTATTCAGTGAGAGAGTGGCCTTGACTTCTGCTATATGGTGAATTTTAAAAACACACCGCCTTAAATAGAGACCTGAATCACACAGAAAACATGCATCCATATAGTAAATTTAGCTGCAGGTGCTTTTTTTAAATTCTTCTGTCTGTGCTATTTAATGCCTATGTGGAGGTTTCACAACTAAATTCCTCCACCTTCCAAGTCAGCAGATGGATCAGCTGAGAATCAGATGATGGTTTGGTCAGATGACTTTAACAGGCAACTTCATCCAACTTTGCTCCATAAATGTCTACAACGTGAGTGAGCTAATCTATGTTTACTCCTGACGTCAAACTCCTACAGCGTGAACTCCAATCAAAACACGTTACTTCGCTTGCTCCGTGTTGCTTTGGTCTTTCAACTCTGGTGGCCTTATCCCATTTTGCCAACCATCCGTTCTCTTTTTTTTTTCCAGCAATTACCCAGCTAGTCTCGACCTCGCTGCAGCCCATGTGGCAGGAAGAAGGACCTGGCTGCCTGTTTCTCACCATATAAGCTGTCTCTGCTTGCTTGGCTTTCAATCTCCTCCTCCTAAACCCTGTTAGCCTCACCGCCTGATCAAAGACACCTTGTGAAGTCCAGGTATTTCATCCAGGAATATATTTTTTAACCCATGCAATGTCCTCCCTGGAGTGCAAGAATTTGGACTCACATTAATTCAAATCTGGAGACATTGAAGGTCAAGGGGATCTGGTTGCCTGTCGTGATGGATTGGGTGGTATCAGAAAATGAGTTTGCAAAACTGGCTGATAATTTGACACTGTGATTATCAAAGGTCAAATACATGTAGATTAAAGTAGAGAAAATGCATACTTAAGGGGCTCTTTATTTTACAGCTTTTACAGCACAAAGAGCCACAAAATGTGAAAGATAAATGAAGCACTTTATGGGTCAATTTGCAGAGTTAATTAAACGTCTGGTGGTTAAATTTGCCCACTAGAGACTCGTCTAGACATGTCAAAGTTAACACTCTTCTATAAAGAAAAAAAAAGAGGCGCCTGACATTACTGAATCCAGGCGTCATAAAAAAATTGCCCTACAAGTCATAAGATGATTACATTCGGAGAACATACACAGTAACATTGTCAAAAAATACCAAAAAGTGTAAAATAAAATACCTGAGAAGAAAAGGAATCACTGCCATGTGTCAAGATTCGATACTGCATGTTTTCCTTGAGGGATCCATCATTATTTGAGGTTGTAATGACAATCCAACACCCAATTAAAGGCAGTACATTGATGTAACGTAACACTATTAAAACTGGGTATGCCCCTGTTGGCAAGCGATCCTTGTCAGGGTGCTCTCAGGAAACAGCAGGGGTTACATACATATACAGCCGCAGAATGTCTGCTCCCCTGACAGGATTTGGTTGTAGATTTTGGCGGATGTCAAGAGTTCACGACGGCAGGGAGTTTTCTGAAACCCCTGAAACACAATGTAGCTGCAGCAACGTACCCTTGGCAGAGCTTTTATCTTCAAACGCCAGGGTCGCATAGTTTTCTCTGTACTTCAAACCCAATCAGTCGCCGTCAAAGGTGACTGCCAACAGGGTGGTGCTGCTGGGAGAGATTTACCAGAGGGCAAGAGCTCTCAGTATCAACATTAAACTGCTAAAACATCTCGCCAAGGTCTTCCACTGAGATGCTTTCTCCTACATCACGAGTTTCAATAAATCACCTTCATAACGCAGCTGAACATTTACAGCCACCAGTTCACTGTGTTAATTGAGTCTGAGCAATGAGACACTGGCACAAACCGATGGAAATGCACAATCAATACGACATTGTCAGAGTGATATCCAGGCGATGGCTGACCTCACTCAGTGTCCACTGGAACAGATCAGATTTCCAGAGGGCTGTTTGCTCTGCTGGCAAAAACTCTCATTGGGGAGGGGTCCAAAGACTTATTTACCCCAGACCTCCATGGACAGGGCAGAGAAATCTATTTAGCATTATGGGGCTGCTTCTTTTTTTTTTGTTCGTTTTATTTTGAAGGGGGGGCATATACTCAGCATTTCGGAGAAAAGCCAATAATGGCATGCTGCTGTTTGTTAATGGCCAGTGCTGTGGCTAGTTGCACCAGGAAATCCCAGCAGAGATGGTAGTCTGTGTGTGTGTGTGTTCATGTGTGTGTGCATGCCTGTGTGTGTTGAGGTTGAATGGCACGACTAACAGGAAGCAAGGCACCCTGGGGCCATCTGCTCCCTGCCATGGCTCACATGTCACCCTGTGACAACACAGCATTATTGATTCACACCACCACATCCGCTTCTGTGTGTACATGCTGATGTGCCACGCTATAAATGTGTATGCATATGTGTGTGTGTGTGTCTGTGTGTGTGTACACAGCCATTTCGTGGACTGCAAATAACTGATTTGCACCAGTACATCCGCTTCTGTGTTTGTCTGTCTGTGTGAGCATATTAACTCTCTAAACTGTAAAGGGTCAACTAACACAACACATCAAGAACAGTTTCCCTTTTTTGACACTGCAATAGTTCGTATTGTAACTAATAACTGACTCTGCGGCTTCTCTATGCCCTGCATGGTGTTTTAGCATCTTGTAGCTCCTTGTTTTGATTTACAACCTGCAACTTTTTGTTATTTGGTTCCTTTAAAGAGTCTTATCACAAGTTAGGTATTTGCTGAGAAAAAAAGGGACAGAAACTGGTTGGAGCATGTCAACAGACAAAGTTTGTTGACTTTGTGGATGTCACCAATTATATCCTCAGAAGTTAAACTGTCCTGAAAAAGTTCATTTGATTCAGAAAGTGAACTTTCCATATGTTCTAGAGTCATCACACATAAAGTGTCTGAAATTGTCTAAAAGGCCAGAATCATTAGTTAAATTAAATTCTAATGTTGCTATCTTAGGTGTATGAATGGCCAACAGGCGATTCACTATCATGACGATATGAAAATGTTGTCTGTGCAGCTTGTTTTATTTTATATGAACACAAATTTGGTAGTAAAAATAACCAGAGCTCAACCGACATAAAAAAGGGATGTGTTCAAACGTTTCTATTATCAGTATTTCCTCCGAAAACCAGTGCTGCTGGTTCCTGGGAAATTCTTCAAATCTCCATGTTGACATTGGCACTCGGACCAATTCTTTAGCAGGAAAGAGCTCAAGTTAAAACCGTCAATGAAAGCGGGTAAGAAAGGACAATGCTTGTTTGTGTGATTTAATACCCTTGAAGAATCATTCAGGTTATGCTATGTATGCAACAGGCTCCCTCTCTGTGAAAAAAGAAAGCTATTTTTGAGACGCTCCCATATGCATTTGAAACAGCAGCAGCGTTTGTTGCTCTAGAAATTAATTGAGATTATTAAATCTCTTTTAAAAGCCTTATGGGGGCTTGTCCCAAAAATATCTACAGTAGTGAGACAATAGGAGGAACTGTTTAACCTTGCCCTATATTGATATTCTGCGCAGCTTACAAGGGCGTGCCCATTGGCAAAGTCAACTAATGTCTCAGTAGGCTCCTCATTATCAGGCTCCCACCATGACAGGAAAAAGGTAGAAAACTCTTTTATCCTCCCTCTCAAATGATTCATTAGGAGTTTTTTTTTTCATGCAGAGTGGCGGCAGGTTTGCGATGTGAACACTATGATTGCACAGTAGCAAACAGGAAAGGGATTTCTGGGTAACGTGACAATTAGAGGACCACACAAGAGCAGTGATGGCAACGCTTCTAAATTTAGAGGCCCTCTCACATGTCCCTGCATTTTTCAAGAATCCGGAGCGTTACCTGACACTAAAAGCCAAGTCCCAGGGTATTCGCTTGTCGTCTTTGAAGGGATTGAACACGTGGATGTGTGCAAATGAGTATATCTTTGGAGGAGGAAGAGGGTGAGAGAAGAGAGAGAAGAGTGAAACGAAGAGGTAAAGAAGACAGCCTATGGGGTTGCTCTTGAGGGACATCCATTTAGTGTCCGAGTTTATCTGCTCCATATATTATTCATCAGTGTGAGTTCTGACTGGGATAATGGAGCTTTTAAACAGCCCAGGCACGTGTCCCTCATGAAACAGGGAAACAGCAGGTTGATGTGATTAATGATTTGAGCATTATAACAAAAATAAACTCAATCATACGGCTGAATTCAAAACCGCAAATCTGTTGGCTAACATATGTCCTAGAGGCCTCCATGAGGAGTATTTTTCCAAGTAAACAAACAGAAACTACAGGCATACGTCAGAATGCAAATAGCCCAGAGTGTTTCCTGAACGAACCAAGCTTAGCTAACATGATCGTCCAACAGCAAATCCACACACACACACCCTTCTCAAGCGAGGAAGGAAAGAAACACCCAGGTCGTCTCCATTATTTATTTACAGTCACCGTTCCCCCGCAGACATTCCTCCAGCTCTCCTGAGGAGGACCAGAAATATGCGTACAGGACAGGGTGGAGGGTCTCCAGGGAGGAGCAAGGTCGTGGAAACGGGGACACCACCCACAAAACACCAAAATTATTCTCCAGACACTGTTACAGAGACACATTTCTTTGCTTATTGTGTAGCTGGGATTACCTACTGAAACAGACGGTGCACACGTCTGGCGTGTTCACGAATGCTCGGCATGTGAGGAATGGTAAAGATGGTGTAAACATGACATAAAAGAAGGAGTGTCATGTCGAGACATCAAACAGAATGCCTGACCTTACTTTCCAGTCAAAAGTATGAAAAAAAAAACCTTCTGTTTGGGTGAATTGAGCTTTTGAGAGACAGTGTGTTACTCTGTTTTCATGAGACCGGCCTTTTCTATAATTAACACTGACAGCATGTCTACTGTTTGAGGATCAACTTGATTTTATTGTCAGGAAATACAAGACTTGAAGCCCAAATTTTGAATAAAAAAGGTAAATTATTCATCGGGCTGTTTCAGCTGCAACAAAACCTCATGTTTGTTATTCAATGTGGTGGAAAGCTGTAAACCAGGGAAGTAAAGATGTTGCGAAAAGATACTAAACCACAGACAGATCTAAAATCAGCTATTCCACCACAATTTAAGTCAATAAATTAGAAATAAACAGGCTTGTGCTCCAATGACGTGGATAAGAGCTCAGCTACAAGCCCGGCTAATCTAGTCTTCTTATATTCTCTATTGATAAATTGCAGAGACCACCACATGGCCCCTAATGTACCCCACAGTCCAGATAAAGAGATAGATGAGGATAGATGGACAGTGAGAGCCGGTAAGTCACTGGGATTCTCAAGTGGACATCTCTCTTTGTTAAGTTAGGCCCACGACACCTCTGGGAGGCTGAATAGTTATAGCTCCAGTCGTGCTAGAACCGCCTCCCACCATACCCACGCAACAAAAACGAGAACAGAGGAGTAAAAATGAAGAGAAATGTATGTAGAAAGATGTCAGAATGAAGAATGGGAAGGTCTGGGTACGCCATACTTCTCCCCTGATGCGCCACTCTAATAAGGGGTAAGAGGAGACAGAGGAAAACAGAGAAAAGGGGAAGAAGCTAAATAAGGAGGCCCTTCTGAGCTTGAGCTAACTCTGTCTGAGAAGGCTGTATGCTCTACCTCCCCTTTTTAAAAGGAAGTGGGGACAGAGAGAGAGAGAGACAAAATAGGAAATGAATGGTTTTCTGTTCCTTTTGCTTTGCCAACATTACTTCTCCTCTTTGAGATGCACTGACCTTTTTTTTTTTTTTTTTTACTAAAATGAGATATTTGATCCAACCCTCTAACTTTCCATCCTAGCAGTTCAGCTTCTGCTGCCAACTATGCAAACAAGCTTTTTCTCTTCCTGCTAAAATATAGCAGTTCTGCTTTAATTCACACAAATATGTCATTTACCGAGCATTGAAAAACTAATCCTATTACTTTTTCCAATAAAATTCTGTCATTTGTACGGTCAACTTTCTACTTCTTTCATGTCTATGATTCACACCAGTGATCTCGGCATAAAAACTGACCAGAGTAGTCTCTTTATGGTCCTTTAAACTGCACCACCTGAAGTTTATTAGGTGATTAAAGTTGCTCATTTTTCCACTGACAGGACTGAATATTTGGAACAAAGGCTTTTGTCCTCTCAGCTGAGACCCATACAGCACAGCGAGAGTTAAGATCTTTCAAAACCTGGTCCTACAAGAAAGTATTCACGTCATGCTGATTCAGGGGGTTTGGGCACTGAGCTGCCTGTGTCTGTAGGAAATGTTTCTGAGATTACAGTTGCCGGGCTGATGGGTGTATACACAGTGGCAGATGGTGAGCGACCGAGGCCTGCGCAGCAAAAGGGGGTACAGTATAGGGGGGAAATCTTGGCTGCCTCTTGCCACACTGGACTCCTTTGTGCTGTACAGTCTCCATTACACAGCTGAGGGTCCACGTCGAGAGATAACATTGTTTTCAAGACATCCAGCTGAGATTTTTCATTTCTCCAGCAATGAAAATTTGTTGTTATTCCTCTGTTTGGAAAGAAAAAAGTGGGCGGGAGGGAAAAACCCTAAATGCTATTTGCATGAGTAATCATTCGTTCTCCTGATTGCTTGAAACAAAGAGTGAAGTTCATCCCACAGTCTTATTCTGAGAGGCCGGACTGATTAGCAACAACAACAAATCAACAGATGAAAAAAAAGGAACAACAGTGACAGCATGCTGAGCGACAAAGAGAAGATCTGTGGCTCAGCGGGGATAAATCAATCAAGACTTTATGGAGCTCATTACACTATAGTGAGAGCTGTGTTCTCAAATATACCATTCCTTTCGTTGTCAACACAAGCTTCTTTTTGTTAGGGGAACGGTTCAAAGCAAAGGCAAAAATATCCATGACTGCTTCCTAAATATAAATGTGCTCAGTGCTGAGTTGTGTTACATGCATCAAATTTGCATGGAGGAGACACAAATTGGATGTAAGTGAGATCTCATCGGGATTTCTTTCCTTTGAGTGGCTGCATGTGCCACCTTTATAAGGCGTTTATTTGGGTTTTTTTTTCCTCCTCTCCTCCAACATGTCATCTATATGGAGATTAATGACTTCCTCTCTGTCCCACATCCACTCAGCCTCAACAAACGGAGGAGGAGAGGGGAAGGGGGGAGGCGCAGCCAGATGCCCGCAACACTGTAGCAACATGCAGATCCCACCCGTGGACAGGCAGATTGTGCTCAGGGAATCTCCCACAGGATGGACCCAACCCAAGCGCCAACTTACAATTGTCCTCAAACACACACACACCTGTGACACTTAGAGAAATAGGCCACCTAGCTAGCAGCATTTCTCAGACACCTGATCCAACTGTTTAAACATTACATGAGTTTAACTCCTTCCTGTCATTCACTAACTAGATAAGATGACCCATCTAAAGCCATGCAAACGGCTTCGTACAACTGTTGAGCCTAATGCTAGTATCAAGATGCTAATTGTTGATGTTTTGCATACATTAGTGTCAATGCAAAGCTGCAAAGCTAAAATACTTCTGTTCACCTGCTGACACATTGATGTAAATAAGTTCCGGTAACACTTTACTTGATGCCTATCTCTATAACGCATTATAAATATATGTATCTAGTGTTATAATCATGTTATAGCACTGTATAACTATAGCTATAAACATTCATAAATGATCATAATGCCTTATACCAATAATCATAACACATTATAAAGCATTTTATCATGACTTGCAAGGTCATGTATTGTAATGTATTACAACTGTTAACAACTCACTGACTATTAATTATGATTTGTTATAATTTGCTTATAAACTTGTATAACTATCATTATAAACACTCATTAACTATCATAAGGCTTTATAACAATAAGCATAATATCTTTATAGCTTTATATCATGTTATGATTATTGCTTTAAAGCATTATGATCATTTATGAGTGTTTATAACTATAGTTATACAGTGCTATAAAGTGATTATAACGCATTATACATATATTTAAATGCGTTATAGAGATAGACATCAAGTAAAGTGTTACCAGAGTTCCTTTGTAACTTGTCTGAGCTACAATCAGTGTTTTATACTGATGTGAAGCACCTATGAATTCCATGTTTGGCAGAGTAACAGGTTAACATGCAGCATTTAATAAGGATAAAACCACCAAAACATTGGTGCAACAGCGGCCTGACATCAACAGGAGAAGATTGAACATTTTTCAGTGTGTGTACAAAACCACATCATATCCATCATGTGAACTTTCTTAATATCCATTTCGGAGCAGTTCTCAATTAGCTCCCCAAAGTTGTGAAACTGCTGTTTTTCCCCGCTGTGCACATTTTAGCATTTCGCTCCCTGCCGCCCCCTCAGCCAGTCAAATGTCTGAGGTCAAGCGTGTAATTTCACACGTCAGTCCGCCGTCTGCCACTTTGTTCAACCACTTGGTATTTACTGCACAGGCTTGTAAACAAACACAGGTGCACCTCCACGTGCGGGTGAGGCCGCAGCCTAAACGCCAAGGTCCCCTGACGAGGGCAATTTCTGCCACCACAATGGATTAATTCATTCAGGTGGAGAAATGTGAGTGTCCAGGACAATGAAAAGGACAGTGTTTTACATCCAGGCGTGTGGGAAGTAATCATTGCAGAATGGGAGCTGTTTGGACCTCAGCTGGGTTTCAAAAATACAGCGACTGCTTTGTTATTTCCAAAGGGTAGATAGTTTGTTTAACTAAAAGTATATTTGACTCGCAGGTGATGCCTAGACTCAACAACAATTAGTGGGCACTCCTATTTTGGGCCGAAGTTGTCTGAAAAACAACAGGAAACAGAGGGTGGCTGATAGAGCGCTGTTTCCACGCCACTCTCTCCGTGTCAGTGACAGGTTGATTAGGCCTCACCTTTGTTTTAAAGGGGGTTCAAAACACACAACTCACCTCTTGCAAGTTGACAACTTCAACAGCTATAAAAAATAACCTGTCTGAAAAAATATTTCAACTGTTTGTTAAAGTTCCTTATTGTTCCCTCTGATCCAAAAGAGCTCCAAAATAAGTTGTATCCTGATCCCAGAGGTAGATTAAATTAACAAAATATTATGACCTCATATGTGATCTCAAAATGCATGCCCCCAAACTGGATGTAAATCCTCAATCAAAATCCACTATAAGCTGTCAGACTAACACTGATTGGTTTCCAGATTATATTTAAACAGTAGCAGCTATTGTCTAGGCTGTAGCTTTTATTGAGGACAATGAGGTCACTTCCTTTGTTTTACTGGGAATTTACTTTACCAACACCCTCAAAAAGCAAAGTGTAGCCTCCACTTACAGGTATTTCACAGGCCTCTCTTGAGTAGTATGAGGCCTGCAAAGTAAATGAATGAACCAAATTGAATTTTGATTCTTTGAGCAGAGACAAACTGTTGAAACTTGCATTTTTAATAAGTGAAAATAAGACAAACAGAACATGTAATGCTCTGTTCAGTGATTTTTCTGTATTTCAAACAGTTACTTGGAAAGTATCTCGTTTCCAAAAGCCAAACAGCACAGACAAAGCCCTGTGCCTGCAGTGACAGTTACTCCATGTCAGGTAATGACTGAAACACACGCACCCACAGACATAAACACGCACCTCTCAGGAAATTCCCCACCTGAAGGTTATTAAAATGGTTATATAAATAAACTCCAGAGTCAGTTAGACTTTTATCTGCTCATGCTGCAGTGCAAACTGTTTCAGACATGAACTCTCAAAAGACAGTCAATGATACACTCTGGATTATATCAATTAGAGCCTAAATAATTAGGATAAGGTGCTGAGGAGAGAGATCCACCAAAATGACCCAAAGTGGAAGCATACGCTTTCAAATAATCCAGAGTAATCCTTTGGATTAAAAGACTCTTCTCCCTCTCTAAAGTGGATGCACAAGGGCAGAGATGCAGTTATCTCCGCCCAGCTGGAAAACACAGACTATGATGACCTACATTATTGCACAGACAACTGGCACAGGCTCCAGAGACCTCCAGCAGTCATCTCAGTAGCCCAGAATATGCCAGCTTCAAGGCACAGGTCTCAAAAAAGCAGACAAAAGGGTCCCAACCACGATGCACAGAGGGCTGGGTGTTAAACACAGTGGCTGCAGATTAGTGCTCTGTGTTCCTGAAGGGCCCTCCCTCTGTTGCTTTCCTTTGATATGTGGCACAACCTGCCACCTCCAGGGGCAGGGCAGACTCAAGGGGAATGTTAAACGGTCCTTCCCTTTGAGATGAAATGTTCAATATGAATCATTGATGACACCCCCACCCCAATTCTGATCGCTTCTGGCTAGAGAAACCCAGCAGTACAAATGTTATGCCCTCATTAAGGACCACTCTGATAATTGGGATATAATTTATGGCAAAATGGGTCGTTCGCTTTGAGTAGAGCAAACTACAGAAAAGTTGAGTTGCAATTTGGAAATTATATGTTAATGTACACATATGTTTCTGTTTTAAGTCTTATATGTGTGATGTCCACAAAGGTAGAGTGTATATGGGTCAATGACGTATAAGGTTTTTAAAAATGCCAATTTTAAAATAGCAAAAATAAGAATATATTTTGCAAAAGTTCAAACACTAAGGATGTTGTGTATACAAAAATGTACGCAATTTTAGTGTTTTATCTCAAAATTATTAAATTTTTTCAACATACTTAATAGTTTTTTACAAATTGTCAGTAATATCATGTAGATAGAAACAAAGTGTTTGCATTTTATTTGAGTTTTTGTGAATAATGATCTCACATTTTAGCTCTATAATGTCACGGTCCCCATATTAAATGTAGTTAACTGACTAATTTTTTCTTTAAATTGCATAATACTGATAAAAATATTTAAAACTACCTTTCACTTAAGCATATTGTATCAGGTATTACTGTTTCATTGACAGAAATTAGATATATTAGTTTGTATTTAATGCAATTAATGTTATTGGTCGCACCACATGATATTTTGACACTCTTAAGTTCAGAAAAATTACAAATAAGACCTGATTTTTGAAAAGTTAAGTGACTACATATATGAGAGAGATACTACATATAGAAAGCCTATTTTTGTGCATTTAAACCTTTTTTAACTTAAAAAAAAGATACAGCCGGACAGAATATTTAGGCGTCACGTCATTGACCCATATGCCATTATGCATTTGCACTTGAAGTTTGAATGTCACATAAGTGTACAGAAATGGCCCCAACACCTGCCCAGCAGTGCCCACAGGCCTCAACACATTATCTCAATAGTTTTCTCCACACTGACATGTGTCTGGCCTCCTCCACCCTGCTACAGCTGTTAATCACATCAGAGATGAGTGGAGGGAGAAGCTTTGAACTGAGGTGAAATCGTGACGCTGCTATTAAGTTCCTTCCAGTGTGATGCGTTAAATACTGGTTTTATAAGCTTTAATTCCCCCTGGATTTGCAGCAGCCTGTCCTCTCCACTCTATGTCAGCAGCCACTGGCTCTACGGTTAGACAGGGGCGGGGCTTACTTAGAGCGTCGGGAGGTGTGACAGAGAACGTAATCTGATTGGTCAATTTAGTTTAACAGCCACGGCCAGCATCCAATCTGATCAGGGCCAGTTTGAGGCCGTCCATCTCGCCAGTTTCCTCCGTAGTGCGTGAAGGGAACATTTAGTGAAATTTCTCATGGTCAGGTGCTGCTGTGGTTTCAATGATACACTCTCTTGAATCATTACGTCTTACTCGAATATCTGAATTCTGACTGAATGAAGCCTCCTGATTAAAGCTTTTCAACGAGTGCAATGGAGGACTTGTGCGCCCCCGTGGCACACAGCTGCAAAAGCTGCTCAAGCAGACGGAATCAGACCTACCCATCCACCGTTATCTTCTATCCAGCTGTGCAGAGGTCCATTCAAATACTCTGTCATCCACTCTGCGATGTTGTCCACCTGCGCTGTCATCTCCTCTTTGGACACGCACTCCACGCATACAGTGCCCCCAAACTCAAAAAAGGCGATAATCCGGCCCCAGTTCACCCCGTCCCGGAACAGTTCGTCTATCACCTCGGCGAACCTCCTTTGCGCCGTGGTGGAGGTGAGATACAGCTGCCGAGACATCTCCGTGAAGTCCGGTTGGTACAGTCTCTCAAGTTCATCTCCAGCCTCACGGAGGACTCTGTGGATGGCCGCGTGTGGGTCGGTCTGAGGGGGGCGTTTGCAGAGGTGGGGGATGCTCTCGCTGTCAGGCCCGGCGCTTGCTTCACGGCACCGGCGAACCAGAGTCGGTGGAGGGGCAACTAATGACCCGTTGTTCGCAGCATCTTCATCCCGATCATCGAATCCCCACTCATACCCCCTCTTGGAGAGTTTGTGGCAGATATACTTTTCTACTATGTTGCGGTTACACTCGTTCGCCATTACGGCTTAATTTGGCACTTTCTACAGTGAGAGATTATCCTAAATATCATGCATTTTTCTTTGGATTTGTGCACTGTCCAATGCACAGCACAGGCGGATCCAAAAAACTCGATTAGATTCAGATGTGAGCAATGCAACGAGTAATCCCACACAGAGAGCAAATGCTTCGTGATCTGAAGAAAACCTCGGGATTGAATCGAGTGAAAACGTACCAAAAGTCCAGAAATACTGAATCCGTGTCAGCTGCAATCTTCATTTCCCGAATCCGTTCGGGGACATTGGCGACCTTCTCTTTGCATTGAAATCCAATATGCGGAAGAGGTTGGAGTAGTGTTGCTCCGTTCCTGACGTGGATCTGCTGCGAATGAAAAAACATGAATGAAGGCCAAAGTTGTACGCGCCGGAAGGGGCTTCAAACGCTGCAAACTATTTTCGCAGCGTTTACGCACAACCGGGCGCGGGACTGTGAGCCAGACAAGGTCGGACTGAGTCCTCTTTCACGATTGCTCTTCATATCCTCCTCAGCAGCAGCAGCTCCCTGCCCACCGCCGCCAGTGGGCCGCGCTGCTGGTGAGGTATTTGTGACGTCAGCCACGCAAAGTAATTCCTTTGGCTGAGCTTGGAGACGCCAAGTGCGCGACAGTGAAGTGCACTCAAAATCACTATTATAGACCCTGTTTTTATTTTGTGGTAAATACACTTTCAGGACTTATATTCAAGGACTGAAATCAAGAAGAGTCCACCCATGCTTAATCACACACGTGAAAGGGAAACTCTTCTCCACAGGAGTATCCCGTGTAGGAGTAGAGGGGCTGCTTTGATGTGATGAAGCTACCCCCTTGTGGATGAAGATCCAACCTTGCAGCACAAACCAGATGCAGTTTCCTTGTGTTCTCTGGTTCCTCAGGCTATTTTTATTGCCTTTACTATTATCATGGGAGAATGCTAATAAGCTAAGTCTTAATATAAACAAGTGTAACTTCATGATCTTCTGCAACAAAAACAAATCTTTTCCAAAAGAAGAAGCCAAAATATCAATTAATGGTACTGAAATCTCTCAAGTACCTCACAACACTTTTGGTCAGAGTCTTAAGTGGAACATTCATATCAGCCAAGTTTGCAAAAGGTCAATGAAGAGCCTCGGTACAATTAATAAGGTCTGTCCCCTGATCAATCCCTCTGCTCATTTGTCTTTGAATCATAGCTTCCCATTTCCATACATGAACTATTGTAACATTGTATGGTGTGCAACGTATCCAACTCACCTCAAGAAAATATTATTAATCCAGAGAAGGCTCTTAAGAATGATGTCACGATCCAGCAGGCATGAACCTTCTGCACCCCTCTTTTCTAAATACTCCATCTTACCGATGTCTCTGTATTCCTCCCCAACCTGGTGGCTGTCTAGCATGAGTCTGGTCCTGCTCAAGGTTTCTGCCTGTTAAAAAGGAAGTTTTTCTTTGCCACTGTCACTCATGTTAGATGGGATGGGCCAAATCCCATTTTAGGTTGGGTCTTGATAATTCATCAAACAATGAGCGTAGTCTAGACCTGCTTTTTCTTTGTAAAGCGACTGTTGTGAATTGGCACTATATAAACAAAATTTAATTGATTGATGATTTGATTTGAAGATCTGTAGTATTCAAATCTCAGGGAGTTGCTGCTGCTGCTTTGGAAAGTCTCCTCGTGGAAGATTAAAATCTCATCTACTGAAATCCCCACAGCCACCCTGAGGTTATATAAAGTAGCATATGTAAGGAAATATGCTGTGATATAAAGCAAACACAGATCAATTGAAGCAGAAAAACCAACACCCCAAAGTAAATGCTTGAGACCAAATTTTGATTTTCTCCACAGGTATTTATTTAGTACATCATGTAAGAAAATAAGACAAAGAAACGTTCCACTTTTCAGATTTTCTCTCAATGGCACACAAGGTGAAGGTGTTAAGATTTTTTGGCAGAAAAAAAAAGCAAGCAAGAAGAATGAAATCAACAAATTTTATATTCAATACTTACGAACTGAAATGTGTGATGATGGAGTCACCATTAAAAAGGGGGAAGAGAATGACTTGTTACAGAACTCATACATATCTTGACAGTTTGTTTAGATGCACTGTAAGAATAGGCTTCATTTGCATAGCTCAAAGATTACAACAAAATGATTGAACATAACTCCTTTTATGGGCTACATATTCTATCAACTATGTGCTGCTACTTCAAGATAAAAACAATTTTTTGATAGCAATAAATGAACAACTGAGAAAGCTCTTGAGTGCAGGAGAGTATGCCTTTAACCAATATCGAATGAGAACATCATCAAACATGAGTCATACATTCTCACTTTCATATCTTGGATTTCAGTAAGGCTAATTTTTGTCATACAAAGACTGGAAAATGACAAAATACACAACAGCTGGCATTTTACGCTGAAAGACTTAGCATTAAGTGAACTGGTAAACATGTGGATTAAGCCACAATTTTTTTTTTCTCTGTGGACAGGTCCATCCTTTTAGCATTAGCTTCATCAGTAGTCTCATCTTAAGGCTTGAAATCAGTCCCCACACTGCTCCACAGCTTGAACATAGAAGTGTGAAATCAACGGAGCAGCAACACTGAAATAAATCTCAAATGAATGCATTGCATCTACAGAAATTGTCTTAACACATTTTGGCATTCAAATATTGGGTGTTTAAAACAAATATTCCTATACTTTGATTTGTATGCTTTGTATTAAAGTACATTCTCCCCGTTTATGATGGACCAAAGGAAGACTTGCAAAAGTCGACACTGTACTTTTTACTCCTTCTTCATCCAAAAACAAAAAACACAAACACAACTTTTCACAGCCTGACATACATCAGGAGGGATTGGGTATTGTCATTTAGGGAGCTACAAAGCCCTGACTGTGCATGTCACATGCACACCAGTCCCTCACTACTATTTTGGCCTGTCAGTAAAACAAATCTCTAGCGCCCCCAATGGACCCACAGGGACATGACTTGAACCAGCAAGCCCTGCCCTGCCCTGACTTACACCACCCCCTAGAGATAATGGATCCCACACTTGGATCTTGACTGGGGTGGCTTAATAATATGTGCACAGACACGTAAAACTGCATGTAAAAACTATACACTTCCTTTCAAGTATTCAAAATTGGTCAAATTCACAGGCTTCAGTGTAACTACCTGTGCTTTTTCCAACCATGTTTATACTTCATGGCTTCAACCCCTAGTACCTGTGTACTTTTCTCATTGGAATCAAAATGGGAATATGAGTTATTAATTTGGTGTTTCCATTCAAAAGAAAATAGATTCTAATGGCTTTTTTACTTTCCAAGGATTGGCTCAGTCACAGCACACAGACACACACACACATTTGTTGCACACAGGGCACCAAAACGCCTTTGCCCCAACGCTGCATCCAAGATTTTTGAATATTCTCTTTTTGAAATTATGTTTTTGCACGAGTAAAACTTAACAATCACAAACGTCACACATGCCCTCTCTGATGCTCTGTCACCACCGAGGGTACTGTTGTGCCACATCCTAGTTCACATGCACAAAACATGAAATGACCCACATTTTTAGACAACACACGACTGGTTGCAAACACAGAGGTTACTCAGTCAAACAGGAAGGTGCTTTGCCCGCAAAGACTCGTGGTATGAAAAAGGTAGAAAGGAAGGGCCTTATTTAGCGACATTCTTTTGAGGTGGACCGAGTATTGAGATACATGTAACAAAACAGCAAAAGCTGCGAGTTGCCATTCCAGTTTTTACTACAGCCCCTGATGGGAAGGAACTTCAAGCCATATTTGGCACAACCGGTCAAACAGGCTATATGTTGCTACTCTGCCCCCGTGAGCAAAAAGGGAAACACACACAGAGCAATTAGTGCATACAGGTAGGTAACATCTCAGCACACAAAGCCCCTCTACTTCTAAACCAGGCTAAGGGATGTTTAGTCTGCCCTCTCCTCTTAAAGAAAGCCTGCTCCCACATGAAGAAGCAGGTGGACACATCGAGCTGGAAAGTCACTGAAATGCTCTGAGAGGGAAAAATCAAGATAACAGTGAAGTCTAAGGAGAAGTTACATCACTAGACAAGCAAACAGTAAACATCTGCCACCTTCTTTTGTCCCACCTGTTAGGTTGATATCAACAATGCACTCAAAGCTTGCCATGTTTTCAGTCTATGGTTGTGCACTAGTACAGCTAGGGAAAGGGGGGGGGTATAAGGGGGTGGGGTGGGGGGTGGAGGTGGAGGGGCATCTGACTGTAAAGGAAGTAAGGCTGCTGTTACTCCCTCTTGTCGGCTGCTTTCGACTGCTCCCTCTGAATCATGCAGCGGCGCACGATGCTGTCAAAACTCCCAAGGTAGAAGAGCGCGATGGTTCGGAATAACCCCATGGTAACGATCTGCACAGAGAACAGTTGGAGTTTCGAAAACTGCACATCAAAACTTTTTTTTTTTTTTTTTAACCTATGAGACAAAGTGATGAGTTCTCTCTCTACCTGCTGCAGGCCTTCTGTGATGGAGGTGACAGGTGACATTCCACAGGTGAGAGCTGACAGCATGTACCCATCAGGTCCCACAGAGCTGTTGAAGTTCCCCTGCTACAAAGTGGAGTGAAATTTTTTTCAATACACTATGAATCATACTCTGAAATCATTCCCTTGTTCTTTAGAACTGTGGAAAATAAAGCATCAAGGGTTCTTACCACAGCATCTCTAACAATGATTTTGGCCACCTGGTCTGGTTGGCAAACTCCAGATGTCTCAGAGATCAACTTGGTCTCCAGCGGCTAGAAGCGACGCAACAAAGATTAATGGTACTCAAAATGGGAAAGTCAATAGAAAGATAGGATATTTTTTTGTGATTAAAACAGGTTTTACCTTTGTCTTGTTTTCCTCGGCTAATCCCGGAGTGTCAGTGTCAGGGGGGTAAGCCACAGTCACGTAGATGTTGTAAGGCTTTATCTGGAGTTGAAGAAGAGCAACACTCACTGAGCAAAAAGTTGTTCCACCCACTCTGTTAGTAGGTAACATATTCTGGCAAGGATTTAACAAAAAAGCATATATAAAAATATAATAAACCTCACCTCCATCTGCAGGGACTCTGCCAAACCACGTAGGGCAAATTTGGATGGGGAGTAGGCGGTATATCCAAACAGGCCAATCTGACCTGCCTGGGATGACACAAACATGATGCGGCCCATTCTTCTCTCCTTCATGGTGGTTATGACGGCCCGTGTTGGGTAAACGCTACCCAGGTAGTTCACTTCCATCAGTTTCTGTTGGAGATAATTGCAAAGCTCACACATACTCTGATAAAAATAATAATCAAGTATATTCTCAGAAGGGGTGCTCGTTTATAAGCTCAATATCTAAGTATAAAACAGACTTGAGGCTGTGTTTATGTTACACCCAGGGGTACCTACCTTAAAACGGTCAACTTCCACATCCTCAAACTTTCCAGAAAAAGAAGTTCCAGCACAGTTCACCAGCATATCAACAGGTCCCAGCTTCTCTTGAGCCTGCACAATAGGGAAAAGCCACATGAGTGTTTCAGTTCTGAATAATTAAAAGGAGTCTGAGGTGTTCCACTGTTGCTCTGAGGGTAACCTTACCTGTTTTATCACACTTTCCACTTGGCTGTATTCGCTGGAAACATCCACTGATATGCACAGAACCACCTGAATTAAAAAAAAACGTACACTGTCAACTGTGATCATGTGTATAGTCATGTATACAGTCTTAATATTCAAAAACAGTATCTGAGAGAAACTGACTTTACACTAAACTCATACCTGCTTGTCATTAATGGCGTGTTTCTCCACCTCCTTCTTCGCCTGCAGCAGTTTAGACTACAAGTAAAAGAAAAGGTTTTGACAAAAAAACAGATGTTCAAAAAATTCTGCAGACATTTTTGAAGGCACCATGTTTTATAGCAATTACATACAATATCCACACAAGTAGCTCAACAGCATGTAATGCAGATTTTGCGAACAGGAGCAAATTTCTCAAGCTAATGGTTGGATGAAAGTGGTTTATACTGACCTCATCTCGTGCCACCAGAGTGATAAATGCTCCTTGCCTGTAACACTCAACCGCAATGCTTTTGCCAATCCCACTTGAGCCTCCTGTCACCTGGAAATTTGAAAGTGTAAGGTCATCATTTATCAGAAGGGAAGATGTTGATGTGTGAAGACGCACTATGAAATGACCTTATTACCACATGCATACAGTTGACAGTAAATATAATAAACTGTAATAAACCTGCAAAATCGCAATTTTAGCCATCCCACAATCACGTTTATGTGAATAACCTGCAGCTAGTGACAAAGAGTGCAGAAAAATATCTGCATCAGAAAAGATAAAGAGCAAAATGACCTAGTGTGTGTTAGTGAAGCAGAGGGATGGAGTGAGCATGAGGAGCAAAGCTGCAGCATTAATGTTCATCTTTGTTTAACTGTATCATCCCAGTTCAGCACCAGCAGAAGGTTTGATAGAGGACATTTGTTTTTAAAACAAACGAGAAACAAGGACAAAAGCTGTCTCTGAAATTAATTAATACATGTGTCAAAAAGCGGTCTCTCAATTATGACCATGAATATAATTTTGCGCATAATTCTGCCGCTCTACTAGTAATGTAGTCTGCTACAAAAGGGGATAATCCTAAAATTTACTAAGGCTACGTTGACGTTGTAATTGTTAAAGAATCTCCAAATTAAAAAAAATATATACATATATATGTAATACTACATTCATGGTAGTAAGCCAGACAGCTGAGATAGACTGCGTAGTTCATCCTAGAAAACACGACTAACCTCCACAGACTAGTGAGGCCCTGAAGTTAGCTTTGGTCATGAGATACTTTAACATTCAGTACGTGGGCGTGTCAGTATTTATAATTAACATAAAATGCCGTTAAGACGTCGAAACTCGATATTTCTTCAATATCTATAACATCTGGATGGCTTTAAAATGACTCAGTCAAAAACCCTTAGTCAGACAGGACATTTGAAGCTTTATATTTGAAGTAATAAGTACACGTCAGGTAAAGTAAACAGCTTTACTGTCAAAGTAGTTTCCGTTAGCGGTCTGATGCACTTACCACGACGTGGGCCCCGTTCAGTTTTAGTGGTTTGGGACTTATGAGAGGCGATATCATGTATAATAACAACACAAAGGCAACAATGAATGCAGCAACTACGAGTAGCATGATGAATGGCAGGAGAAGCCACCAGGAGTTAACGAAAAGCCAATCCGTGATCGTTGAGCTCAACGCTTCTTCAGAGGACATGGGTGAAATCTGGCAACCGTTAGCTTGTTTGCTAACTAGCAGGCCAGCGTATGGGGGTCCGATAACAGAGCTACGAAGGTGGCAGCGGCCCTGTAAGGGAACGACGAAAGAGAGAGGGCGGAGGAGGAGCTGTTCCGGGGGGTTGTCAGCAAACCAAAGCTGTGTATCGGCCAGGTTAGAGGACGGCGTTGGACCTTGGCTCCCCGTGACAAAGCACAGTCTGCATAAACCAAAACAAATCGAACTGTGCACTCCAAACGGACAAACGGTCGTACTTGGGATTTGTAGTTCGGAGGCGTAACCGTTTCAATGGAGAAAATACCTGGAGTCGGGTAGCATTCACAACAACTCCCAAAATGCAATAGTCCTCTTCCGTATTCGTCGTATCCGTTTCAGTATGTTAGCAGCACACCTATGCTCCACACCCACCCGTCCAACCATAGAGTGGAATGACAGTTACGACCGTTAGAAAAATGTAAACACCTTCATATACTTTTCGAATCCTTTTTTTGGATTGATAAAGTATCTATCTATCTATCTATCTATCTATCTATCTTTTAAAAAAGCAATTCGTCACATTGCAAAAAAGAAAAGACACACCTTTTTCTTTTTTTTACTTAGCTATAACTTTTATTTACATTATAGTAACGAAAATAACTGAAAATCTTATGCATGAGCGACCTCTTTACAAAGAAAGGGCTCAAAAGTTGGCTATATGTTGAGACATTTACAGTAAAGTAAAGGATGTTCCCCGTCAAAAGTCAAAAAGACAGTTTTCACACCTTAGGAGCAGAAGAATACAGCTGTATACAATCTCTTGAAGATATTACATGAAATGTGCAAGTATTATACATGGTCTCAGGTGTAGTGGCAAAGCACTGGATACATTATCATGATCAATTTAAAAATTAAAACATAAGAAAGAATCCTGTAAGCTTTTTTTTTCAAAGAAGGCACATAATGCACACTGCCACTTTTGGCTACATATGGCTCATGCTCAGAGATGCATTTCTAGGCGAAGTACACAAGAAAAGGATCTCTACACATGGGCCATCAGTGTTCACCACTTCAAAACCTCAGTTGTTTTTTTTTTCAAAGTCTGTTATGCGATTCTATCTTCATATTAGGCTATTTTTTTGCAGTTTGTATTCAGCATTTTCAGCAAAGCCTTTGGATGGTAACAATTCATGTCTGTAAAGTAGAGTGTGGAAGAAAAATGTGAGCTAAATGGGAGGAGAATTCAAAGTCCTTGAATATTTCTCGGTCTGGCACCGTTGGTGTTCAACCCTTATAGACATGTTTTATATCCAAATGACAAATAAGTAAACAAAATACAACTGTCATTTAGAAGGAAAGTGGATATACAACCCAAGCTTGACAGGGCCTGACGCAGCTCTCATCCTGAGTATATGTGTTTTAAAAGACTAAACGTCTTCCACCTTGAGATTTCACCTCAGCTTATCTTATGAAGTCATGTCTAGTTTCACTCTCCCCAGCCCAATATTTTAACATTCCACAAAGACAGTATACATAGTAAAATGCTTGTTTCTTTTATAAAATATATGAGGGGTATTTATCAGTCAGGAACGATTTCTCCTGACTGGAAAGTAAGGACACAAGGGTTCATCCTAACTTCAATAAATTATGATTTCTTTAGTGCATAAGTCAAACTTTATTCCCTATATTGTGATGATTTTTCAGGAGGTCAGCTGCAGATGAAAAGTCTTTAAACTTCTTTGGACAACTGTTAACATTGAACAACACCAAGTTCTCCACCATAAATGTGGCAATCAGATTGGCTGAACAGAGCAGTATTCTTGCCCTTTACCTGATAAACCACCAGACCTGGTAAATGATTACTATGAGACACACAGAGAGAGAAAACATAAAGAAAGACAATCAGAATTCCTTTGCTTTGGTTTAGTTTCATCATCCCACCTAACCCTCCTGTCCGAAGTCCTCTGTGAATTTATTCAGTTTTTCCAGATCTTGATCATTGACTGTTGGCTTTGTGTTGCCCAGGGACCTCATCATGTCAGACTGTAAAGAGAAGAATTTATAGAGTTAAAATGAAGTCTAACAAATACAGTTGGCAACATAATCTCTTAATATGACGCTCTTACAATGCAAACTATAGGTTCAAGTAACTTCTCCCCAGGGACGTCCATCCATGTCATTTCAGTCGCATAGGGATCCCCAGGTGAGCAGGGAGTCAAGAGGTCATCTACAATAATGTTGGGGTCATCTCTTGATGGACCTCGAACCTTGTTTAATCAAAATTTGAGAAGAGATAAGTACAGTGACAAGGATACACATTTTCAAGTTGCAGCACAAAGCATGCTACTTTCCGGAGAACATACCTTCTTGAAGTGAGTTGCTGACTGGACCTTTCGAACAGGCTGCATTAGAGCATCTCTGACAATGATGCTGATATCAGCTCCTGAGTAACCGGCTGTCTTCTTACCCAGAGTGACAAAGTCAGAGTCGGTGAGGCTGTTGGGTGTGGAGCCCAGGTGGAGCTTGAACATGAAGGAGCGGGCGTGCTCCTCGGGCAGTGGGATGTAGATCCTCTTTTCAAATCTGACAAGAGTATAAACGGCGTATAGTGACCAAAAATGAATGACAACATCATAACAAACAAGTTTTATCCGATGGCAATAATCACCTTCTTCTGATGGCTGAGTCCAGAGTCCATGGGATGTTTGTAGCCCCGAGGACCAGAATTCCTTCATTGTCATTTCCCACACCTGCAAAATAAGACAAAAACTTGCAGTAAATACATAACTGAAGGCAAAAGAACACTTACAAAATAATATGTAATGCCAAATGATGTCCCTTTTTGGAAGTTTATAGATAAGTGACCACATGTTGCTCCCATTGTGGTTGAAATGATGAGAGAAAGCAGCTATAACTTGCTTTGGAGATCACTGGTGTCATTCATCCGAAACCTTTGTTGAACTACCTGACACACCTTAACCAGTGACGTCACAGCAGGTGTATTATCTCACCTATTTATGGGCGTGACCACATCGAGCATGCTACAAAAACAGATTCTGATTTGAGCAGCAGCGGCAGCCCACATGACTCTGACCTTGTTTATCATTTAAATGGTTCTTCAGTTTCTTTTCAGTAAACAAGGAGAAGCAAAGACTAAAGACTTGTCATCCGCCTCACTCTGGTGGAAATCTAGAGAAAACTGAGAAGACCTCCTTGGCTGTTTTTTCCAACTATAACTCTTGTCTACCCACACTGCTTTTTAGAAAACTATATTTCTATTGAAGAAAGTATTAAAGATGCCTCACAAAGAGCATAAAGTGACATTCAAGAGCTGTCTGAGTGTCAAAATATCTCTTTTGTACAGTTTAAAATCTAAGGCTTTTTTTCAATTTTACAACATTCAGTGACAGCAGCCTTACCTTGCATCTGAACCAGGAACTCAGTTTTGATACGGCGAGCAGCCTCACTCTCGTTCTCACTTCTTGAGCCACACAGGGAGTCAATCTCATCGATGAAAATGATAGAGGGTTTGTGCTCCCTTGCGAGGGTAAAAAGATTCTTCACCAACCTGGGGAAAACAAGGCAATTAGAAACATTTCAGGGAAATTTAACAGAAACATGCTGCTAAAATTTTTTGTGATGAACTCATGTTTTCAAAGGCTTACTTTTCACTCTCTCCGAGCCATTTGGAGACAAGGTCAGAGGAAGAGATGGAGAAGAAGGTGGAGTTGTTTGCCTCTGTGGCAACAGCTTTAGCTAGATAGGACTTTCCTGTACCTGGTGGTCCAAAGAGCAGGATCCCCCTCCACGGAGTTCTCTTTCCTGTCAGACCAGCAAGAAGACACTTCAATCTACACTGGTGTCACCAAATACCAGTAATTGCACCCTGACACAGCTTTTCCATGCAAAGTAGATCTTTGCATCTATTATTTAAAGAACAAAGAGATGGGAGGGGTTTACATAAACAAGATTTCCCACCTGTGAAAAGGTGGGGGAATTTGATGGGAAGAATGACCGCTTCTTTGAGTGCTTCCTTGGCTCCCTCTAAGCCAGCCACATCATTCCACTTGATGTTTGGTTTCTCCATGACGATTGCACCTGGAAAATCAAGCATTTTAAATGACCAAAAACTCTAGATAATACCTGTACAATGCAGAGCTGAATATAAAAATACAACCAAAAAACAAATACAAATAAATAATGCAGCAAGTGAGTTTGCATGAACAAAAATGCAGACAGAAGATGTTCATAGTCCTTTGAAGAAACATCACAAACCTGAGAGCTGATTTTGGAACTTCTTTTTCTCTGGATCATCACCATCATCACTTTCATTTCTGGAACCACAAAGTACAAAAGAGCAAAATCCATACATTGATTAAAAAAAGTTATCTTTTTTTCTGTATATTAAAAGAATACCAATTGTCCATATTGGTTTAAATGGCATCACATGCAGAGATGAAGGCCCACTGCTCCACCCATTCACACACCCTTTGTCATCAGACTGTGACTCTTTGACAGGCTTTGCGGGAGCTTTCTCTTTCTTCTTTAGATACTCCTTCAACTTCTCCGCTCTGTCCAAATACTCTACACATTTCGCTCGGATGCTCTGTTTTGCTTTTTCGCCTTGTGTTTCATCTGTCATGAATGAGCACAAAAAATACAAAAGTTATTATAGGCTTGAGAATTTGTTACAAAAAAGCCACCAACCTCACCTTAGCTGTAATATGGGGGGGGGTTACCACTGTTAGGACAGTGTAACACAGTTTGTGTTACATTTTCTAAGTATCAAAATAATTCCAAATCAGGCACACATCAAGAATGTCTTCTAGTGGCAAACAGATGGCATAATCAGACAGTCGAGACAAACACAGTGCTGAGCATTCTTTCCATTTTCTTACATTTTACCACATGAAGGAAGTACTGAACAGCCGCTTGATACAGATGCAGAGCCTCCTCATAGTTCTGAGCTTTATCCTCCTGAGCCGCCTTGCTAGCGAGATCAATCGCTTTCTGAAACATCAGAGATACAAAGAGACACAATCAGACAATTTTCATACTTTTTCCCCGCAGGAAGAATAAAAACAGATCTCCAAAAGGGGTTATACAACACTAAGAGTGAACATTTATGTAAACAGATTCTTTTGGGTGGTGCATAGGAGCGATTAATAACACATTTGAAAATAAATGATCAATCAGCACTTAAAAACACATTCATTTAAGATTGTTTGAATTGGGGGATCATTTACATATATGGATTTATTAGTACAAACTATCTTGTACATATACTAGCGCACCGTTGTCAAACTCAAGGCCCGGGTGCCAAATCAGGACCGTGGAACAGTTATATCTGGCCCACAAGATCATATTATATTTGTATTATTATTGGCCCACCAGCATGAAGTCTGCAGAGTTCCTCCAATAAAAATGTCCCTAATAAGCCATGAAAATATGGGAAATAACGAGTCAGAAAGATTTGATATATTATCAAGAATGCGGGGGAAAAAATATTTGGTGTTTTATTTTATTTTTTCAATTTTGCATTTCAAGATTTCAAGTCAAACATGATTGGGTTTTTATTTCATGCTTTGATTTTGTTCAACTCAGTATTCAGACTTGTGTCATTTTTTAACTTTAAATTTTAAGTCATATTTTGACCTTTTAAATCTGATTTCAACGTTCTACTCATATATTTGCTCTTTAAAAACATTATTTTTCTATTTTCATGCTCAGATCTTTTGAACTAATGAATAAAAATAGAAAAAAAACTAAAATAAAATAAATTTGTCTATCTCAGACTGCCTTTAAACTTATCTTTTTTGAATTTCCAAATGATTTATAATCATTATCGTTTTTGTTTTTCATATTTTTTGAAAAGGAGGTGGACAGTTTTGGTGAAACGTTGACCCTGTTTGCCTTTCAGGTTAGACCTAAATCCAGATTATGGCCCTTGCTGTGGTTGAGTTTGACACCCCTGTATGCAAAGATCACAGCTGATGGTACATCTGTTCTGTGCTGACACTATCCACCAAGTGTTAATTGTTATCTTGCTTCTTTCACTTCCGTTTTCAACATACAGTTAAATCGTACACAAGTTTTGCATGCGACACAACCTTTCCTGTATGTAGTAGACACGGTTTTACATTGTTTAAGTACTGATCTTTGACGGTGCCTATTTATTCCAGTCAGCGTGTTGGAAACATTAATCCCATTAGCCGCCTTGGCCGTCCTACAAACTCACATTATACTACATTTTCGTCAAGTCCACTCCACCTAGTTTACTTTAGGCACATCATACACCAGGACCGTTGTAACATACGTTGTGGGACACCCTGTCCCGTTTTGTTGAACTTTTCCCGGATCACGAATACAACACCGACGACTTCATGCCGTCGTTAGCTAAGTCAGCTAAAGATGCTAATTAGCGGCTAGTTTTTGTAACACTATTGTGTTTAAAACGTACTGTTTAGATCGAACAGTAGCGCATAAAAGTACGTGCAACACCTCAATAGCAAACTTCTACAACATATTCTTAAAGTTTATCATTCGACGGCGACAACTGTCAACTTATTTACCCGTTTTAGTCAGCTCTGGGTTGTGCCTCGACTTACCTGTAAATTATTGTTAGCCATAAGGGCCGATCACTCGTCCGACGACCAAAAAGGATGCTACACCGCTAAGAGTAAACAACTTCCACACAAGTTGTTTCAGAATTTAACCTGTAAAACAGAGTTTCAATCCCAAGATCGATGATTTTGTGCCGCTTGTTTTCGTTTCTTCGATCGCTCCCGAGCTGGCTCGAGGAGGAAACTTCCGCATTGAAAAGTCGATACTGCGTGTGCGGAATGTGATGACGTCAAGACGTAGGGTAGGTACAGTTGACAGTGTTGAGAGCGTACAGTCTATGGTTCAGAGTAGATCATGTTGTGTGGAGACGTTTTACAGTAGTCACCTGATCAGATTAGACTATAAAACTCAGCGTTAAGATTTTTGACGGCAAGGATTACATTAATCTTAAAAACTTTGCTTACTGAATGAATTTTGTCACCCTGAACTCCTATGTTGATGGACTTTATTTTCGAACTGACCAAGGTGAAGATATGTTTGTAGTGTACTATTAATCACTGTTATTACGCTTATTTGGTGTTCTCCCTGTAAAGTAGCTCACATATAGCCATACACCTGAACCCTTTTTGTGCAGTCTCTAAATATCTTGTGATCTAAAATTAAATACCAAATTATATAAAAAAAATATTAATCTTGTCACTCAGACAAAATACATTTTGACATGTGTTATTCATAAGGCCCTTGAAATAAGTCTTAAATTCAACATAAAGTTCACCCATGCCCACTAGAACCTGTGGTATTAATGGGATATTCCAGCGTAAAATTAATTTAGGGTCAAACACACTGTAACACTGAGTTAGACACCCTGTCGAGAGATGAATGTTGCCGATTGCTTGCTTCTCTAGTTATCCCAACTTTAGTAATGACCACAGATAGCAATACACAGCAGTCTGAGGAGCCATAAACAAACCTCAACCAAAAAGCCACTCTATAGCCACGAATAATGCTCAGAATAGCACCTAACTTCATCAACAGTACATATAGGGTCCCAGCCACATGCAGCACTAGCCACCAAACATCTTTTTAACTTTGCCTAATTTCTTTCGCAAAGAGACTATTGCTATCGGTCGTTACTAAAGTCAGTATAACTAGAGAAGCAAGCGGTCTGCAACATTCATCTCTCGACAGGGTGTGTAACTCTGTGTTAAAATGTGTTTGACCCAAAATTAATTTTACGCCGGAGTATCCCTTTAATATTACAAAATAAATTCATTATTTGTAAAACAAACAATATGACTTTAATTCTTGAAACAACCTCTTTCTTCTCTAGGTATTCTTGTAGTTCCTCCACTCTGTCCAGGTATTGTTTGCACTTATCTCTGATCTTCTGGTTGCCATCTTTACCCTGGGGTTCACCTAATGACAAGAAGGGCATTCATTCATAATTATTTTGGACCATTATAAATTTAGTTTGGACACTTCACAATCTATTGTAACAACCATAAGATTGGCATAAGTTAAAGTTATCATATGCAAAAACATCATTATCAACAACAACTAAAATGACAACCCCCCCAAAAAACAGGAAAAGCAAACAAAAAAGCTGATACAATTTTGTCCACCGGGCTTTGAATCAGCAGTGATTTAGTGCGGCACTGAATGCATTTACGTTTTAGAATGTGCAGAAAATACTTGACAGCATGTTCATAGGAGCGGATGGCCTCCACGTAGTTGCCAGCCTCGTCTTCCTGTGAGGCCTTCTGCGCCACTGCAATAGCTTTCTGAAAGACCAGTAAATTAATCAATAATCAATACCTCAAAGTGAAATCACATAGGAAACAGTCTGTCTGGGATTCTCAAACACAATGAATTCATAATAAGACATAGTCTATACAGGATCTTGATAGGAACCCTAAACTTAGTGAGTCCATATTATCAGGGGTCATATCTACTGGAGTGTATACAAACATGTGTTCTTACATTACAGATTCAAAGGGATATTCCGGCGTAAAATTAAGTTAGGGTCAAACACACCGTAACACTGAGTTAGACACCCCGTCAAGAGATGAATGTTTGTCGACCGCTTGCTTGTCTAGTTATACCAACTTTAGTAACCACCGCAGATAGGAATACAGAGAGCCACGGACTCAATCAAAAAGCCACTCTTTAGCCACAAATAATGCTCGGAACAGTACTAACCCTTTCTCTTCCAGCAGCCGCTTGTTTCTATGGAGGCCTCCAGGCAAGTCCATCGACTGCAGTGGGGGGACGCAGCTCAAGGAAGAACATCTATGATCATTTCCTCATGGAAATGCAATCAGACTGAGATGCTAAGGCAGAAGAACAGCCACTTCTGCAGTTCAAAATGATTAATATGGTGATTATTACTTCAAGGAAATGATAAAGCAAAAATCATAAATGTTCTTCCTTGGGCTGCTCCCCCCGCTGTGGTCGATGGGCTCGCCAAACAAGCAGCTGCTGGAAGAGAGTTGTGTTTAGTCTCTTTGCCAAAAAAATCAGGCAAAGCTAAATAGATGTTTGGTGGCTAGTACTATGGCTGGGACCCTATATGTACTGTTTATAAAATTAGGTGCTGTTCTGAGATTATTTGTGGCTATAGAGTAGTTTTTTGGTTGGAATATCCCTTTAAGTAATCTAAATTGACAGTGCTGTGAAACTGAAAAAAAAAAACATAACTGATGATTTAAAGAAAACTGACTCCAACTTTTAAAAATCCATCCATTCAATTTAAATAATTCTGTAATCCACATCATATACACAACATCACTGTCTTCGCAAACAGAGGTCACTGATAAAGATAAACAGCATCAAGTGTTGGCCCACTAGTAAGTTATGCCAATGAGCCTTGAGGGCTCTGAAACTTTGTGTTATTGTGTCCCAATAAACACCAGCAAATTTTGTGTCAAGTGCCATAAAATGAGTCTGTTCTGACTATCATATCATGAAAATGATCAATATTGGCTTGACATGGTTTATGATTTTCTTGATGTGTAAATAGACCTAATCTTTAAATCAAGGCTTACATGCGTGTATTCAACCCTTCAAACTAGCAAAAAATAATGCACCAATTTTAGTGCAATGGAAAAAAACAGGTAATAACTGTGGCAACACTAGATGAGACATACTGAATAAGGTGTCAGGGATGCTGCTGAAATGTAGTGAGGATCCACTGTCTAAATAGCATTGTACAGTCATCTGTTTGAGTGAAGAGAAACTTTACATAATGTACCCGCTCCTTTAATGATCACATAACAGTTGAGAACATGTATTAAACTGTGTATGAATGTTCACAGACTGCCATTGAATCTTGGAGGATAATATGAATCACTTTTTATGGTCGGTTATGTAGCTAACTGAGCAAGTGGAAATAATGACAAGAGTGCCCTGCTTGTAAACTGAGAGCTCACTATGACACTGTATCCAAATGAATCATTAATGAAAGAAAAAGCCGTAAAAATGTAAAACAAACCCAAACAACACTCTTTAGACAAACGTGGAGCTTCCACTCTTTAAAATGTTAAAAAGTTAATCTCACCTGTAGATTCGTTGGATCCATGCGGAGTCCCTGTAAACTTAAAAACAAAGCAGAGTCACGGCGTGCTGCCCGTCTGTCTTGTTTCGTTTACCCACTCGTACGTATGTTACTGTAAAACAAGTTCCTGTTTGCTTATCGCGTCCCTCAGCCCTGTCACAAACGTCCCAGAAAGCAGCCTGCCTGCCCAGTCCAAGGAATGGTAACGATGCCGAAACCCTCCTGCCTGTGAGTCACGCCGCTTTCATTCTTGTCGTACAAGTTACAGAGACAATGAAAGTTGCTGAGCCATTATTTCAGCTCTAGTACACTGACGCCATTATTATTAAAAGAAAAAAAAGCAGAACTGGGAACACGGGATATAAACAGCAAACTATGCAATGACAAAGTGTACCAATAGAGCAGTTTTACTTGTAATGCAAGTCGACAAGTGACCTGTATAAATGCGACTTCAGCAGCAGATCCACAACCCTCTTTGCGCCCCTGCTGGACAGAGTAGGTAATTGCATGACAGATCCACAACCCTATTTTGAACCACTGTTCAACAACTGTTTTTGTGCCCAGAAATGTAATTTAATAAACAAGTTAATAAATGAATATGCGCCCACAGTCACATATTAAATAATAATCTAGATTTCATTAATTTTATTTTATTTTTTACCTATCATCTTTTTATGTTTTGCCTACCTACCTGTAATATGGCAGGTTTATTCTACCAAAATATCAATTTATATTACCCCTATATCATAGGGATTGGCCTAGCTTTTATACTATTCATTCCTTGGCGATGATTTCGACCCCCTGAGTGCAATACTATGTGTCTGCAGAGCCGCATATTTTTTTGTGTGTTTTTCTCGTATATTTTTGTGTGCAATCTCATGCACATTATTGTCATCGCACTTGTTTTATTTACTACAATGCTAGTAGCCTATGGTTCGCGAATTTTTTTTGTAGGACAATAGGGGAAAGTGCCGCCTCCTTCGCCTCTGATTGGCTAGAAAAGTTGGAAACGTCATCACACGCTTAAACCAAACGTGGGCTGTCGGCTCTGTACATCGAACAGAACATTATCGCACTTCTAAATCTCCTAATCCTAACCCCAGAGCAGTGGATTAACCGAGAGGTTGGTGGTTCGAGCCCACCCAGGGACGATCTGCGCTTATTGCTGGGGGCTTAAAGCTCAGGTTGACTGCCTTTGCCCAAATAGAAGTAACCCCATCTGAAGTATTGGGCTTTTACCTCACCGAACAGCACTTTTCACAGTAAGCAAATCCAAATTGCCCCCTCACCTCTATGGCCATGCATGCATGACCTGGGGGGTATTCCACAAAGCTGGCTTAGCTCAAAGCCTGGCCTATTTCGTTAGCTTGGCTAATTATTGTGAGAGTTCGGTTCCACAAATGAGGTTTAGGGCTAGCGTGGCTTGGTAACCATGGTAACTCAGCCAGCGCGACAAGCCTGCTCCCAGGCAGGCCTACGGTCAAGCTAACCTTAGCTGCGTCTCAGAGAAGGTCTGACAGGCTTCCAGAAACTGCATGTCACACAGTAATTTCATCTTCATCTGTAATAAATGATGCTCTTGTTCAGAAAAATAAATTGAGAGGTTTTTAAAACAACATAGGAATACATGAATCCGGACATGCCCAATACTACGCCAACCTCAAAGAGAAAGAGAAATTCAGTAGCCGATTGGGTAAAGAGAAGTGCCGGTAAAATGTGTTTTTCACTGCTCTGTGAGCGGTAATTATTTGGAAATATCAGATTTTCTTTCTTTTATTCTGTGACTCTCAATGTACTGTCAACACATAACAGAATAAATGCACAAACGATCTCATCCAAAACAATGAAGGCGACAACAGCAACAATTTCCCATTAAAAAAACCTTCCTTTCACCAGTGGTCCATTCTGATTATGATGATGATAATGGAAATGTGATGGCAAATGACAACATGACTACTCTGTGTACAAGCTCATTTGAGTCTTCGCCCTTATTTAAATGAAGGGCGCTGTGCCACTATCATCCCTAATAATAATAAAAAAAGAAAATAAAAAAAAGACATCTCCAGGTACATGTTTTTCTTCACTTTTTGTCTAAGTTTGCCTACTTTGGTTTTAGGTCTTACCTGTAAGCTGCTATACTAATCCATTATGGATATCTATTTGTCAAATCAAGAACATGAATTATGCCTACAGTGCAGTAGCGGTTCTTGGCACGGGCGAACCGGGCAGCCACCCGGGGCGGCATTTGTGTCATGACTCATGGGGGGCGGCACGAGCACTTCCAAAAAAGAAAGAAAAAAGGTAATAATAATAATAAATCTGCACCGCAAAGCGGTTTTGTAGTAACTCTTGTCAAATTGGCGCCCCCTGCTGCTGTAGGCGCCCCTGCTTGCTGTGAAGGTGCTGCACAGAGGCTGACAGACTGTATGAGTGAGCTGCACATACACGAGATGAAAAGTAAAAAAAAAGTGTTTACAGTACATACGCAGAAGTGAGGAATAAAATTAGACAGCCAAGCAGGCTGACTGCATCGAAACATGCGTCGGTTGTAAAATATTTGTGGGCTATAACTTACTAATTTAAACGGTCCGCGATACTTAACCACGCCATCTCCCTGGCTTTCACAATGGCAACAGTGTTGCCCTTCTTTTGAATGTTTCCCTTGTACTCTTCGTACAACTTCATGAGAAGTGTTTGCTCTGCCACTGAGAAAGACTCCGCTCTTCCCTTTTTTTCCCCATGATCTCGTCATTTCGACAATCGATACATCGGGGCTTTTTATGTACTGCGGAGGCGCCCATAGCCGCAGCTTGGATAAGCCTGGCTAGAATAAGCGTCTCTGAAAAACAGCTGAGCCTCGTTAGTGGAACGAGTCGCAGCTAAGATTAAAGTGGCCGCTTATTCAAGCCACGCTTACCGGCGATAGCCCAGCCTTCTTTAGCCAGCTTCTTGGAATACCCCCCTGCTGTCCCTCTGCTCCCTGAGACCTTCAAGGTGTGTGTCTTTGCCCTTCAATGACAACCTAGCGTTTAGCACTAGGTCTTGTCACATGGCACTTTGCTTTCATTATCTTGGACTTGACCCCAAGGAAGTTGTGAGGTAGCACGTTTGATCAAGTGAAACCCAGATGTGTGACACTGTCTGCACTAAGCTCAGGTTGGCACCGTGGCTTAGTTGGTCAAAGTGCCTGTCTAGTAAACAGGAGATCCTGGTTTCAATTCCCATCGGTGCCTTCTTTGCATGTCTTTGTCAGGGAGCCCTCACCTCACCTGGGGGCTTGTTTGCCCCAAAAGCATTGCAGCAAGAGGCTCTGTGGCTTAGCTGGTCAAAGCACCTGTCTTGAAAAACAGGAGATCCTGGGTTTAACTCCCAGCAGTGCCTTCACACATAAGCTTAGCTATAAATGTTAATCCTCATCCAAGCTCATGAGGCGCTCTGTTCAACTCCCTTCCCCAACCAGTTTCTCTCTGCCAGGCTGCACTGGACAGGGATTTGCTGGTTTTCTTTCCCATCAGGTAACTTAATGTCAGATGCCGGGGACCCTTTACAGGGTGACAACCACCACCACCAACAGCACCATGACCACAGCGGGTTAAAAAAGGGTATGGAACAATAATAATGATAATAATAATAATAATAAAGAACTAAACAACAATAATTTAAAAAACTCTCAGTATATTTACTTAGTTTAAAAAGTTAGAATACAAAAAAGGATTTCTCTGTACCAACTCTTTATCCAAAATTTAAAACTGGTTGCCATGGTAACAGCTGTGGAACAGAGCTGATGTCATCAGTGATGTCATCAGTGATATCGGTGATGTCATCAGTGATGTCAGTGATGACATCAACTTCTTTGATGTCTCACAAGAGCCTCTGTGTCCAGAACCTTGTTGTCCAAAGTACCAAAGAACTTCTATTTCACCTTAGTTCACAACATAGTAACCAGAATCAGAGCTATGTATTAGCAGCACTTTGTTCATGGTAAAGGTAATCTTTGACTTTGAAAATGTCTCATTCAAGCGAAGCCCGCTGTGCAGCTGTTTATCAGAATGAGATGTATGCAGGTATTAATATTGAACCAGGGGTAATACTGAATGGTAACTCCGGTCAATACTGCATTTCAAAGTTCATTGAGAGTGGAACTTTTGGTAAAGTTGTGAAAGCAACAAATGTCATCACAAGGGAGTCAGTCGCCCTGAAGATCATGAACAACAAAGACAAAGACATCATTGCGAACGAGATTGAGATACTGCAAACTCTTAGGACTCTAGACGCTGACAAGTCTAACATTGTGCAGTTCTTTGAGACGTTCGAGCACAATGGACACACCTGTCTAGGTATGTAGATTATATTCCATTTCACCATTCTGTTTTACTGTTGAATGAAAGTATTTCTTTGGATATCAGGGATATGTGGTAAAAAGTTATGCGTCTACTGCACTAAAAACATCTTGTAAAATAGCAGGTCTAATTTCAGTACCAAACACTGGGTACCATTGTATTTAAAAGTTGATATTTAAAAAGTTCTCATTGGGTCTAAAAAAATTTACAAAGGCATAACTTTTTTTGGTTAGAAATAAGAGAAAAACACTTGTAAATATTTCAGATTTTGCAGTGATCTTTTTATAATTCATGTATTTTAATGCTCTTTAGTGTTACTCTTACCTTGTTCTATCTCATCTAATCCTGTCTTTTTTTTGTTTTACCTTTTTGTAGCCTTTGAGATGCTGGACAAAAGTCTTTTTGACCTAATGATTGAAAACTGTGTGCCATTCTCTCTTCATGAGATTCGTTCAGTCGCCCAGCAACTTCTATCAGCCTTTGATGCCATGGGAGACATCGGGATCATATACACCGACCTAAAGCTTGAGAATGTTATGTTGGTTAACCAGAGAGACCAGCCTTTCAGAGTCAAACTTATAGACTTTGGTCTGTCCGTTAAGACCTCTGAGGCGCATAGAGGTTTGGGAATTCCGGCAGCCTCTCTCAGAGCTCCTGAAGTATTCCTGGGCCTCCCCTCCTCAGAGGCAATAGACATGTGGGCTCTGGGGTGTCTTCTGTTCACAATGTTTCTCTTAGACTTCCCGTTTGGTGGTGACTGCAGTCAGGATGTGATCATGAAGAACATTGTAGCCATCATGGGTCAGCCAGATGATCATCTCCTCGATGCTGGAAAATTCACAGCATGCTACTTTGTAAAGAACGCATCCTCAAAACACCCCAAATGGTTGGTGAAGGAACCTGAAACCTGCAAACTGAGAGTAAATTCTCTGGAGGACCTGGTCACACTTAGGCCAGAGAACCATGGGTCCATTGAGATCGGGGACCGCAGAGCCTTTGTGAGCCTCCTGAAGGGTCTCCTAAACACTGACCCAGAGAAGAGGATTAGCCCCAAGCAGGCTCTAAGTCATCCATTCATCACCATGGTCCACCTGCTGAAGAATGGTGACAGCCAGTACCTGGTAGACGCCAGGGACAAAATGGTCATCACTTACAGGAACAGGTCAGAGGAGAATCATCTTAGTCCAGCTGCTGTGGAAGACAAACAAGAAGAGCCAGCTGAAGCTGAAGCGGCTATAAGCAGCTCAGCTGAAGAAGATCCAGCTCTCACCAACATCTCAAAGGAGAATCATCTAGGTCCAGCTGCTGTGGTAGACAAACAAGAAGAACCAGCTGAAGCTGAAGCAGCTATAAGCAGCTCAGCTGAAGAAGAGCCAGCTCTTACCAACATCTCAGAGGAGAATCATCTAGGTCCAGCTGCTGTGGTAGACAAACAAGAAGAACCAGCTGAAGCTGAAGCAGCTATAAGCAGCTCAGCTGTAGAAGCTCCAGCTCTTACCAAGATAAACCAGTCAGAGGAGAATGTTTTCAACACAAGCGAGCTAGTGAGATTTGACTCTGATGCTGGACTTGTAAAAGGTCCATCTGTGAGAAGGAAAGGTGGCCCACTAAGACGAGTCAGACGTTTCTTTGGCAGAGTCTTTAGGGCCATGTGTTGTTGTCTCCCACCTAGGGATGACTAGAACGTCCTGGGTCCGGATCCGGGTCAGGGCGTTTCTGTGTGGAGTTTGCATGTTCTCCCTGTGTCTGTGTGGGTTTACCCCGGGTGCTCCGGTTTCCTCCCACATTCTTTCAAAGAAAGAATAAAAAAAAAAAAACAGACAAAAAAACAAACAAACAAAGAAAACAACCCCCCCCCCCCCCAAAAAAAAAAAACAAAACGAACAAACAAACAAAAAAACCTTGTGGTTTTTCCCTCCCATGGAGGGTTTTAATTCCCCTCCCCGAGCTACCACCTTACCGTGGTGGAGGGGTTTGTGTGTCCTGATGATAAAAAAATGATTAAAAAAAAAAAAAAAAAAAAAAAACAGACAAAAAAACAAACAAACAAAGAAAACAAAAAAAAAAACCTAAAATACTAATAATAATAATAATAAAAAACCCTTGTGGTTTTTTCCCTCCCATGGAGGGTTTTAATTCCCCTCCTCGAGCTACCACCTTACCGTGGTGGAGGGGTTTGTGTGTCCTGATGATCCCAGGAGCTAAGTTGTCGGGGCTTTATGCTTATGGTAGGTTCAACCATGGCAACATGTCTTTGGGGAGGGATCAGACTAAGGGTAGCTCAAATAGACCTTTTATGATGAGTAAAATATTTAGTATCCAGTTTTCCTCATCCCGGGTTAGTGAGCCAGCTCCACCCCAGTAGCCAAGCCTGGGGGTGGAGCTTGATGGCGTGCACCTGGTGGCTGGGCCTGGATTTTGCTAGACTTGATGGCATTATTGTTTGTCTCCCAAGCATTGTAGGCTCTGTAGCTTAGCTGGTCAAAGCACCTGTCTTGTAAACAGGAGATCCTGGGTTCAACTCCCAGCAGTGCCTTCACACATAATCTTAGCTATAAATGTTAATCCTCATCCAAGCTCATAAGGCAATCTGTTCAACTCTCTTCCCCAAATAGTTTCTCCCTGCCAGGCTGCACTGGACAGGGATGAGCCACTTTTCCTTCCCATCGGGTAACTTTATGTCAGACGCCGGGGACCCTTTACAGGGTGACAACCACCAGTGATCACAGCACACTGCTTCAAAGGATTTAGTTTCTAGAGGTAGCTGTGAGGGACACCTCCTGGACTCTGGATAAGTGCGGTTGCTGGGGACCATCTGATTTGCATTGTTAATTGGACCTTTATGTGTCACATAACCCAACCTGACGAGGAGCCCACTGCGTGTTGTAGTGGCCAGCGACGGTGCTGCAGTTGTGCAAGTCTCTGTGGGGCAATCGGCCAGTGCGCTCGGCTGTTAAACAGAGTGGCGACACTCCCATAGGCATACTCTGTACAGCCTGGCAGACCCCACTTCCGGGTTATGGAACTCTCAATAGTTCCAACATGACCGCCTGTCATGTCGGACACCGTTCGCTTCTATGGCCACAAGGCAAGCACTCACCGAGGTTAAATGATAAAATATCAACAAGTTTAATGCCAATACGTGTGTTATTGATATCGAGGGGATCCCTTTATATGTAAAAATGTATGTCCCAAATGTAATTACGTTTTTTTAGACAGGAATTGGGATCGATTTTTTTAGCCACGGTTTGCTCCCACACTCCCTGAGGTAAAATATTGTATCAACGAATGTAATGCCAGTACGTGTGTAAATGGTATCGAGGGACCCCTTTATATGTAAAATGATTTTAATTTTAGTATGCTCAAATTGTAATTACAAATATAATTACGTTTTTTTAGTAAGGAATTGGGATTGATTTTTTAGCCACGGCCTGCTAGTTGGACGTCGTCAGCTGGCCTGCCAGAATTTATTGTGTGACTGAGTTTTGAATCACAGCTAAATCATCATCAATCATATGTTAAGATGGTTACTTATGGGCTCTATTTTAGATTTCAGCCTTTATCAGTACCCAATGTTATGTGCAATTTATTCTTTTTAGACTAACATAAGTGCTATGTAACTTGATTTCTGCTTATGGGATGATAGAGTTAAGGGACCGCTACTTTATAAATCCTGTCAGCATTTAAGGCATATGTTTAACATGGAAAAATTTTATGCAGGCCATGCTGCAAGACCAAAACATTGCACAATTGTTGAAAAAGCTTGTAACACCTGTTACTTACCACTTTATTGTATTATTTTCTCTAATTAAAAAGTAACACCTGTTACCAAACTTGTTTTATTTCACTTTTATTTGTCATCCAGCCACTAAATATACGTATGTGACTTTGATGTGTACACAGTAATCCAATAAGAGTTGCAAATGTTGACTTTTTACGGTTAATTTTAATATTTACCTCTTTAATGCGTGCTCACTGCAGTCTGTCCATAGACTGTATATAAAAACATTAATCTCAAATATTCGTCAAGGTAGGTAAAAAAATGTTAAAAATAACTTTGAATGCATTAATCAGGTAAAAAGTTGAGATTTTATGGCGTTTCCAGGTTAAAATTGTGTAATTTCCTGTGGTTTTAGTCAACATCAAAGCAGAGCAGTGGATTAAACATGGAAAAATGTTATGCAGGCCATGCTGCAAGACCAAAACATTGCACAATTGTTCAAACAGCTTGTAACACCTGTTACTTACCACTTTATTGTATTATCTTCTCTTATTAAAAAGTAACACCTGTTACCAAACTTGTCTTATTTCACTTTTATTAGTCATCCAAATGTTGCAAATGTTGACTTTTTACGGTTAGGTTAAAGGTTTTACCTCTTAAATGCGCGCTCACTGCAGTCTGTCCCGTTGAAGAGCGTGAACAGTGCAGACTGCGCTTGGAACTATGGAGGGGTACATGAACCACGTGACCGCTCTGGCGGCGAGATCTGAAGTTGTCGCCACTCTGAAACCAAAACGTGGGCTGTCGGCTCTGTACATCGAACAGAACATTATCGCACCTCTAAATCTCCTAATCCTAACCCTAACCCAAACCCGACAGACGAAGACGTTTCACAGCCATTAGGAATAACCAATCGGAGCCCAGCACTTTTAGCCAACCAGAGGCGAAGGAGGGCGGGTTCTTCCCCTCCCATCCTACAAAAAAAAAATTCGCCTTCGAGTCAAATAGTACATGTCCGACTTAGCTTGACCGAGATTCGATATGCGTGTCAGACTGTCATGGAAAATGGACCGGGAAAAATGTCATTAACGGAGCCTGTCACATTTACGTTTATTTCGAATTCAAGACAAAAGTTTTATTAATTACTTAAAATAACATGTGATTCCCGTTTGATACTCGACCAGGACATCGCTCCATTCGTGACGATAACTTTTCGAGAAATGAGCAGCGGTGAAAAAGAGGGCTTTGGATCCGCCATGCAATGACCTACTCTGTCCAGCAGGGGCGCAGATAGGGTTGTGGATCTGTCACGTTTTTTTGTAATCGTTTTATTATTATTATTATTATTATTATTATTATTATTATTATTATTATTATTATTATTATTATTTATCTGTCACGGTTGTGGATCTGCTTGGCTCTCAGGCTCTGCAGGCACCCCCTGTCAAATTTACGTCAATCCAATGTAAGTTCTTCTACTGCCACCAGAGGGCGTCCAAAGATCACCGTAAGACCTGCAAACCTTTGCTTTGGTTCTGCAGTTTTGGGGCTCCAATAAGCCTGCTTCACTAGGTAATATTTTACTTGAAAGTGTGAAATTAAACCAATACCAAAAATATTAACTAAATGGGCCTAAATTAGACTGTATTGCAAGTTAATGACAAACCAGGAAGGGGCATGTAAGGATTTTGAGCCAGCATCCACAACTGCATAATGTTATGTAACTAATTTCTGTTTTTCTGATATCAGTCACACAACATTTATGAAGAAATGCATGTTTGGCTGTCAAAAAGTCACAGAAATTGCCTCAAAATCTCTACCAGTCTTTTATTTTTAAATGGCACTCAGAAAAAAAAGTCAAGGTTATATGTAAAGTTATTGTAAAATCATAAAATATGTAATTGCAAGTGATAAATAGCGTAAAAGACGTGTGTCCTGACAAATGAGGAATGAGCCCCGCAGCAGGGTGACGCAGTGTAAACCGTGATAGGAGACCTTTGGCCCCACTCGGAGGATTAACATCGAGCTCAGACCGTCGACAGCCTGACACCTGATAGCTGCTGCTGCAGTGTGGCGCACAGTTTTGTCAGGAAGAAGGAATTGGCGTTGTTAGTTTGGAAACATGCGGTGGAAAGAGAGCTCATCGTCAACAGGAGAGGACCAACTTCAAACTTTGTCCCTCACGTTAACTAACGTGCAGCCCAATTGAAAGAGCCTCACTCCCGACTCGCACAGCCTATTTAGGCGCATTTTATGGAGATCTATAGATGACAAGACCTGCACGCTGCGGGTTGCTCTCAGCATCTCCTGGGATCTTTGTTGTGGAACATGGCGAGAGAGATGACGGGAGCTCATCTCCTCGAACTATTTTTATTTTTTATCATAGCAATTTTCAGGGAAACAGATGGACAAGACACAGGTTTTAGCTTGAGTCCTCCGTATTTCAACCTCGCTCAGGGGGCGAGTATCTCTGCCTCAGCAACCTGCGGCCAGGATGAGGCTGGAATACCGAGAAATGATTTATACTGTAAGCTGGTCGGAGGACCGACCACCGGAGTTCTTACCCAGAACATACAGGTAAGACAAGCTGCTTTCTCAAGAGTTTGGGTATGTCTGCAAACTTGGAGTGAAACAATATGTAAGAAGAGAATCGGTAAAACATTGTCGTGAGCACATCGATTAAGTAGATTGTGTTCAGTATGCAACTATCACTGCATGCCTGGCAGTTTATTATGGGTTAATGTTGTTCTGCCTACCATGCCAAAGTTAAAATAATCTGCCAGCAACAGTTGTACACCATTGTAGTAGATTTCTCCAGGAAATAGCTTTTCAATGGTGCTGTTACCCCCTAAGGACTCTAGGACCAGTATGTCTGCAAGAACAGGAGTTTGATCAAGAAATGCAGACTTTTTTTTGTGATGGAAATGTTTTTTTTTTTTTTTTTTTACATCTGCACCATGATAGGCTATACATCAGTGCCTGCCTCACCTCAGTTATATCACTAAATACATGTTTGCTGATATTATTTGGGTGTGTTTATCTCTGAATACCAATCATTTGACACCATTCAGGGTCAATTCTGTGACGTCTGCAACAGCGCTGACCCTACCAAAGCCCACCCGGTCACCAATGCCATCGATGGGACTGAGCGATGGTGGCAGAGCCCTCCTCTCTCCAGGGGTCCTGGTTACAACGAGGTGACTGTTACCTTGGACCTTGGACAGGTGAGATTAGCATACCTTACTGTGCTGTGAACAGCTGTTTACCTGCTGCTGCCTGCTCAGTGAATAATGATTGCTGTGTGCCGACAGGAAAATGTGGCACCTGGATGTTACAAAGGGAAGAGAAAGAAAGTGCTTTCTGTCTTGGGCTCTGCATTGTTTGCACCTTCACAAATATGAAATTAAGCATTGAAGCATTTCTGCACTATGCTTTTCCTTGTTTCAACCCATTTATTTGCTGCTGCTAATTTCCTCTGGATGCTTGTGAGGAAGTTGTCTGACAGGTGTTGTCTGGTTCACAAGTGTTCCAAATGTGTTACATGATATTATTTTCAGTTTGAACCTCATCACTTCAGTCAGTGGTGATCATGTGAATAACGTGCTGCAGTTGGATGCTCTCCAGGAATCAGATTCACGCCCCTTTGGCAGGCGAATATGCTTCCATCATGACCCGTGTCTTTGGCAGGAGTTTGGCTCATGGCCCATAAAATTGCACTTCACGCTGAATTATGCACTGTGAGGAAAGAGAGGAATTCTGTCTTGGGATTAAGGATCAGAAAGATGTGAAATCTGATTCATGGAGTGCAGGTAGCCGCCTGGGTCTTCAGCGTGAGGACGGTTTTGACTAGTTTTGGAGTTGACCACAAAAAGAGAGAGCAACAAAGGCGCTCCTGTCTGCACGTGTTGCATATTTGCCTCCCAGTGGGCGCTGTGTCTGACAATGGGTGGCGGCTTTTCTGTCTCTGTTTTTAGAAAGACTGGGCCAAGCAGAGATCCCTACAGGGCTAAATATAGTCAGCACATACAGGAGGATGGACACATGCAGGGCCTTTAGGGATGTCTGACTTTAATACGTGGTAATGCTCAGTTTATTTGGGAGTGGGGTAAGCAGCATTATTGCATTAGGGTGTGCTAAAAAGAGCATAGTCAGATCTTTGATGGTGACTACCAGCCACACATCACTCGACCCTTCCTCAGTACAACACCAAAACCTAAACCACACACACACACACAAACACCTGTCACACACATTTTTCTGTTGGTGGCGTCTCATGCAACCACCAGGATTGTAAACAATGCTCACCTGCTACCATGTCATTGTGAGCCATGGGGGTTTGAATAGAAATTTTTAACCTTTTGAAACAAAATGAGTCAACTTATGAAGAATTAGAGTCAAGTCAAATGAGATGGAGGTAAAAAAGAAATATGACAGTAAGCAGCAGCCTGCTAGCTTAAGCCCTTTTGTGTAAACAAGTCAAGGAAAAGCCTATTATTTAAAGAACATTGAAGAAAATTGATTCGGTTTCACTCTTGATTGAGGAAGTTGTCAGGTTTTTCTTCTCGGTACCTCCCTGACTTTTAAAGTGTGTTTTATTTGCTCAGCTTTACTGCAGTCACCCACCCTACAGTTGTGAGCTTGTGCATTATCTGAGACAGGACCGGAGCTGTCAACTTGTTTGACTGTTCCATGTGAAGCTTTGATAGCTTTGTAGGCTTTATTCAAATCCACAGGATAAATGATGTGTTCACTGAAATATGTGGGCTAGACCCCACTGAATAGGTTTGTGGTTACTTTCAAGGCCAACGCAGGTGGTTTTTCTTGTTCTGTACAGCGTTCAGTGGACGAATTAGATAATGGCACAATTGATGTTTATGTTAAAATGCTGAGGTTCAAAGAGGGAGGTGTGTTTCTTGATGGAGATCTTTCCGGTTTGTCCGTTTGAAGCCAAGTCAACTTATCGTAAACTAAACTGGATAAATTGAACAGTTTGTCTGACCGGATTAGCACTTTTCTTCCAGGGATGGCAAAGGCTGTTCATCGACTTGATCGACACATCCTAAGAAATGTCAAATAGATTTTGTACAACAATCATAGTCCCCAGAGGATGAATCCTATTGACTGTAGGGACCACCTTTAGTGCCTCTTATATTGACAAATATGTGTTACAAACAACTATAGGATAGACTGCCATAAATTGTTGGTTCTGACATTCATGTCACCCTCAGGGCGTAGTGTACTTACACTGTTGATCCCCTGACACTTCATCTCGCACTTTATCATGTCAAAAAGTTTAATTTTGCAAGGGCTTCCTTGACAATCTCATCAATCAACTTACTGGTTTGTGGGAAAAACTTTCCCTGCAAAACATTAGCATGTTTGTATTGTCGTTGTTGTTGTGTTAGCTTGCTGAAATAAGCACCTCTAAGCATGGTTATGCTGTCTCAGAGCACTGTTGGTGGGGCAGTAGATTCTTACTTCTGGTTTCACTGACTCTGTTTATCTTCAGCAATAATCTTGTACCACTTTCATGAACCAGTCCAAAGGCTGAGTACTTCTAAATACAGTAATGCCTTCAAATTGCCTCCCCAGCTCACAAATCTCCTCTAGATAAGCCCCGTATCTCGGACAAGCTAGCGCAAGCAGGTCAACCGCTCCTTGTTTATGTGACCTCTTGGCTTGTGACCTGTGACCCATGAAAATTGGCCTTTGAGTCAGGAAATTGCCTTGTTGATTTTGAGTTTGCTTCTGGATAGACACAGGTTATGGGCACTATGTTTACTTTGAGAGAAAGTGAACAAAAACGTGAGATAATTGAAGTTGTTTTTCGGTACTTACAGAATATAAACACGATTGACACACAAATATAAGAGTCTATGTTTCTACTCACACCACTTTTGTGTGCATTTGTTCATCCCCTGCAAATCTATGACGCCCAACCCTTTCATCAGTCAAGGACCAGGGAAACATGTCTTGTCACTTCTATAATAAATGTGTACTAAATCTCTCCCCACCAAGACACTGGCTCCTTTTCCTGGAACTTTTGCCCTCGTCAAACTATTTACAGGACACAGTAGGCAAGCCATTGTTCTGGTAAACATTTACACCATGTATCAGACTACCAGTCACTCCTTTTTTCTGGGGAATGTATTTTAGGAGCCCTGACCACATGTGCTTATCTGCCTGAGTGAGCCCTGAGTAGACCATGTGAGTCAAACATAGCAAGGCTTACTGCTGTCTGTCTCCAAACTGATGAGACTGAGCTTTATGTGGTTGGCTGGTATCGGGCACTGGATCAACGTAAACACTGGTCAATATTGGCTCATTTTAAGGTCTTTTTGTAGCTGGATCGATACATGAGTGCCTTAATATGACGTTTTTGACTCTAAAGTTAAGGCTCAGCATTTTTGTTGTTGATGACAGGTGTTTATCGTGGCGTTGATGGATTTCAATGTGGTGGTTTTGTGACTTAAAAGGAAATATTTCAAAACATAATTGTTGTTTATACGTAACTTATTGGTCATTTTGGCTCAGCAGACTGTAACATTTGGTTTTCATGCCTTTTAATCTCCCTGAGTAACAGAGCACAAGAACACTGACATGCTAAATTTGCAGGGTGATCTGGTTCAGGTTAGAGCTGTGTCTCTGGCAGTTTTGCATGAGACAAAGCTTCTAGGAACCAAATTTGCAGAGAGTTTCCCTCGAAACTTAATCCCCTCTCTCTCCCAGGGGTCCACCTCCCTCCAAAGTTGGTTTGAATGTTTTATTTGCAGCAGTCGCCCCCTTTTGTACCAGGACCCTTCTGGGCTGGATTGTGTGACATCCTTTCTGTGCTCTCAGACTCTCACAGAGGTTTGGTTCTTTTTAAACCCATCTGAAAGTGACCTAGCCCTCTCCTTTCACTTAACAAATGGATGGAAATGAAGAGGTGGTGTAATTTGGTGGTGAGAAAGTACTTATAGAGGAAACACACACACACAAACACACGGCTTAGACTAAAAACCCCAATTCCTCTTGATGTCTGCCCTCTTATGGAGTGAACAGTTAGATACAACCAAGTAAGATGCTTGCATGCATGTGGCTTTAAGTCTGATAAATGTTCAAATGTAAAACCTAAAATAATTCAGACTTAATAAAAGCTATAAAACAGACTTATAATGGTGATAAAGACATATCTAAACAGCTTGCCAAGTCCCTTCCAGACACCAGATATTTCTCTTCCTAGTGTTATTGTCAGGATGACGATGATGTAAGTGTCTCTCTTTAGCTGGGCTGCTTGCGGCGCCACACATTTACTACTCCGCTAACAGCCACTTCATGCTAGTTAGCTGTATAGCAGCCCCACAGTTCCTCCTCAATCTGGAGCCTCAATGTGGGAGAGATTGAGGGGGCTGATGAGGGGTCTTTTCATCTTTATGTGGCCCTCGTTACTGATTCATATATGGAAATGCTAATCAGTGGTCACACGTCTTCTGATGCAGGTGCCGGTGCAATGTCCTGTATTTGCGAGCAGGAGTTCTCTCCAGACTGTTTCTTGAATAGTATAGCGTCGATACAGTTTCAATTCCACCAGGACTCAACAAAAGCATGGCAGTAACTTCCAACACATATCCAAACATCACAATTTTAGATCACTCCACTTTTTGGGGAGGAAGGACAGCAGTTTTTTTTTAAATTAGTCAACAAATATTTATAATCCGATTGTTTATTATCCTTCATATTTTTAACTGTTTAATATGAGGTTCTTTATTGGTGGTTTAAGAACATTTCTTAAAAAGGCTATGAAAAAATAACACTGATGAGAAGTGTTGGAGCAGCTGCAGATCAAGCCTGTACAATGTAAAGACTGCTAACAAGTGTAAACTTGTATTCTGGGTGCTCTCTTTTACACCTACAGCTCTCTTGTGAGTTTTCATCAACCTTTCTTTGTTACCATCTAACTAATTCTGTCATGGAGACAGAGTAAAATACACCAGACTAGCCCTCACCCCTTCCCCCGCCCACCTGTTGCACAAAGACAAACAGTTGTACATTGCATTGTCAGAGAGCGGAGGGCGGCACAGTGCTCTGTCTGGCAGCGCTGATACGCCTCGACAGAAGGCGATGCCCCCTCTCCTTTAAATTGCATTCCTGTGATCTCACATCAGACTCTGAGGAGTGCGCTCAGATGGCTTCTATCTGTCAGGACTCTGATCTCAGGGTAGATTTAGTCCTCTTTGCTATGTGGAGCTCTTTGGTTGGATTACCATGTTCAATATTTGCTTCTTGACTGCTCTTGTTGAAAATGGGATTATTAATGCTATCTTAAATTTGCTTGATGTTAAAAAGTATATAGATTTGATATGAGAGTACACAGATTTAGACAGGGATAGTAAAAGGATAGTATATCAGAATAATAATACTGCTGCTTTAAAGAGGTTTTGCACAGAAAATTATGGTAAGTGAAAACAACGATAGAAAAATAAAAAAATATTCCGGTGCAGGTGTGTGAGTATGCAAGCTGGTATTATTCTTTGGCTAAATTGCACATGATTGATTAGTAAAAAAACTGGAAATACCATACTCCTATGCAGTTGAATGAAATTTAACTCCTTAAGCAGCAAAATAAGCAGCATTAAAATGTCAACATTCAGACTGAAGAATATCACAAGGTCTCACGCTTAAACAGCATTTATATCTCTCCTGTAGACACTACTTCTTAGATTGTACACACTGATTTCCTGTTCGAATACATGGCTAGATGGCTCAGCATAGTTCTGGTACTTTAAAGCATGCAGAATAAAATAGAAGTCAGTCAAGTAAGCAAAAATTGACTGACAACACATCAAAAAAGTCGTAGAACTCTGCAGCAGGCGCATGGTTGCATGAGACGCATAATTAAGCTACTTTATTTCCAATAGAAACTCCTCTTTAGTGGTGGTCTGTTGTCCCCAAATCTGCCCCAGGTTCAACTTTTGTACTGGATTATTCTCAAAGTAATAATAGCAACAGTTCTCTCAGCCTCAGCTTTTCAGTTTGAGGGCAATCAACCAAATTTTCATTTTAATCACAATTTTGGCTTCTGATGATCATGAAAATAAAATAAGAGAGGAAGATAAACTATTACTGTGTCACCTGACATATTGCACTCATTTTGTCCTTTGTAGTGAATGGATCGCTTCAATTTGTATTGACAGTCAGAGAAACTAGAGCCACATTCAGGGCAAGACAAGCAATTTGACAGACCAGTCATAGTCCCAAAAGGATGACTCACCGCAGGGCTGGTAGACTGTAAAATATAATCACCGCTCAATTAATAGAGGCATTGGCTCATTTGTGTAATTATGTATCCACAAGCCAAATCATGTAGCTCTCCCTGTCTGACTTCTCCTTTTTCTTAGAGCAGTTATTTTTAGCTGAAGAAGGAGGTCGTCATCATCAGCAACTGTTTTTAAACAACATTCAGGAGTGTGAAGAAGTTACAGATGCCAAAAAATGTGTGAAGTGGGGGACTGCTGTATTGTCAATGTGTTTTTATGTCTTTAAGCCTAATGTGTAATGGAGATGTAGCCAAATCAATGAGTAAACATATTGTTTATTGCCATAATTGAACAACTCAGAGCTGAAACAAAGTCGCTGCAGTTGCAGATCAGCTTAAGTTCATGTTCATCACAGTCTTAAGTCATCACTGTGTGATAAAACATGAGCATTTTATTGATTTGTTAGATCGAGTATGCCTTTGTTGATCATGTAACATTGTTATGAATGTTTTTGAAACATGTTCCTTATGTGCTGTCTTGATGTTTAATTTAGACGGGGCTCAGTTAGGGTAGATGCAGCTCTGCCTTCCTGCAGTTGCTTGGACTTTTTCTGTATTACAACCTAATAATTAAGTCAAAAAGAAGAATAATGGAGGAAGAGTAATATTTAAACTCTAACAGAATGCTGGAATAGGTCAATAATATTGATGACAAAACCCCCAGATTTCATAATCTCATGCTGGTTTAAAGACTCTGCTATTAAGGGCATTGTAGTATTAGCAGAGTTCAAAAACCTTACAAATCGGGGGCAAAGAGTGTGTCTGAGACTTGGCACCTCAGTGAGGTGTCAGTGGGAAATTCCTACCTAGTCCTTTTACATCACAGTTCATTTAATCGACACAATGAGATTATAATTGTGGCAGGCACAGCTATGAGAGAAGCTGGCAGGGTCACGCAAACTGGCCTTTTTTTAATTTTGATTTTTTTCTGGAACATGGAACATGGCTCTACAGCTTGATATCATAATGCATGAACAAGTTAGAGGGCATGTAGAGGCAGCAGCACTTCAGCAGTTCACACCCAAGTGAAAGTGTGAGCATTCATCACTCCTCTTGAGCTTTAAACATTTTGCTTTAGCTGTTAGGAGTCACTGCGCTTTCTACAAGCGAAAAAGTGCACTCAGGTCCACACAAGGTGTGTTTGATGGCATGTGGGTGGGGATCAGACTGTGCAGGTCAACAAAGGTGTCAACATGCATGACTTAGTGGAGTGAAGGTTGTGAAGAAGGGGCTTTTCCACAGGTAGATATAAGTTATTGCTCCATCGAGATGTGTTGAAATGTATTTACCACCCAAGTGTTTACCTTTCCCCCAACCTTCTGTACCTTATCGCAACCTGCTCCGACTGCAGAGGGCAATGCTAGGGGAAACAATGTCATGTGGAAACAGACTCTGACACAACACTGACTACATTACAGTCAAGATAGCAGTTGAGACAAAAAGTAGCACAGATTCAGACTTTTCTGGGGTCTGAAAATTATTATTTTTGTGTTTCATTTGATCACAGTTGAAACATCTAAGAAAAAAAAACCTTATCTAGACATGCAAATCTATTATGTCAATAAAAGATAAAAGCAGTAATAAAACTAATCTCTGAATGGTTTAAAGAGGTATTTACATGACTACTAGCCTACTAGTCCAAAAGTAAGAAACCGTTCAGACAGCAGTCAGGATTGGGCATGATTTTATTTAACATGGCTGAACAGGGGGCCACAGTCTGCAGATAAACTATGTCAAATTGATTTGCAGAGTGTGGCTAATATAAGCAGAGCATCACCAGCCTTGCAAGCCAATTCCCACAGGCTTGTGACATTCATGCATTGCTCTGGTTAGGTTGTTCTATCCCAGTTTAACCAGATGGAGACTACATACCATCCACTTTATCTCTATTTTATAAATATAAATGTAGCCTGTGCCCTGCTGCACCACAAGGTTTCATCTGCATTTTCTGCATGTTAACATATGGTATGGGTAGGTAGGTTGAATTTATTGTCCCCATGAGGAAATTCATTTGCAGTAAGTTAAAAACATGCACAAAGACAGCACACATACACTGTCCCATATAAAACAAAACAAAACAACTCAGAAAAGACAATATAAAAATATTACTGTACTTTGTCAATTCAATCAAGTATTTCAATAAATACTTTTATAAGAGTAGGTATAAGAGTAGTATGGTAATAGCTATAAACCAGAGCTACAGCTAGAGGACACTGGGTATGCAACTGTTTTTTTGCGCAAACTTTGCCTGGCATTTTGGGCCAAAGCTATTTTTCTATACATTGGTTGCTTTTTATACAGTCCCACCAGGAGCTCAAGATGCAAGACTGAAATTGGTGTTCAGAGTCACTTTCTCAGAGTGGGAAGTATATTCTATATCTGTTTCCACAAACAGCAAACATAATCCAATGCCCACGTTAAGTTTGAAAATTGTTTAATTGTGCCGATATTTTCTAAATAGGTTCTGCTGAAAGAGGTTTTAGCTGCTGATAGACGTTTGCATATATGTACACACACATGCATACACTTGCAGACAGAGCCGAACACATGATATCCTCCAGGCTTATGCCCCTTTGGAGATAATAACAACACACACAAACACTCAGTTGGCATGAGAAGTCACGGGTCAACAGATTTAGGAATGTGTCGGCGTACGTTTTGTTGAAATGCATTCACACATTGCTTCAAGTGTATTGAAGAGGAAAATGTTAATACGCTGCTGTTAAAAAGGTGTCTGCTCTTTAGGGACCTGGCTGTCTGTGTTAGTCTGTTGTGTTAATTAGAAGGTTAGAGGAGATCTGGAGACTTTATACTCTGTAGATGTGACACTGTTATAGGGGGTCAAGGTCAGGAATTTGAGATGGGGTGAGAAGGCAGAGGGGGTGGGTGTCAACCACTCCATACCTGTCACAGCTCAACCCCTGACCTTTTTGACACCCACCCACCCAGCCGCAGCCTCCTGCACTAAACCTCCTGGCATGACACTCTTGTTTAAAGCCTGAGGCCACAGATTCAGGGAGGGGCAGTGGATGAATCTGCTCAAGTGTTTTTGCCACAAGCTTGTCAATCTGTTTCATGTCTTTGTATGCCTCTGGAATCCTGCGCTGGTGTGCTTAGCCTGCCAACACAATATTTCATGCTCCCTGCAAACAATATGTAGGTGCCTGACATATTTTAAGGGTGTGTGTTTACACTGGCAGGATGGACTTGGAATTGAAAAAGCTCTGCCAGGACAGGGCCTGTCTGCTGTTATCTCTCATGTCAGTTTCTGACTAGATTTGTTAACAGAGAATTCTTGCCACTATCTTTCAGTTACTGGCGTCAAGTGGAAGTCTGTATCACAGCAAATAGCATCACTCAAAGCTAGATTTGTGTTGATTTGGGATTTTGTGTTAGCAAAAATAGTTAATGGAAATATAGAAATTATATAATTTTTGTTGCTGATTTTAAAACATAACGGCTGCTTGCAAAATTGATCTTTGTAGTAAAATAAATGACTGTATTGAGTAGGGCTGGGCAATAAACCAAAAATTTACCGATACCGAAATTTACAACATTACGTCATAATGTACTTTCCTGTGCTCTAAATTTACAACATTATTTTACCCGTGCCAATATATTTGGTGTCAAAAAAATAAATCAATAAAAGTTGGTTTTGGATGTGTTGTTAGGTTTTGGATGTGTTGGTATGTTATGGTCTCATGTCCCTTTAAGATGATGTCCTACATCAGACATGACTCCACCCAATGCAGTCAATAACAAAGAGGGAAAGACAGGTGAAGAGATGGAGGCCGTTTCAAAAGTTGAAGCGGCTGGAAGTAGACAAAGTTAATGTGGGAGGGGGTGAGCAGCTTGTGTAGTAGTTATCATCCATTTATCATTATCGAGGTGAATTGCTCAATATATTGTGATATTGATTTGAGGCCATATCGCCCAGCCCTAGTATTGACATTATAATTCAGAGTTCATGTTCTTGGAACTTCCTCTTAAAACCAAGGAGTTAAGTTAAACAAATATGGCAAATCAAATACCTAAAAACATGGACGTAATGACATGAAAAGTTCAGTCATAAAGTTACAGCAAGTTGAACATAATACAGCGACAAATGAACAATTCAGCATTTCAAGAATATGATAATCACACCTTGTATCAGATCATTGCATTGATTGACTTTATTGAGAATTTTAATCTTTTACTGGTTTTGATTGGTGGACTGGTTGATTGAGGTCTAAGTTTTATAAGGTGAATTAAAAAAATGGATGAGACGGACACAAAGATGATACATTTTAAAATGAAACATCCCAATTAAAAATAGATAGACAAGAATTATAAACATATTGATAAGCACTGCTAGTTTTCCTTTTGGTTGGTTCCCCCCCATCTATAAGGGTTGAAATCTGGTTCTATCATAGACCGAGTTCCACATTGTTTAAAACCCACAAACCAAAAACCAGTTCTGCATTTGTGTCTCATGGGTCCTATGACACAACGTTGTACAATTTGAATCCCATCATATAAATTAAATCACTTATGCATAAATGCAAGTGTGGCAGAATGGCTCAATGTGGTAACATGATTAAGGTTTCGTTACATTTTACCAAAAAAGTGCAATTTCTGTTACAAAAAAAATGCTCAGGGGGGAAATACAACCTCCACAACCAAGCATATCAGCATTGTGCTTTAGATTAAACCAAATTGTTGTGCCTATGTCTGTCTTTGTGCTGACAAAACACTGTCAGCTGTGGGACAGTCATCCTTTTCTGGTCCAGCAGGATAAAAAATAGTAATCTGTTATTTAAATCCATGTTGAAATTGGCAGGATGAAAGTTTGTTCCCTGAATTCCGGAGGTGACACGAGGTTACATTTTGAAGTGCTCAAGGGAAGGTTAATGAAAGTACCATGAGGCAAAAGTTGACTGAGGCATTATCAATAACAGGAATACCAGTTCTGTTAAAATTTGAGCATGGTCTTGTTTTTGCACCAAATACCAGAAAAGTTTTGACAGTTTTTAGGTCATTAATGAGGCTCAATGATGGTATTTCAAACGATAAATGATACCCTTTTTAACACCGGGGTCTACATACAAAACAATATGTTTTCATGAGTATGTTCAGCTCTGTTAATCATTGACCATTTGGCAGTACTTAAAACACTGACACTCATTATGAACAAAGAAATACCTTCAAATTATGCTAATTGTCTTCTGTCCACCTGTCAAAACCTAAGAGGAGACACTTGGGTTCCAAAAATAGAACCAAATTATTTACAAAGACTAATTCTTGGGAGACGGGAGAATCCCTTTTAGTCACCATCTTTATCTGTCGCCACGACAAGTGTTGAGGAAGATTTTCAACGCCGTGCATCCCTGTCAGTGACTGGTTCCTGAAAGCAGTGGCATACTCTGCGTCTAGGTCTAGGGCATTAGGAGCGAAGGGGAATGTGACGCCATGTTTGGAATCTGAGATGGGTCTGCATGCCAGCCAGCACGTCTCTAACCACCCTTACTCTTCTAACCCCCCCACTCTGATTCTCTCTCCTTTGACTCCCTTCCCCTGGCTCTCCCTGGACGTCATTGCGATCCGTGTGAACTGGACTTCCTGCTGTTCCTCAGCAGAAACAGATTATTGATAGAAGGCAGGACTTTTTTTTTAGCAGGATGACGGCAGCCCACGGCTAGTTTTGTTGGCGTGCACCATTTGTCTTTTTTTGCACATCCTGTTGTATGTGGGTGGAAGTGGGCTCTGATTAATTCAGAGACACACCCCATTCGAGCTCAGAAAGAGCCATTTTCAGCCATATTATTTACTTACAGCTTGTTTCCCTGTCCTTGATTACAGGACACTCAAAAAGACTTTACTTTGTTTGTTTTCAACCATTTTTGACAGTTTCCAGAGAACTAGTCAGAGCAGATCCCTCAGTTGACCTCTGCCCTTTCTCACCATCCATCAGCTTTAATGTTACTTGAACTAGAGGCCTTCAGTTTTCGGGGTTTAGAAGGAAAATCCGTCAAGAGAAAAGTGGATCCTTTTTTGATGCCGTCAAAGCAGAGCCCTCGCTTGACTTTCCTTCGCTTTGATGAGAGTGTTAGCTTAGCTCCCTGCCTCATGCAAGCAGAGATAGCTACCTGACTGTTTCAACTGCCTGCAGGGATTTTCATCAAGGTGCTGAGGGATGCTAGACGAGTGCAGGCCTGCCTTTATCCCTGTCAAAGAGAAAGCAGCCTATAGAGATGTCTTTCATTTACATAGCACACAGTATTTAAAGCAAAGGCTTATTCATCACTTCAATCCAGAGAGAATGTAGAATATGTCGAGCAAAATGCTTGAAGTATTCAGTTTCTATTCAGATACATAAGGATACATGCCAGCGCAGACATTTAGAGATAAATTGGAATGTTGCCTCGTAAAAACGTGACAGGGGCGTGGTAGTCAGGTATAGCTGCGGCCTTAATATCGGCACAGAGAGTGACACATGCAGCTCAGTGTCTCAGGGTTTGAATTCCACACCAAGGCCATGCCAAACCATAACAAAGAGAGCTTTGACTATCATGAATTACCTGTCTATTGTGCAAACTTCAATCAACATGAAGTCACCCGCTTTCAGGCCTTGATGAGGATGTTGTTGATGTGCAACAGAAACATAGGCTGTGACTCTGACAGAAAGCTCAGTGTTGGCAGAAACAGTCACTGGCATCCTTTTCTGCCCTTGTATGGACTGTATATTCTGATGGAAGGTGGAGATAGACTTCTGAGAACAGACACGGATCATGAGGGCTCAGCCGACGTCTTTCACGAGCTCTCCTGCACCTGCACCACTTTTATTGACTCCATGCTGACAAATGGCGAATTGTTTATATTTAGCTGATTGGCCACACAGTCGTCAAGCTGCAGGAATAGAAACTCAGAGCAGGAAGTCCAGACTTAGCTTCAGTTTAATGGGCGAATTCCCAGTGAAGTCATTAAGTCTTTTGGATAGATGCAACAACGACAATAAGAGTATTGTCAGAACTTCTGGTCAACAGTGAGGGTTGAATTCATAGGCACAGGAAAGTACAGTATGACAAATGGTTGTTTTTTGCACAAAGGTCAAGTTGCATGCCCATATACAGGGGCTGTAATCCTCAGAGTGGACGGCTCTCTGACCTTTACCCCATTGCATGACTCACTCTTTTTTTTCCCAATTTGCACGTGCATTTCAGAATTTTCCCTGGATTTTGCGACTATATATACTGTCCTATTATTAAATAACCACTCCAGATCTCCATCTGCTTACCCACGATTTTTTTTCTTTTTGTTTAGCATTTTTTTTTCTTCTCTGTTTCTCCTTTGTTTAGCTCTTCCATGTAGCATACGTCCTCATCAAGTTTGCTAATTCACCTCGTCCTGACCTCTGGGTGCTGGAGCGCTCTGTAGATTATGGGAGGACCTTCAACCCCTGGCAGTATTTTGCACGTAAGTACCCGTGATTTTACAGTGATGTCTTTTTTTGTATGGGTGTGTGTTAAATGAAACACAAAAGAAAACTTTCTCTGTGCTTTGTGGAAGAGTTTAAAGTTGAAGTTGCATAAGTTTAACCCTGCTGTTCTCACAACTGTCACTGGTTTCAGAGTAAAGCCTTGTAAATCTGATTTGCAGTGCGAAAACACACCATCACCGAACACATAAAAAAGACTATTAAGACTATAAATACATGGATGCAGACAGAGAATTATCGGATTAGAGTAAATATCTTAAGAAATTAAATAGATTTAATTGATAACATTAACATTACCTCACTCAGCCATGTCAAATACACAGTGAGTCGAGCACCAGAGCTCCTGGGCTGGCCCTACTGAATGGAAAGCAGCTATTATTATTATTATTTTCATCAATCACAGCAGTGCATTTCCTGCTTTGACAAGTCCCTGTGTCTGCTCTGAAAATTGCCCATGGTTAAGATAGATTAAAATGAGCTCACTGCACATCTTCAGTCTGTACTTCTCCACCAGCTTAAAGAATTTAGCAGCAAAACTAACAATGTTGCTTTAGAGCTTTGTGGGAATTTCAAGAGAATCGTTATTTGATGTGTAGAAAGAAGAAAGCAGGAGGAGATATTCAGGGACTTCAACACCCTCTGTGACTATTACCCTTTAATGTCATACCATTCCCGTATTACCTGAACTACATCCCTGGAAACACTCTTTGAATTGCTGATTTGGCGCATGTGATTTATGATATTTAATATCCAGGTGGGACCTGCGCACTAAATTTTCCAGCTGACAGAGCTGTGATTCATCAAACTTACAGTCAGAGTATCTCTCTCTCTCATCGTTTGTTCCTGCTCCAAGTTCAGGTTGATTTAGCAACATTAAGACTCCGACTTCTTAAACAATGCTTTTGAAGGCTTTGTTTTCCTCTTACACAAATACTGCCAAGCAATATTTGCTCGTCTCTTATCGCACACAGTCCTTGTTCAAGAACACGTTAACACAACAATCGTCATTGTTGCAACAGCAAGTTTTAATGACTGTTGATAGTAGGGAGTAACTTTGGAGAGCATATCAATGCAGTGTTATTGTCATTTCTCTAAAAAAATGGGATGAATGTGACAGAGATGATGACAGATTTGAACATTTCTGTGTTTTGGGGGCAGATTCAAAGCGAGAGTGTATTGAAAGGTTCGGAAAGCAGCCCAATGTTCGTGTACTAAATGATGACGATCAACTCTGCACAACAGAATACTCACGAATTGTCCCTTTGGAAAACGGAGAGGTGAGAAACCATGTCAAGCTGTTAAAATCTTCGAGTGTAAAAAAAGAAAATCAATCTTTGTATTTTTTATTGGTGTTGTCCAGATTGTGGTGTCTCTGGTCAATGGTCGACCAGGGTCCAAAAACTTCACCTATTCACCGGTACTGAGAGACTTCACAAAGGCCACCAACATCCGCCTGCGCTTCCTTCGCACCAGCACCCTGCTTGGTCACCTGATCTCCAAGGCCCAGAGGGATCCCACCGTCACACGCAGGGTGAGGCACGAACTGTACAACCTGACACTCAGGTGTCATGCTGGCAGACTTTCATTTCCCATTTGGGTGAACTGATTTTACAGCTCAGCACCTGCTCTCATGCTTACTTGTCACTGACACAAACACACTGACCACACTGATATTTATCTTAGCCACAGCGTAATATCAGAGCTGTTTGACAATTTGTCTCTTCATGGTGATTTCTTTGATAAAGACACAGTTACTTCCTCTTAAAAATGGAGAGTACATGTTTTTATCTTATTTTATTTTATTTAAGTTTATTTTTTTTCTGAGTCATTATTTGCTTTCATAGATAGAACTGCTGAGGGAGGACAGGAAATATGGGAAGTAGAGTTTGGGGATGGGCACGCTTCAAAGGGTGTTGACTGAGAATCAGTCTAGCTACCAACACAACAAAGACTACACCCTCTATATATGGAGTTGAAACTGAAACCACTAGACCAACCACAGCCCCATGAAGAATATGTTAATAAAAATACCAGTCCTATCTATTCTGGTTTATATTTAAACTGTACCTCAATATATCCTTATATCCTTTTACATCGAGAAGCTTATTTTCACTATAAAACTGATACCAAGTTGATGACTGTAGAGGTAATTCCTGAAATGTTTACTTTACTCAGCACTCATGTCTCAAACGTCTTTATTTAATGAGTTTAGGCTCGTGAGGTCAGCAGCTTAGTCATAGCTTATGTTTTTATAATGCACTGATTCACTCCATAAAAGTTGCTTTGGCTTATGGATTGCGGTTGAAGTTCCTACTTGTTACCCTTTGTGACTCACCTCTGCTTCCAAGCAAAGACAGACATTTTTGCTGGTGTTTCATTGACGATAATCTGTCCTCCTTTCCTCCTGATTCTGCTGTTAACTCCACTCTAACTACAAAAAAGTCTTGTTTCTCAAATGTCCTATTTTGTTGACAGTATTTCTACAGCATAAAAGATGTCAGCATTGGTGGACGCTGTGTTTGCCATGGCCACGCGCAGGTGTGTGGTGGGGGGCGTGACCGGGACAACCCTAACAGGTTGGCAGTATTCTTCTTACTATGTTACTTTCCTGTGCTTTATCAGTCATTTTTGCACCAGTTCCTTACAGACATTTCTAAAGTTAACCTTGAAGTATAATTTTAACCAATCGATGTTCTATTTGTTCATTCATTAACGTGGCTGGAAAGTCATGTCGACAATAGGCCAGTGTGCCAGGATGACTTCATAGTGAAGACAAAAACAAACAGAGATAATGCACCGTTTTGTGGTTAGAGTGATACTGAGTTGTTTCTGTGGAGGAACCGTTACCTCATATGTTGGTTCATTGTCGTCAAGGGTCACTGTATAAATAAGCAGTTGTTTTTTCATCACAGTTATCATAACAATAGAATAAGGTGAAAATATCCAGACCTTGTTTGCAGCATGTTCTGCAAAACTCACTCATTACTTGTTAAAACATACTGCATGTGTTTTTTGAATCCGAGCATTACTACATACAGGTGTGCGCTCTTTTGTCTGCAGACTACAGTGCGAGTGTCAACACAACACCTGCGGGGAGTCATGTGACCGCTGCTGCCCTGGCTTTAACCAGAAGCCGTGGCGCGCCGCGACTGTTGACAGCCCCAATGAGTGTCAGCGTAAGTGCACATGTTCTGTGGATTCAATGTGTAAACAAAACCAAAGTGTGGTACTCCCCTCTTTGAATTACAACCCCCTCCAGAGTGGACTGGAGTGTCCTCTTGTCTCTGATATTTAAGCCCTGTTGTGGATGCCCTGATATGGTGTTGCTGAGAGCCTGAGTGAAGAGTAGAGAGGACATTCCCCATATGGTATGTGTGATGATCAGCTTAGTGCACAGCTAGTATCAGGATAACTGCTTTTTGTCACTTTGGCTAGCTACTCAGCCAGTTAGCCAGATAGCTAACCATGCCCACCAGATAGTCCCTCATGCCAGCTTATCGGCGAGCGATCCAGTCCGCCAGCAGAGCCTCTGTCAGCTGGACTCTAATTGGTTTGGACTGTTGACAGAATTTCCCCCCTTATGAAACCTGACCTTGAAGCAGCCACAGAAGCAAAGAGGGAGAAGATGAAGACATGTAATCCAATCAGGGCACTCATGCAGAGGAAATGTACCCTCACCTTTCATAAACATTAATGAGAGACGAGGGTGGTTTACAGGAAGAGGATGTGCCTTCTTGTTTAGTTAGGGTTTTATAGTTTCTCCTAATGCTTAACAGCCAGAGTCCTTTTTTGGAGAATTAGTAGCTTAAGGTGCTTAAATAGAGACTCGGGGGGTGATTTGCTGAGATATATAGCATAATTTTGTGTGTGTGTGTGTGTGTGTGTGTGTTTCTCGGGGGTTTCCTCTTTAGCCTGCCAGTGTTTCTCCCATGCCTTTGACTGTTATTACAACCCAGAGGTGGAAAAAAGGGGAGCAAGTTTAGACACCTTCGGCAGGTACGACGGAGGAGGAGTGTGCATCAACTGCCAGGTATGAAATGCATGTCAAGTCTAAACTAATTCCTGTGCCTGAATGTGTGTGTGAGTGTGTGTGTGTGTGTGTGTGTGTGTGAGGTTGCAGGGGAGGAGAAGGTCATAAAAACGAAAGACAAATTCCGTGCTGTCTGTGTATGTTTTATGGAGAATTTGATACTGTATTATCAGCTCTTTGACCTACAAATGGGTTTTTAAGACCTTTACAAACTTTCTTGACATTTCAGTCGAGGCAACAAATTCAGCATTCTGTTGTTGAATCAAAATAAAGTCATATCAAGTATCACACTCAAGTGAAACGTGACACTGATAAAGAGAGTGGGCACTGTGCCTTGAAAGACGTTATTTCAAAAAGGGTGCAGGATTTATGCTCATCCAGAGACATCTTTAATCCTGCGATTATTGCTAAATTATGCAGGATTATGATTCACACATTAATCTTGTGTTACCTTTTTTAGCATAACACCGCTGGAGTGAACTGTGAGCAATGTGTTGAAGGTTTCTACAGACCTTATGGAGTTCCCCCTGAGTCTCCCAGCGGGTGCATACGTAAGTCCGATTTTCTGTTCGCTCTCTTGGTTTCATTTTAAACTCCTGTGAGGATTTTTTTTTCACTGGTGGTAAAACAAACTGAAATTAAAACTGATTCATCTCCATGACTAACAAAAGCAAAATAGATAATCAGCAGTAAGATTGGTTGAGCCCAAAACCTTTGCCTCAGGGTAAGTGTCAGAGCTAGGGATGAACAGAAACAGACATTTTCTTCACATTAAGCAGCAGAGGATGAAAAAGCAGGATGGAACTTTTTCGGGGGAAGAAAATACTCCTACATGTACAGAACAAAACCAGTGGAAAGATAAGACAGTTCTTTGTTCACAAGTGTGTTAAAGAAACTTAAAATTCCTTACAGGAGCTTTATTTTATTTTATTTTGAACTTTATGTACACGCTGAATTCCTTTGTGTTTTTCTTTGCCATGATAGAGACTAAAAAATTGTGATTAAAACCCTTCTAAATGTATGAAATTCAAAAATATATCTAATTATATCTGAGAGTGGGAATGCTCTCGAGTGTGCAGACAGGTGTGTAACATTATTTTCGACATGAAGAGGTTAACCAGAAGTCGCTGTCCATCAAATTTCCAGGATGACGTTCTGGTTAAGTTTAAAAACTGCATCTTCTCACTGCGCTGGCATTTGAGCCACAAAGTTTATGATGAACAGCCCGAGTGAAAACATGTCACAGGGGCATGAGTCTCTTGTTTGAGACAGACCCAAATGGCACCACTGCACAAACAGCAGTGGCACCAGCGCTTGTATCATTGCTCAACTGGGCTCTGCTCCTGTTTACACTAATTTAATGGTCCAGGGCTGTTCCTGGGTGTATAAATAGCTGCCAGTTGTGTTTGGACTCGAGAAAGTCGTGGAATTAAGTTGCCCTCAGTGCTTTAAAATCCACAATCCCAGTTAAGTCAGCGTATCAGGGGACGATGTTTTCTATAACAAAACAACAGACTGAGGCTGAGTGAACAAGCTTAGCTTTGGAGATAACTTCCTTTGAAATGATTGAAACTGTCTATCTAGAAGTATCAGTACTTTTCTGCTGTCTTTATGTGTACGCAAACCTTTTTAAGTCTAGATCTGTTTGTGTGCTTATTTGTCTACATAAAAATAAAGAATTGCAACTCTTTAGCCTGCAGGTGTGATGACAGGACTACAGCTGGTTGTGAAATGGGATCTGGGAGGTGTATCTGCAAGCCGCAATTTGCTGGAGGAAACTGCGAACGCTGTGCTGACGGATACTATTACTACCCAGAGTGCATCCGTAAGTTTCACTTTCTAGCTGGATACCTAGTTCATCAATCTCTGCTGTAATCCAGAGACTTCATAGTTCCAGTTGATACCACAGGTAGTTTTCTCACTGATCATACATGCAAAGAAGTGAATAGGTAATCTGCCTGAGGGTGCTATTCCATATGTCATATAAACCAGACATTAGCTGTGGACTGATTGATAAGAGTACCAATTCTCAGTTCAAAGTTTTATGAGCAACAGATAGATTTATTACTTAGTGTTGTTATAAAAACTGTACGTCTCTTCTGGAAGCTGTTAACACCAATAATCTAGTCTTAACATGTCACAATTATTAGACGGCTGTCTGGATCTCTCGAGTTCACGCAACTTGTGTTATGGAAACAGCAGATCAAAGTCATTGATTGCTGAAGAGTTGTTAGATACTTTGAAAGATATACTGTACATATTTTCCTTCTTGTAAAAAGTCAGATGAAGGATTGATGATATTTGTGTGTCTGATGGACCACCTCCAAGTGCCATAATCTTAAACTCTGATCGGCCATCTGCCCTAACAGTTGCAGGACTTAAGTTCCAGCTCTCAATTCAATTTTGGCTGGCTTTTTTGGTCCTAAAAACAAGCATAAAACACTGTTATTCAATAGTTTTACATGAATAAAAATGAATAAAAAAACTATAGACATTAATGTTACTGTTTAATACATAATGACAACATTTAAAGCTGAAGTAGTTGCAATCCATGAAGACAAACTGTTAGAATTTCATACAACCACTGCACAAATCAGAGTCGCATATGACCCTGCAGGTTAAAGCTGGCTCATTAACATGTTGAAACTTGTTTATTTAATCCATTTAAAAACATTGTCAACATACATTTTGGTTGAATAGCACAATCAAATTTTTGCAAGAATGATAATAATGCTATCATATTGCCTCAAATTGCATTGTGGTCTGTCGTTCAAGAGTTGCAAAACAATCTCCCACTGCAGTAAATAAAGGTGACACTTCCTGACTGTTTCCAATCAGTGGAGGTCTTAATCTGGTGTCTCTCCTTTGCAATCAGCGTATCCAGTATATCAGACAACCACCAAATCTCCTGCAGGACCTATTGTGGGTAAGTTTGCGAAAAAAAAGGGTTTGGCAGTGTCTTACTCTACAGTTTTGAATTTTAACTGTATTTCAATTTAAATTACATTTCCTAAGTCTCCATCCTGTCTTCTCTCTCTCTGTATAGTACCTACCGCCTGCCCTACGGGTTATTTCGGCTCGCCCAGCTGCCAGCGTGAGTATGATACTTCCTGATATGTTTGCCTCTTTAGAGGTGTTAACACACAAGTGCAATGCTAACTGCTTTAATCAGGTCTCCCCATTTACAAGTAGTGTATCTAAAAACAAACTGATGCTTCACCTTTTTTAAGAGCTTCTTTTACAAGGCAGTCCTTGACTTTATTTGTCTGAGTCACATCATAGACAGCCCATGTTGTTAAAAAAAGGGTTTAGACCTCTGCTTTATCCTTGGATTTGGTTTGATGCTGAGAGAAGGACTCAGTCAAGAGAGGCTTCATGTATATTGGAAAGGTTAAAGGTCAGATTGTGTTTGTAGGCCTTAAGAAAACAGAGCTAGCAGGATGTTATGGTTGGTTTTAATAGGACTATTAAAACACTTGTCTTATATGTTTTCAGATTGAGTAAATGTGCTGCTCGGTGACAGCTGATGTCTCTTAATATATTGTGCTCTAAATGTCTCATCATGTGCGTCAGTGGGGATTTAAGCTCAGTAATCAGTTGGGACTGTTCAGTGAGAACTAACCAGTCTATTATTAGGTACGGCCCCTGTTCTGAATTCCTTTTTCTGGTTTCCTTCAAGCTGGGAAACCAATTATTATTAATATAGTATTTATATTCAAGCAAAACCCTTCAGCCCTGAACCGTTTCTGTCTTATCAGAGAATGAAAGCAAACATTAACTTTTCCTCTGCTTGTCTTGAGTGTGTCTTTCAACCTGTGAGCTGATCAAGAAGGAATTTCATAAACCTTAAAAAAAAGCAGATTATAATGTTTTGGGGCAAAGAAAATGGTGGCTGTTCTGTTGTAGTGCCAAATCTATTCGCATACCAATAACAGGCGAGGCTTGGCGAGGCGTATTCACCAGGGTAACTGTACCACTGTGTGCCTTAATACGAGGAAAGTCCAACTAAAGAAAGTGTTTGTCATTCCTGGGTGTTTTAGTGCAAATTAAGAGCTCAGACTGATTCATAAGCAGGTTCAAGTGTTCAGTGGGTCTATTTATTTGATTCTGTATTAGTAAGGATATAATTTGTTCACTTTTTTGTTGTAATTAACACTCCCTGTGCACAGAGTGTATATGCGACTATAGAGGGACAACGCACAGGGTGTGTGACGCTGCTGGGCGCTGCCTGTGCCGTCAGGGTGTGGAGGGGGAGCGATGCGACCGCTGTCAACTTGGATACCACTCCTTCCCAAACTGCCAGGGTGAGAAAGAATGAATAGAATGATGAATATTGACCTATAATATAATAATATAATATTATAATCATATAATATAAACCTAGAAATAGTGGAAAAAGCATGTATTTAAATGTCTTCTCTCTCTCTTGCAGTGTGTCTTTGTGATGGTGCTGGTGCCTCTGAAAATGCATGCAGTCCAAGTGGACAGTGTGCCTGTCTGCCTAACTATGTAGGCGAGAGGTGTGATGAATGCGCACCAGGCTACTATGGATACCCAGACTGTGCTGGTGAGTGAGTTTGATCCCTACCACAGATGAACCAATTGTGTGCATGTAATCTGATTATAAAAAGACAACATGACTGCTGGTTCCATTGGGCTTACTCTTCCCATGACTCCTAGGAGCAAACATCTTCATATTCCCATGGTGCCCCATAAAACTGTTATTGTCATTCTCTTGAATTAATTTACAACATGTCACAGAGAACTGGACCATGTGATGTATATATATGGACCGTTTTCCTTTTGGGGAATCCTACTCCCAAGAATAGACCACTGGGAAATTAGTTTTCGGGAACAAACAGGAGTCATTTTAAAACTCATTTTACTTTAAATAGACCCTTTTTTTTGTTTAGCTTCTTGATGATAACCCTACAGTAGTCTAATCATAATACTATTTAACTCAGTGTTTTTTCTTTCCTCAGCCTGCAGATGTACACAGGAAGGCTCTTACGGCAATGTTTGCAATCAGCTGTCGGGTCAGTGCCTATGTCTCCCAGGGGTGGTGGGACAGCAGTGTGACCGCTGCGCCTCTGGACTCAGGTTCCCTCAGTGCTCAGGTGACCTCAGTAGGAACCATAATACTGATATCTGTTATGATTGGACTAAACTCCAGAGCATTTAGACCAATCAGATAAGGCGACAGGATTTTTTGAATTTTGTTGATTTTGTTGCCCCTTGTGGACAAAGCAAGATGATTTATTTCTTTAGCAATCAATGTTCGTAGTGTTTTTTGGCAAAAGTGTGGAAGATTTTTATACCAGGCAGTCATTAAATCTTTTTCCCATATTGATGTTTTTCTGTACTTTTGCCGGTTGTAGAGCACAACATTTTATTATTAGCATTATATTTATTTTATTATTATTATTATTATTATTATTATTATTATTAATTTATTTTTATTATTATTATTTATTATTATTTTTTAATTTATTAGCGTATTGTTTGTTTTATTACCATCTAAAGAACTCCTCACATGAGCTCCAAATAGGAATCAGTCACACTTTTTTTGTATGTGTTGATAGCTCTCTTCTTTAACAGCATTGCTTTTTTGACCTTAGGGTCATGTTTGAGAGTCCGCCACTAAAACTGACTTGATGTTTATACTTTGGTGTCTTTTTTCTCCTGTGCTTTCAGCCCCCATCAGCTCATGTAACCTCGCAGGAACTGAGTTCGCTGATCCTCTAACGGTAAAAGTTAATCTCTGTGATGCTTTTTCTACCCGAATCAATTTTTTTTTCCTGTCAAGACAAAAGCGGTCTCAGAGTTTCACAAATAATGGCACTGCTGCTTTTCAAAAGCCTCTAAGTTTTAAGAGGAAGTGTTTTTCCTGTCAAATGTAAATGCAATTAGAACCAAGGAAAAGAGACTTCCTTCCCGATTGAAGAAGCAAAACAATGAGTTTTTGGAAGGTCTCTGTGACTCTGTTTTGGGACTTGTTTCATGATCCTTTCTTGTAATTCATAAAAAATGTCAGTGTCGTTTGATATGCAACAGCTCTTTGCTGATTGTCAACATTTCAACTTTTAACCACAGTCTCAGACACCCTGACATTCCTTATGTGTTTTTTCAGGGCTCCTGTCGCTGCCGAACAAACGTAGAGGGAACTCAGTGTGACAGGTGCAAACCTCTCTACTGGAGTCTGGCTCCAGATAACCCTCATGGTTGTATAGGTAAGAGACTGTAAATCTCAACATGGTAGAAAACTATTGACCTGTATTTTGTCAGAAATAGTTGTACTCAGCTGACCTCCTGTCAGCCCTGAAATGCCCCTGTTTCATTTTTCTTCTTCTAGAGTAGTACTTGTGATCACTGACCCAAACTATATTAAATCACCAGCAGCAAACTGACAAGGTACTGATATGGGTCTTGGCCTGCCTTACCTAGAGGATATGTCAACATACTTTCGTCAACGAGGCAGGATTTTTTTTTTTTCTGTCTCTCAGAGGGGATCTGAAAAGAAACACAAGAACAGGCAAATTCCTGCTCTGAGTGTTGAGCTACAAGTCAACCTGTGTGATTTTATGCTGTGACTTTGCCTTTATAGGTACCCAGATGAACATTAAAACAATTCCTCAGGAATTTTTCTTGGTCCTTTCAAACATAAATCTCTCCTAATCCCCTGAAAGTACTTAATATGAGAGTAATAAGGAGGCTCCATTATCCAGCCAGCAAAGGAACAGCTTCAGGCTTTGTCCAGATCGCTGTCTTATGTTACAGCTCTGCTCCATTGCAAGAATGTTGTCACAACCACACTGCCTTAAGACACAAGAAGGGGGAAAAAAAAGCGCTTTCAATATCCCAAGAATTCCTCTAGTCGACTGTGGCCGGACATTAAGGGGATGTTTTTTTTTCAGTAGGTTGAAAGCGAGCCGTGCCTGTAAATCTCTGGACCTTTGATGTGCAGATCTCTGAAGATTGTAGGTTTTTGTGCTGCTGTGTTTTCAGCCATGAAAGTGACAAAATCCTGTAATCAGGGTCTATTCACTGTAGATCCCCCTTTGTATTTTCATAACCTTTCCCCCTTCTCCCTGCCCCTGTCTCATACCAGAATGTCAGTGTGATCTGAAAGGGACCCTGAGTGGTGTTGGAGAGTGTGAACAGGTGAGTATTTCAATGCTTCCACTGTGGACACACATCACTACACATCTTCTAATCAAATCATGATTCAGATATGACAGATATGATACAGACTGCATGGCTGAACCGCACTGTCTCATACTCTCCTGATGATCTAGAAAAAAGGACAATGTCACTGCAAGCCTAATGCATGTGGACTTTCATGTGACACCTGTAAGGATGGATTCTACCTGCTGCAGAAAAAGAAGTATTTCGGTTGTCAAGGTAAGACATCCTCTTTTCTGGCTCGAACGCCTCACATAACAACACACTCACACGTTTTTTTTCCCCTTATGAAGTTTTTCCTCACAGATTTATCTCTGTCTGATAGGTTGTGAGTGCGATGTTGGAGGTGCCATCAGCATGGCGTGTGATGAAATGTCGGGGCAATGTCAGTGTCGGAAGAATGTAGTCGGCCTTCGTTGCACTGAGTAAGATCCGGCGTTCTTCTTGTGATCTTACATGAAGATTCAGATAAAAGTTTGAACACTTTTTGCAGGTATAGAGTCTTATGAATGTTGTTTTGATATATATTTTCCCTTTACCTTGCTAGACCAGCACCAAACTACTATTTCCCCACTCTTCACCAACTGAAGTATGAGGTTGAGGATGGCACCACGCCGAATGCCAGACCGGTGCGCTTTGGTTATAATCCTGAGGAGTTTCCAGGATTTAGCTGGAGAGGTTATGCTGTAATGTCTCCTGCACAGGTTAGTGTTTAGTATGTATGCAAAGATGGACGACATGCCTCAACGTCTTTACTCTGTACAAAAGTGAAGCTAAAATCACATCAAGAGTCTCCTGGAGAGGATCAGCCAGTAAGGTCAAGGAGTTGGGGTCCTACTAAGAAATTAACTAAAACACCCTTTTTTCAGCTCAGTATAAAGTTGATCTGCTTTAAGAGTCAATTCAGTACCACAGTTTGTTATTTTTACGTACCCTGTTGTAAATCACAGTTGGCCAATACTTTTAAAATTGTTAAAAATTGTGGAAAACAGAAAAATGGGCCGACGGTGACGTCTGGAGTCTTTTGAGTGTTTATGCAATGGATGGGCTACGATGTGGTTTTGAAACTTTTAGCCTCAAATTATGAAAAACAACCCAACTGTGTTTGAGAACATTTATTTGACATGTATTTTGATGACTCAGTTTCCATCTTTTAACATGGAGGAGGTGGTGTTTATGAGCCATGCTGTTTTTGGTCTCACTCTTGGGGAGCTGTTGTGTTGTCCATGCTATTACATAGTGATTATTGTCTACATATATGTTGGATATGCTGCTGCAGTCATTCTGTTAATCATAGTATGAATGGGAAATCTCTATTTTGGGACTATCCACCTTTTTCTTTTGCACTCTAATCTGAAAGCTGTATGACTGTTTGCCTTTACCTCTGCGCTGATATTCCTGCTTAATGCACTAAGCTGATGTGGGGACGATCTCTCTTTGAACTAACATTTTCTCTCTTTAGCCCGAGGTGATCCTAACGCTTACACTTGGCTTTCCTGGCCTTTTCCAAATTGTAATGTGCTACTCCACACCCAAACAAAAAAAGGGGGCACGAGTAAAAGCAAGGATCTTGGTGGTGGATGAAGCTGGCTTTCATTCTTGCTGTGACTGTAAGTGAAGGGCATGCCCCCGCCCCCTCTGGCTGTATTCCCCCCTCTTTTTCCCTTTGCGTTCTGTCCTCTGATTAACCTGCTCGGTTTTTCTTCATCTCTCCGCTGACCCGTCGTGATTTATAAACATTCCCCTAACATTTTACCCTCATAGTCGACTCTAACCTGTGCCGTGTCAGTCAGATGTTTGTCACTCTTGTCCCTGCAGAGTGAGGTCAGAGTAACAGTGCATGTTGACCCAAAAGATGGGAGACAGCACTTGTTCCGCGTGGTTCTGCGGTTCACTAACCCAACCAGCACCAGTGTGACAGGTAGCATCAAGGCTACCAATAACAGAGGCGCTGCAGGTAAGGCAGCCTCTGACACCAACTGGGCTTTAACACCTCATGTACATGAATTAATGACCATTTTCTCAAACCTAACCATCATTCAAAGAACAAAACAGATTTTAGTTTTCCTTTTATGTCTTTAACATGTAATCTAGTGCATGTTTGTTTTTCCACTCTCTGTTTTGTTTTGTTTTCTCTTCTCTGCATGAGTAACATTACAGACATTTCTGCTTGCTGTTCGGCAGGGTCAGAGCAGAGTAAGGAAGTAATATTTCCACAGAGCCGCTCTCCGTCCTTCCTCACCGTCCCAGGAGAGGGCTTTGCAGAACCTTTTGCATTGACCCCTGGGAAATGGATCATTCACATCAGGGCAGAGGGGGTTCTTCTGGTAAGTGTAAAACCAAGACTGAGATGAACAGATGATCATGGGAAAATTTAGAATGACAGAAATGTAACGCATTACTGCACTTTTTGTTCCTGTTTATTCCTCTCAAACTTTTGCATGCACTGTCACTCTCATTGTACAGGACTATTTAGTGCTGCTGCCTCGGGATTACTATGAAGCGCCTTTGCTGCAGGAAAAAGTCACAGAGCCGTGCACATACCTGACCTCGGCAAACAGGGATGCAAAGTAAATCTTTATCATTTTTTTAATTCTTTTTCTGGACTTTTTTGGGAGGAAAGCTGGTGAGAGGGGAGTGGAGAGGGGGACAAGACATGCAAAAAATAGTTGTGGCTGAAAGTTGAACCACCAATCAATTTGGGATGTGAGCTCAATCTTTTAGGCTGACAGTACCCCACTTAAATCTTTATACTTTTTATTAAGTTGTCAGCCACAGCTTCAGTTCTCAGTGTGGCAGACTGACCACTTAAGCTCTAATAAACCTACTATCTTACTTGTCTTGAGTCTTCCTAACTTAATCTTTGTTTTTGGTTCAGTAGAGGTGTCTTTGCACAGCCATAGTATATCCTACAATCCAGATTATTTGGTCATTCTATAGCAAAAAAATACTCCGAATTTTCTGGACAAGGCCCAACTTTAGCAGTCAATATACAAAGCTCATACTTGTTTTAAGAAATCCAAATATTCTTTGTACTCGTCTTTGTTTTCACATTGACCTAAACTCACAGTTCTAACCTTTGAAACGCCTTTGTGTCTTCGTTCTAGTTGTCTGTTGTACAAGCATGTGGCCATAGACGGCTTCAGCTCAGCACTTGGCTCTCAAGGAGTCCTCTCTAACCGAAACGGGCGCAGGAAGAGGCAAGCTCGAGTGCGGCGACCCACCCCGGATCACCCTGAGATGGCTGCCCTCAATGGCAGACAGGTAGGATGGAAGGTCTGGATTAAAAGTTGATTTAATAGTATTTACTGATAGGTTGTTTCTTTCCTAAAATTTTTTTTGTCGTTTTTATTTGAGTTTGTAATAACAAGAGAAAGTGACTTTGAACAATCTTGTAGTCACAGCTTCAACTGAGTCTACGTGTGCCTCGTCCTGGCCCGTACATCCTCGTCCTGGAATATGCTAGTGAGGTTGACGCCGTGCAGAACGTCAACATACTGATCAGTGGTCAGACAGCTGATCAGATCCCAGCCAGGGCGAATGTTTACAGCTGTGCCTACAGGTGAGAGCTGTAGTTGCTGCTTTAGCTTTCTGAACATTTCCAATTTTAATCTTTGAAGCAGGTAAAAAAAAAAAAAGTTTGCCAGAGTTATGAGTTGCAAAATATGTATTTTTTTTTAGCTTTTTGTGTCGGAGTGTGGCCGTGGACGGCAGCAATCAGGTGTCAGTGCTGCAGCTCACTCACAAGACGGATGTCCTCCTGCAAACTTCCACTACCTCATTCCTGCTGGTTAGGAAAATGTTTTTACAAAGCTTTTACTGTAACTTGCTTTAAACAGAGCAGGATGAATTCAAACACATCTATTTCTCTTTGTAGTATAAAGTGTATGCAATCCCTGCTGAAGAGTTTTCCATGGAGTTCGTGGACCCTAAAGTGCTGTGTGTCTCAACTCATGGCCGTTTCACTGAAGACAGGTAAGTAACCCTAAATAAACTTAGATGAATGCTGTAAATAACACCATCGCTCCTCCTATAAGGTGTAATTAAGGAGGTGATGCTACAAGACGAGACCTCAGCGTTGTTTTGTTGAGCTGAAGAACAAACATCTGTTTTTCCAGGTGTGATAAATGGCATTCCTCCAGCAGGGAGGTCATTTACCTGAGGCTGAAGTCGGGGTCAAACTTTCTTTCTCTGTGTTTTTGTCACACTAACTTTAAACTCTCTCTGAACCTAAAGACCAGGTTAGGTGGTTTAGTTACACATATTTGCTGCCTTTAGTGCTCTGTTAGAGGCTCATTTAGGCAACAGTGTCTTTGGCTATAATTGTGTAGCCCTCAAGAACTTCTCAGGTGTAGCTTCACCTGAAATGTCTTGCTGACTTGGAATAGCGTACTGAAGCTAGCCCACATTTTCCATCATGTCAAAAGGCAGATTCTCAAGAGCAACTATGATGATTCTGGTTGCTGCTGTTATTCTTACTTTAGGGTGGTCGCTGCTCTATTATTTAGCTTTGTTGAATGACTAAGTAGAGGCTGCTGACAGGATTTTGCTGTTGCTTTTTTTTACTCTTCCTAGAGGCTCTTGGTGCTGTTTAAGATGATGCTGCTTGAGAGGTTCTCAGTGCCCAAGAGCTGTCGCAGCATAATTAAAGGGATATTTCGGCGTAAAATTAAGTTAGGGTCAATATACAGTGGGCTCAGGAGCCACACTATCAACCAAAACTCCATTCTATAGCCACAAATAATTCTCAGAACAGCACCTAACTTCATCAGCAGTACATATAGGGTCCCAGCCATAGTACTAGCCACCAAACATCTTTTTAACTTTGCCTGATTTCCTTAGCAAAGAGACTAAACACAACTCACCCACTCTCCTCCAGCAGCTGCTTGTTTGTAGGGAGACCTCAGGCCAGTCCATTACGGACTACAGCGGGGTGACGCAGCTCAAGGAAGAACATTTATGATCATTACTTTATCATTTCCTTGAAGTAATAATCACCATATTAATCATTTTGCACTTCAGACATGGTAGTTGTTCTGCCTTAGTCTTGGTCTGATTGCATGTCCATGAAGATCATAAATGTTCTTTCTTGAGCTGTGTCACCCCGCTGCAGTCTGTAATGGACTGGCCTGAGGTCTCACTACAAACAAGCGGCTGCTGGAAGAGAGTAGGTGAGTTGTGTTTGGTCTCTTTGGCATAACTATAGAAGCCAGCGGTCGGCAACATTCATCTCTTGAGGGGGTGTCTAACTCGATGTTACGGTGTGTTTGACCCTAACTTAATTTTACACCAGAATATCCCTTTAATGTGCCATCTACTTTGCTGTTTATTATATGCCGTTAATGTTATGCATCTCTCATAATTAGTAATATTAGAATTCAGGTACATTGTTAAAATATAGAATTAGATGTAGAAAATAAAGAGTCTTTTGAGATGTTTTTTGTATTTCACTGGATTCCTCCACCATCCGCTGACCCTGCTTTGAACTTAGAAAACTGTGACCTAACTGTGGAGCTTTAGACGGTAACACCCTGTTTTTGTCTCACGTGTCCAGTCGCCACTGCATTCAAAGTCACTTTGAGAAGCCGACCTCAGCCTTCATCTTGTACGCTGCCCGTGATGGACAGCTATCTCCGGCACCTGCTGTTTCCACCCAACGAGAAGAAAACGAGGTTTGGAGGTTGAGACGACAGACAATAGTGTCCCCTGACCGTGAACCACAGAGTGAAGGGGTACTACTTAAATTCCCTCAGGTACAAGCTCCTTCATAAGCCTACTGAATACTTTTCTGGACTCCGCTCCACTGCCAAAAGTTTGTGATGTCCAGTGAAACTAACTCATTTTCATTTCACTGCTTGACTGCTAGTCTTCTCTGTAATTTCTCCCCCAGACTGAGATCAATTTCATTCCCAAGGTGCCCCTCCCTGACAGGTATGTCGTCGTGGTCCACTATCACCAGCCTGAGCACACCTCCTTCCCTGTGGAGGTCCGAGTCGATGCAGGGCGTGAGTGGAAAGGTGAGTGTGTGTAGGAAGAACTTACACGGTTTTATTGGCTTCAAGTGGATAAACGAATATGACTAGGAAATCCTCTTCAGACAGGAGGTGATTCCTCCTTAAGAGAAGATTAGGGAGTTAGGCTCATGACAAGATGATCCACAACCCGGGACAGAATTCCCTAAATCCCTTTAAAGGAGGGATGAGTATTTTTGGACTGTAATGTGTCATCCTAAAACTCTCAATTTTTTTTACAGGTTCAATAAATGTGTCGTTCTGCCCTGCCGTATCTGGCTGCAGGGAGGTTGTGATCGCTGAGGGACGCATTGCCTTTGACCTTGAGCAGAATTCATGGCAGCAGCCCACCATCGTTGTGAGCGTGCCCCAGAGGAAAACTCTTATTCTGGTCAGTGGTCAGCATTTATGTTTACCTGCCCAAATAAATCATAACTAAATTACAAAATGACAAAAAGAGAAGCTATAAGGAGTAGGATATATCTCTGTGTGAAGTCTGCAAGTGTGTTTTGCCCTGGAGTTGTTCAGGTTGGGTACTTGGCATGCTGAGGTCCTCTGTCCTCACTGCAACGCCATATCCCCAACAACAACAATGAAGGGACTTTGCACCACCTGGCAGCCCCACACAGCTTAATAAAAGCCGAACTCCTAAATTCTCAAACACAGGGACAAGTTGGGCTTTGCTTGCTTTCTGTTTACTCGATGTACTTTTCCTTCCTGAGATAAAATCAAGCAGTAAAACATGGCTTAAAACACTTCAAATCCTCTTTTAATCTGTTTATCTCTCCCTGCATCGTACTAACAAATGTCTTTAAGGGCAAAACAAACCAAAACATAACTTTTCTGAAGAGATTGTGTGTTTTTATCATGTGTTATGATTTGTATCTTTTTTTATAGGATTATATCATGCTGGTTCCTGACAGCAGTTATACCCCAGATCTTTTGAAAGGAAAGCCGCTGGATAAATCTGCAGACTTCATAGAGCAGTGCAGAGGGGAAGGTTTCTTTGTTGAGTGAGTATCAAACCTGTCAGATCATCTCTGTACTTTTTCTCTGTATTTACTTCTTTATATGAAACATTGTAGTGGAAGTTTTTGGAAACAGTGCCCTCTAGTGGTGATAATGTAGTATATGACCTCTTTTTTTTTTCTATCCCTTCAGCCCAAGAACATCTTCGCAATTCTGCACGGACGCTGCCCGTTCTCTCGTAGCGGCCTACAACGATGGAGCTCTTCCCTGTAACTGTGACCAAACTGGTTCTACTGGGACCAGTTGCGATCCAGTTGGAGGACAGTGTCCCTGTAGACAGCATGTCATAGGTCGACAGTGTACCAAGTGTGCAACAGGATATTATGGCTTTCCTTACTGCAGACGTGAGTGAATCTTGCTTATTTTCATTGTTATAAAATGTTTTGAGTAAATAACATCTTTTTCTCTCCTGCAGCGTGTGAGTGTGGCCGTCGGCTGTGTGACGAGGTAACGGGGAGCTGTATCTGCCCTCCTCAGACGCTCAAACCAGCCTGTGATGTGTGTCAGACTCAGACCTTCAGCTATCACCCTCTCTTGGGTTGTGAGGACTGTGAATGCTCTCCAAACGGCATCAAAACCAGTGCAGGGCCTGATTGTGATCGTATTACCGGACAGTGCAAGTAAGTGGAAACTAAAACTGTGTCTATACCAGGATAAGACATTTGCATTTCTTTGTACCAGCTGTAAATCAAACCACTTATTCAGATTTGTGCTTTTTTTTCGTACGTTATAAAAATATAAAAATATGAAATACATCTGACAACATGACTGTTTATATCAATGTAGTTGTAAACCGAGGATAGGGGGCCGCCAGTGTGATCGCTGTGCTCCCGGATATTATCGCTTCCCTGACTGTATACCCTGCAACTGTAAGAGAGGTGGTGTCACAGCTGACATTTGCCATCCTGACACAGGAAGGTGTCTTTGCAAGGTGAGCTGGTTTATGGAAACACTCTGTCCCTTTTCCTCGCTTCTTATTCAATTATCTTCCTTTGCTCTGATTTCCTCTGTGCTATTGCTGCAACGTTTGTAGAAAAATGTCGCTGGCATCAGGTGTGATTCCTGTCGGGAAGGTTCCTTCTTTTTTGACACCTCCAACCCTCAAGGGTGTACGAGCTGCTTCTGCTTCGGGGCGACTGACCGGTGTCAGAGCTCCAGCAAGCGCAGAGGGAAGGTGTGTTTGCTTTTTCCTGCCTCTGCATGCCTGTAATGTCTCTGGAAATTTTATGCCTGCAGGGTTTTCTGGCTGGTAGTGGTGTTATGGTGAACTTGATTATTTGCTGAAAGAAAACTGTACACACTGATGTTGTTCTGAAAAATATTGGGTTTTTAAACATTCTTACACTCTTGATCACCTGTTTTCCTGATATGTTAAGATATAGTCATTTTTTGAGACCATTGAGACTGTTGTTACTTGTGTTTTCTTTTTATACAGCACACTTTTAAAAAGTCGTGATTTGAATTTGACCTTGAAGTACTCTTTGTTATAAGTTTGTTGAGATGCAGGGCTGGCGTTTGGAAAGACCCAACCAGGAGGAGGTCCCCACTGTGCTGAACTCGGCCAGTAACACTGTGGTGGCAGACATCCAGGAGCTCCCCTCCACTGTTCAGACTCTACACTGGGTGGCACCAGCAGCCTACTTGGGGAACAAGGTCAGCCAATGAAGAGAGAGAAGAATATGCTGACAAGGACATGCATATTTGTTTTAATGCTAATATTTACACGTCAAAAATACAGTAAGGTCATAAAGATAGCTTTTAAATGGCTTTATATGAGAATTAAACCAAAACTTGAAGAAATTTTAAGTATATTTTAAGATCACTTAATTATTGAGGTCCCTTTAAAATGTGCAACTGTTGAAAAAAAAACTAATCTTAGGATAAAGAGTTGTTAAATGATCTATTTTTTTGATTTAATAGATTTCCAAAAAATTTGGACAACATCTCACTTTACAAACCGGACCATTCAGCTCCCAAAACTATAGGGAGGTGTTAAAAAAAGACACACCACACTGTTGAACACATCCCTTTCCCAATTATTTTGGTATTTGTAACTGGCATCAAATTTAAAATTAGCATAATCTGAACATTAAAAATTAAAAATTGATTGTTGTCTTTGTACTACTTTCAGTTAAATAAAGGGTTTACACGGTTTGACATTCATCAAATTCTGTCTCTGCTGACATTTTACACTGCGTCCCAACTCTCAATTTATCCTTCTTGAAGTAAAAATGAATATCAGACTTAAAGTTCAGTTAACTTTTTGACCTTGATATTACACAGTATTTCATTGTCATCTTATACCATCAAGAGTTTAGCTTTGGGAAGCAAGTTTTATTTTCAGTAACTACTAAGTTATTTGACATTTTTGATGGATATTCTTTTAGAAAGTTTGAGACGTACACTGAATTTGTATCACTAAAATCCTGTTGCACTCTAAGTAATACCAATCAATGCCTCAACTTTTATTGAATAAATTCAGGATCTTTTGTTTTCATTTGTGTGAAGTGACAGATTTTCTCCTGTTGATTTAGGTTTCATCTTATGGAGGTTTCCTCACATATCAGTCCAAGTCTTTTGGCATTCCTAGTGAGGGGATGACTCTTATGGACAGAAGACCGGATGTGGTGCTGAATGTGCGTAGCGCCACCGGTCTCTCACTCTTTCACCTTTTTCATATAACATTAAGGGTGTCAGAGTCACTGCTTCTTTATCATGTTATTATTTCTCTCCAGGGCCAAAGTATGACTCTGATCCACATGGCTCTACAAGTCCCACAACCAGACCGGCTGTATCAGGGCAGAGTCCAGTTCCTAGAGGTAAGGGGAACACAAGTTTCTTTGTTTTAATCTCAGTCTGGAGTACGACAAAGCTTTCATTGCAAATGAACCACAGTGTTTGGATGGGATAAACCATGTACTTCTGACTCTGTCATTCTTAGAGCTTCACATGTTATTAGGTTACTCATGCTTGATTATTTGGCTGTCTGCCCTGTAGATTTAGTTGCATTGGGGTACAGATTAAATTCTAATCTTTTAATGGCGCTAAAAGGAGGGTCAGAAAGTCACCAGAGTCATTAGGGTTCATCCTCAGAGGACCTCTGTTTTTGTGTCAAAACAACCAAGCCCATCATTTTTGAGATAGCTCGCCTTCGTCTATCACCAACGCTTTTTATACTGCTTGATATAATGCCCTTTTCTTGTTTTATATCGTATTAAATCAAAGAAAACCAGATTTTTGAAACAACCCTTCACCGCCAGTTTCTCACTATTCAACAGAAAGTAAGATTTTTGTTCAATCTGATGTTGTTTACAGGGAAACTGGCGCCACGCCATCACTAACCAGCCCGTCTCCAGAGAGGAGCTGATGATGGTCTTATCCAATCTGGTCGGCCTGAGGATCCGTGCATTGTACTTTACTCAGACCCAGAGACTTGGATTAGGGGAGGTGGGCCTAGAGGGGGCAACAGACACAGGGACAGGTGGTCCTGGAAACACTGTGGAAGATTGCTCCTGTCCTCCCCAGTACAGCGGAGACTCATGTGAGGTAAGAAGCCTAAATAAGTCTGATAAACATAACTGAAACAGAAAAGGAGCCTAATGTTTTCAAGTATAAACAAGTGTAGTCTTAATAAAAGCTCAGTATGTTTTGCAATCTTGCTCTGGGTGTGGACAGAATCCTCGAAAGTTTTAGGGTTTATTGACACACCCTAAAACTATCATATTTCAAAACTTCACACAGGTGTGAAGGTGAACCGGGAAACTGAGGTGATGTAAGGATAACCTGGTTTGATCCGAGAGGCAGTGGGGATAACAGGCAGGGCGAAGCACGGTGTTAACTGAGGAGACTTGATGTCATGTTCAAGAGGCAGGACAACCTCTTCATATTTTAGGGTGTCCTGACACGCCCGAGCCGAAGCCCACACCCTTTTTTTTTTCTAAAGGAAAAATTCATCATCTTAGGGGCCTTGGGTGGAATGCACTGGAAAATACCGGCTGTAGAGCTACGCAGCTAAATAGTGTAGCCTCAGGCTGGGATATGATGCACAATCACGCAGACATAATATTAGTGATTCTACAGCTATAATCACTGGCATGGCTACAGAAACGTAATCCAAACAACCCTGATGCGGTTGCTAAGGAAAAGCTTTACTTGGATTCTTTGTATCCTGGGAATGGTGCTGACTTGACTTAGTGTGTTTATGCTTCTCAAATCTGATTTGTACACACATGATTGCAGTCATTTTTACCCACAAAAGCCGATTAAAAATGTGACAGAGGAACCGCAAATTTAAAGGTGTTTTTTTTAATAAAACAGAGAGGATTATTAGTGGTAAGAAACAGCAATAACTTAAAGAAACTGACATGTTTTTCCTCTGAGCACTGTTGTCATAGATGTGGTTATTTACCTGTGTGTGTGTTAGAGCTACCGTCTGGTGGGGAGTGTTCAGTGGAAGTTCAGTTTATGTGCCTGGAGGTGGTATGACAAGGTGCCGCGCCTTAACGCACGGGGTGTGGCAGTTGGCAACGCATTGTTACTCATAAATCTGAGGGGGGTTCGCTTTAGTGCGCGCACCTTCAGCGTGTGTGTGTGAGTGAGTCCAGCCGACACACCCAGATGTGTCTGATGTGTGTTTGAGGAGCGTGATTCAGGTGTGAGTTTTTTGTCTGAGGACGTCTGACTTTCCTCCGTGTCACATATTCTTACACAAACAGAGGCATGTTTATGTAACACACACACACACACACACTTTCCCTTACACACTTTAACAAATAATATAAATATGAACACATGTTTAAATGATTACCTGCTTTTTAAGGTGAGTTTGTGTCGCCACACCCCTGGAGCTTGTAAAGTACTCAGCATTTTAATCCCTGTGTAACTGTGTGTGTGCGTGCACCAACACCTGACTGTCTGAAGCACTTCTGTGTGTGTGTGTGTCTGTGTGTGCGTGTGTGTGTGTGTGTCTGTGTGTGGGCATGTAAACACTTGTGCCCCTTGTGCTCATGCTGATCTGGTAGACTGACTCAGGTGGGACGCGGGGCGTGTCCTCTTGGTGAGTGAGCGTGTGTGTTTAAGAGGCAGAGGCAGGGGAGAGTGGAGCATTGTTTCAAAGACTTATCGACAGGAATGTTAGATACGCGCATGGATAAACGACGGAATACAGGGGTTTTATTTCAGACCCTGCTTTGTTGGGCTTTGATTGGACTTAGCTGCGCTGGCCACAGGGCCCGTCACGGAGGAGAGCGACCCCGCTTCACCAGACACCATGACAGATGGGCTCAGAGGATACAGTATCCTTCACTTCACGATGAGGGTACACAGAGGATAGAGTTTCCATCATTGAGTGACCAGGGTACTCAGAGGATACAGTACCCGTCAGTGAGCGACCAGGGTACCCAGAGGATACAGTACCCGTCAGTGAGCGACCAGGGTAGTTCTCAGATTCAGGTAAAAATCTGCGTCTTGACCTCAAACGTAGCGGTTGCTTTTCCTCTCAGTGTCCCAAGTTCGTGTTTATGACTGCTATGTCTTAAAGCTAAGGGCGCACTTTGGCTTTTCAGCGTTAATGGCTCATGACCAGGCTTATCACTGTATGATAATCTTAACACAACAAACTTTACTAAGATAGTGATAAATTTGAGTTTTTTCATCTCCAAATGGTGGCAAAAAATTCTAGAAATACTATTTTGCTCAAGCAAATGAAAACAAAAGTTGTTTTACAATTCGTCTCCTAAACTGCAGTCATAATAGTTATTGTGTGACATATTTGTAAATGATTAACAATATGTAGCCTTAAGTTGTAAAATTTGTCAGCGGTCAGAGATTTATGGGCCATTTAGTTATGGTTACTCTGTAAATATAAAATGCTGTGAATAAAATCTTAATTATTTTGGCGAATATCTCCCAAAATCAGACTTCTGTCCTGGTTTTTCTGTCGGCAGAGTATCTGTGAATTCACTTCTTGGAATATAAGATGACATAATGAAAAGTTGATTTTAGATTTATATCTATTTCAGATTTAATTATTCAGTTTATGTCTTGCTTCCACGAGTATTTATTAAGTAAATTCAGTTGAAAGTGTAGAAAACTACACTTTAATGGAAATGGCTGGGCTTTTAGTCTTTATTTCAGGTTGCATAATCATGTCTCTCTGTGTGTTTCCTTCTCTTGCAGAAATGTTCTCCAGGTTTCTACAGAGACAGCAGTGGACCCTACCTGGGCCAGTGTCGGCCCTGTGAGTGTAACGGTCTTACTGACGAGTGTGAAGACAAAACAGGGAGGTGTCTGGTAAGAAACACGCTCATCCCTCAACACTTACCCATCACTTTCTAACCACAGGGATCCACACACAAGTCAAGGCTTAGACCTCCTGTATTTGTGTTTATATAACTTCTATTATTTGGTATGGCTTCCTGTTTTTTCATGAAGGACTTCTTTCTGTTATTGTTTTTAAATGATGAGAAGATGAGCCTTGGCGCATTTCAAAAACTTTTATTTGTGTTTTTGTTATGCAAGACACTCAAGACCAGGCCTGTGCGAGCAATACCCGTAGACACCCACACCCTAACTACACAAAGCCAAATGGACACAGTCACAAGAACACACCGTCTTTTCTCAGTGCACACAAAAAAAACTCTCTTTGATTGATTTGGTGGTGAAAAATGTCCTGTCTCCTCTCCTCCAGGCATTTGCATTTCTGAATTTCTGGCTGTGATATAAAGAAAGACGTTAAAACTGGTTGATTTAGAAGCTATGAAGCTTGCAAGCGCATTGATGTAGATTTTTCTGCTTTCAGAACTGTAAGCACAACACAGCAGGAGACCGATGTGAACGCTGCAAAGACGGTTATTACGGAAATGCAGGCAAGAGGACATGCAGGATTTGCCCGTGCCCATTCAGTTTGCCCTCAAACAAGTGAGTAAAAACAGACTCTGTAGATGGTAGAATGATAAATGGAAATATGGGTGAAAAATTACTCTTACTGTAACTTATTTTTCAATTTGTAGCTTTGCTGTTGGCTGCAAAGATTTATTCGGAGACCTCCAGTGTGTTTGCTCCCCAGGCTACGCCGGAGATAGATGTGAGAGGTGAGTGTCTGTGTAGACAGAGCAGAACAGATGTTTAAATACTCTACAGATTTGGTGCATTTTGGGAATATGGTAAGCTTAACTCACTCACTCTGTCTTCTCTCCCTCATAGGTGTGCACCTGGTTTCTATGGTGATCCACTGACAGTAGGGGGAAGTTGTAAACGCTGTAATTGCAATGGCAATGGTAACAACTGTGACCCCAGGACTGGAGGTGAGATTGTGGACTTTAATCCTGAAATGATTCAATAATCTGCTCTTTAGTTCTTATAGATTATGAAATATAGTTTTCTGGTTCATTAATTTTGGCTTAGATGCTCGCTTGTACAATACGTTCTTTTTACACATTGCAGAAAATGTAACATATATATATTTTTTTGTGTTTTTGTAGTTTGCAAGAACACGCTGGAGCCAGGAGACACAAACACAGATGACCAATGCAAAGGTGAGGCATCAAGAAATGATTGTCTTTAAGCAAACTTGTAACTTACAGTCAATTTAGGCTAATCAAATTCCTCTTCTATATTTCAGAGTGCGATAACTGTGCCCAGACTTTACTAAATGACCTGGAGAAGCTGGATATTGAACTTGTAAGGATCAGGGCTCAGATGGATAATGCCACCGCCAGTGCCACCTCTCAGGACAGGCTGAAGAAGCTGGAAACGGCCATCGCTGACACCAAGGTAACAGGGCAGCTTAACTGTGCTCTTCAGTTTTTTTTCACTTTTACCTCTAAAGTCCACACATACGATTAGCAATATGGGATTAGCCAAAGCACTAGATTCCTGCTGCTTCTTTTAATACACCCCACCCCATCTGACTCTATCTTCATGCATCTCAATGCTCTTTCTGCAGATTCTTGTCAACAAGTTCACCTCAACCATCAACTCTGAAAAGACCAAAGTCAACCAGCTGGAGGAAGACACTGTCAGTCTCTCAGACGACATCAGCTCCCTCAAAGAAAAGGTAGAGAGCAGCAGAAAAGGCCCAACAATTCATGTCTGCATTCAGGAATAATGTGAAAAATGACTGTTTTTTCTCTGTGTTGATTTCACGCAGGCGGATAAAAAGGCTGATGATGCTGACAAAGCAGTGGCAGAGGTTGACAAAACCCACAAGAAAGCTAAAGAGCTGGATTCTGAAATTCAAAACATGCTTAAGAAAATCAAAGGTGAATGGAAATATTGATTTATTGACTGTGCTGTCTTGTTTTTTTTCTTTTCAACTTTAAATAAGCGCCCTTGGGGGTTTTTCTTCATTCAATCTGAAGCTGAATACTTGTTTCTTCTTGTGTTTTTGAAGCTCTTCTAGACCAGCTCAAGGAAAACAACAGTGGTGATACAGTGCCTAATGAAAATCTGGCTACGATGCTTGAAGATGCTGAGCGTATGGTGAATGAAATGGAGAAGAGGAACTTCACACCTCAGAAGACGTCAGCTGAGAAAGAAAGAGACGAGGCCAAGAAACGTATGCTTCCCCCTATAAATATGCTAAATCTTAAGACCGTTAAACAAAAAAAGTTACAGCAGACATTTCCTTTTGTTTTGATTTCCTGTCTTTTAATTCATTTTATCTTTTTATTTAGTCCTGGACTACATCAAGGGTAATGTGAGTAAGCAGTGTGATCAGAACGAGGCAGCAGCAGAAAAGATTCGGGACCTTCTGGAGGGTTATGAGGACAAGTTGAAGGACCTGGATGATGCCCTGAAAGAGGCTTCAGAGTTGGTGAAAAAGGCAAACACCCAAAACGGGCTAAATGCTCAGGCACTGAAAGATCTGCAGGTAAAGTCTTGTAGTTAATCTGCTCTGAAAAACGTATTTGTTAGTGGGGGTTGGGAGGATTAATTTGATAATAAACACTATGATGATCATGAACATATGTGAATTGAATTAAATTGATTCATATGTCTTCTAAAGAAACGTATCGAGGACTTGAAAAATGAGAGGAAGACTGTTGAGGGCCAAATCAACTTGGCAGAAGATGAACTGCAGAAAACAGAAGATTTGGTGAAAGAGCTAACGGACAGTAAAACGGTAAGCTTTATAAACTTTTACCCAGAAAATCTTTATCTCAAATATTTTCTGCATTCAAATACCTGTAGCTGTTTCAATAAACGGCCTCATCTTTGATCCCACATCAGCAGGGATATCAGGTCCCAACATGCAATCCACTCAGATAATGATCAGTGTTTTTGCTTTTTGTGCTCTGACATGATTTCAATGGCATTTCCTTCTGTTGAATAACTTGCATCCCTCTCCCTTTTCCTCTGCTCTGTAGGAGTACGAACAGCTGGCAGCACAGCTAGATGGTGCAAAGACGGACCTGACCAAGAAGGTGAATGAGATAGCCAAAGCAGCAGCTCAGGAGGATCTTGTTGAGAGGGCTGAGGAACACGCCAAGAAGCTGGCCAAACTGGCAAAAGACCTTGAGGAGTAAGTTCACAAAGTTGTGTATATGAGGGAAGATTTGCTTGCTGATGAAATATAACCAGCTCAGTTTCAAAGACGTATAAATAGAGACTTGTATCCATCTTAGATTTATTTTCCTTTTTTAAATCTACAGTTCCGTGAAGGATGCAAGCGGGCGTTCTGAGGTAAAAAACGCCAAAGATGCTATTGATGCCTACAAGAATATCGTGGATGCCATCAAAGCCGCTGAGGCTGCAGCTAAGGAGGCCAAAGGTGCAGCAGATAACGCCTTGGATGTAAGCCACAAAGTTTATACTAAAATCATCTGGTTACTGCACACCCCTCATGGGCTGATATCATTAGTAATTTAGATAAATGTTTTAAAGTTGTTTGACTATAACAACATCGTTTTTTTTCTTCTTTTAGAATGTAAAAAACCAGAAGCTGAAAGAGAGAGCCAAAACCCTGAAAGACACCGGTGATGGGCTTCTGCAAAGTGCAAAGGAGCCTGAGAAAGATCTCAAAGGTACAGAGCTCTTCCTATAATCATTTGCCTTGAAAAATATCCCCAAAACTCAATCCTTCATTCTTGATCTTTTCTTTCTTTTTCAACTTTAGATGCAAAAGACGATCTCGCTGACCTGAAGAAGCGCCTGGCTGACGCTGAGACAAAAAAGAAAGCTCTGCAGAATGACCTTACTGCTGCTGAGAACCAATTAAATGACATCAACAGAGGTAGAGTGTTTAAGACTTCACATAATATGCTTGATGCATTAGCTGATTGTACCAAAACCAACTGAAAAATCAATTTTCTCATCTACTTTCCCTGAATGTGTCTCTTTGTAAATCAGAGGAAATTGCTGACATGATTGATAATGCCAAGAAGATGACAACTGATGCTTCTGAAACCACAAAGGACACTATGAACAGACTGGACGACATCAAAAAGGAACTTGCTAAGATCAATGTCCCATCAGGGGACTCCGATTCGGGCGATGCGTTGGATGATGCAGACAAGTCGGGTAATTAATGTCATTTAAATTAACAACACACACACAAAAAAAAAATCAGTTTTATACTTGGGAAGAAGTCAAGTTTAAAGAAAACTGTTTCTGTTTTTTTTACACAAGAATCTCATTTTTCCCTCTGATTCTGTTTGCAGTGAAGGACTTGCTGAAAACTATCCCATCCTTGAGTGATAAGATCTCAGAGGTGGAGACCTTGGCGACACAGTTTACACCAATCAACAACATAACCGACAACATCAAAAAGATCAAAGAACTTATCGAACAAGCCCGAGATGCAGCAAACAGGGTGAGGTCCTACTCTGTACAAAGATTCAAACCCAAGTTCAATGTCATACCTTCTTTTTGTCTTCAGCGGCTCTGATTTCTCTTTTCTCCAGATTGTGGTCCCAATGAAGTTCGAAGGTAATGGCCATGTGGAACTGCGTCCACCAAGGAACCTTGATGACCTGAAGGCCTACACAGCCATGTCTCTCTCCCTGCAGAGACCTGAGGGCAGAGGAGATGGAAGGCGTAGGCGCAGACAGACCGCAGGAAGCGACGACATGTTTGTGATGTATCTTGGGAACAAGAAGGTAAGAGACTTAAATGATGGGGGTACTATCAACGAAGATCAAGTTTTTGATTGTGCTAACAGCACTAATAATTTCTATCTTTTAGTCTCCTAGCAACTACATCGGAATGGCTCTGCGGAACAACGTGCTGTACGGTTATTACAAGGTCAACGGAGTCGAGAATGAGCTGATGACAGGTCCCATCACAAGGTCTAAGGATGAGCCGGCCAAGTTTGACAAAGTGGATCTGAACAGGTAAACTGATGGCTCAATTCAGTCATCATTAACACATTTTGAGAGTAAATACATATTTACAGTTTCTCCAAATACTCCTCTTGATTCGATCTTTTGTGTAAATGTTTGTTTTCCTCTTGTCATTTAGAATTTACCAAGACGCAGAGCTAAACCTCCTCAAATACCAGCCCGCTAACCAAGATGGCACGCCGATCAAGGACGCTAAAAAAGGACAGCAGAAAGAGAACCTTCTGGACCTTGATCCTGATGATGTGGTTTTCTATGTCGGAGGGTATCCTGATGACTTCACTGTAAGCAAACTGACAGTGGGAAACTGTTTTTTTAAAAATCAATCGTTCTTTCGTTGAAATATATATTTTTTCTGATAGATAAATTCATTCTTTCTTTATAAACTAGATAGCTGTATATTTAAAAATGTACTTATATGAAACGTGTTTCGCTTAACCCGATAAATGAGGTAATTAATCGAAAAAACAGTCAGTAGCACAAACTTATTATAAATGAATAATTATAAAAGAAACATCACAATTAATGTAAAAGCATCTGTTTTACGTTAGGAGGTGCGATTTTAGCTGTCTTAGAAAGTTAACCTGATGGTGGACTTAAATTGCATTATGGGACAGGCAGGAAACTCTGCTTTGACATGATTTCTTTTGTTGGTTTTGGTTAGTATTTATTTATTATTATTTATTTTTATTAATTTTTTGCAACTCCCTGATTGTATTTCTTTCCTGCCCTTCCTGCAGCCGCCAGCTTCTCTCAACCTTCCAAAGTACACGGGCTGCATTGAGCTCACCTCCTTTAACAACTATGGGGCTAGTCTTTACAACTTCAAGAGTAAAGCAAACATCAATCCAAAGACACCGTGCAAGAGGTACAGTACACCCTAGTGTGACTGGTGTTAAGAGTAACTGAGCTCTGGATACGTATAATGTCTTTTAATTTCATTTCATTTAATTAGATCTTCATTAGCATTAGCATTTGAGTTAACATGTTTTTCTCCTTTATCCAGATATGTACCTCCACTGGACTCTGAGTACTATGAAGGCACTGGATACAGTAAAGCTGTTAGTGAAAGATCATATCCTGTCCTTGTCTTTTTATTGAACTTGCATTCACGATCAGAAAATGGCCTGCTTTTGTACGTAAGGAGTGAGGTAAGGAGCTTTAACTGTTTTGTTTTTCTATGTTTACAATACTTTTTTTTTTGCATTTCTAATAGATATGTGCGCAGATTTCTGCTAGAGTTTGATAACATTATCTCCATTTTTGCATAGGGCGACTACATCACAGTGACACTGGAAAAGGGCATGGCGGTAATCCGTAGTAATTTGCTCGGAGCACCTGCAACGAACAGCATCAAGTTGTCCCCAGTAAGTTTGCTGCAAACTGTCTTCTGCAAACATATAGCATCTGTGAATAAACTTGGATTAATTAATTGAATTGCATTTTTTCTACCCTCTTTTCAGACAGAAAACTTGGAAGGCATCAGTATAATTATAAGTAACAAAGAGGCAAAAGTCCTGCAAGGAAGGACTGCATTGGCAGATGCCAAACTGGCATTCGGCAGCGCCAAAGTTAAAGATTACTACATCGGTGGTGCCCCACGAGACTTGAGAGAGAAGTATGAGGCTGATAATTTCGAACATGTCATGATTGTGTTTTGTGTACTTTCTTTTTTTTCTATCTAAAATAACTTTTTTCCTTGTTCTTCTTACAGAGATAACATCAGCATGCAGCCGTTCAAAGGATGCCTGAAGAATTTGAAGCAGAATGGCAATGTCATCACAGCTAAGGAGCAAGTGGGCGTCCGCAAGGGTTGTCCAATGGAGTCCTTGGTAAGAAGTGAACACTTTGCATCCCAGAGCACTAATAAACACATATCTGGAAATAGTAAATGGACTGAATTGAATGGTGCTTTGTCTCTTCTTCTGACCACTGAAACTTTTATGCACTGATGGCAGAGGCTGCTGTTTAAAGCGCTCATCATTATTCAGTGATTGAGTTGTTCAGTTAGTTGAGTCATTCATAAACCACTGTGTCTGGTCGATAGTATGCCTGGTTTTCTGATTTAAAACGTCTGGTTTCTGGTCTAGGTTACCCGTGCAGCAGAGTTCAGCCTGAAGAGCACCCTGTCAGCTGACCTCCCCGGCTTCAGTCTGGCTAATGATATCACTGTCTCCCTTGGATTCAAGAGCACCCAGGATCAGGGTCTCATCCTGCAGGACAAACAGCAGGTCAGAGACGAACACTTTTCCTGACAGATTTAAGATTTTGAATGAGACTTCAGGCAGGAGATTACAATTTCTGTACTTTGTTTCTGTTTTTCAGGATATTGGCATTAATCTTTCACTGGAAAACGGCCATGTGGTCCTCACCTTCAACGACAAGATCTGGAAATCAAACAACAAATATAACGATGACAAGTGGCATTATCTGACTGTAACCAAAACAGCAGGAAGGTATGATCGAGTCAATGATTCAAACTTTCGTGTGCTTTGGTGTTTTTAATTACAATCATCATAGGAACATTTAATATGACAGCTTTTTCAGAGAGTTTAATCAAACCTTTTTGAATTTCAGTGTTATAATGAAACAAAAACAGCTCATGTACAAATGAATGTCTCAATGATTTTCTGAACAGGGTTTCGCTGCTGATTGATGATGTGGATGAGGGTCAGGAGCAGAGTGGCACTGGTTCCATAACTGGCGCCTCACTTGGCACCATGATTCTGGGAAAAGACACATTCCAAGGATGCATGTCCAACCTTTACACAAGAAGGTAATTTCAAAGAGTTTGAATGACATGATTCAATACAAAGTACAATCTATAATACCTTTTCCCTTTACTATGTTGAGAGAAATCATATCTTTGATTTTTTTCTGCTCTCAGGCCAACAAATCTGTACAAGGCGGAGGACCTCAGTGTCTTCTCATCCTCTGGAGATGTCTTCCTGGATGTTTGCACCGCTGACAGTCCCGTTCAACTGATGCTGGACAGCATTTCTAGAAAGGTGAGTGTTTGTACTCTCAGAAGAAAAACTTACAGATGATTTAAAGGAGCAATGCTTGGATTATTTTATCATCTTAATTGTTAAGTTTAAAGCAGTCCATTTCATGAGCATGTTCATTAAGAACATGGTGAGCTGATGATTGATTCGTCTTTCTAGCAGTAAGTCAAACTCATCTTGACCCTTTTTTTGTGTGTTTTTAATAGGACTATCACATAACTTGTTTGTATTGAGTCAAATAAATCTCAGCGTTTTCCTCATGTTGACATGTTTACATTGTATTTTGCTGCTTTGTATTTCCAGAGATGAAGAAAAGCGGAGCCTTCAGACCTGATGATGCTGACAAGAATTTGTATTGATTTGAAAAAGTGACAATGTTATGTTGGTTATTTTCAAGCTCATTAACCTGCAGTGTACTTCAATAAAAAGGTTGCATGAACATTCACAATAATCTCAAGAAGTGTTAAACCTGTTGTATTATTGTCTATTCTATTTAAATTCTACTAACAACGAACAAAACTTCAAAATCAGCTCATGTCTTGTTTCTTTCTTTCATGTAACTCAGTAATCCACATCCTAACACTCATGCCTGTTCAAACACTGTTAAAAATAGTAATTTCACAAGAACTAACTGCACACTTAATATCCAATAAACAAAAAAAAAAGAACCTGAATCTGAGTTTCTCAACATTTACTGGTGGATTGTCCTGAAGTGTTAAGTTGTGTACATATGATGGGGTGTATCTGACTGTAAAGAAATAGAGGCATATCATTTGTAAAGTTAACTTTACTGTTATTCAAGTACTGTAAGACATTATGAAACATAAATCTATCATTGCCTTCAATTTATAATTATTTTTCTAAATTCTACATGGATTCCCAGCATCATGGTTGAGAAACACTGATCTACATTTTAACAAACTGTGCCGCCATCAAAAAGTTTGTGTATTAAAACTAAGCTAGGCCTCAAAGTCAGATATGTGAGGCCTTTTAGAGCTTACTGTTTGTAGAAACCACGGCTCTAAATGCTTTTAAAAGCACAATCTCCTATTTTGATCTTGCACATCAAACCTAACTTTTAAAACCCTGTGTGATTGATAAAGAGCATGACACCGACTGAGGACATTTCAGAACCTTCTAATCTCTGACACCTGAAAGTTTGCCTTGGCTGCTGCATGACTTCATTTGTAAACCAAGGAGAAGCAGAGTCAAAAATGAAACTACAGCTCTCTCTCATTCAGTCATGACCTGCAAGATTTTCACTAATGCATCATGGAAGATCTTCTCATGCTGTGTTTGGAATGACATTGTAGGAATTCATAATCATGCAACTACTTCTTTCCTCTTTTTCATGTTTACCAAGCTGAATCATGTGAGAAACCACTTCATAATTCACCAAAAAGTATGACAAGCAAAACTCAGATTACCAGTTTCCCCCTGACATGAATTTATGAGTTCTAATCACAAAATCATCAATAAACTGTAAACAAACTCTGCAGGACACAAGCTGTATCAGTGGCTTACATAAACTGCAACACTACTAAAAAGCAGATGATGAAAATAAATATTAGGAATTTATTTCGGTTTTTTAGTGGCACAAAATTTCTCCTCTCAGCATTTCTGTTTTGAAATGTTCAGTAGTTTTATTACATTTCATTTGACACCCTACTCTTGTTTGGATTGACTTGAGTAGAGTTAGAGCAAGAAAAAAGGACCTTTTTCCAGAGTTATTTTTCTGATTTTGATAGGGCGTATTTTTTCAGTTTTATATAGTATAATTAAAGATGAGCTGATGAAGCAGATGGAAGGATCGTCTGTGTAGGCCTTGAATAATATCAAAACCATGTTTAATGTTCCTCAGTGCTGGCAATACTTCACTTAGAGGGTCTCCTATTTCACCCTCCTTTACTGCTGTTTCCACAGATTGCCGTATATTTAAACTGATTGTTTTCTTCTATCTAATGTGAACGTAACCTCCCTTTCTCTATTCACAGAGTGGAACCCCAGTGATGAGTTTCTATAGATTTTTTGGGGGAAACAATTACCTGACTACTATCCTAATTTGATCACATTTATCATTGTGCCATAGGATGGTGTGATGCCAGTGATAAATGAGACTATATCACCGTGTGCATTACCAACCCTGGTTCAGCAGGCCTATCGGCTGGGCGGACCTGTCAGCAGCCTCAGCTACAGCCTGCCCCTACAAGTCCTGCAGCCAAGGTGCAAAACCCCTTAACTCTTTGCAGTTTCACAGTTTGCAATGCAGACACATTTAATGAAGATATATAGATTATAAAAATGTCCTTAGCTTAGAGAATAATGCCGTAATTTTAAAGCCAACACACACACAGAAACACTCTGTAAAGTGATTCCTTTGCTTTCCAGGCCACACTTCTCTCTGGATATCCGGACTCGCTCTCCTGAAGGCCTGCTGTTTTTTGCTGCTACCAGAGGAGGGCGCTCTCATCTTGCTCTATACATTTCCAAGGGCAGGATCAGGCTGTCTGTGGGCAAACAGAAGGAGATTTTCAACAGAGAGAAGTACAATGATGGAAAGTGGCACTCGGTCAGTAGGTGTACACAAAGTTAATATATAACATTTAGTATATTCTTACAAATGAAAATAGCAATTTAAGTTTGTTTTTGCTCCTTGCTACCTCTAGGTCATATTCAGTTTGGAGAGGAAGAAGTTTCGGTTGGTAGTAGATGGAATCAGAGCTCAGGATGGTCAGCTGACTAATACTGAATTGAACGCCATGCAGCAGTTTGTGTCGCCTGTGTACCTTGGCAGTGCACCTGAGTCTCTTCACAAAGAGCTGAAGGTACAAGAACAAGGTCACACAAATATACACACAAAGTTTTTTTCTGAAATTCTCCCATAAGTATAACTTCTATTTTTGTTGTGTTGATTTTCTTACTTTTAGTCCAAGGCCCTTCCAAAGCAGAGCATATCTGGCTGTATCCGCAGTTTTAAAATGAACGGAGCACCCATGTTAAATCCAACCACTAACCACGGTGCTGGGCCCTGCTTCGAGGGGCAGACACAAAGAGGAGCCTATTTCTCAGGGAATGGAGCACATGTGCTTATCAGTGAGTACATCTCTCTGTGATGGAACCATGGGGTAATAAAACACGAGCATTTCTAATGATCAGAACAATCAACATTAGTTCCTGATGATGAGTTGTCTCCTCTTAAACCAAACAAAAGGATCAATGTTGTTCGATGTGGTTTAGTATTAGTGTTTCAAGATCAGGGGCTGAGGGATTTATTAAAAAAAATAAGTCTTTAAAATAAAAAATTTCAAATTTCTTTGTCTAATTTTACAGATACAAGATTTTCTACATTATATTTCAGGAGGTACTAGGAAAAACTATATTTATGTGCATAATTAAATCTAGTCCCAGTCATGTATTAAACACATTGAGTTCAAAACAAAAATCAGCACTGTAACCATTAGAGAAATTATGGAATGTTATACATAGATAGATTTAACATATGAATCTTGAGGGGCCTTAAATTTCTTTATAATCACATGAAATTATTATTATATATTTGTCTGTACACCTTACCTTACTGAGATTTTCTAAGTTACTTAAATATTCATTTGGTCTATGTAATTTTATGGGATGGACAGAAACATTGATATGGCAATACATCATCATCCTGAATCATGAAATACAATATCCTATTATTTGTGCCAATTAGGGTTAATTTATCTTACACATAATTCAGCATGCAAAACCAATTTCCCTTCATCTCTGACTCGATGAACTTCATTCATCCTTATGGTAGCACCATAGACAATATTCCAACACTTCAATCTTTGGGGTATTATGCATTCTTTAGTTAATCTGATTTTATGATATTTTATTATATGATTAAATAGCAATTAACCAAATATTTATTTTTGTTGCATAGAGATATAATTATGTTGTGGGACGTATCCACATATGTCATATTGTACCTTACAGTACTGTTCTGTACCATTCCTAGTCAGTAATGAATGATTCATGTCACCTCCTTCAGAAACATAAATGACTGCTGCTGTTTGATCAGGACCGTTTAAACAAAGGCGTCTATTATAAGCTTCATTAGGAAAACACTTGTGTTTCAGATGACTCCTTCATTGTGGACTCGAGCTTTGAACTTCTGTTTAACATTCGCCCACGGAGTCAGACTGGACTCCTGCTGCATGTTGGTGAATCCAGCAGGAGTCACAATGCACCTGCAACGGATCACTATCTCACAGTGTATATGCTCAGGGGAGAGGTAAGGCCTGACACTTAGAAATCAGTCGATTTGAGGTAACAGTTTTGTCATCTTATTATGTTTTCTAGCTAAGAAAATGCATCAGTGACTTTTAAACAGAAACTAAAGAGCACTGTGTTTGGACATACTCTCGTTTACAGGTAGTCGCACGAGCAAATAATGGTAAAGGGGAATTCATGGTGTCAGTAAAGCCTAAAGCTCCCCTTTGTGACGGAACATTTCATAAAATTTCTGGTAAGATGTACAAAATCTGCGAATCAAGGCTGTCATTAAATTGCCTCTGTAACACAGCTCGTAACTTCTCTTGCATTAAGTCACTGTCCATCTTACTTGTAGTGATCAAGAGGAAAAATGTGGTGCAGCTGCATGTGGACACAGTAGACAATTACAAAATTGGACCACCATCTTCTAAGACAGCTCCGACCAAAAACTCCTTGTATGTGGGTGGCATTCCTGGTGAGTGAAAATGAATCTGCTTAAATGTGCTTTTTTTTTAACCTAAAGGACATATTAGTAATGTTTGACAACACCAGTATTACTGCAGTTAGTTTTCTTGTCATCAAAATATACTTTTGGAACAAACAAAGATGGAACTATGTCCTGACTTACACATTACCTTTCTTGCTGCAGAGATGTTGATGCACCAGACACTCCCTGTCATGTCCTCCTTTGTTGGATGCATCCAGGACCTTAGGATCAACAGTGAGCCGGTCTCTTTTGACCGTGTGTCTGCTGTGTTTGGTCCAGTTAACCTCAAAGAGTGTCCTGGCTGAAAGACAGAACATAATTCTGCATCATCATACCACAAAACCTGGGACCATGTCCACCGCCAACCATGTGCAATCTGTTACCATGACAGAGAATGTGTTTGTGTGTGAGAATGTTAATATGAGTGTGAGAACATTTGGGTGTGAGACTGCTTATATGAATGTCTGTTTAAAATAGAGACCTTTGCAACAGATAACTTGTTGATATACTATTTTCTGCTTGCTTAGACATGTCTGTATTTATTTTGTGATGAATTCATGTATCATGGCACGGACTGGGAATGCATATTCTATCAGTTGTTTCACACTCTGATGATTTGGTCTCTTCATTTCAAATGCTACTGAATCTGTTTGTGATTGGTCAGGGCTGCAGTGTGAGCAACTCAGCACTTTAAGACAACAAATGAGGCCATTGTAACGGTGCTTTGATAGAAATCAGCATTATTATTATTTGTGTGTGTGTGTGTGTATGTGTGCGTGCGTGTGTGTATGTATGTGTGCGTGTGTGTTAAAGTTTATATCAGAATTATTGCTTTAACACCCAAAGGTGCTCAACTCAGTGATGTTTCAGGGGCTGACAAGCTAATTCATATAAAATCTTCTGAACACCAGCCTGTAGAATAATGCATTTTAATATGTTTGTTGCACATGGGTTCTTTACATAGGCAATGAAATCACGTTGTTCCCTTTATTTTATTTCTGTTGTTTTGAATTTGTTGTTCATGTTGCATTCCCATTACTTGCATTACAAAGTTTTGTGTAGCTTTCTGCATAAGTTACACCAAAAATAGCTTGTTTTGAATTTTATTGGGCAGTGTCTGAGTTTGAAAAAAAAAAAAAAGTAGTAATAAAATTCTCACAATTCATGTTTGGGACCATTAACCAACAATAAAGATTGAGCTGAACACAAAACATGTAAAAAAAAAAAAAGAAGAAAAAAAAGGATGTGGTTTTAAACCCCCAGAGGTGTTTACTCTTTGCTTTTACTTTTGTGGAACTATTTTGATATAAAGAAGAAATATGCATGATAATTGGAAGTAATTTTACATGCATTCCACTCTTGTGACCAGTGATTTGTAATCCTTTTTATAATCTGTTCCATTAATGTTCTTTATAAACTTTCCCTCGTGCCATATGTGGATCTTGAAAATGTCTTGATTTCTGTTCATGCCAATAACTTGCATTTCTGAATGTGCTGAACAATGCATGTTTGGGGGAATCTGGGATGAACTATCGGATTAAGCACACCAAACTGTATTTACTCTGATTGTAAAACGAGGCAAATATTAAAATAATTTTATTTAAGGTTATGTGTTTAAATTCGGATGAGGAGTTTTAATTCACATTTGGTATTTGATATGAAATAGGGGAAGACCAGGGCTTGTTGTCACATGGGTAAGTTGTCACATTGTAATTATCTTTGCCACCAGAGGGAGCAACTAAAAAGTAGAATACTAGTTTTCTTTTTTTAAATGGTCAGGGGTCGTGTCCTGTCTGAGAAGAGAAGAGCACATTGTGAGCTGAGATGAGCTACAATTAACCATTTTCCACCACCCAAAGTACAAAAATTAAACTTTATATATTTTAAAATAAGCTTCTACCAGATACAAATCCTAGCAGTGATACATGTGGACTTGTTAGAGGAGAGATTAAGGCATCCTGTCATACCTCAGTTTTTGTTCTGTTTTAAACTAACTTTAAGCTAGAGCTTTAATTAGCAGACATGGTAGTTTGGGGCAACATGTCTCAGTCATTTTGGGGTTAGTTGTAGCATGTTTAAAAGAGTGGTTTAAAGGAGAGGAGAAAGCAAGAAGACATGGTCAGGAATTACAAAAGAAAAACAGAGCGTGGCAGTGCAGTACCTGACGTGATGCTGACAGCAGTCAGGCAGGTGACCCTAGCTAATAAATCAATCTGGAGGACAATCCACTGTCCTCCACTGTGATATCTTACCCCATGTAGTGAGACAACTAACCTGATGGTGGGGCAACATGTCACATGTTCACACTCTCTATTTGATTGCTTACAACTTTGCACTGACACAAGATATGAAAATGACATGAATACAAACTTATACCTGAGAGTTTGGTCTTTCATCTAGTACACGCTTTGTTTATATATGATGTATTGATTACAAGAAATATACAAGAGTGTAAAAAGTGTGACAACAAGCCCCGGTCTCCCCTACCATTAGTCTGACCAACAGCATGGGAACACATAAAGTTGCACAATTAAGTCACATATGAAGTTATGAACATTTATTTTTCCCAAAGTCTGTAGGATTACATTGGAAGCATTTTTGACATTCATCATTAGGGGCTGACTATTCAGTTAATATTTTGGTATTTCATGCATTAAAAAAAGGTTTTTAAAGGGTTACTTGGACCCTTGACCACCTTTTTCTAAATTCTCCTGCAGTGACTTCTCTACATTACAAAGAAGTAACCACGCCCACTCTTATGCTGCCTTCATGGACTGAATTCATGAGTGATAGACTTGCCACTAGGTGCTGCACCAAATGTTGTAACCCTTTTGAGTCGGTAACCATCTTAACAATCGAGTTATATACACAATTGGCAATTTCAAAAAAATTGAAGCAATAAAGGAGACACCGAACAGGAAAAATGTGACAGTGGGAGAGGAAAACTTGAGCATTATCGGTTTCTTTTTATCGTGATAAACGGGGATTCATATTTGGGGGAAATAGAACCAAAATAAAGTGCAAAGACTGGATACAATATTATTAACTGGTGAGTAAACATATTTATTTTTGAATTATCGATGAAGCGACACACGTTTCGACAAACTGACTTTCAACGAGATGATTCCGACTGCCCCTGAAGGCCGCACATTTCCTGTCTGCGGCCAGGCGGCAGAATACGGAACAGCGACACGCACAACCGCTGGATAAACGGCAAACACACACACTGAAGTTATTATCCGTTTGTTGTTCAGAGCTCTTTTTATTTCTCGGCGTTAAATATGAACGTATTTCCTCTCAACTGCGCCTCTGGCTGTGACTATTTTGATTTAAAGTAAACTCAGGAGACATACAGCACGTCCCCTCCTTCCCTCCCCGTCTTCTCTCTGACCGCTTTGAGGCTCTCTCCCCACCGGTGTCGGGTGTCTCAATGGCGGACCCGTCAGATGCAGCCCCGGGGAGCGTGGAGGAGAAGGCAGACCGAATCAACGACGCAGAGCTGGCACTGAAAGGGATCAATATGCTCCTCAACAATGGATTCAAGGAGAGTGATGAGCTCTTCAGGGCATACAGGTCTGAGACAATAAGCTGTCTTTCAGTGTCTGCTCCATTCACACCGCAGTGATGGACTTCGAGTCTCACTTTGGGAGCTGTTTAATGTCATGACAGGTGTAACTGTAAATACTATCGAGTCATCGCCGTGTGCCATAGTCTGTGATTCATTAGCGAAACTTACCGACCATCATACTCGTCACGCTCTAGTGTAGCAGCAGCATATGATCCGGTCACAAGCAGGAGGTACTTAGTTTGGCTACCACCAGCAATTATCCACAACCACAATGTGAGTTGTTGTGGTTAAACATAACTAAGACTTTAATCCAACCTCACCTAATGAGTGTTTACATGCTGTTACACATGTTTAGACGATCATAGTCGTGCTGCAGTTTGCAAATAATGACCTCCTGATGTATTAGTCAAAGCTGTATCATCACAAGACTTTAACATATAGGGGAGAGTGGGGTAAGTTGAGCCACAGGGTAGGTTGAGCCACCCCCTGTTGCTTGGAAATGGGAAAAGAAATTGATCATGTGACCAAATATTTAGGAAATGGGCATCAATTCATGGAGTCTGTGAAGGGTAGAGGCGCATAGGTAAAGGGGTCAGACATTTACTTCCAAAAAAATATTTTTCACTCTTGAAAGTGAATTTAGTCTGTCATAAGTTTTATTAGAAATGTGCTCAGACCATTAATTGTGGTATCTATGAGCTACAACATGAGGTCAAAAACCTAGCATAAAAGTCCACCATTGAGCGTGGTGGTGGTTAGTAGGGATACGGCTCAACTTACCCCGCTCTTATGGTCAACATACAATAGTAAGAGACAAAACTATGATTGCCTTGATGTAGTGATTCGAAATATGAAAAGTGGCTCACTTTACCCCACTCTCCCCTACTGATTTAGTGGAACAGATCAGTGTGCTGTTCATATAAATAGAATTAAAAGAAGTATGCATACCAAAGAATCAAATATGGATTCAGTTCTTGTTGGATCATTTCAGACTGAATGCAAATGAAACATCTAGAACAAGTGCTCTTAATCTTAGTACAATTTTTTTCTTTCAAATCCACAACCAAAATGAGACAAATGACAGAATTGTGAAGCTACCAACAGCAAATTATGTTGCTGTAACGCCAACATAACAATGAAACTAGGTGGCTATTATTGTTCTGTTGGTTAAATAATATGTTAGTCAACCAGTCGTTCAAGCTGCTACAATCCCCAGTGTGGGTATGCCACTGTTGCCATCAAATTATGTAACTGGTTAGCTTTCCTGTTTTACTACGAACTGTCTCAGGAGTTTCGTAAATGTTCCTGTTGAACTTGTCCTGGCCTGGCAGATTTCTTCAGTCTCAACTACTCAAATCTGTTGGACAGTTGCACTTCTGAGACAGTCAAGTAGCCATTTTTGGTATTATTAAGTAGATAAATATTGAATCTAAACTTGCAAAAATGGTCCTTTATCCTAACCCTTTACAGGAATTGACAATCTTCCTCCTTAGTGATAAAGCTTTTAACATCTTTTTAGTGCTACTTAAGATCTACTCGTAAAAGTCTTTTAAAAAAAACCTTTTCGGTCTCATTATAAGTGGCTTGGGATGAGTCACAAGTCAATGTTGTTGCTTTAAAAGGTCACAAGATAAAAAAGGTCTGGTGCCTCCTGATACAAGACTATAGACCACTTGCAGTTTGCAGGATTTGTAAACACCCTTTAGCTTTGTTGATAGGGTAAAATAACCTGATTATCTTGAGGAAGCTTTCTCCGTCTTCTCTAATGTAGATGCCACAGAAGGGCAAACCCCCATGTGCCCTCACCCCCACTGGGGGTTTAAATATCACCTCTTCTGCTAATTGCTTGTAGCACTGGGAGTCATCCTGCTTTGATTGTATCAGCAAAAAAGAAAACATGGAGGGAAGTGAAAGATACATACACAGCAACTGATGAGTATTGTATTTCTTTGTTTTCTGTTTAGAGTCCATTGGTTTTCATTGAGATGACTCTGTGTTTGATGGTGCCTTTTTTGTGACAGCTCCATTTGACATCACCACGTTCCTTCTAAATATATTCTGTCATGTGTGTGTCCTAACTTGTCCTGACTGCAAACCATTTAAAGGCTCAACCCGCTGTTTTCATTCCACTCATTATCTGCTTATTTTCCCTTTCAGAGCTATCATCTCTTCACACAGCACACCTTTAACTGACACGTCACCTGTTCTCTCTCTCTCTCTCTCCTGTTCCAGGAATCACAGTCCTTTAATGAGTTTTGGAGCCAGTTTTGTGAGTTTTCTGGTGAGTCAAAATGAAACCTGCAAATCTCTGTCCACTTCAGAACACATTTTGGTTTCTTATTGAGGTTTCAGAAATTTCCTGTCCGTGTATGCCTGGCAATAAGAAAGACTTACATGCAACTGACTTGTGCCTGCGAAAGCTGGGTTTTGGGTTCTTTTATTTTGACATTACAGTCATTACATTACAGTGGTTAAAACTACCTAGATCAAGAGTAAGATGTCAGGAAAAACTGAAAGTGTAACCCTTTAAACTTCTCATCTATAGACATGTTAAGTAAGATAAGAACTTGTCTATACATTGTTGATACAATACAAGTAAAAGAATAAAACAGTCTGGTGTCACTTTCTTGTTTTAAGGAGATTCACTAAAAAGTAAAGCTTTGCAAAAACAAATAATAGCATAGTTAATATGTCTAGGCTTTAAAATGGAAAGTTCGATCCTGACTGACCTACCAGCCTCCAGGAAGGAAAATGATTATGAGCATGAGTTATTCAAGAGGGCTGAACACAGAATCACACAGTCTGTCAAATTGGCTTGCTGTGTGTGATAGCAGAGATAGCACAACCTCATTCTACACACAGTGCACAGTTAACTCAGACCTACACAAAAAATGTACAGACAAGAGGAAAAAATAAACGTAGGTATTTGCTATTGAAATAAATATCTAGCCTATTAATACTCCACATAGAGGTAGCATTGAGTTAATGTCTGTTAGTTGTGCTAGAAAACCCTAGATTACCGGGAGCAGGCCTGGTTAAACGGCCTTGACTGCAGCAGGAAGGAAGGACTTGCAGTATCTCTCTGTCACACACAGCGGGTGAAGAAGTCTGTCACTGAAGGAGCTGCCCAGTGCTCTGCAGGGGGTGGGAAACATTGTCCATGAGAGACGATAGCTCAGCCTTAGCCTAACCTCATTTTAAAGCTCCTGTGATGAGTTTAAAGCTTGATATATGACAGGCTGAAATGAATCTGATGCCCTGACATGAGGAAGAAAAGCAAAAACAACCATATGTAAGTGTTTCTGTCTGTAACTGCTGCCACCTGACTGGTCCCAAAAACCCTTTTTTAGTGATGTTCAGATGTGTTTCACTGTTTCCTTGTGAGAACACACCACTACTTGTGCATGAATGAAAAAAGATAGTAAAAAGACCCACTGCTATTTCAGCCAAGACCAGAACTAAACAAAAGTTCCTCTTAGTAGTTAAAACTCAGAGTATAATTGCCTTTTTTTCCTCTCCCTGACATTCTGTACATTCTGTCCTGAAAACTCAGGATGATTTGATCCTGTCAAGGGCATGGATAGCAACTTAGTCAGACTGATACATCTTTCATACTATTTTACATGATCTGTTTGAATAGTCCTCAAAAATAGTTTAAAAAAAGCAAATGGAAAAGCAGTTTAAAAGATAATAACCTGTTGGAGGAGCTCACAGAAAGAGAAATCTTTTGTTCAAATCTTCAAAAAATGCTGCTCGGATCCCTCTCCTTGAGGAGTAATAGTTTGCCTGAGTCGTGTAGCAACAGGAGTTTTTATCCTACTCCATGTTTTTTGCAGAACGCCATGATGACATTTGAAGAGGAGAAAATGCAGATGGCCTTCGAGGACCTGAAAGCCACAGAGAGACTGTGTGAAAGTGAAAACACGGGTGTCATCGAAACCATTAAAAACAAGATCAAGAGGAGTGTGAGTAAATTTTTCAACATTTAGCCTGCCGGCCTTTGTGTTTGAGGCATCTATTATTAAGTTTGAGGTGTTTGTGTGTGCAGATGGACTCTCAGAGGTCAGGGGTGGCTGCAGTAGACCGACTCCAGAGGCAGATCATCATCGCAGACTGCCAGGTTTACTTAGCAGTGCTGTCATTCATCAAACAGGAGCTGTCATGTAAGAGAGCCTCTGCTGCTTGTTGATTACTGAGGCATGCTGCATGTTTGTTGGTGTGAAATGAAATTAATGATCTTCGGAGGCTATTTTCACTCCAATCTTGAGGTTTTTTCATATTTCACTGATCTTAACTTCAATTTTTTCCAACAGCATACATCAAAGGAGGCTGGATCCTCCGCAAAGCCTGGAAGATGTACAACAAATGTTATAGTGACATTACACAGCTGCAGGAAGGCAGCAGAAGAAGAGCGTCCGAGCAGCCAGCAGTACCTCCTCATTCTCTCTCCTCCTCCTCCGCTGACTCCTACTCCCACAGCCGCTCCTCTTCTCCTGGTCCGAGTCCGTCTCACAGGCTGGATGGCATCAGCTCTGAAGCGCTGGACCGCCTGAAAGGCTCAGTCAGCTTTGGTTACGGCCTCTTCCACCTCTGCATCTCAATGGTGCCGCCGCACCTGCTGAAAATCGTCAACCTGCTGGGTTTCCCTGGCGACCGTCTCCAAGGCCTCTCAGCACTCATGTACGCCAGTGAAAGTAAGGACATGAAGGCCCCCTTAGCTACGTGAGTATGTGAGTGAGTACGATTGTGTATCGGCATTTCAGCTGCACCACAAGCATGATCTGTAGGGTTGAAAATAAGCTCCTGTGAGAAGTTTTAGCTGATCATGAAACAGAGAAGAATAATAGTGATGCTTCTGTATAACATCATGATTTATTGCTGTTGAATTTTTTTGTTTGTTTTTCACAGCAAAAACCCAGTAGTTGATAGACCTGACAGTTAAAGAGCGCAGGATGAGATCTCTGTGGTCAAATACACTATTTACACATGTACAGGATGACATCAGCAGACCTAAGGAGGTGTCAACAAAAAGCTTTTCAGAGCAGCTCTAACAAAGAACCTCGTCTACTTCCCGCTCTGATCCTTTTACTGTCATTGTTGCATGGCACACTACACTGAAGAAACCCTAACTTAAATCAAATACAGCTTGCAAACCAGTTTAAATAAAATCTTCAAATCTATGATAATAAAACATTTCGTAACCCTTTTTCATCATGCTTTAAGCTTGCACCTTAATCTTGTTTGCCATCAGCACTTCATGTCTCTAAAATTAGTTCCCGTTTCTTGCAGCAAAAAAAACAGCAGCTGCAAGAGGCTCTTGTTGTGGTATTGCTGTGTAGGCTGCTTTTTAGTACAAGGAGGAACAAGTAGATTTCTGGGAGTGCTGATGAATGAAGATGTCAGATCACCGCATTTAGTAATGTTCCAGCTGATACCTCAAACTTTTCTTACATGAAACTTCATGAACTGAATGTTTTATAAGGATTAAATATAAAAACTGACCAAACAACGCATACAAAACTAGCTAAACAGAATTCACAACTAGCTAAAGTTGATTAAAAATCATGTCTGATGGAGTTGCTGTTTGTTTGTTTGTTTGTTTGTAAAACTCACAGTCCTCACAGTCTCTCTGCTGCCTTACAGCTTGGCTCTCTTGTGGTACCACACAGTCGTGCAGCCCTTCTTTGCGCTGGATGGTGCAGACACACAGGCAGGCCTGATGGAAGCCAAATCTATCCTCCGTCAGAGGGAAGCTACCTATCCAAACTCCTCTCTTTTCATGTTCTTCAAAGGCAGAGTACAGCGCCTAGAGGTAAATCCATTTTCACATCAGACCTGATTGTTACTGCTCAGTCTCCTGACAGGGTTAAAAACTCAAAGTTGTTTCAGCTTCTTGTACACAGCGTAATGCTCCCCTTTTCCAGTGTCAGATCAGCAGTGCCTTGAAATCCTTCCATGATGCCTTAGACCTGGCTTCAGATCAGAGGGAGATTCAACACGTGTGTTTATATGAAATAGGTGCCCCCTCTTAACCCTTCAGATTTTAATATCCCTCTCTCAGTTCAAGCTAGAATAATAATGTGTGATTGTCGAACATTTCAGGTTGGTGCAGTATGATAGAGCTGAACTATGAGGGCGCCTACAGGGCCTTTGAGCGCCTGAAGACTGAGTCTCGCTGGTCCCAGTGCTACTACGCATACCTAACTGGAGGTGGTAACAGTATAAATGAACATAGCTTTGAGTACAGTTCTTCCTACTGTGTTTTTAACTATACCTTATTTGTTGGTTTTGGTAGTGTGCCAAGGAGCCACAGGTGATCTGGAGGGAGCGGCAGCCGTGTTCAAGGATGTGCAAAGACTATTCAAGCGCAAGAACAATCAGATAGAGCTGTTCTCCTTGAAGAGGGTGAGTACATGTCCAGCTGATTCTAAACTTCAGAGCTGTGTGATACAGAAATCAGTCAGGTAAATTTGTAAAGAATTTATGTAAACATTTCATCAGGCTGAGAAGCTGAGGTGTCCTAGTCTGTCCAAAGAGCTCTGCATCCTCTCTGTGATCGAGATTCTGTATCTGTGGAAAGCTCTACCCAACTGCTCCACCGCCAAGCTGGAGACGATGACACAAGGTACTTAGTGTTTAAATGTTAAACTAAGTTTTGAGTAAGTTTTACTGTTTTTAATCCTGTTTGTTTTTAGTCTTGCAGGGGATTGATGATGCGTCATGTGCCGGCCTGAAAAACCTGCTTCTTGGTGCCATTAACAGATGTCTCCACAAAACCAAAGATGCCATTCAGGTACCTTAATCATCCCATTGATATTATGGTGGGCTTTAAATGTGGATCTTAACCTGATACACATATAAAGGTTTCATGTCAAAGTGATGATTGCTTCAGCTGACACTGCACATTTTTTTTTTTCAGTATTTCCGACTTGCTGCTAGGGATGAAGTCGGTCGCTTGAGCAACTCTTATGTGCAGCCCTACTCCTGCTATGAGCTGGGCTGTGTGTTGCTGAACACCCCAGAGGCAAGTTTCTTTTTTTTCCCTGAATATGGGTGTGCGTTTGTGAGTGTGATAAAAAGGGAGACATCCTCAGCTGTGATGGTGTAAAGGTCAAATCACTGAAATGTTTCATTTTCTCTCTTTCCAGTCTGCAGCGAAGGGCAGGATGCTAATGCTTCAGGCCAAGGTAGAGTATAGGTTTTGTATCTGAGTCATACATGGTTTGGATTCTTACTCTATGCTGCTTTTGTTTGCTCACTGGTGGTAAATTCTGTAATTAGAGCTAAAGTCATTATTAAAATGTATTCAGACAGTTAAAGGTAAAAGGACAGTAAAGCTCTCATCGAAGTTAAATCACTCACTCACGTGATCAGTGTATCAAATAAGGGTTAGGAAAAATGGGATCAATAGTGCTGTACCATCAAGTAAAATATGTAGCGTATGCAGGCTGCAGCATGTCTGTTTTTATGCAGCAAACAATGAATCAGGCTTTTCCTTATTAAGGAGATCAGGGATGGCAGGATTATTTGGCCTCAGCTTTTATTAAGTGCTCTGCCCTGAAATGCTCTCAGAACCTCCTTTTATAAAAAGAAGACACTGCCATTTGAAGACTCATACTAAATAAGGTATTCCCCCAGAAAAGGTCACGTCTACAAATATAACGTAAAGGATGTCTGCGTGGCCTGTGGTGCAGCAAACCAAGCTGCTTCGGAGGAGTTTGCTGCTGCAGCAGCATTGACTTTGTTGTTGAATGATTGGCAGCTGACTGTGATGCAGCTCATGCCTCCCTCTCTCTCCGTTGCCGTGAGAACCTACCCTGCATGCCTGAGCACATACAGCAGTGTCTGACAGGAGGGAGCTCTGTTGCCTCTTTAATGTTTTCTCTGGTACATGATGAAGCAGGGAGCTCATAAATTGATCTGAGTGTACCAGCAACAAGGTTTGTCAGTGGGCAGGGAGAGTTATTATTATTATTATTATTATTATTATTTTTTTAAAATTAGTATTATTATTAGTATTATTATTAGTCTTAGTATTAGTATTGTTATTGTTATTGTTATTATTATTATTATCATTGTTAAAATTTATTATTATTATTATTATTATTATTATTATTATTATTATTATTATTATTATTATTGTTATTATTATCATTATTATTGTTATTATTATTATTATTATTATTATTATTATTATTATTATTATTCACAGTTTTGTCTTTTTTGGTGGATTTTGCAGGAGGACTTTGCCGGTTATGACTTTGAGAACAGGCTCCATGTTCGTATTCACTCAGCTCTCGCTTCAATGAGGGCTGCAGGACAGCCTTGACGTTTTACCCTCACCTCACACAGACCTGGACAAATGTTTCTGAAAAAGCCACAACCCATCTTTGGGCACTTATGTTACACTGTTGTATTGATTTGTATTTATTTTTATATTCTGAGCCTCTGTATCATTTAAAACGTGTGCAATATTAACTGTAGGTGTTCTCTGGGACAAAGAGATGTCTTATTTTTGTTTCTGTACTGCACTGTAAATGACTGGACTGGGCTTTTTTAGTGTTTACATGGTTCAGTTCAAAAAGAAGATGCCAGCTCATTCAGAGGAAATATATTTGTTTTGGGACATCAGTCAAGTTGGACAGTTTCCAGGTAAAGTAGTGTAACTGCACATATTAATACAAAGAGTAAAAGCAATCAAAGAGAGACTCAGCCTGTGACTTAAAGAAGCTGAGGTCCTTTGTTTTGGCTGTAGAGACTTTGCTTCTCCATAGATATTTATAGAGTTAAACCTTAATTTGACTTTGTTTACCCTCTTTTTTGTTTTTAAAGAAAACTGTTTTTATCAGTGTAAATATGTCTTGCACACAAGTTTTACTAGATGTGCCATTATTATGTTTTACCACTCATGAGTGGTGTAGAAGCACACTGCTCTTACTTTAAAACCGGGTTCTTTTGTATTATTTGTTTTAATACAATAAAATGTATATTAAATGAGATACTGTTTTATTTACCGTTTTATTTATGACAAGTTATCTTTGAGTATTTCATGAGAAATACAGAATCCTAACATGTTTTCCGAAAATTAAAGCAAATCACACAGAGTGAAGAGAGTTCATTTAACTTTAAGATTTTATTTAGCAACAGTAGAAATCTGTTTTTGATACCCAAAAGTGTGACAACAGAAATAACTCAAACGTCTATCAGCTATTGACAACTAGAGAGAAGAGATATTCAGTGCTTAGTTTACAAAGAGGTAAGGCTTGCATAGTTATAGTGATAGACATGCTCCTATTTCGATAGCTAGACCAGCAACACTAGGAATATGAGTGATTAATCTGAACTGTTGCAAGACCTTTATGCACACACACACAAACTGTTTAAGAGCCAAGAGTATTTACTTTAAATAGTTGGAAAAAAGTGCTACTTATTCTTCAGAGTCAGGTAGACATATGTGCAACACTGTTCGTCTCTATACACATCAATACAGTACATAGATCAGGTCTGAAGGAGATGCTGAACTCTGCTGTAGTCTTATTGTTGCAGTGATGGCCATGATTCTTGTTGGATGTCACATTGACTCACCGCTAGCTTTTAAGAGAAAATATTACAGATTTACATTTAAATGCTAACAGGCGCATGTCCTCAAATATTTGTAAAGCATTATAGAATCGATGTAAAAGTCATGTTGAGGTGCAGATGATGTGTCGAGGATGCATTGTTCACTGGATTGTAGTCAGGTTATTTTGATATTGACTAAGGCCTGCACAGGTGCTTCACAACGTTTCCAGGACCAGCAGGAATCATGGATGAACTCCCAACAATAAAACTAAAGCTGCTGTTTAAACACTCCATCTATCTAACATTTACATAAATATTTCTTAAATACATTCTATTTTCATTACATGCCTCTACCATACTGAAGCGGTCAAAGACCACAATAAATAACCATCATGTTTTTGTGCTTTATTTTTCATTCAAATCATTTGGGTTTATTTATTTTATCACTTTAAAGCTGTATATGTAAATGATCTTCTCTGTTCAGGACACCTTTACACCGCTGAATGTGCCAAGAAGCTCTCGCACAAATTCTAGTACAGAAAATCACATGTAAAGGTTTTCAAAGTAGACGTCCTTGTTTATGATGTTAGCTTGCACTTCTACGTATTAGTAGATGTCAGGCATGTGAGTGTAGTTCCTGTCCCAGTAGCCTTTCAAGTAGAGCCAGTCCTGAGCTTTGTTGTGAGGGTTGGGCCCTTGCTGGAACCACCTGCAGAGTTTTAACAATGGGAGGATTAATTTCATACAAATACTGCACAAGTGCTCGACAGAGAGAGAAACACAGACAGGTCAAAACAGACTAAAAGCATAAGACTAGTTCATAGATCCATTTTCAATCATTAGGATCTGTAAGAGTGTCTAAGTGTGTTTAGTATGTAATAAATTCAACAACACAGAAAAGGTGCAGTGGTACATTTTGTCCTGAGGGGGGTGGTGTAGTTTAATGAAGCACTTCACACCAAAGACAACAGCAAGAAGGCAAAGCTTTGAACCAAACCTTGGGCCAAGTGCAGCATTCCTTCTCAGTTTCAATAAAAATGGACGCAGACAAATAACACAAGACAATATGGAGGCAGTCAGCAAAAGCAGTCGGCAAAGGGATGATGATGATGATGTTGTCTGGAGCTGCTCAGTGACTCACCTTGTTTTCCATTCTTCTGTTGATTTGGTGCGATTTTTCCGAGCCATCCTCTGTTTTTCCTCGAGTCTCTTCTTCTCTGCACTCGCCAAATCTGTGAAGAACACACAAATAGAAACAAAACTTTTAAAACCATCACCGGAGCTATGACAAAAGGTGAGAACAGGGATCAGAATTAAGAGGAGGAGATGTACCTATATCCCCGTTCTCCATGGCACGGATGTCAGGTCTGAGGCGACTGTCTGTTGGAGGAATAACCCCCTCCATGCTTTTCTCCAGCTCATTTAGATGCATTGCAAATGTGGAAAATGCATAAAACTGCCAGAAATGAAATAAAATTGCAACAGGAATAACAAAACCTCGCTCTCTGCTGTTGTCCCAAAATGTTGTCTTTTTAAATTCAAAAATTGCTCTCTCGCTCCTCGTCTATTTATGTCATTTCCTACCTTTGCCGAGTTGTCAGGTCGCGGCGTTATTTTCCAAATGAGCTCGCTGCCTGGGATGACCTGGACTGTTTCAGCGTCAGGTGGAGGCATCTCTTCTGGCTCTTCATCCACGCCGCTCTGGGTCCCAAAGAGACGTAAGAAAAAAAAGACATACACTCTGTTTTTTCTGTGCCACACAGAAACAAACATTAAAAAAAGAAAGAGGTGACTTCAAAGCAGCAAAAATGATTACCTGTTTACTGCCCTTTTTGTCATCTGGATTCTTCTTGTCGGTCTTTTTGTGGGCCTCAAAGGTAGCTGGGTCTACTGCATACAGACATTCAGTCCATTTGCCATATATCGCACAGAGCTTCTTTTTGCTGCAACGGCAAATTTACATCCATCACATTTTCTCTTATTAAACAATCGGATGAATAATGAAGCTGCTTTTAATTAAAGGAAGAGTACCTTTTATCGAGGATGTATCCCTCTACTTTATGAAGCTCTTTTCCAAAGAGGCCACAGGGTTTGAAAGTCAGGCTGCATCTCTCTCCAGTCCTACCACAGAATGACAGAGCGTTTACCAATTCTCTTTCACTCTTCTTCTGCTCAGCTAAAGGCTTTCAAACATTAATTATCCTGCTTTTCTGTTCTAATGGCATCAGTCCCAGTTCTGCTCCATGATCAATAAGATGAATCTGAAAGTAGAACAGCGCTCTGCTGCACAGAGTGCGGAAAAGAAGGATGTTCGTGCCTCCGAGTCTCAGTGCATGCTAATTAGCGGGAAGGCTTTGCTTTTGCAGACAAACAGACACACAGAAACAGCATAAAGAGAGGGGAGCTTCTTTTACTTGTGATTGATCACTTCCACGCTGCCATACTGCTCAATCCAAAGCTGTCCCACGATGATATTGTGCACACAACAGGTGGGGTTGGTCCAGGTGTAGGCTTCATTAAATCTGCAAAAACAGAGCTAACATGAGACGAGGCTGCCCAGAGGACAAGGTAGACTTGCAGAGCGAATTTTTAGTCTCTGCACTCACTTAGGCAGCTCCAGCGTGATGACACCCTTGGGCTCAGCTTCTATACTCTTTCCCCAAAACTTGAGTTTGGGGTAGATGGAGCCATGGAAGAAGAAATCCTCCGTGAGGCCCTCGGCTTGAAAGGCACTGACTGGAGGGTGGTGGCTCACTTGTTCTGAAACCCACCGAAAGCCCAAATCGTCTCTGATGGAGAGTAAAGAAGAAAAAAGAGAAAAGGATAAATCTCCACTAAATGGTAGATGTGTTTGACAGGGTTCCTAGTTGGAATTTCCACACTTTTCCATATGCTACTTTTTAGAATTATTTCTGGAAACACCTACTTTTCTATTTTAGAAAACTATTTCAGAACTGTGGTAATGGTCTGGAAACAAATATTTTTCCATACTTTTTCAGACCTGGAAACTGATCAAATTTATTTCAATATTTTTCCATACTTTCCATACATGCGTAGGAATCCTATGTAGGTTGACTCATGAAACATATTTCCACTATTAAATCTATGACTGAGGTTTAAAGTCTTACCTGATTAACTCATACGTCTCCCCCAGTAGTGGGTTGAAGGGTTTCCCAGTCCTCTCCCACTGTGACGCTACAGCTGACACAGCAAATGCTGCAACACACTACACAGCATTGACTCATGATAAACAAATTAAAAGCTACTAATTCAGAGGAGTATATGCATGTTTGTTTCTACTAGATTAAGTAATCTTGGTCATAGAGGTACCTTCATCCTTTCGACAGAATCTGTTGTAGCATTGGCCTGGTGGATGAGGTAGGTGTGCTCCATGTATTCTGTTAACCTCTGGAGGAAACTCAGGGGTTCGTTGAATATCACAGGCATGGCGATCTTTGACAACTCCTGCAAGAAAAACACAAAACAAAATAACAGAGTCTGGGAGGGAAGCAGCAGATTGTGGGTTTTTCTAACCTGATTGTACAAAAATTATCATTTGATCTGAATCTTTGAGTTTTTAACTCTAGGGCTATGTTCACACTGCAGGTCAATTCTGATTTTTAACCATATGTGACACAATTCTGATTTTTTCAAATCCAACCCAGGCCTCTTTTGTATGTGGATATAAATTGGATATGTATCCAATGTGACTGCAGTGTGGACGCCCAGGTCGCGTTCATCCGACCTATACATCATCAATATGCGACAAACATCACCATTGTTCGACAACACAAACAGGCGCGGACGAGGGAATAGAGAACAGCCATTCCATGTGGGTCACTTCACGTACGCATTCTGTTCACATTAGATGCTGCATTCTTTGTTGTAATGTGAACGACCACACAAAAAGATTGGATTTAACAAAAAAATCTGAATTGTGCATCATAACCTGCAGTGTGAACGTAGCCTAAAAGCTATGGCTGGGACGATATGCCATTTTCCTGATTCAATTCTTCTTCTTTTTTTTTGGATGCCGATTCGATTTACATTGCGATTCTACGATATTGTCGATTTTCTCTATCTTCAGTCCACATTTTTTACACCAGTGAAACAGTTGAATGATTATGATTGTCTACTGACTATTCCAGGAACCATATTTACTCAAATAAAAACGCATCACATGTAAGTCAGTTTTTAAGATTTATTCTTAAATTTGAAAGAAAAAAAAATCGATTTAAAAATTGTAAAACAAAAAAAATCACTATACTTATGTGAATTGATTTTTTCTCCCGCCCCTACTAAAAGCCAAGGTTTGGTTTGAAAACAGCTGATGTTTCTGGACTGCACACACACATTCACCTAAATCAAGCTTGCATGATGAGATGAAGTGAAACCGAGAGAGTTGTCCTTATTAAATAACCACATGACTTCCCTCTTAAACACTGTTTGTAATTACCCATGTGTGTCTGTATATTGACTGTATATCTCTGTCAGCCAGCCGAACAGCATAGGCACGACTCATTAGCCACATTTAATTAGAGAGTTAAACATTAAGCGACATTATTAAATGTAATTAAATCCAGGCAGGGGGAGAGAGAGAGAACTGAGATCTCTTAAGACCTCAAGACACTGAAACTAATGACTACACTCCTAAAAGCCACCTTAAGTTAAGTGAGAAGCACAAATACGAGTTTATCATGTTGATTGAACTTTTTCCCGGCAAAGGAAAACACAATAGATAAAGGTTAGACCTGTGGGAGGGAATTCATCTGCTCTCACCATGCCGATGCATTTTTTCAGGATGCTCCAGATGCTGACGTCGTTTCTGGAGAACATGGGAGCCGGCAGACATGTTCTGTAGAAGTAAGGAGAGGGGGAACCAATGTCAGCCATATGAGGAAAAAACATCGATTATAAGATTATGTCGATCACTTCCCCTTATCATGAGAGAGCAGGGAACAAAGCCTAAACCACCTAAGTGGAACAAAGTCATCTGACACCTGTAAGCTAATGAGCTTTCAGCTGCTCTGGCCTCATGTAATACCCATGAATAGATGAATATCTGCAGAACACAGGGCCCTTCTTAGACATAGACATGGACATACTGAATCTAAAGCTGTATAAAAATGGTTTGCACTTATTTAAATCAAGAATGAGCAAACACAGAGTAAAGCTGCTTTCTCATCTGCACTCTCAATCTTCGCCTAAATGTGATCTGGGTTGCAACTGAATTCATCTCCAAGTTTTGCTCTCAGCTGTTCTATCTAGAGGCAGATGGTTCTGAACCAACTCCACAAAGAAAAGGCATTATTCAGCTAAATAAACAGAGAGGTAAGGGTTGGGGGTTTGCTCCATCTGTAGGATGAGCAGAGCAGTGATGCATACCAGTCTGTTTTCTTTTTTTGGCCTCGATGTTCCATGTTTCCTTAGCCAGAAAATAATTTCATAAAAAGAGGATCCAACCCAAAAAATATGACAGCTGATACCAAGAGGTTTTCTGTTACTAAGCAAAGGGTATCAAGTACTTGTCTGAGGACCTCGAATTTTGCAGCTCAAGCTCAAAAAGTTGTACTTTTACATTTAGCTGAACATACAAGCAGAAATCAGTGTTTTTCCAAGTTACAAGTTTTAGTTTTTAAAACCAGTTTTGTTACACGCATAGCAAAGTCCATCTATGCTTCATGACCATAGGTTATTGCAGAATTTATAAGGAATGTTAAACAACTAGAATAGCACATCTACAGGCCAACGGGGACAGACACATCTTTGAATGACAGGAGCACTTCCAGATAAACAGACACCTCATAAATCTTTAATGAACAACCCACACACCCACACACACACACAAAAACATATATGCACACCGAGCTAGCCAGTTCCCTTTTCCAACTCCATCTCTGTGCCAGCACATACTAAATTATGCATGGATCACTTGTTGAATTAAGGAAGAGAGGCAAGGCCAGAATCAGCATCCACTGTATTAAAAGAACTTGTCAAATCTCAAGGAAAAAAAAAACAAAAACAACAATGTAGGGAAAAAAAAACCAAGCACTACTCTGATTGTTCGCTTGGAGAGTTGGATCTGTTGGGGGGAAAAACAAAACAGGCTAATCTCAGTGGAGTGGGTGCTCAAACAAACACACCTGACTACAAAAACAGACTGAAGCGGAAAAGTGGTTTCCTGTTAGACCGACTCTTCCGTTTACTGGCCAACTGTCTCGCTGATTTAAGTCTCAAACCTGTCATTTGACTCACAAGTGTAAGATACTTATTTCTTGAGTTATATTTCTGACTTTTGCGCCTTACAGAAAAAAATAAACAGTGACTTTGTGTGAGGTTTTCTCGTCACAGCTTACATTTCATTTCCACTCATCTCTTTGCCATCATTTCAGCCAATAAACAAGCATGACATCATAACTGGAGCGTGTCCCACCTGTGCTTCTCGACTCCATTGCACTGGGCTGGTTGGTTGCCATGGCTACCCTCCCCTGACATTCCGGAAGGCCCCCTGAGCGCGCTGGGATGGCAGAGGCTGGTGAGAAGGGGGGCGTCTCTCCCCTCGTCCTCTTCAAAGGAGCGACTGGCCACAGACAGGAAGCCGCTCACAGAGAGCTCTGAATCAGACTCTGTGGGTCGACAGCGACGGCGGTGGCGGCGGGGGGCAGAGGCCAGGTCATGCCAAAGATGCCAGGTCGACGATCACCCACACACACATACACATACACACAAACAGACAAGCATATGCACAGGTTTGGTTGAGAGGCCGGCTCAGAAAGCTGCAGCCTGAACAATACACTGTCCGCAAATAACACTTGAGCTCAATTTCCTCTCTAACCTCCCCCGCCCTGCTGCCAGCCAAACCCCACCTGAGGATTGTGTTCCAATGAGAGGCCACACTGAGGCTTCATTTCCTCCAACATTGTTTGCTCTGTGCCTGTGAATGCATCACAGCCACTGACATAGAGGCTCTGTCATATACAAAGAGAGAGGGGGAACAGTATGCTTCAGTAGGGATTATATGCTAAACTCAGCTAGGGGTGTTTTTTATCACTTCTTCCTGTGCACTGAATAATGTGTTGATGGAAATGTTAAGTAGTGCACCGTGTAACAGCTGGCAGAAAATAAAGAGCAGCTTCATATAACATCCTGTATGTAAACAAAAACGAGCGAATGAGTTAAACACACCCCAGCTCCGCATGTGAAAATCCTCATTACACTGAACACGGTTTGAGGTCTACTGGCAGAGAGGTTTCTGGCTACTGGATCTATGAATAATGCAAAGACTCCTGCGAAAGTGCACAAACACTGGCTGTAGACAGAAGTCTACTGTAAATAATCACCATGGAGAGGATTTTCGTGGTACACAACGATGCAAACTTTGCAAAATCTCATGTGCAAAGTTTACATCTTTGTTTGCACAATTTATTCTGAGACAAAGCAGCATGAGTGTAAGGCCAGCCTCCACTGTATTGGTCTTGAGTTTAAGAGGAGGCGATATATACGTTAGTCATGATGCTGAAATTTTTCAAAGACAGAACAAGCACAAAAGAGCAGAAAGTAAAGCAGAAAGAGGTAACTGTGAAGTAGTTTGTGTCTAGAATATGAGGAAGCGGTGAAGACAATAGTGCTGAAAAATATATAAACACAGGTTATATTTCCCAGTTGCACAGGACTGTTTCACTTGTAAACAAACTTAAAGATGTTACTAATAAAAGGTACCAAAAAGAACATATTAAAGGGCTCCTAAATGTACTTTTTGCATGTTCATGTGTGCATCTATTCACTACAACCTTAGACCCTCCTTTTTCATGGCTTTATTGGTGCATTTCATTATTTCCTTGACCTTTAAATATTAATGCCATAAAATATTGAAAGCATATAAAACAAAATCAGCTATGTGAGTCTTGTTTCCTTTAAGTATGACATTAAATGGAAATCAACCTCTTTTGAGAACATGCACACTGCAGCTCTGTTGAATTTCCCCTCACCTGGAAAGTCCATTTTCACTGTTGCTTAAACCTGGGGCTGTTTAATCGATGATAACAACAGCTGATGTCATAATAGCTGGAGTAAATGGCAAGCTAAGTATGCGCCTACAGCTGGCGTGATATGTTATCTGTAAAGGTCATTTCACGGCTACAAAGCTGTGTAAAAAGTAACATCCACAAGCTGCCTCTAACTTCATATCACTTGGAAAAACCTCCAAGCAGCTGAAAGGTGTTGAATTAGAGTTCATGTAGCTGCTGGTATAAGATAATTGAGTTATTTGAGCTGCCTGCTCTTGTAGGTGTCCCACACTGACATAGTTAAAGGTATCAATGGTTAACCTCTCTAACATTGAACTTCTTGACCGCTGACCTGACACAGCATCATAGAAGTCATCTTCGGAGAGGGCACTGAAGGTAGACAAGCTCCTGCTCTTACACAGGGACTGCTGGAGCTTGTGGTGCTCAGTTGCCAGTGTCTGCAGAGCCTCTGTGAGGGCTTTGTTTTTCTCCTCCTCCTGCTCTAACTTCAGGGCCCACACCTGAAACACATGACACACACAAGAGATAAGGTCAGCTAATATATAATTATATGGCTGCATCTCATTTAGAAAGTTTTGCTGTCAAGTTAGTTTGATTGATTTAAAGGTATTGATTTGCTTCTTTATCAGACACGGTGTGTTCCTCTTTGTGCGTCTGATGGCAGGTCATTGTTCTAACCCTGCCCACAGATCTAATTTCCTCCACTTGGAACCAAACACCCCAGTCTCCGAGAGCTGTAGTCTGGGATTGAGTGTCTTTTTAGAGCAACCTGAGCCAGGGCACCATAGGACAGACCAGATCACTGTTTCCCATTGTCTAAGGCTGCTGTTGTAGGTATTTCACTAATTTACCAAAATACTGGACATGCGAGTAACAAAAACCACAGATGAAACAAAAAAATATAGAGTAAGAGAACAACTGGAACACAAACTCAAAGACAAAAAAGTCAAAAGAAATTTATGAACTCAGAGATATCTAAGCATCTGTGTTTTTTTTAACGACAAAAAGAAATACTCAAGGAAAAATGAAAGTGCACTGGTCATAAAAATGAAGAACAACCTTAAAAGACTCTGAGAGTCACCTTGAGAAAAGCAGCTGAGTCGGAGAGAAACAGGAGCTTGTAAATCACACTGTAAATCTGAGATGGCAAAGCACAGCCAGTGTGTTCCTTTAAAGATAGAAAAAAACTTCAATCTTATCTGTCATTGTGCCTGAAGTATTACCAGAAGTGTGCACAGCCATGCACGGAGAAACATCTGTCCAAGCATCTGCTGACGTGCTGAAGGTCTGTTACAGTTCAGGTCTGTACTCAGGATAGCTTAATTCATTAAGGTTTGAATCATGCTAGGATTTTGACATGTCAATACAGTGAAGCTAACCTGCAAATATTAACAATTAAAATAAAAAAAATAAAAAAAGTTGGTGATTTTCTCTACCATGATGGGAAATTGAGTTTTAAGTTTGTCCAATGCACACCATGCTAACAGCTGTGACTGTGTATCCTGAGGGCAAACCCATCATTGTTCCTGATAAAACCTGATCAAACCTGACCGACCTGATGGACGGATTATGAGAGAAGAAGTCATTAATGCACAGAAAGAACAGATGTGGAGGGATGGCGCAAACTTATAGAAACATACATATGTCTACATGATGTAGAACCACAACAAAGACATTTTTAAAACTAGAAAACATCTACTTATTGATATGTTTATTTTGTTCAAGGCTGCAGATCCATCCATTTTTAATATAATTGATTCCAATCCACACACAGCGGATCACAGCATCCCTGAACTAAGAGCCAAAGGTTGATGATGTAAATTTAATGACTGCAATACATAATGTAAAAGCAGGAAAGTCTGTGCCAAAAAACTGACATGAGCAAATCTGTGTTTCATCATTAAAGAGAAGGGAGTATAAATAATGTGCAGTAATATGTAGATCCTATTGGGTTTGTAGTAAACACCTTTGAAAAGATACTGGAGGCTTCATTTGTTGTATCAAATCCAAACATGTTTGGACAGAGGCACTCATGCCTTTACCACATACCACCCAATTTATTACACAATCAATATAAACTTACATTCAAATTCAAGTTAAACACATTATACAGACCCATATTTCTAAATACTTAAAAAAAACACCTCTGATCTACTCCTGTATGTAGAAGATTTGTAGATGTATGGAAGCTTATAAACTGCTTCTTTTTGATGTGTTGCATGTGTGGTTCACACAGATGAGGACAAACTCAACACCTTCACACTGCTGTTGTCACACCTCCTGTACTGCGAGGTCACCCTCTGTTTGAGATAGAAAAATGGAAATACAGGTTTTTCAGTCGTTTCCAAGTCTGTGGTTCTCCTCAAACAGTCAGATCTGACTTTTTACAAAAATCAGGAACTAGAGAGGATGTTGAGAAATTAACCTGACAAGTAAATGTTATCAATCAACACAATGTGACACCAGCCAAAGACCCACATGATGATAAAATGTGTCCAACAAAAAAAAGGGTTGTCTTTGCATGTTTTGTTTTAGCTCACAGTATAGAGTCTGTGTTAACACTGCCTGTCCCAGGCACTTGGCTGAAGAGCCCGTCCAGGGACAGAACACTTTGTTGTGTAACTAACTATCCAGCCAGCTCTCCCGCTCTCCCTGCATCCTCTCGTCTGAGCACAAACAGCGCTATTTTAAGCTCTGCTGAGGCTGTGTGCTGTAGTGCTTACAGAAGGCAGGGAGGGATGCTTCTCCTTGGCCAACACCCCAAAGGGGGGAGTTTCCACTTTGTTCTAAAATCTGCTTTCTCTGCTGAAGGGGAGACAAATCTCAGAAGCAGGTTTATAACACCTCCATACAAAACACCGGAAAAGCTGTGACAGTACATCAAACTGCACAGGAGGGTGTTTTATTTGAGGTAGACATGCAGTTAACAGGTACCCCAAAACATACAAACACATACACTCCCTAAACATAGATGGCAAGATACAACATTACTGTCTCTAGTTTCTTTAATTTGGAAATCACAGAATAATAGGAGGGAAGTTATTTGGGGACTAAGTGAGCATTTACACTGGGTCAACTCACTCATGTGGAAATGAACGCATGAAAAGAAGGTCAAACAGCATTTTTTGTTATATCACAAGCTCCCACGGGTTTGAGGGACAAATGATTTCTTACAGCCTGCAAACAAAAAATGACGATCTGCAGAAAAGAAGATGTTACGCTAATCATCTCCTGCCTGTAGAACAAAACAAACTGACTGATCAGCTTATCTGTGTGTCATTATTGCAGTAAGCCTTTTCATTTATTTCCCTGACAGGTGTGTAAGTCTGAGTAACACCGAGTAATGTTTGGGATGTGTACGTGAGAGTTACAGCCTCGCCTCTCGAGAGGGTTTCTGCTCAGCGTTGTCTGTTTCCCTTTACGTGGAAGAGCAAAGTTATCTGAACGAATCGCCTCACTCTGAATACAGAGGCAGTGATCAGCCAGTCTCACTCTGCCCACTGTGTGCTGTATAATAAGGCGTTTCACTGGCATGGTTTACTTCTGCTGCAGCTGCTGAAATGGTTCACATTTACCCAAATGTGGAGGGAAAACCACACAACTATGTAACTATGAGGCACAAAAGACAACGGAGATGTTAGCAGCATCAGCAGAAGCGTCTGAAGTGTTACAATTATAATACAGGATTAGAGTTAATGCTGACTAATAGAGCCAATCTCAGCAGTGTAGGAAATACTGTTTAATCCACTTAGTCGATGTAGTAGCAGCAGGTGCAACATGCTTTATGAGACATTCCCTCTTATTATATATTATCTGGTTATCACAGATCTGCTCAGTGTCCATTGTTTTGACACTTTTACTGCTTGTTAAGTAATGACACTGGGATAAACGTGTTCAGCAGCCTTCCAGGTTATCCTCTGTGACAGGGCGGCAGCTGTTGCCAGTTCATGCTACGGTAACATGGTTTGGCAGGGAACACATCACTGTATACGAACATGCTACATGTGGGTATTTCTCTGCAGTTTACTAAACTATAACAAAAACAAGTTGACTTTTTAGCCGAGTGCTTTAAAAGAATAAAGTTCAAGCACATAATATACTTTCACACGCTTTTTAATCCCCTTACTTTTTTGTTTAATTTTATCCATCCCTCCTTATACACTTACTTACATTGACTCCATTTACTATGTTACAACTACACCTTATTCAAAAAAAGATAAACGAGCATTAAGTCATGCAGTATGACTCCAAACATGGTATATTTTACAGTCATATCACATCACTAAGACGCCTGCATATTGATGAATATCTCTAACCGATGCTTCAGACCAGCCCTCAAAACAACAACCACCACAAGCAGAGTAAATCCACCCTTTGCCAAACTTCAAACACAACAGTCATCAGGGAAAGCCCACTGCAAACACGACCAGCTGCTCAGCGAAGACAAAAAATATACTATGGGATACAAGAAGTGTTTGGTTTGTACCTGTGCAGATACTGGATGAATCTGCCGTCAGCGTCTCCTCTCCCCGTCTGTGCTCAGATGCTGTGGCATGTGAAGTGTGCCTGCAAGCGTGTGTTTTAACTGTGTGAGGCTGTATACATGTATCTCCAGCTGAGCCTGTGAATATGCACGCGCTTCAGTTCCCTCGCTCAATGCACAGCCTTTGCCTAAAGCAGGCTGAGTGTGGATTCAAGTCCGAGCTTGTCTGTGTTAATGTGTGTGTGACTGTGTGTGTGCTGATTCGCAGGCTGGATGCAGACCCAAGCATAAAAGCGGATCTAGCCTGTGTCCTTCCTACAGACATTGCCAGTGATTACAGCACTGTTCCATCGCCCCCCCTCCCCAAGGACACTACACAGCCACTGAGACAGGTGGACAGGGACATATATGCACGCACACACACAAACTTCAAACCTGATTTGTATGAAAGAGCTCACAAAAAGGGGGAGGAGCTTGTGGGTTTTGTAATCATTCCATATGATATTTTGAGCCAATAGGAGCCCAGCAGGTGGGTAAGTCTAAGGGAGTTAATGAGATGGAGATTTATACATGCTTAGGGAGTTTCAGTTTATCAGAAGGAACTGTACGGTTGTAATTATCTGGAAGCAAAAAAAAGAACATCATAAATAAAAAATTACTAATTATACTGCAAAATGCTTTCCCCTTTTGTGACAAAATACCTATACGAATGCATAAAAGAAAAAACTTGAGCAGAGTTCACAGTTCAGGCGAGTTCAGTTATGTGTCATAATGGTATCTGTTGAATTACTTACCTTGTGTGTGCAGATTCAGGCTTAGTTATGTTGATGAGGATGTTTCCCTACCTCTTCTTGCTTTGAGAGCAGGTCAAGGCACTGATGGAGAGCAGCACACGTTTCACTGGAGAGCTCACTCATCTCCTTGGCTTTCAGTAGAAGAGGTGCAGCAACTTCTTTTAAAAGAAAAACAAACAATTATCACCGATTTTTCACAATCATTGTTTGTCATAATATCCTTGAAGTGAGTGGGATGGATGAGACTGGTTTCTGGGGCTTTGAGGGTGAAATGTTGTCTCACTGTTGCCTGATATAAGATTACAGCAGCTTAATAGTTATTCATGTTTAAACCTTTTTACCACTAATATAAAATTAGCAAAATTTCAAATAAAAAGGACATCAGATATGCTTCAAACTCCAGGACTCCTACCAGAGTTCTCCTCATTCTTTACCATTGAGAGATATATTGACACTTGACTCTCCAACTTCTGCTGGAAGGCATTAGCTATCTGCAAAAGCATTGGAAAAAAAATACACTTAACATGCTGAGATAAAAATCTTAATGATACACCTTATCAAAAAGGCCTGAGTTGAACTTTACCTGAAGAGCTTGTGACAGGTTTTTCACTGCACTGCCACCATCACTAGCTGAGGGATCAAAGATGGGTTCATCGGTGCAGTGGCGGGTGCTGTAAGCTGAATGTGCCTCAAAAGCATCCATCCATTTCTTAAAAAGACAAGCATCAGCAACATTTACGACTTCTTCGCTCTTAAAAGCCAGACTGTTCAGGTGAGTGAAGGTTTAGCAAGAGCAGTCTTATCTCACTTTTCTTGTTGCCATGGAATTGGTCTTAGAGGGAACCTTAAAATAATGAAGTGTGTCATCAAAGCACCTGAGCATGAAGAAGCAGTGATCCCAGGGTTTAACCTGAAAATATATTAAAGAAAGACTTACAGTCACACTCACTGCTCTAAAGAGATGATGCCCTCATGTCAGGGTACGATGTGATTACAAGTGAAACAGCTGCAAAGAGGACTGGACTCCCTTGTGCACTTGTTAGGGTTTAATACCCTATATTAAGCCTTTAATTTCCACTACTTACCATGCAGTAGGATTGTGTAAGAGACTTGCAGCCCTGTTTTCTGACACCCGTGAGAGCATCAGCCCTAGAGAGACCACAGAGCTAAGCCACTCACATAAACAAGCTACTGAGACAGTAAACAATGTACTTTTTATCATAAGAAAACTGCAAATTTAAAAAGTTTTCAAAAGTCAACTCACTGTCTGGGGTACCAGGAGACTGTCCCATCTTCAATAACCACCCAGTGGGATCGCCATCCAAGAAAACGCGAACTCTGTCAGACATGTATGATGGTAACAAAGGTAACAATACAGAAAAGTTAATATCTAAAATGCGCAAAACATTATGCAGATAAAAAAAAACCACTTTAAAACACTGGTATTACAGGTTTTTAAATCATAACATTAAAATATAAACTATAGATGAACAAGATAAACTCTTACAGGAGAGTTCAATTTAGTTTTTTTCTCTAATATACCACTTCACCCAAGTAAAGGGCGAAGTCTGCACAGACATTTGTGAATTATTGTACACAAAGACATTGTCTGTGTGGTAAGTACAGGAAAAGATACATGTGATCATCTGGGTACCTTCCAAAGAGGACCTTCAAACTTCTCCAGTCCTCTGTTTGTCTCCTTTAAGGGAAGAAAAATGTATTTTGTTGAAAAATGTATTTAGTGGGTTCTTTTTTTTCACTGACTATGCAAAGCTCTGCAATAAAGCTGTGCCAGGTATTTCAGACATTAAAACCACAGATAGGACTGCTGACTTGCAAGGCTTTTTTTGTTCTCAGTGGACACCAGGCCTTAAGTACATGGAGTGGATGTATGAAAAGTAAATGTGAAGAAATACAGCTGTATGCGCCAACATTTGGACCAAGTGCAGCAGAGCAGGTTATTAAAAAATGCTAGTTATCATAGAGTTCAACATATAGAATGACATGTACAAGCTTTGTATTATTCAGATAAATCTATTTAGAAGATTTATATATAGACATGTTTGTTTTTTTTAGTTAAAAGGGGAGAGAACAACCTAAACCAAAATAACTAAAAGCTACTTTTCTAATCTTACCTTTTCTTGATAAGCAGCTAGAATCAACTTCAGTTCATCAGTGCGGACCAAGTCTAACGCTGTCTGCCCTGCAACACAGCCCACCAAACAACACATCATTATTTTTATATTAAGGACAAAACAGACTTTAAATCAATAAGCTCTTGGAAAAAAAAAAATACCAAGGACCATCAAAGCCATCAAATTAAATGAATTACCATTACTGTTTCTGATATTAGGACTGGCTCCAGATTTGAGCAGCTTTATGATGCACTGCTTCTGCCCTCTGTAGGCTGCACAGTGTAAAGGTGTATTTCCCACTGAGTCTCTGCAATTAATATCTGGAGCTTCTCTTCCACTGAGCTGAGGAATAAAAGATAATTTAGGACAAAGAAAACACATAATTTAGGCACCAAACTGGAAAGTAAATTATCTCAAGTATTCACCTGCAAGTATCGCTGCCAATACTGCAGGCAATAATGCCATTACTTTTGTACTTAGCTTACTTTGTTATTAAACTTTTCATTGTTTAATGGATATGATCTGAAGCATTGTTTCTTCGTATTTAACCCTAATACAATCGATACTTTAACTTGCACCCTGACATCAGGATTTCCCTACATTGTTCTTTCTTAGCATGCTTTGTTTTTAAATTTTCCACAGGTTTGTTTATACCTTGCAAACACAGAAGTACAGATAATACATGGCTGCCCAAAGTTGTAATTTAGTGCTGGCAACTGTTTGATCTGTGCAAAACCTTTTACAAACGTATGCAAAATGGATCAGCTTATATAGCATTTTAAAGTTATTAGAAAGTGCAGAGTCTAACCAGTTTGGACAAAGTAGAGATGTCCCCCTCTCTGGCTGCTTCCAGAAGTTTCTCCTCCTGCCGCCTCACCTCCCTTCTCTCAGCAGCTGCACAAACCAAGAACACAAGCTGCAATAATCTATAGTCAAAACAAGTCAGCAGCAAAAGTAAAAAGATGCTCCCGTCATTTTATACCCTCTAGCATTGTAATGATTTCATCGTCCTCAGTGACATCTTTAGGGATCTGAGCTGTTCCATTGATAATGTTGGACTGGGCATCGTATCGCAGCAGCAGGAGGACGATTTCCTTAAGGTGCAGCAAAATACTTCCATCATACAACAGCTTTGACAGTTGAAAGGAAAGAAGCAGTATGTGGCAGTGTGGTTCACTGACACTAAGCTGGCTGAGAAGGAGGGATACCATGATAGATTGCAAATCAGACTTCCTATGATACATAAGCTGGCAAGAAGGAAACTGTTTGATTTTACCTTCCTTCCAGTGTAGGCTGCTTTGTGTAGAGGTGTATCACCCATATTATTCTGCACATTTGAATCAGCTCCTGCCTGCAGATAGTGAAAATCACTGCGGTCAGACAAATAATACACAGACAGGATAATATCCTTTAGATAGCATAAGCAGATCTCACCTTGAGTAACTCCTCCACAACATCCCTGTGTCCAAAATAACAAGCCAGATGGAGGGCTGTCCATCCTGCACTGGCTTTAGATTTAGCTACAGTAAAGAAACTGAGCATCAACATTTTCCCAAGACAACCTGAAATCATTGGACAGGATTTAAAACCCTCTTATTACTTACATCTGCAGTTGAGGTTTAAAGAGATGTTTTGGTCGACTCTTGACTGAAGAAGCCCCTGAATGTGAGAACAACTTCCCTCTTTAGCATACAGGAGAAGCTGCTCTTCTGGTGAGTCTGACTCCATCACTGCAGGAATTTCTACAGATGAGAAGAAAAGCGCATTTGTAATTTTTTTTAACAAACTCGGAGAAGGGCCAAAGCAGAGCCAAATGCAACCAGTAGAGGGTAAAAGCAAAGTGGTTTCAGTCAATTTAACCCTAGAACACTATCGCTAAAATTAGTAACACCATCACTATCGCCGATATAATATACCCAAGAAAAAGTACTTGTCATCAAAATAGGACAATACATGACAAATTTCTTTTATTTTTAGCTGTGCAGTGTCCAAAGGGAGGAAAAAAGTGCCATGAGGGGACCGTATAAAAATGCAACAAAATAAATGAAATTAGGCATTCATGAACAAAAAACAATCCTAAAAAAAATCCTGGGGCATGTGAGTCTTCCTTGGTGAAGACTCAGGGTCCTTGGCACAATAACAGCTGCAGGAGAGAGAACCAAAATATGGCAGATTTTGAGTGAGTAAAAATGACCAGCTGACTAAAATATTTCTCATCACCATATGAATTCCCTTGAAAATCACTACTTTGTGATAGTTATTCACAACAACTGCGCTAAATAAAGATAGCATGTAAATTCCAGGACCACTCTTACTGACCTTATTCCCTGCATGCAGCCATCAAATCCACCCAAACCTACTTTACCCTATATCACTACTGCCCGGTGAAAATCACCTGAACTGGTGCCTGTAGAAAAAGGCAGGTTTTGGATCAGGGAAACGACAATGCCTTCAAAGATGTCAAAGGAAATGCTAAAGCTACCCAGAGACCCATGATACTCAGACAAACACAATTGGATAAGTTGTTTACACCACTGATCAGTCACTCTGTCGAGCAAACTGGTAACGTAGGGTCTTTTAAAATGACATGGGTCTTTAACTTAAACGACACGCAGCTATTTAAGACTTACAGGTTACAACTTTCAGCTCTGATTGTTTCCAACTTTCCCTTTATCCTTGTAGAGCTCTCACTTGTCTGAGCTGAAGTTGAGAATCACAACACTGACTCCACAGCCGAAATTTGATCATGTCAATCAGCTGACAGCTGGTAGTGGCCGTCACGTGATCAGGCAGCGACTGGGCTTGTTTTAACTTCAGGCACACTGTGACTGACCCCACTTTAGGTTCCCCCTGACTACAACCAACATTAAAAACAAATCAAGTTATGTGACGGTGAAAAAATGGTTTAACCCTTTGGCTTATAAAACAAGCTTTCAAGCGTAAACATCAGGATCATATCATGTGCGCCAAGAGGTAAGTGACCATGCTCAGAGGTTAGCCTCAAACTTTACTGTTTTAGACCGAATGATAAAATATATAACAAATGTAAGAATGTGACGAGAAAGAATATAAGCCAAAACGAAAAAAAATGCACAGATTTTTCTGCATGTCTGCTTATGGGCATGGGCAAACGTCATGTAAACCATGGTATAGTTTGTGATTGACCCTACAATAACATGCTATACTGCCATTGCCTACACTATCTATTTTAAGAGCGTTTGCAACTCTGGAAATATTGGTTGTTATGGTTGTGTGATATTAAATTAAGTTTCTGATTAAACAATCAAGTTACAGAGAAAATGCAAACACTGCAGTTCATGACCTGTCCACTAGAGGCTGGCTGTAGGACCCTCAATAGGTCCTTTGTTAATATGCCTGTTTTTCTTTCTAAGGTAGATAGCTCTTTTATGTGTTCTGTATGGGGAAACAGTACTGAATTATACTGATTTTTTTGTACGAAACCCACCAAGATGATTTCAAGGTTAAGATTTACACAGATATTTTGTACTTGAAGCCTGCCAGACACAGGTGAGTGTGTTGTAGCTGTTTTTTAGGAAGCCAATAGCCCACCTCCTCACCACATCTTTGCTTCATTGTTTAAAAATTAGATTGAATCTGCCTTCCCACCATGCACCGGCCACTATTCAGCTTTAATGTAGGGCTGGACGATATGGGAAAAGTTTATCACAATATATTTTTTCATATCTGTTCATACTGATATATATGACGATATAGAAAAAATGAAATTTCACAGTGCTTATTGGTCACTTGTCTATTGCAATACAATAAGCTACTGCATCTGTGAGGTCTTTGTGTCTCTTCGATGTTTTGTTGTCAGGTGTTGTGCTAGAGAAAATGGACTAAATTGTTCAGCTGTTTCGGCTGCACAGGCGCCATGGACTCCTTGCATTGCGTGTGCTCTGCCATGTGGCACTGCTCCAGGTAGTGAAAAAGAGTTGAGGTATTCCCCGACTTTGCGAGAACATGTACTCAACATAATTTGCAGTGCACATTACTTTGCTTCATGTCCGACCTCAAAAAAACAAAATACTTCCACACCACCGATGTTTTCATGCCAGTGTTGTTGACAGTGTCATCATCTGTTGAGTCTTCATCTGCGTTTCTGCCGGGGGTAGCACTCATTTTCTTTTTTCTCACCGACTGCTGTCGGCTTCACGTGTTAAAGTGCTATGGTTGTGTGTAGCTGCAGCCTGCTACTATGCAGTTGTTTGCTACTTGGTTCTAATTCGGCACATGGTTGGTTCAGAGTGAAGTGGACCAGGAGCAACTCCCCTTTTCATTGGCTATTCATATAGTCTACCAAAACACGGCAGAACGCTGACTACAGAAAATGATATTGACCATGTTTTATGTTTATATTGAGGGAAATTAATTTTTGATATATATTGTTATTGTTTTATCGCCCAGCCCTACCTTAAAGTTTCACAGACACAAGGTTACAGCCTCAGGTTTAGATGTATGTCCACTCTGAGGCCCATTGAGGACAGTTGCCAACCCAACTTTCTGTCATCTCCTCAGTTATGCTTTTTCCCCAGAAAATAGATGCGTCATGGTGACGTCAGCCCTACAAGAGTGCGTAGGGTCAAAAGCTTGAAATGAAGGGTTTTTATATGGGGCTGAAAATGCATTTTAAAAGAAACCAATAAGTTTGAGCTGTGAATTACGCAAAGCTACTATGTAGGTGTCCAGAAGACAGTGTTGAGTCTAAAAATAACCTTTAGATGGACATAAATTCTCTAGCAGGAAATGTCCGAGGGGGTTAGAATTGTTTTCAGGGAGACAGTAACAAGTTATGGTCAAAAAATACACACAAACCCTCAAATTAACACCAAATTCAACCTTACCCTTAATTGCACAAAACTTATATTATAAAGGTTATCCTCCCCTGACATTTTGGACTCTGCTGAACTGTGGCTGAAGATGTTTTTGAGGCTCTGAAGGTCAGTGTGTGTGTGAATCTGAAGCCTTGTTTGAAGCGATCAGACCCCCTGAGGTTTGTGTATATCTGGTTGAGAGGGACATTTAAGGTCTTGCTGTAAAGCAGACATGTATCTTTTGGAGTAGAGTTGAAATAAAAGCTTCTCAGACACTTGTTAGAAGACAGTTGTATTTTTGAATGACAGTGATGATAAATCATGCTGAGTAACAGCCGCGCTTATCAGCTGTAAAATAGGCCCTGATATTGCTGTGCAATCACAACATTTGCATATAACTATCATGCAACCTTCACTTAATGACAGTTTTTATAATGCTTGCACAATTTCTGTGCAGAAACAGCCTGTGCAGTAACCTTAAGTACATATCTAACAGGAAAATATGTCTTTCTTTTGTATTGCTTATCTTGTATGTGTATTACTGTTGTTACTATAAATATGCCATCATTTATTTCCCTTTTTATTGCCGCCTGTACTTTTTTCTTTCTCCACAACTTGCCTTTTTTTGTGTGCTACTTAAACAAGTGAATTTCCCCTGTGAGGTATCAATGCAGCTTGATCTTATGGGAAAAGCCCGTTATTTTATATGATTTAACTAAACTGATGAGACCAGCGAAGATACGAAGACAATCTCCCTAAAATTAACTACTGAATTCATTGTCACTAACAAATAAATGATAGCAGAGTCTGGAGTAAAAATTGAGTTATGCCAAAAAACACAAACTGCTCAGCTGAAAATGCAGAATCGAGTGTTTTCAGCAATTATTGGCTGGAAAAAAAAAGCTTGTCATTTTAATGTCAGCCCTCAGCATCCCTTTCTTTTGATACCATTATGACTGTTTTGCCAAAATGCTGCAGACTATTAGAGAGAAAAATGTGCTCGGTTTTTGCCTGCTCACCTGTTTGCACACTGTGGGTGGCTCCATGTTGGGGGAAGAAAAAGCCACTTCACAGCTTCCTTTTATTTACAGCCAGTGATCATACCTGTCTGTTGCTTGTAATTATTGTCATGCTCCACAAACAGCTTGAATGCTGTTCGAGGTAGCTGCTCTATCTAATGGCAAATGTAACATGGGTGAAAGGTGGCCTTTTTATATCATTATGACAGGTCTGTTGTTACATTACATCACTGTCTCCAATACCTTAACAAAACCTTATCAGGCATGCTTCTCTTTTTCCTCCAATGATAAGAGCTTCTGTGTTTCATTCATGAACAATTATCAGTAAAGTCATTATCATCAGGACGCACTTAATTACAGTGACATGGAAGTTATAGAAAGAGAGACGTTAATCAAAGCATATTCATCAAATCAGGTCTTGTGAGGGAGAGAAGCACACAGGGCTAGTTCCTACTAATTAGCATGGCAATTATTGTAAGCTGTCACAGCTCTTAAGCAACAGGGTGGACCATGTGTGCTCTAGAGCGTAATCCCTCACAAATTACAAGATAATGGAGGCAAAGAGAGGCCACTGCTCCAAAAGGAACCACAAGATAGAATCCCCAGCAGAGACATTTTAGGGACAGGCAGGGAGAGAGACAGACAGCGAGCGAGCGAGAGAAAGGTAGAGAGGAGAAGTACAGCGTGTATTCCCTCCACACGGAGCAGTCTGAATAAGAATGGCTTCTTTGACTGCTAACTTAAGTGATTGGAAACAAAAGGGAACAGGTTCACAAAGATAAAGCCGAAAATTGAATCCCTTTTGGAAACTTTTTATTTCAAGATGTTCAAGTATGAATGCAGTGGATGTATCAGCTCACAATCATGTGACAAAGGCCCTCTTTTTGGAAAAAATTTTACTATTTAGAGCATAGAAATGTTTTATTTTGGTGCTCTTGGAGGAGAAAAAGCACAGATGCATCAGTAGAACGTCAGTCATGGCAGCTATTTGTCCTTCTGACAGACATTAACCCACAGACCAATAATTTACCTGCACTGATGCCAATAGCAGATGTTTATCTGTTGTTCTGCATCACTTTAATGCTGAGTGCTGACTTCGAGCGGAGGTTTACACTGAAGAAAATGTCAGCAGTGTGGGCTTCTCTGAGAAAGATCAGCAACATGCAGTTTGTGTGACATGTCCTGGTGACATATTAAGAGGTATTACGAGGATGTGATGGGAGGAACTATGAGCTACAATTTAAATACATTAAATCTCCTTGACAGCTCAAGGAATCAGCAAGAATCAATGCAAAAACCATCTGTGTTGGATAAAGTGGTTATTTGAGACGTCATAATCACCTCCCCAAACAGGCATGAGGCAGGTTTTCAACCTTGTGCTGCCATTTAAGTGTAATTTAATTCAGCATGGCATAAAATACCGACCCTTTTACACCATTACATAATCATGTTATCTGTCTTTTACATACTTAGAGAAAAACGTGTTAAGCCGTGGTGTAAATGCAGACAACAAATTGGATCTCAGACAGGTGATGATCCATAAAACAAGAAAAAAAAAACTAATTTGTTCAGCTTTTGTCAGTACTTGCCTGCGCTTCCTGCCTTTTCTGTATTTCTTCATTTTGCAGCAGAGAACATATACAATCTAAGGCTGTCTTTACACAGTCTCTCTGGAAACCAAGACCTGAGAAATGAGATTCAGTTGAGAGGTAATAAACAGGTGCCAGACTTCAATCATGCATCCAAGATGAAGCAACAGGTGCCGTCGAGCAGGATAAGATAAGAGGCGGCAGTGTTTTGTGGCGTGTTTATGAATCACAGATGACAAATATTGCTCATTGTGCCTTTAAGTAAACAAAGCCAAAGCTAAGGAGCACCAGTGAAGAAGTCTTCCTATAAAGAAGTGAATCGAAATGAGAAATCCTGTTGATAGTATTGCTTTAAATGACACCCTGTTAATTTCATTTTCTAATTTAGATGAAATGTGGACAAAACTGAGACATTGAAGCCTCTGATGCAAATTTGAATACGATACAGAAATTTGGATTCCTCCTCCAAACACTTGCAATCACTCTGTTGTTTTGCAAGCATCCGTATGGACTTGTTTTTCTTCTAAAATCTAATTTAACTCTTGCTGTTTTGTCAGGCATGCTTATTTCTATGATATATCTTACAGATGTGAATAATTGTGGACTTTCATCAGATTTCTGCTGTTGTTGTCACTACTGTTGACTATCACACTCTCTCTCTGCCTCTTTTGTGCACACTGCATCTTGTGCATTAATCTTTGAGGATATGCAAAGCCAATGATCCAAATAGACACAGGAAATGCAGGGCAGCAATCATGTGCATGTGTATTTAAGGCATACCTCAGAGCAGTCACTTTATTAGACCTAGTAGATGTATTTTTTTCTCAGATGCTATCAGTTGTATTGTTTTGTCTTTGAATGAGCCCCAAGTGGACCATCAGATTTAGCTATAATACTCGGCTTTGTCGATGGCACCTGCTCCTGAAGTTTTCCACATATTCAGGAGCTCAGAATACACCAATCCTATCCTACTGTCAGATATGGATCAGATACTGACTCAGAAAGCTAGATTTGATATTGTTGACAAAGGGGCTGTTCTGTGATTAGAGCAACCATGTGTGCCTAACAGTCTTTCTGAGAGTCTGTGCATTTTGGAGGTATTTTACACCTTTTACACCTGTTTTTAGAGGTGGCAGTTTCCTTGCAAAATTTAACACAACCAAGCATCTCAAGAATCACCGTGCCAAAAAAACCACAAACAAAACAAAAAAGACAGCAGGAGAGCAGCTTGTAGCATTTTTTAGATCTATTGTACAGTTTTTCAGGTGATGTTTTGGAAAGTGTGAAGAATAACAGAGAAGGAGCTCAAACTCATTGTCTGCCACTTGTTGAAAATGAAAGATTCTGCTGCTTGGTTGGTCTCCTGGAACCAATAAGTATTTTCTGACTCTTCTGTGTTTGAACCCAGGTGTCCATGCAAGATGATGGAATATTAAGAGACAAGCAACAGAGTCCTGCACCACTGTTTTGCGTAATGTTCACGCAGCATGCACACTTAATAGTTTCTGTTTATCGTCTTGAAAATGATCTTCCTCCCTAAAACTTGGGTGTCTTTACTCATCTTGTTACCTGTTGCTCTTGCAGGTTGACACCATGAGAATGATTTAAACTTAATCACTTGTTATCTGGCAGGAAATTTTCCTGGATGTTTCCTGCTGTGTTCTCATACCGACTCACAAACTTCACAGGGGGACTGGCAGGAAAAAATCCAGGTAAAATCAAGGTGAACAACTGGACTTTATGTTCACACTAACCCTGAATATTTTGAGAAGTCATAAGAAGTTATGTTGATAGCTGTCAAGACCCAACACATATCAGTATGAGATATAGTACTTGAATATTGCCCTCATAAAAATGGTACACTATGGTGGATAGATTACCTGTGGTTTAAGTCTGCTCACCTCTGGTAATAAAATTAAAGGAAATATCATGATGTAATCTTTGTTTCCTTTTTAAAACCACAACAGCTCATTCTTTTCAAAGCCAGTGAAAGCCTTTAATAAACAGCCAGGGGGAAATGAAAATAAATCACCATTTTGATGCATTTGTTTTAAGGAAACACTTTTACATAATCTACATTAGGGATGGGAATCGAGAACCGGTTCTTGTTGAGAACTGGTTTTAAATGGTTCAATCCATCGACACCGTTTACATTTTATCTTAATGAATCCGTTAACGATTCCTTTCTTCCAGATGCCTTGAAAAACGGTTTCATGAGTGCCAGTCTACGTGAACGAGAACAGACTTTGAGGAAATAAACATGGCGGACAGTACGAAAAGTAAGCAGAAACGATATAAAGCGTGGCTCAAAATTTTGCGCATGACTCCGCCCCTCGTAGTAGTGTCCTCTCTTTGTTTTTTTTTTATACTTTATTAGGTCCATAACATATAGCAATACAATTCAATTGCCATTTCATCAGTGTTTCTTTTTCATCATTTATATCACTGTTTTACAGACATTTTGACCCTTCTTTTTTTTTTCTCTTTTCCCCTTTTTTTTGTGCACACAGAAACAAACTCAAACAGAAAAGTGAAACAAGACATTTCTACACAAAAAACAGGAAAATAAATAAAATAGAAGAAAAAAAATATATATAAATTAATTAATAAAAAAAAAAAAAGGCTTTGCTGGGTTTGTTTCAGCAATTGCTGAAGTGTCCTCTCTTTGGGGATCCAGAATATGGTCACCCTAATTTGACTTAATACCTACCAAATTAAATGCTGTAAAAATAGTTTGTTGTTCGATTATTTTTTTTAGACTCTCACTGAAGGTGGCATACATCTTTTATGTTATTTTGAGTTAATGGTGAAAACCTATAGTCTACTATTTTTAAATCAAAGAAAGGCATTGATAAGGGAATCATTAAAGAATTAAATCTATAAGTAGAATCGATAATGGCATCGATATCAATAAAATCTTATTAATTCCCATCCCTAATCTACATGCATGTCTGCCTTTTTACTTAAGTATTTGTGCAATCCGTATGCCCTAATTTCTTATATTACACATGCAAAAATATGTTGATTACATTTTTCATTTTTACAAAGCCCAATTACAGTGCACTGTAGTAATTCATGGATTCTTTAAAATGCTTAAGTCATAAATATGTTCCTCTTATTTAAGATTATGACACATTTGATGAGGAGATATGGCTTGGGGTAGAGTGTTGCATGGATTAGCCAGTTTGGAGCATCTGAAAACAAGATGGAAAATTGGAACAAGTCAAAATAGTGTGATGATGAAGCACAGCCACAGCATTTCAATGAGCCTGTGTGGATGTGGAGCAGGAGGTAAATGCCAGCACCCTTCATCTCACTGGCAGCGTTGCCAAACAGACTGAGAGGCTGTGAAGCCATCCAAATAGGAGCTTTCTCATTAGCGACCAGCATTTATTATGTAAAGTGTGACAGCTCCCATGTGATGTAGACACTGACACTATCACAAAATATTCTGTTATGATCAAACAGCTGCTAGTCAGCCGCATACAGCTGTAGCCTTGAGTGTTTACTGTTGGGTTTAGCTTTTTCCCTTAAAAAAATCCTTTTGGCATTATTATTTTACACGACTAATCATCACAGTTGAAGGGACTGTTGGATCAGATCTCATTCTGAATATTTCTGACTTTTGACTTTGGCATCCCGAGACTGACGGCTTTTGTCAACTTTCAATTCCTAAATTGCTTTGAAGAGGTAAAAGCCAAGTCAAATCCTATCAGCACAAAACGACTTGGACACCTTACTAAGTTACTCTAGATTAATGGGTGTTCATACTTCTTTATGTACATGTCTGTTGGCAAAATGGCGATAGACTAGATATTTCAATTTAAGACTGGGCCGTTTTGCTTCAGTTCGTTCACATTTCCTTCATTGAGACATTGCTTGGCTTTCCTGATATTTAATGAAGAGCAATTAAAAGATCGGATGCTCATATGACTTAAATTACATGACTGGTTCACAAACCCAAGTCAAATTTGAAGACTAAAATGTAGTTTGAACTCCAGCCTTAAACATTAGAAACAACTGGTTTAAATGTTGTATCTTGTTTGCAGGATTTGAGTTCAACTATATCCTGTTGTAAAACAGATTTGGCTTCTAGCCTTTGCTTTCCTTTCTACATGATCTGTTGTTCTCCAATCAACCTTTTGCAAATTCAGCTTGTGCTGAATAAAGTTCTGTCTGCAAAGTTCCCTTCCCATCAGATTTTGTCTTTTGTTTGAGATGTTTTGGGGGCAGAGGTTGCTCAACCAGGAGGGGTTTGGCTTGAGAACTTGAGAGCCACTTGTTCAAGTCCTGGTATTAAAATGGTTTTTGTCATGGAGAGGTTCTAGTTCACGCTCTGGGAACTGCCCTTGAACAAAGCGTCCAACTATCCAACAATCTAATCTGGAGTTTTATAAAAAATGACATCTTTTCACATGACTTGATATTTGACTTCATGCTCTCCAACGTTTCAGAAAAGGCCTTGAGTCTATTTTTGTTTTCATCCTTATCAATTTTGAGAAATGTGTCCGACCGCAGATGCTGATAATAAAATGCTAAGTCCTCTTCAGATTTGTTCCACATTTCGTACGATTAATGAGTAGCCTTTTGTGAAACTGCGCCACAAATGTGTGTTTCTGAACTTCTTGAAGCCTCCACTGTGGTTTGAGGGAATAAGTGGGGTGTGCACTGTGCATGTTATCATTTTCATTTTAGCAGTAATTACAATGGATAAACACGCTGTTACTGTATGATATTACTAGTACTCAGGCCCAGCACACAAACACAAACAATTGAAGCACTGGAGTAATGGAGAGCCACAGCAGGGCTCGGTATAATCGGCAACACTAGAGCCCGTGTGTACCCTCTGCGGCTCTGCTTTGTTTCTGAGTGCCCTCCATTTCCACGTGACTCATTGCACTTGCACCTGCCAAATTGATTGCTTCCCTGACACACTTTCCTTTGCATTCTGCTCAATATGTATGCCAAGGTTTAACATATCTTACATATGCAAGATATAATGATATTCAAAGACGTACGCCTGTGGCAAAGCTGCTGCAAGTATCTCATTGTTCTACTCTTTGTTGTCAGAACGCTTTGAACATGTTAACTTTGAAGTAATTGTTATTAATGTAGAGACACCTGCATGATGTGGGTTATGGGATTTGCGGTTACAGGCTTGCGCACTAATCTGATTTGAAAGGAAATAAAAATCACAATCAATATCACAATTGGCAACTCTTGAGAAAAATCCGTAACTGTTATATCTGTATTTCACTTTTACAGTATATGAATATAGATGCTGACGTATTGGCAGGATGACTGCAAACCAAATATACATGGAACCTAGCAACAGAACAGCAAAGACCCACTTTGATGCATTCGTCAAATCTGATCATTATAGCACATTTCAAATCACTCCCGCACTTTTCTATTGCAAATATGGATACATCTCAGATTAAAGTTGCAGCCCATGATGGCGAGACCAAATTTAGAGTCGCTGTGAAATAGGTTTCTAAAGAGCCAATCTGCACATACTGTGAAAAGACACATTCTGATTCCAAATGAACGTGCATTTAAACTCCCAGGCGATCTGTTCTGTGTTGCCACTGTGACGTGTCCAACTCTGGGAGAAGATGCTCGGTCCATTTGTGAGAAAATTGTAGTAATTCAAGCTGGGCTGCTTCTGTCACTTCTGCTGTTCTGTAGTGTTTCTCATTTTTGTAGGACCGCGGCTGTGGAGATGACAAGATAGCAACAGAATGCAAATAAGGCCGGCAAGCTTACTCCACTGTGTGTCCAGAGGGACGTCACACACTTACAACCGTCTGAATTTTGTTTCATTCTCTTAAGTACTTCCCAGACCAGTCATTTTTAAGGGTAATGTCAATGTTTAAAAGCTTATTCCTGTTGGTGCAGGATTGTTCTTTCAGGCATATATTGGATGATTCTGTAATAGAAATCTAGGACAAATAATCTGTTAGATGGGAGACAAAAACTTGTATTCGAACCATTATATTTTCTTTATTAAGTCAGAAGAGCATTGACCACTTTGGAGCAGAGAAACAGTCTTATATGGAGAACAAAAGAGGAAAAGTGCTAATGATCGACACTTATTTATCATTTCATTTATATTTATCAACAGATATCTGCACCATAGCTACTACCAATTTATCTTCCAACCCCTGCCTCGTGGCTTCACAGGTCAAAAATTGAAGACTGAACAACAACAAGCACACACAGGGAATGTCTCGGTCCAAAAATGGTTTATTGATTATCTGATAACCACTGGCTCCTTTAACTCACACAAGAAAGTTCAGAAGAAATAGGGTCCCACATACTGGATGTTTGGTCTTATTGCTGAGGATGTACTTTTAAGGCTGTTGACTGCAGGACTAATATAGGGAGGAATTTAATAGTTTTACATACAGTATAAGACATGGTACTGGCTGTTGGTGTGATATTTTTGATAGCAGCTATGATGTAAGATCAGTGAATTTGTAATCCTTGGTTTAAAACAAAAGTTCAAGGTTTCTATATTGATAAAAACGAAGAAAACTCATTTCAAGACTTTCAAACTTTTCTGTGGTCTCCTACCCTTGGACCTAACTGTTTAAGCAGTGGCCTCCTCATTCCTGTGGATCATTATTACAGTAGACCTATCTATAACCCGGTACTCAAAAGGCTACGATTTAGTATGTATGCGTGACACATCCAGTGTCCAGGCTGCGCTTTTTGGAGATCGTCGTGCGCTCTCTCGTGGATTTTCCGGATCATTGTTCTCTCTTGTAGCGGGAAAAAAAAGCACAGCTCTCCGATCATATATGGGGGTGTTAGATGCTCTGTCTGCGCGGCTGGCACCTGTTGCTTCTTCGCCTCAAGCTTCGACCTTTTAAAGGATTTAACCACAGCGTCTGTATTCCTCCTTCACTCCCGGACCATGACGGAGCCAGAAAGTGACTCCAACTTCAGTCTGTACCATTTCGGCAACCCCTCCACCAGAGTCCAGAGCAGCTTTGTATCCTCAGGACCTATGTTTGTGGTTTTGATGGTGATGATGGTGTCACTGGTTGTAGTTATAGTTCTTGGCAATGCTCTGGTCATTCTGGCTTTTAAAGTGGATAAGAGTTTGAGGAAACAGTGCAATTACTACTTCCTGAATCTGGCGCTATCAGACTTTCTTGTAGGTAAGTCCAGCTTGAATCCTTTGAATATACCAGGTAAGTGTGTTTTATGAAGTGCAAGGACTTTAACCTGTGATGTTTATGCTGTTTGAGTTAGTATTGAAAATGCAAAAGTCGAAATTTGTTTGGATTTTTCCTCTGCCTGTCAATATCCCAGAGGATTCTTGTAGATGTGCACCACTAATAAACCCATATGACATGTAATAGTGAAAATTAAGCACCTGACAAGGAGTTCACTTAATGGGACCAACAAGAAATTGAGTTGTTAAACAGTTTTACTTATTTAGTTCCACTTTTCTTTTTCCGTTTCTTTGTTTTTGCTCCTTTTTTTTCTTTTGCATATTTTTAAGCGAAAAACAACAATCTGCTTACTTACTACACTTGCTTCCTCCTCTAAAGTTTAATGTGTTTCTCTTCAGTGGCAATAAAAGCCATCAAACATTTAGACTGAAGTAGTTGCTCATAACTCTTCAATGTAGAAGAATAGAAGAGCCTTGAAAGAGCAAAATAATGAGTATCATCTATCATTCTCTTTCCTTTAATAATGCATGTTTTACAGCTAGGTGTAAAACTACACAATAATGTGCTATGATCTCCACTGAAACTTAAGGAGCAAGAAAAAGCTTTAAAAGTGATTGTGCTGTAAATGAAACTACCCTTATCTGAGTGTCTGATCCCTTTTTCCCATACCTATCTGTGTCTGCAGGTGCATTTTGCATCCCGGTCTACATCCCGTACATCCTCACAGGTCGGTGGACCCTGGGTAGAGGACTGTGTAAGCTGTGGCTGGTCATGGATTACCTGCTTTGCTCTGCGTCGGTTTTCAGTATTGTTCTCATTAGCTATGACCGCTTCCTGTCAGTCACCAGAGCGGTGAGTCAAACATCCTGAATCTCACACACAAGAAAAGTCACTTTAGGAGTGTAACTCACTAGACAAACATGTCAGATACATTTGAAAGAGAATCTTAGATTAATTTTTTTGTGTATCTTTAGAGTTAATCACCAATCTTGCTGGTATTTCCCCCCTTATTTTCACTACTTTGCATTCAAGCCATATACTTTTCAAGCTTAAGATGGGAAGCTCATTTATGGTAGTATTATTGTCCTGTTTTAGGGGTTTTACGAGTTAAAATGGAAGGAAACAAAAGGTTGTTGCTGTTGAATTGCCAAATTAAAAGTTATAACATTTGAAAACTCATTTCCTACCTTAAGACAACAGCTAATGTTGCATATTATTATTAGGAGTTTAGTCTGACAAGCATCTGCATCTTAAACACCTGTGTGTCTATGATTCAGTGATAACAGACATAGTTTCCTCAACCAAAACACTGGATATTAGCAAAAGGATTTTCAGTCTACATGTCTTGTTAGTGAAAAATAATGAGGCAGTGACATAAAGCGCAATCATATTTATCTGTACAATAACCCTGAACTTAGCATTGGTCGTTGTACAAGCTAACAGTATTCGAGCTCACAAACACGAGCTTGTTGAAAGAGAAAGACAGCTTCCTTGCTTGATGAAAAAGATGAGACGAAAGAGCCCTTCTCCTTGTTGCATACCAATGTCCACTGCATGAGCTACGTGGTTAATTTCTGATTGGTGAGTCTCCTTGGTCATTGGTAGGGGCAGTGCCGCCTCATCCTCCCAAAAGTGCCCATCTGTAGAGGTTAATCCATCCTGACCCATTCAGGCCTGGTGCCACCCCTAATTATAGCCCTTGCCCATGATGAAGATAGAAAAAAGTCACATTTTTGACTTTGGGACACACAGAAAAAATCAACACAAGAGGGTTTAAATTTCAATTTAACGATTAACCACACAAAGTGCTTAATTTTACACTTCAGCAGATTTCAATGGTTTAATTTAGGTCCATGAAACTGCTTTATTTTCTGATACACAATGGTGTAGCCTCAGTGATGTCGATTTTCTATTTTCTGCCTGTCTTAGCTCAATAAAGCAGTTTATATCTCCAAGCCTCTTCAGCTGTTTGACCCATTGAGCCTTTTGTTCAGGCTTTTCTGTGTATTCGCCGGCTGACTGTACCCTACACACTTGTGTGTTAACTCAAAGGTGGAATGAGGTTTGGCATGGCAGACAAAGAGAGTGTTCTGTTTCCTTTCACAAGCAAACACTTAACATCAGAGCCCTGAATACAAATAACACCAGAGAGAGAGAGAGCCTCTTCTTTAATTAGCTAGCTTTGATCATTGAGATCCTCCTCTGTACCAACGTCCTTCCAACCTGGAGAGATCAATCAGAGCCCAAACAGGCCACCGGCAGCCAAGAAGCTTTTTCCTAAAAGCATTTCCCTCTGAACATCAGAATACAAAGGAGTATCGACAGCCACAGGACAAAGTTTGTCCTTTGAAAGAAAAGATTGCATCACATTAGATGTATATATCTTCTCGTTGGATGACATGTTAGCACGTTAACTAAACGCTAACCGCTCAGTGTTTATGTGGAAATAGTTTATTCAGTTGGTAAACTAAAACAAATCCTCAAAGCTGGAAAGATCACGTTAAACAACATTTTTAATCATGTTGGAAGCATTGTTTTGTTGGTAGGTAATTCAGAGTAGGAGTATGGAGTATGTTTCCTACTGAACAAGCATCTTTACAGGTCAGCCTCAACTCTCATCCTCTCTTATTTCTGATGCCTCTGGTGCCAACAACTCGTCTCTTCTCTCTCTGTCAAATTCTTCTGCTTTTTCTAAAACATAAATGCATCCGTCTCTCAAAAGCTGTTTTATCTTTTATGCCCCATGCAGTTAATGTTTTATTTCATTCTCAGTTATGGGCTCACTGGTGTCCCTGGGTTTGAAGGGCTTCACTGTTTCACAGGATGATTGGGCAGACAGGTTCATTTAAATCTTTGTCCTCGGGTTGAAGCCTGCCCTCCATCTTTATTGAACCACTGTGCTTTTATCAATTTAAGGACATTGGTGTTGCACAAAATGCTCACTGAGTACTCTTTACTTATCCAGAATACTTCCTTTCTACACGTTTTTGACTCAAATGTAGAACAATTTCATATCCCAGTGTTAAGTTGATTGCTTTGTTTCTATATAGATCAGTATTTGACATTTGAACCATCATACTAGCTCATGTAACATCTTTCAGGGTAACTGCATGTAAGTGTGTTCAAACAGGCTCTTACATAAAGTACCACATGCACTTGAATGCATCTCAAAAGATCTAATTTTAGATGAAATAGCGCTGACAGAGGCTGCTCTTCCTGCATGATAAAAGCTTTAACCTTTTAATTCTATGCAAACATGTTACAGAATAATATTGTGTTCTGAATGTTCAATGTCAAGCTACTATACTAAGTGCTACTGCTCTTTTACTTGAGGGGAAAAATCTCAATACCTCCTCCTGCATTGCAATTAAATGAACCTTCTCACCCTCTCATAACTAACCACAGTGTACTTAATGGGAAAAAAAATGCTTTTTGCCCTTTAAATATGTCCACATTAATGGTTGCATGCAGCAATTGCACATAAAATTGCTTGACCCTTTGCTGGAAGTGTTACTCTAAGTATATTTTCTGACTTATGCTTACATTTACTGCAGGTGAGTTACCGTGCCAGGCAGAGCATGACTCATCGAGCCATAATCAAGATGATTGCTGTCTGGGTGCTGGCCTTTGTCCTGTATGGCCCAGCCATCATATTCTGGGAGCTGGTGGTGGGCAGGAGCCGCGTGCCAGAGGACGAGTGCTTCGCCGAGTTCTATTACTCTTGGTACTTCCTGCTGAGTGCCTCCATGTTGGAGTTTTTCTCCCCTTTCATCTCTGTGGCATTCTTCAACCTCAGCATTTACCTAAGCATACGCAGGAGGAGGCTCCACAGCAGGGAGGCGCAGCTTCAACTTCAACTGAGCGAACCAACCACTGCCCAGGGGGAAGGTGTCCCCCTGTCCCACAACACAGGCTTTGGGATGAAACTGGCTGTAGGAGGCTCCATCCACTCTCAGACCTCTTCTCCCAGCTTGGGTAAACTCGATCCCTCGACCAGCAGGGCGGCCCAGCCCAGCCGTCTGTCCAGGGATAAGAAAATTGCTAAGTCCCTGGCTGTCATAGTGTGTGTGTTTGCCATCTGCTGGGCACCGTACACCCTACTGATGATCATCCGTGCCGCCTGCAGAGGGCGGTGCATCCAGCATCACTGGTACGAGGTCACCTTCTGGCTCCTGTGGCTCAACTCTGCCATTAACCCGTTCCTGTATCCGCTTTGCCACAGCAGCTTCCGTAGGGCCTTCAGCAAGATCCTGTGTCCGAGGAAACGCACTGCTCCTTCATCTGTGTTTCGTGCTGGACAGTGATGACAGATAAAGGCGTGTTGGACCATGTGTGCCAAACCTTTGGATAAAAACGTTAAAATATACGGCAGTCATAAAGACCATTTACAGAAGTTTTTATTCAGTTCAGTTTTTGAATGTGTTATTGGTTGTTATTGTAAGGTATATTTTTGTCAGTTTCTAATAGAATAATTAAGCGAAAGAAGAAGGATATCAATAAACTCAGTGTGATAAATTACACGTCAGTTTTTATATACTATAAGTAAGTCTAAAAATGCTGTTCTGCTCATATAGTCAGAGAAAAAAACTGTGAAAAAGACTGAAACAGACCCATCTCTTCTGATCTGTGTATTAATACCATGCAGACCATCTAAAGTGCTAGCTTTGTACTAAATGTAAATGTGTAGAATGTAGAATTAATGTGAAAGAATCTGCTTAACTTGACTAAATATTGTTTTCTTTGTCCAGTTCTGTGGGTCGTGTGATACGTGATACGCTTCATGTTATTAAGCTAGTTGAATGTTATTGTTGAATTATAATCAGACCGATTGTGTCGTTTGCTGTAACAAAGTTTACTCTCAAAATATTTTTGAAGCACAGTAATTAAGGAAACACCAAGTGCCATTATTACATGTAAATGTGAGTTCAATGTAATGTGCAATTTCACTTTAATGTTGAGTTTCTCACTTTCTGGGGCGTATTCAGCATCTTAGTTTACTTTATTTGCACGCGTTAAAAAGACAATGGAGTAATAAAAGCTTAAATATAGTGAGGAGGAGGATAGAAACCCTAAAAAGGCTTATGAAGATGCCTCCTCTCTGGGAAAAGCAAGGGTTATAAAAAGCAGCAATATGGGTTGGTTGAAAAGAGGAACAGCTGCAAAGCTAGATATTAATAAACATAATCCTTTACAATGAGATCCAAGACTGTTAAATTAGTGGTTTATACAATAGGTGTGTAATCTAGTTCTTTGCACACTTGGTACATCATTTACAAAGTTGTCACTGTGTACCAAAATGAAAACACAGCCTTTAATTGTACAGTGTAAATGTTCATTTTTATTTACGACTGTTATTAAATTATATATGATTCTTGTCGCTTGTTTTACTGCTCGTTTTGACTTTATATTTACATGTAATGCCAAACCTCTTACTTGCCTGTGATTAGCAAGATGTATGTATAAAAATGCGCCACTAGATGTCACCATTAACCTTTGCAGCTTCCTGTGTGTGCAGCATTGAACTCTGATTAATCTCTGAGTCAAGTCAATCTGCAAGATCGGCTCATGGTTTTTCCATGACTGTTTTTACATTTTTTATTATGTTTGACTCATCATTCAAATGAATACCACAGTTCTGCACCAGAGCACAGATTGTAACATAAGAAAACAACCTTTAGAAAAAGTCCAAACACTTGAATGGAGGTCTTGTCAGATTATTCACAGTGAGCCGTTTTATTGTTTAACTGTGTGTTTTATATTTAAACTTAAGGAATAGTAGTCATGTACATTCGATAAGTTATCAAATTTTTTAAAATGTTGCCGTGTTATCCATGTAGAGATGTATTAGAAGCTGTTTTTGTTACTTCAGAGTAATAGCCTGAATGTCATCTTCATGGCTTGCAGGAAATTAATGTTGTCACTCCAGACACAAATAATGTATTTTTGCTTATCCGAAGAGGAGGAAACGAAGTTTTTACTATCGTCCGAGGAACTTCATGGACAATATAAAATAAAATCTTTGTTGCTTTTTGAATGCCTACCTGATGGCTAACTGGGTCAGCACCAAATACTCTGTGAATTATGTTTGATCTGCAGATGAAATGCTGAGGGTGCAATACCACCACATTAGTAGTATTCTCAGTCTAGAAATGTTTGATTTGATAGATTAAATGAGTTCATTCCAGATGTAGGCTTATTAAACCTGTAATTATGCTGTCATGTTACATAGAAGGGGCTATATTTGCAGGTGCCTGGGTCTCACAGGGGACCTACATTGCTCAAATTGTTGCTGTTGCCTGTGTGCACATCTGGGCTCCTGGTCAGGTGCTGGAATAAGGGCACAGCTGCAGGGAACAGGCCTGTGCTCCCCCCTCCTCACTCCCTCTCTCTCTCTCTCTGCCTGTGGTGTGTTGTTGGTGGTGGTGGGGGAGGACAGAAAAACAGCCCTGACCAGAGGGATGCAGACACATTTCCCTTGGGGTGACGGAACTGCATCTATCAGCAAAATGGCAGGCCTGCGTTTACTCCCTGTGTATCTAAATGCGACAGCACGAGCTGTATCACAGAGAGGAGCGCACGCGGCGTACGCAGTTAAAGCAGGAGAGCTACTGCCATTGGTTTTCTTGATGGATTGAGATGTCATGATATGTGTGCCAAACCGATTGGCTGGCTGACTGATTATGCCAGCTTAGATTGGTGGGAGGGGCGGCACTGAGAAATATCAGTTTTGATATTTGAATCATGTTTTCATGGACAAGGAAGTATCCTTCAAATCCTAATTAGTGTGTTTATGGGGTTCAGTGTCTGTGACCTCAAGCGATGTAACTTAAAGCTGTGACCCCAAATAGACTGCACCTGTGCCCCCAAAGTTTATAGAGCTCCATTAAAGAGACCCAGACAGTGACAAGACCTGTGAAAAAGTCTTTGTAACTCGCCATTAGAGCATGTTTATAGTTCGAGTCTAATCGGGCCTTTTTTGTTAGGATGACTTAATGCTGAAGTCTCTACTTAACACCTCAGATCTGCAAGTTAGAAACTAAGACGATAGATGTAAAAGAGAGCCCTTCATCTGCATTTTTGCACCAAGACTGGGGCGAGTGAGCTGCTCTTATATTTTTTTATTTAATTAAATTTTCTTAGAGTTAGGGTGGATTGTAAAAGTGAACTGTCAAACAAGACCAAAGCACTTTAGCCTGCACATACAGGTCAAATCTGTGACCTCTTTTTGAAGTTGTAGCATCACTTAGCGTACACTTTCTCCCCATGTGAGCTGTTCACTTTCTCAGCTAGCTGCATGTAAACCACAGTTAATATTTCATGAGGGACACACTCCAAAAGAAAAAAATAACAGACTATTTCTGCTTGATTTTTGTGCCTTTTCCGTCCTTCCGTTTTTCCCTCCACTTTTTTCTCCTGCAGTGTACTTCCTGACTAGAGATTAAATAATTCCATTGGAATCCTCTTAGGATGGGTTCCCAGCACTTGGCAATTAAACAATTACATTTAATCAGCATGGGGCGACGCTTCAAGTCACCCTCATTTCAGACGTTGATTAAAAGCAATTCTGCAGTGGTTATTGCTGTCGACTTTGGAAACTGTGGTTCACTTAGGTTTACTGCATCTGTGGGGTCAGGTTGGATAGCAATATGGCAGGTTCAGTGGTGGTCGGGATCTGCCTGTGGTGAGTGGAGGAGTAATGACAGAACTTATGGCAGACCTCATATTGTCCCTAAAGTCAGAGCTAGTTAGATTACTCGGAGACACTTTGACCTCATATCAAGAAGACAGAGACAGAGAAGACATTAAGTTATGCTCGTGGGAGGCCGGATCCAGAGTTAGTGTGAGTGTTTTTAACATCATGTGTATTTGACTAAATCTGTTTGTGAGCTTCTGTGATTTGCTTGTTTGAGAGGAAAGACACGATAGCACTATGACATCTTTGAAGCCGTCTTTGTCTTTTGTTATTGATTCGACTGCCCCTTTACACAATCGGACGTTACAGCTCGACTGGCATCGGCTCAGTTAGCAGTAACCTCAGGCTAGCAGCAGCGCTCTGAGCAAAAACATACACACATATATATGTACACAGCTGTTCCCTTTGCATTTTCATTAAAAGCGCTTGAATGAAATACACCTTGACACCTACAGTTTCATCATGCCATGCAATAACATCTCCCTATGTGACAGCAAACAAGCAGCAAGAAGGCGCATGGGGGAGGGCTTTTGTTATAATCCACGTTACACCCGATTGAAAGAGCTACGTGGCACAGCACCGTGAAGTCCTCCCTGTGCAACGCAGATGAGTTGCGATGGATACCCGACCCCCTCGTGTGAAACCCAGGTGCCCTTGTTTCATAAGGCCCCCCTACTGGCTCTCCAGCCCTCTTAATTAGCAGCTCCAGTCAGCTGGCACCCAGGCCTTCATGCACCCATCACCGGCCTCTGCTGCATGAGAAACTTGTACATTTAAGATCTTTAGCTTTATAAAAGACTGACACATGGGTGGGCTCAGCAGGGGGGACTTCCCAACTTTGAATGTCTGGGTTTCTGTGCCACATCATGGAAGAAAGGAGGTAAATACTTTTGTCTTTCTTGGTTTAAAAATGGCCAACTGCAGAGAGAAGGCCGCGGTATTCAGTCTCAGCTGCAGACACACAGTGTATCAAGACATTGATGATTTTTAGATGATGAAGTCAAATATAGATAAAAGATTTCACCAGATCGGGTGTGATGCCTCTTTCCTGGCGCAGTATCGCAGCAGCACTGTAACAATAGTCTCTTCTAATGACATTCCCCCAGTAACTTCTTGCCTCTTGCAATCTCAAGGGAGAAGTGCTACAAAAAGTGATAATTACATGAAATATACATAGAGAATAAAGGGAGCATGTTTACATAACCAGACCCATAAATATCTGACAGAGAAGACATTGTTCTCCGACTCCTTTTAAGCTGATCTCCCAGGGATGCCATTTTAATGACATGATGGTTTAAAGAGATGCTGCTCCATCTCGTTCCATATTTAATTAACTTTTGCTTTTCTGACGCAGAGGAAAAACAGAATAAAGAAGGCGTGATAGAGACAAACACACACGCGATAGATAGCGGGGAGACAATAACAAATAGCTGGGAGAACAGAGAGGGAGGCAGGGGGAACATGAGCAGAGACCTTGTCATGCTTTTGTGAGCTGTTTACAATACAAGAGATGCAAAAAAGAGGAGGGGGGGAAGAGGAGGAAAGAAGGGGCTTAAAATAAAAAAGAGAAAGGGATATTAAAAAAAAAGAAACAGGAAGAAAGGAGGAAGCAGAAAACTCAGGAAGAATGAGGGCCTTGTTCTCCCGAGGGGCTCCATTATAGAGCATTTTAGGTTCATCACCAAAAAGAGGAAATAAAAGAAACGACAAAACCCATTACACTTACATTTCAGATACCTCAAAATAAAAACAAAAAAGTCAACAAAAATAAAATAAAAAGAAAGCAAATGTCTGTACTTGACTTTGGCCTTCTTCTCTGCATTTTTAGACATCTTTTAGTGTTTGCCTGCAACATGTTCATTAAATAAACTCAGAACAGATGTCAGTGTGCGAAGATTATTTCACATTCCCATCAAAATCACATGCAGAGATTTCTGCTCATAATGAAACCGGGACGGAGACTTAGAAAGCACCTCCATGTGCAGAAATAAATTGATTTTCCCGCAGATTTCCCTGATTTTTATGCAATATTTGCTCTGTACACATGGCAGATCAACTGCGTTGTAGGTTGCCTTGATGCAAAGCTAAACTAGTGTAATGTAATGCAATGTACTGGTCACACACAAGCCCACAGCTAACACGATGAAAACATCATTTTTTAAAGATTTCATTCTTGGTCTGACACTAACATACAAGCGTCTCAGCCCAGAATTTGGTCTTACCCCTCTCTCTCTCTCAGGCAGCGTGTTTTCCATTTTTACTGTCAGCTGTATACGCTGTATGTTGCATTATTGATACTTTCTTTCCCTCCCTCCTCCTCTTGTTAGACTCCTTTCCTTGTCCTCATATCATCATCACATTGGCGGCCACACTGCCTGTGAGGAGCCTGGAGACTTACAGGGAATTTGACCCCACCTGGTCTATTTTTTATTGCTTGCTGTTTAATACATTTTTGAAAACCCTCCCCTGTCCCATGCACAAAAGGAGAGAAAAAAAGGGAAGACAAAAGAAAGACAGAAAGAAAGAAAAAAAAGAATCTAGTGTCTATTTCAAGTGTTTGTCTTGGTGAGAAAGAGGGAGAGATGACTGGAGGGGGAGAATCACCTTCAGCTCTCCCAGTTCAGGAGACAGGGGGGATCATTAGAAAGGGCTGCAGAGGAGTGTGTGTGTTTGTCTGTGTGT